GAACTGATCAACCTTGGAAGGCCACAGATCATACACCAAAAAGATGAAAAACCTTCGCCTCAATCGGATCCCACCTTTTCTCTCCGCCTAAGGATGTGTGGGCCCCGTAACCTGCGGAGATCATGCTCGACATGAGAGACCGGTATATTATCTCCCCTCATGAGCAACACCCAAATGGTCAACCACGAGGTAGTTTTACCAACTAGGTCATACGAGGGAGGAGAGTGACCGGAACTTTGGGAAGTTGGTGATAATTCTCGTTTGGTGTTGGGATCTCCTTTTTCATATGGTCTCATTTTGGGAGCAAATCCTACTTGCATACGAATTGTCAAATATACTGAAAAAATCGATATTGAAAATGATATCGTATAGACAAGAGCTTTTGTTCGGTCGGGTCGACCAGAGTTCTATCACCGGGTCAAGATCCAATCCAAAGACGTATATCTACCTTGCAGGCAAAATCAAATAAACCCAAACGCCGTCTATCAAGGTCCCATGCAAGAAGCCACAAATACTAGGAATAGGTACTGATGCAGGAAAATGTGCAGGAACGAACAATCACAGAACGAAAGAGACATTAAACATATCAATATGTCGTGGTAGACGTGCTCATGCTTCATCGTCGGTGTCAACGGGCTTGGGGGTACCCTTGGGAGAGTTAAGCTAGAAATGGTCAGTGAAAAGTTCATTGTAAAAAGAAATCTGGGGGAAACTCACCCATTCAATGTGACGAAGACGGCGGCGGGCCTCGCGATCCTTCATTTGAGCACGGGTCAACTTCTTCTTCTTTTTGGCGCGGAACTTCAGTTCGCCCTGGTCCTCAGCATCAGTGTTGACCGCCGAAGGGGCGGCGCTGGTGTTGGCGGAGGCAGCAGCGGAGACACCGGCGGGGGTGCCAGTGCCAGTGGGAGAGTTGGCAGCGCTGTCCTCGAAGCGGTCCAGGCTGATAGCGGCGTTGGTACGGCTGACGACGCGGCCGTCGGCGACGTGCAGTTGCTCGGGGCAGAGAGCGCCCACAAACTCCTCGTTGTGAGAAATCATGACCACACCACCCTTGAAGTCACGGATAGCGACGGCCAAACCACCGAGAGAGTCACGGTCCAAGAAGTTAGTCGGCTCGTCCAGCACCAGCAAGTGGGGGTTGTTCCACATGGCACCAGCCAGCACGACCTTGACCTTCTGACCACCAGACAGACCGGAGATCTCGTTGTGGTTGGCAATCTCGGGGTCGAGACCGACATCCTCAAAGTGCTTGGAGATAGTCTTGGGCTCAAGAACACGGAAGCCGAGACCCTCGCGGGAAGCCTCATGGTCGTCGAACTCCTGGACCATCTTGTTGAAGCCGAGGTTCTCGAGAGTCTCGCGGGAGATCATGGTGTTGAACTTGGGCAGAAGACCAACCCACTTCACCTCATACTGGAAGGACTTCTTCCATTTTTGGCGACCCATAAGAGCCTCAATGCGGCGAGCTCCTCGGCCATCGCCCAAGTCAACAGGCTTCTCAAGCTGAGCTTTGTCGGCATCAGTGAGAATGCGAGTCTGCTTGAGGAACACCTCGCGATCGTCACCGTTGGCGTAACGCCACTGCAGGTACTGACTGGGAGTCTTCTCAAGATGCATCTCAACGTGCTCTAGGGCGTGCTGCTTGATGTAACCGATACGCAAGTTGGGGTGCTTCTCGACCTTTCCACTCTGGGGAACGACCTCACCGGTAAGAATCTTAATGAAGGTAGATTTACCAGCACCGTTTCCACCAATAATCGCGGTACGAGAGGATAGGGTCAGGGAAAGCGAGGCATCAGACAAAGACGGCTTGGAGGCACCGGGGTAGGTGAAAGAAGCATTGGTCATCCGGAGAATTGCACGAGTGTTGGACTTGATACCGGAAAGGATACCGGGGGGTGGGAACTTGAATTGCACGTTGGAGGCAGACAGGGTGTAGTAACTCTTGCCTTCAGGGTTGACCTTGACGAAATCGGCAAGGTTTCCGGGGTAGCAGACCAGCTTCTTCTGCTCGTAGTGATAGATATCGGTGCAGACCTCGTCCAGGAAACCGGAGTCGTGACTGACGATCAGACTGGTGATATCAGTGTGCTGCTTCAGGTACTCCTGCAGCCACTTGACGTTGGCAACATCCAAGTGATTAGTCGGTTCGTCCAGCAAGAGCACATCAGCCTTTAGGAGCATGGCACGGGCAAGGGCGAGCTTCATCTTCCAACCACCAGAGAGCGAGCCAACGGGCTGGGACTGGCGGCCTTCGGGGCCATCGGTAAAACCGAATTCGAGGAGAACGGAGCTGATGTGCTCCGTGCCCTGGGCAGCAATCTCGGGGTTCTTAGCAACATATTCGAGAATGCTGAGTTCGGCATCCTCGCCCTGGTTGTGCTCGACGAAGCAGGTGCGAACTTCGGAGGGGGGAGGGAAGCCCTCCAGCTTGTCGTTGGCGATACTGCGCATCAGGGTAGATTTTCCGGCACCGTTGCGACCACAGAGGCCGTAGCGGTGGCCCTTGACAAGACGCAGATTGGTGTGAGACAGCAGGAGCATACCACCGTACGCGAGGGAGAAGTTGGCGTCGACAATGACGATCTCGTTGGGGTCAGTCTGGACGGGCTTGCCGAACTTGCGCTCATCCTCAGCGAGGAAATGAGCCTGCACAGCGGAAGCGATAGCTTCAGCCTGCTCGCTGGTGGTCAGACCACGGAGGTAGGGACCAATGCATGCAGAGATCCGGTCGATCTTGCGGCAGTTGACGTCTTCACGGACCATGCCAGCAATAAAGTTCTTGGCCAAATCGGAGAACTTAGCATCGCCAAAGCTGACGAATCCAGCAAGCTGTTGAATCTTGGGGTTCAAGATAGCCAGGACTTCTTCAGGGGTAGTCTTGGAGATGGCACCGACAGCGACATCGTTGTCCTTCATGGCCTTCTCCATAACATCGAGGGCACGGGTGGCCAACTCACGAACCTCAGGGAGCGAGGCACGATCCTTGATGGCCTTGACACCAGGTTGAAGCTTGGGAAGGAAGACACGAGCCTCAGCAGGGTCGTGCACCAACTTTGTCAAGTTCTCGATAACAACGACGGCTTGGCGGAGGGTTTCTTGAGGGGTGGTCGGAGCATTAAGGGTGCGCTCAAGTAGGGGAGTGAGTAGTGCCAGGACGGGGGAGGTGACGATTGCAACGAAAGTGGTCTGCGACAGGGCGTGGATGGCCTTCTGCAGGGTCTGGGCGGAGGGCTGTTCCATAGTCTTGATGAGCAGTGGAATGCGCGGGGCAACGTCGTCGTTGTACAAGAGGGTGGTCATGGTAGTCATAGTCTTGGTAGCCTGCTTAGCCACCTCGGCCTTGAGATCGTGCATGCCGGACTCGACGATGGGGATCAACTCCTTGAGAGTCTTACCCATAGCCTCGCGCAGCACGTCCTTGTCATTTTCCTCCTCCTTTGTGCCATTGCCCATCTGCGCACCAGCAGCCATCTTGTCAAGGAGCTTGTAACCACCGACAAAGCCTTGCCACTTGCCGGATCCCTTGCTCAGGTAAGCCTCCAGAGCGGGAAGCAGGGCATTGGCCTTGGCCTCGGGGCTCATGCAAGCATAGAGGGCGTCGATCGCGTATTGCGCCGCATCGCGAACGACGGCGCCCTTGTCGGCAAGAGAATCGAGAACGACATTAAGGATGCCACCGTCGTGCAACAAGAAAACAGCCTCGCTGAGGGGGAACTCGCGGGGGAACCGCTCAAAGAGAGCGCCGAGAATCAACATGGCGCTCTCGCGACGGGATCCATTTTTCTTATCGGTGGCAGCCTTCTTGGCCTCGGCCAGAACATTGTAGTTGAGGAGACCAGAGGTTCCGACGCTCTGGATGAGCAGGTTTGCGATTGCATAAGAGCCGTCTAGGGACTGCTGGGAGGTCTCAGCTGTAAAGATGGTGTTGAGGAGCGAAGAAATCTCTTCGGTGGTGGGGGGAACCCCGGAGGGGCCTTTAGCGACAACGGTCGGCATGGCGGGGGTATCAGAAGGTGATACCATGTGTGGCATGATCTTGAGAGTACAGGACCCGAAGCTCCTGGTATGTAAATATACCAGAGATGAGAAGAAAAGGGTTGGAGTGGTTGGCGGGGGGGCCCTCAGATGGATGGGAGGCGGGGGTACTCCCGGGCCAGCAAAGAAGAAACAAAGACTTTTAGGGGTAAGATCCAACTGAAGATGAGAATATCAAACACAAGCTAGAATGAATGTAAATGCGTGCACCGTGACACCGGTAGATACTCGAATCCACGCGGGTTTGTACGGGTGTGAAGGAAGGAAAAAAAGTGACGGGATTAATAGGAGTAGTATTTGCGCATCAGCGATCGGGCTTATCCACACAATTTTTTTTGTTTGGGAGGCGACAGTCCTGCCCAATCAACGGGGCCGTTATCAGCATGAGACGCCACTAACCAGGCCTGGCTAGCCTTATCAGTTTATGCCTGAGGTGGCCACTCGTGCCTCGTTTGCTTATGTCATGCCTTTTTTTTAACTACCTCAGGTGTCTACAATCTGACATCACGGGACTCCAAGTCACGGGGTCCGTAGTCACGAGCACAAGGCCCGCTGGTGTACTAATGGAGAAAGAAGTGGCCGCACGGGTGGAATGCCGATGCTTTGAACAAGCCGAACGAATGATGCGAGTACGGAGGTGATCATTGTAATTTTTCAAATCCTTCCTCCTTTCATCCGACTTTCGCTTGTCCGTCTGGCCTCGGTGCCGCTCACCTCGGGTACCTGGGACATGTTGTACATAGATATACACAGATGTAAGCGACCAAGATATGCTAAGCAGCGTGCGAATAGCATGGCTCTACTACATAAACACACAAAGTACTTTGGATGCCCCTTTCAATGATCAAGATTTACTGGGGAATAGAACTGTACACAACGGGCCGATCTCGCCAAATGTCCGCATGCAGCCGCCCCGGGCCTCGGTAGACCAACAGTGCAGAAGCCCCGCGTACAACCGACGTGCGGTCTGATGTTATTAGTCCCGGACGATCACAAGTACCTTTTTCTTCTCTTCCTTTTGTGCCCTCACTTGTTTCCATTGAGACCTCCTTGGACATACTCGCTGGCTTGAATCTATAGCAGCGTCTTCTTCTTCCTCTTGAACCTCCTTCTCATCCCTCGATTCCCCCCGCATTGAGTTTCCCGCCCCCACAATTCTACCCCGGACCCATCAATACACACAATGGCCCTGAGCTTCAGAACCACCCGTCACGCCTCTAGACTGGCCCAGGTATGTCTGAATTCATCGCGTTATGATCAAAGGAGCAAGCGGAAGAATCTCCAGAATTAGCAGGCGTCTCGACTAACACCTTTACCTACAGGCCTCCCGGCCGCTGTTCTCGGTCCGACACTATGCGACCGCCGAGCCTGACCTCAAGACCGCCCTGAAGGAAGTTATCCCTGCCAAGCGCGAGCTCCTGCAGAAGGTCAAGGCTCAGGGCGACGAGGTCATCGGCGATGTCAAGATCAGCAACGTCATCGGTGGCATGCGTGGCCTGAAGGCCATGCTGTGGGAGGGATCCGTCTTGGATGCCGATGAGGGTATTCGCTTCCACGGCAAGACCATCAAGGACTGCCAGAAAGAGCTGCCCAAGGGCACCTCCGGTACTGAGATGCTGCCCGAGGCCATGTTCTGGCTGCTCCTAACCGGCCAGGTCCCCTCCACCGCGCAGGTGCGCGCCTTTTCGCGCGAGCTGGCCGAAAAGTCCACTTTGCCCACCCACATCCTGGACCTGATCAAGTCCTTTCCCAAAAACATGCACCCAATGACCCAGCTGTCCATTGCGGTTGCCGCGCTCAACACCGAGTCCAAGTTCGCCCAGGCCTACGAGAAGGGTCTGAACAAGGCCGAGTACTGGGAGCCTACCTTTGACGACTGCATTTCGCTGTTGGCTAAGATTCCTCGTGTCGCTGCCCTGGTCTTCCGCCCCAACGAGATTGATGCCGTGGGTACCCAGCAGCTGGATTTGACCCAGGATTGGTCGTACAACTTCGCCGAGCTGCTCGGCAAGGGCGGCGAGAAGAACCAGGACTTCCACGATCTGCTGCGTCTGTACCTCGCTCTGCACGGTGACCACGAGGGCGGTAATGTGTCGGCCCACGCTACCCACCTGGTTGGAAGCGCCCTCAGCGACCCCTTCCTGAGCTACAGTGCCGGTCTCCTGGGTCTCGCCGGCCCCCTGCACGGTCTGGCCGCTCAGGAGGTTCTCCGCTGGATTCTCCAGATGCAGGACAAGATTGGAACCAAGTTCTCCGATGAGGACGTCCGCACTTACCTCTGGGACACTCTCAAGTCCGGCCGTGTCGTCCCCGGCTACGGTCACGGTGTCCTCCGCAAGCCTGATCCCCGCTTCGAGGCTCTGATGGACTTTGCCGCTACCCGCCCCGATGTCCTCGCCAATCCCGTCTTCCAGCTTGTCAAGAAGAACTCGGAGATTGCTCCCGGTGTTCTGACCGAGCACGGAAAGGTAGGCCTCACAATATTTGCCTAATAAGTGCCATGAGCTCTTGACTAACGATTAAATTTTGTACAGACCAAGAACCCCCACCCTAACGTCGACGCCGTCTCCGGTGTCCTCTTCCACCACTACGGCTTCCAGCAGCCCCTGTACTACACCGTCACTTTCGGTGTTAGCCGTGCCCTCGGACCCCTGGTCCAGCTTATCTGGGACCGCGCCATGGGTATGCCCATTGAGCGCCCCAAGAGCATCAACCTCCTGGGTCTGCTGAAGAAATAAGCTCTCGGTCGATGTGGACCGAGTCCCCGTTGGCTGATTGGCAGCCAGTGATGAAAATTATGTTAGCGAGCTTGTTCGTGTTTTCTTTTTCCCTTATCGTCTTGTTGTTTAGACTGCTATATTATGTATCTCACTATTTTGGACAAACTTTTCGGGTCGGGCCTTGTTTCCTGGCTATGAATGATTCAATAGACTTCCATTGTCAATCGAAGCAATTCAAATTCTCTTCTCGGAAAGGTATGATGGCAAGGAAGAGCCGTGTACCTTACGAAATGCCTTCCTATTTAAAAGAAACAGTATATTCATTGGGTGCCTCTCTTAATCCACGTTTATCGATCTACTATCATCCCAATCATAACCGAGCACTCCCATCCTCGATCTTCGCCCAATCCTCTTTTCCAAAAGGCGTATACGCCTCATCCCCAGGCGCAATCCACAAGAATTGATTATCCTGACCACCCGGCACCTTGGTCCCAATAAGCGACGGGTCTACTCCCTCGTCACGCAGCGGTACCTTATTCTGCTTATGGTTATGGATGTGTGTGGGGTTATCGACTACACGTAGGAAGATAGGCACTGCATAGCGAGGCAGCTTGGAGCGGGCGTGGCGTGCGAGGGCGGCGTAGTCGAAGGTCTGTCGGGCTTCAGGGCTGATTTGCAGAGCAGCACAGCCGGCGCGGCCTTCGTGGTTGGGGAGGCGGACGCCGTAAACGTTGGCTTCTTGGACGCCAGGGAATTTTCCGATTACTTCGGAGACCTCGGCGGTGGCACTGTTGGGGTGTCAGTCTATTTAATGCTGAATATTGGTCGCGGCGTGTGTACTTACACGTTCTCGCTCTTCCAGCGGAAAGTATCACCAAGTCGGTCGAGGAAATACCAGCGTCCATCACCTTGACGACGAAGGGCATCCCCGGATCGATAGTACAAGTCGCCTTTCTTGAAAGCATCACGAAGATACTTCTTCTCCGTCGCAGAGTCATTGCGCCAGTATCCTTGGAATGCGTCCTTGTTTGGAATATTGACAAGTATCTCACCACCTTCGTCGTATGTCGCTCGCACAGCGAATCCTGTCTTCGGGTCTCGAAGAACATCACCCGTCTCGGGATCGATCGCAACGGGCACGAAAACATTATGCAACAGACCACGCATCAAAAGGCCATGATGTCCAACGCTTCCCGCGGTGAATGGTCCACGGTTATAGTTGAAGAGGCCAAAAATACCTTCCGTGCTGTTGAAGAATTCGCCTACCTCGAGCACACCGAACCGCTCACGGAATTGTTCCCAAACATCCGGGCGAAGTCCATTGCCATACATGCAACGCACCTTGTGCTTGCGGTCCAAGGGCGACGGAGGGGGTGCAAGTAGGTATCGAGCCGTCTCACCCACGTAGACGAAGACAGTAGCCTCCGAGTCCCGAATATCCTTCCAGAAATTGCGAACGCTGAACTTTGGTCCCAGTGCGATACTGACACCCATACTTAGACATGCGATCAGACTCATTGCTGCGGTACCGTGATACAACGGCATACAGCTGTACCAGCGGTCGCCATCAGGACCCACTACATCGCCCATCGCATCACGACGAATGGACAAGGTAGTGTAGAGCCGAGACATAGTGAATGCGCAGCCCTTGGGCATACCGGTCGTTCCGGAAGTATACAGCAGGATAGATGGGAATTCCCCTTTCATACCCAGCGCCAGCTCTTTCGGTGGCAGAGTAGTCGGGAAAGTGCGGATATGGGCCTTTAGCGACTGGTCCAGAGTCAACAGCTCCATGCCCAGCTCGCCAGTCAACGCATCCCGCCGCTCCTCCACACGTGCAATGCAGACGGGATCTTCATCTACCAGGGTCAGCTTCGCGCCACTGATTTTGAGACAGTGAACCAATGCATCGCCGGTCAAGTTATGATTGATGGCTGCCGGTGCACACCCAATACTCCAAAGCGCAAGCCATGCGATTATAAACTCCGCTCGGTTCTGCAGGAAGAAGCCGACGAGATCCCCCTTCTTCACACCCTTTGCCAGAAAGAAGTGTGCGTATTGGCAGGCTTGTTCTTGCAGATCACGGTAGGTATATGACCGCTCTCGCGTCCAGAGAGCTACCATGTCCGGGTATCGTTTCACGGCCGCGAGAAAGACGAACCACACATTTGCTTGGTTCTTTGCGACTGCAACATTGTCAGTTTGTCATAGTATTATCGGCAAAGGTATGGATACTAACGAGCTTGTGCTAATGCGCGCTCACTCTTTTTCAAGGACCAAATGGCGGACACATCCTTATTCAAGTGGAATTTGGCATTGAGGTATGCCGCTACGGTCGCCCCTCCAGCGAGCGCAGCTGCGGCGGTGCCTAGATGTTTTGTTCAGCCAGACTATACCTCAAGGAATGGAGATATTTTTGAGAAAATTCATACCGAGATCCATGTTGATGCAGGGTTCAGATCTCTTTGCGGGGAATATAGATCTTCACCGACACGTCGTGAAATGTAACAATCGATATACGAAAGTCGCAAGAGAGTAGAGTTAAGTGTCTCGCTTTCAATGAAGATCTTCTCGGTCAAATGAAACTATGAAATCACTATGCTGGCAAATTCGAGTAAAGCAAAAGTGAAAGTGGTGGACGCAAATGCTTCAAAATAGTGAAAGATACTGTTGCCGTGAGCCGAAGGCCACAATCGTCCTTCCTCGGCTCAACTCAACTTCTCCGCACGACTTGGCGACGTTGCGAGGCTGAATCAGCGAATCCGCGTACGTGGTTGGTTTTGGTCTCCTTCGCTAGCAGCCCCATAACAGCCCCAAATCACGCTAAGGGGGGAGGGCCCATCTGCCGGTGGGGGCATTGGATTATTGGAATGCGGAGAAAGGAGCCCCAGTACAGTTGGTACACAAAATGATTTGATCGTCGCCTCGGCTCTTCTCCTATTGTTGTCCCACGCCATAATAGTGGACTGGGTAGCACATAACTGGCGGGAATATTCGTCGTGCCTCTTTTCTCTCGCTTACTCACCACCATTCGGCTGTCGCAATCGCATGACTCTCTGGTTGGTGCTGGCGTTGGACGAACCTCCACGCCCACCCCCCCTTTAGACGGTCACCGCGCCTGGCGGCTGGGTTACACGTCGAGTGTTAGCAGCGCTTCCTTCACTAATAAGCATGAAATTCTAGCGGTAAAAGAGTCTCCTAACTTGATTTTCACATTCGCCAACGCTAACCAGAGTGGTGGTCAGTGAGTCTGATGTGATCGCGTCCCGGCAGGGCAGTAAAGATCGACATTGTGGGTCTTCTGGAGAAGGGAGACCGTCCCAAATGTAGTCCTCAAGTATTTTTACAGATATCCCAGGGCTTCTGGCTAGCAGAACCGATCTCATAACCCGTCCTTGGTCGAGTGGTGGCTCTGAACGAGGTCGAGCTTGGTAGATTAAGAACTCCAGACGCAACGGATGGCATCGTTTACTAAATCGATCAGACAATTCAACATCGTTGCCAAGAGTCAGGTTCGTATTTCATGTTCATCTCACTCTTCCCAATATTTAGATTTAAAATCTCATGATAGCCACCATCTCTTTCGTGGACAGATAGAAATACCCAATGCTCCCCTAACCTCTCTCCTGCAGCGTCTGGCTCTCCCCACGGTCGCTCTGGAGCATTTTCGGCTGTTTTTTTAACGAGATTATCAAATAGAATTTCCAGTCTCGAGTTCATAATACCGTAGTCTTTTTTGCCGTGACTGAAGTGTCGCTGTGTCCGTAGCGACAGGACTCCCATGAGCCACAATGTAGATGCTCTCGATCTCTCGTCTTACGCCCAGTTGATAGGCGCCAGGAAGCACGGCACGTATCAGTAAAGTTGGCAGGCACTTTGATATGATAATAATTGAGCCTAATGGGATCTGCGTCAATGCTCAAGTTTGGTCATATCCTAGACTGAATCAGACCCTGGAAGATCCTTTGGCTAGATAGTAGGCCATGCTGATGCCAGATACTCCAACTCTCGAGGTTAGAATATCAGATTGCACACCCATCAGTGGAGATGAAGATTTTGCACGGGGGTTTCTTGTCGGAGGTTAAAAAAAAAAGAAGAGGCGGTTCTTCTCCGCCCGCACAGGGCGTTGAATGCAACTGCAGGTCTATGCAAGCTGCGCATGCATCACATCTATACGTACCATAGGCACGTATGCAATGTATGGAATGGAGAGCTACGTTTCTATACGCTTCTATCGATCTTGTGCATATGATTCTTGGCAATTCAATCCGTACATGGCTACAACCGGCCTTAGAGCATCCTAGCAAATGCTCGTAGGTTATCAGGGAAATATCCATATATATGCTCCTATCGTCCTATTCATTGAAGGATAAGCGAACAATTTCAGTTCTAAAAAGTCTCATAACGTCCACTGTGCCCCTGGAACAGCTACCGCATTGCTGCACTCTCCGCTTAACAACTTTGGTTTCTGGCAAGTCTTTTCTTCAACTCGTTATCTTTTTCAAGTACAGGAAACGACACGTCAACCTTAGCTAAACTCATCCGGGGGTTTAATTCAGTTGCTGCGTAGTATGAAGCGTTATTAAATTGAACTGGAACATAGGTGGTGAGGAGAACTTTTGCCCAAAAGCAAGAAATATTTCTTCGAGGAGTCTCTTGCTTTCCCAATTTTCCCAGTCCCCCAAGGTGGAACCTCCAAGTTCGTGATTTTTTTCAGGAACCAATTGTCCAGCCGCTCGAAGCGCGGGCCCCAAAAGCGAGCCCTGTCCCTCGCATTAGCCCGGAATTCTAGGCTGTGTCTATTAATGGTGTCACGGGGGGCGGAGCAGCTACCCCCTCCCCAACAATGACTTTGCTCTTGACGTTTCTCGAACAAACTCAAATTTATACTCTCTTTGCTGATGATTCACTGATGATTGTATGCGATCGTTGAAGCTTTCTTGTCCGTAGCTTAACTCAGGTAAGGTATAGCAATTTCCTGGACCTCTAGGTATTTACAACTCCGGCGGCTGAGACCCTTTTTACTCGTCGTTCATACCCCTGGCACCACGCTATTCCTGGAGAGGGTTCGGTCCGCTCAGAATGAGACGCTTGTCCTCGTGCATTCTGTATCAATGGCCTCACATTGGCTATGCTCGCGTCATGACGTTCCCAGCCGGACTCTTCCTCCGGTGTTCCCCTGGTCTTCGCCCGGTCTGGCCCCCTAAATTGCTGTGCTCGGTGGTGCACCTACCTCATTCGACCCTTGCCAATATCTCTGGAATAGTCGCTGCCTGTGGCTATGTGCCTTGTGGCTGAAATTCTGTTCCGAAGGAGAGGAGTTCCCTTGCTCGCGAGGCAGACAGTGAGGTAATTCAATGCCCATCTACCCATCAAGTAGCTCTCTGCAGTGGTCTTCACAGCAGACATAAAACGGACCCCGTTGCCCTGGTGAATGTGGCTTCCATCCAGTTTCTCAAGGCCTCTTCTCCACTGTCCGGGGTCGTAGGATCTTATTGATTCATTCCCATTCGATAATCTCAGATTTCAGCGCTAATTCGTCAGCATATTGCTTAACTTACTCCCATTTTAAAGCAACCTGGTACTATGGCACCCTTGACGACCGAGACCATTTCAGATGTCCTGCGTGAGGACTTGGAGGTCGATCTGGGAAAAGATTTCCAAGTCGGGTTGACTCATGTCAAATGCCTCGCGCCAACACAGTATCGTGGTAGCCGACAGTGTGGGGAATCCATCAACAAGCACATCATTGTCCGCATCCAAGCAATCCTCGACCTGCCCGTCACTTATTTAGAAGGTGATAAGGTCAAGATATTTGATGCAATCGACCAACTCGCTACTTATCTCGTCCATCCCCGCAAGCATCCTAAAGCTGGCGTTAAAACGGTGAACGAGTTGAAGGAGAAATACCGCAAAACGATGGAGCGACACTTTGAGGCCAAGAAAAATGACGGCGCCATCGTTGCTATGACTGAGTCTCGGGAAGTCCTCGAGAACAGTGACGTTGAAGAAGATTCCCTTCCCATCGTCCCGTCCAGCTATACCGAGGAGATCACTCAGGCCGTCGAGGTCGGAGAGGTTAGCTATCCTGCCTTGCCCACCACCCACACTTGCACCATCGAGGACAAAGAAGATGTCACCATTGACTCTTCCGATGAACCTCACCTTCTTCCACGATCGTACATTACCCCACCCTATTGCCTCGCCAAACCATCTACCCCATTGTCCAGTAACGACCCGATGCTATCACACCCTATCTCCGAACCCCTCCCATCCAACAATCTCCTCCTTTTACTTGTCCTTAAATTCCTGCAGCAATTATATGTGGCGTTTTACTCCCAGGTCCACGTCAGATGGGGCCCGGCACCGGTTGAGCATATGTCCGGGCAGAGTGAGCACGAGTCCTTTACAGAGTTGAAATTCTTTTTCGGGTTGAGAGTAGCGACTAGATTGCTTCCGATCTTGCTGTGCGTTGTATCGTTGGGATTGTATTATCAGGCCGGGAGTATCTTGGGGTGTTTGGCTCTTTATGTACTTGTTTCTGGTTGTGTTTCCACGTTGTTGCGGTTGCGTTCTCCTGGATCGGAGCTCGTCGTTTGATACCCGCCGGATGTATATTTCTTGATTGACGGATGCAATTATGATGCTTATCTTCATGAGTTTGGGATGACTAGATACGGGAATGGTACTGTATGGTACCTACATAGTAAGGATGTGTAATTTGCCTAGGTCGTGATCGGTAGCAATAGTTAGCCTTCAGGTAGATACAGTACTATCTAAACAAAATACTATCAAGTTATCAACTCTTCGCTTCCACCTCCACTTCCCTTCCCCCGAGTATCCGCACGGACCAGCAAGTGCTGTTGTCTAATCTGGCGATCATCATTGGCCCCCGAGCCAGTGGATCACCCGGACCGAGGCGGGGGGTGTGCCTGGGACTGGTGACGCAAACGACGATTACGATTTTCTCTTGACAGAAATTGGCCCAAGACTAGAATTCCCAGGCCGGGCTGAATTGCTTTCCCCGGTTCCTGAGCTACGGGAAACGTGCGAATCCCAGATCTGGGGGGAGGGGAGCATACCCTCGGTTATAGTCGGGGCCCTAAAGTTAGAATTCATAATTCTTCTCGGGAGGAGATCATCTCCGAGGGAAAGTGACGCAGATCGGGGCTGGGCTTCTTGTTGGGGTCAACGGGAACAGGGTCAGTTCACCACTCAACGAGGGGCAGGACTCTCCCCCTCTGGCCCCTAGACCTCCTCCGGAGATATGCTGGAAAGACGTGATGTTTGGAGTAGGTAGTTCCGTGGTAGCAATCCACTTTAGAAGTATGTTCAGGGCAGACCACGAGAAAAACCAAGGGATACGGGAGCATGAGTTAAAGTTGGCCTCGAGACCCAATGAACCACCAATCGCTTTTCCCCACACGATTGTCGTAACCGTCACGCCGGTGAATTTCCTCCTGCCCCTCTTCCTGGTCGCTCCGAACTCATCGCTGCTCCGATATCATCCTCCCTTCTTCCCACCCCTCCCCTTCTTCTCTTCTCCCCCTCTCCTCTCTCCTTCCCATATCCTCCACACCCTCTACGATGTCCTTCACACTCCCCCGGTCCTTGTCCCGGACTGCCTGGCGGTCCTACGGGACCGTGCAGGGCTCTCCCAGTGCTGCCTCCATCGCCAGCCGGGTCCCCAGCGTGTTGGTGGAAGCTACATCCGCAACTGCTCCCCGCACCAACTGGACGCCCGAAGAAGTCAGCGCAGTCTACCACACCCCTTTGAACCAGCTCACATACGCTTCGGTAAGGTTCCACGACTACCCAGCACTCCAATTGGGCATTTCCATACCTTCCTTGGTCCCTCAATGATCGCATTCAAGACCCGCAAGACCAAAAAGCTTCCCGCGCAATTGAAACTGATAAATGTCCATCGTAGGCTGCCGTACACCGACGCTTCCATGACCCCTCGGCCATCCAAATGTGTACTCTCATGAACATCAAAACCGGAGGCTGCAGTGAAGACTGCTCCTACTGCGCCCAGTCCTCCCGCTACCAAACCGGCCTGAAGGCCACCAAGATGAGCCCCGTCGACGAAGTCCTGGAGAAAGCCCGCATCGCCAAGGCCAACGGCAGCACCCGCTTCTGCATGGGCGCCGCCTGGCGCGACATGCGCGGTCGCAAGACGAGCTTGAAGAACGTGAAGCAGATGGTCTCGGGGATCCGCGAGATGGACATGGAGGTCTGCGTGACACTCGGCATGATCGACGAGCACCAGGCCAAGGAGCTGAAGGATGCCGGTCTGACGGCTTATAACCACAACCTGGATACCTCCCGCGAGTTCTACCCCAGTATCATCACGACCCGCTCGTACGACGAGCGTCTCCGCACGCTCGAGCATGTCCGTGATGCCGGTATCAATGTCTGCTCCGGTGGTATCTTGGGACTCGGCGAGACGGACGCCGACCGCGTGAGTCTCCTGCACACCGTCTCGAACCTGCCCTCGCACCCAGAGTCCTTCCCCGTCAACGCCCTCGTCCCGATCAAGGGTACACCCCTCGGCGACCGTAAGATGATCCCCTTCGACCGTGTCCTCCGCACGATCGCCACCGCCCGTATCGTCATGCCGGCGACTATCGTCCGTCTGGCCGCCGGTCGCATTACCATGTCCGAGGAGCAGCAAGTGGCCTGTTTCCAGGCCGGTGCCAATGCCGTGTTCACCGGTGAGAAGATGTTGACCACTGACTGCAATGGCTGGGATGAGGATCGGGTGATGTTTGAGAAGTGGGGGTACTACCCCATGAAGAGCTTTGAGAAGCCCGGGTTCAAGGACGCGTCCGCTCCTGCCCCGCCTTCTCCTCAGCCCGAGACTGCTGCGCCGGTCGCAGCGAGCTCGTAGGGGGTTTACCTGAGGGGATGAGTTTTTGATATTGATAAACCTTGATGAATTGTCGTCTAAAAATGAAGAGAAGATCAGTAACAATTGAACTGAAGTGCTTGTTCCTACACTGCTGTGATTGGTAGTTTTCCGTTAGCCGATGATCTGCAATTGAGTATCAGTATGAGGATTTTCCACGGCATCCACCAGTCAGACTCAGGATAATCCAAAGGCATGCTGACTGGGGCTATTGAGCTCATTGCTATGAAGACTGCGGAGAAGACTTTGCTAGGCCAGTTGTGATACAACACGGCGCTTGATCTGTGTGACGGCGACCGGAAGATAAAAATCTCCGATTAACCTTATTGACGTGCATGACTCGAATGCATGCACGCCTCACGCACATGAAGCATATGAAAATCGAGTTCATGCCCAATAAGTAGGCTATATGATCCGATTCCAGATGGAAGGGGATCAGTCTCGTGAAGAAATAGTTCTGCCGTGCATCTCCACCTCACAGCTCACCCCAACAGAATGCTTCCCCACGTCTCGGCCAGATAATGAATGCCTAAATGCCGGAGAATGGATCATATCAATCGCAGAGGTATCCCAAAGAGGAAGTAAATCTCCCCTGGCGGCAATGCTTAATTGGTGGGCGGCGCGCACATCTTTTAGCCGAAGACCCCCAAGGCGCCACCCCTCGCCGCTGATTAGCGCGCGATCTCAGATCTTGGCTTTCACATTGGCGCGAACCGAGGCCGGGTTCTGTGATCGCAAGGTTGTCGGTACCCTCCGATCGAAAACACCCTATATCATGATAACCCATGGATGACGATCGTGGATAAGTCATTGACTGAGTTTGGCCATTCAGTGCCTCTAGAATTGCTGTGAAGATCCCCCGCCAGCGATGGTCGTCAGAGCCCGAGGCTCGATTTTGCGGGGGAGACAATCAAATTGCAACTACCTTCACATGGGGGAATGAGCAGATCTGTACCATTTCTGGGCTATCGATGGGTCCCCATCTGGGATCTACTCGCTAATTGACGTCTGCCAAACTGTTGGGGAAACGAGATCCACGACGCGGAGCATCATGAACGCCCCCCCCCCCCCCCCCCCCCTTCACATGTCCTCCTCTGGCTTAGATCTAGGTTCTCATTCCGGGGTGAAAGTCATATAAATGGGGACCACCCCCACCAGCCCGGCAGTTTCTGAGTTTGGTCGCCATAGTGTCTGGAAAAATCGATCAGCCATTTACCATGGATACCAAACCACTATCAAAAGATTCCATGCGATCCACGTGGCGCACGGCGGATCGTTCGGAATGGAACACTGCTCACTGGGCTCTGGAGATACTCAACGCCCATCCGATCGAGTTAAACAAAGAGGTTCCCGTGCACCAGAAAGACGAGAAGATACCCTTCATGCCGCAGTGGTCCCTCCAGCGCTGGGTGCTCTTCTACTCGTCCCTACCACTCCTCTTCCACCAAGCATATACGACCTACACGGGCCGCACGCTAGGCCCCTTCGCCACCTTCAACCTATACTTCTTCGCGTTCAACGCAATCGTCATCTACCAAGTACACGTCCTCCGCCGCATGGGCCATATCTACGGCTTCCTAGACGGAGACAAGCACGAGCGCGACGGCGTCCCCGACGTAGGCGTCGCCAAAGTAACCGCCTCTCTCTACAAAACGACCGGCTCCCGCCTCGTCCTAGCCACGTACCTGACCTACAACCGGAACGTCCTCCCCTCCCAACTGAACTGGGCCTGGCTGCCTCTGGAAATCGGTCTGTACGGCATCGTCCTCGACTTCTGGTTCTACTGGTACCACCGGCTCATGCACGACGTGAGCTTCCTCTGGAAATTCCACCGCACCCACCATCTCACCAAGCACCCGAATCCACTGCTCGCCGCATACGCAGACCACGAGCAAGAATTCTTCGATATGGTCGGCGTCCCGTTTATGACCTGGCTCACCCTCCGGACTATGGGTATGCCGATGGGCTTCTACGAGTGGTGGATCTGCCACCAGTACGTTGCATTCGCGGAGGTCTTTGGGCATAGTGGATTACGGATGCACTTGACCGTTCCGTCGACGCTGAGTTGGTTGTTGGAGTGGTTGGATGCGGAGATTGTGATTGAGGATCACGATTTGCATCATCGGAAGGGGTGGAGGAAGAGTCATAATTATGGGAAACAGACGAGGCTGTGGGATAAGATTTTTGGGACTTGTACGGAGCGGATTGAGTCTGTTGCTGATAATGTTGATTATGTCAATGTTGCGAAGATGCCTCTGTATTGAGAGGTTGCATGTTGCATTCGGTTTGATGTCCCTGATGGGGGGATTATGATTATGATGGAAAATACAGAGATCGTCTTTGAGCTGTATAACGTCTTTGCTTAGATTAGATATAGCAATGGTTTGAAAAATTTGAACATATGAGAAAATGACATGAATAGTAACATACAATAGCGCATTAACTTCTCCCCGCCTCGTAAAATCCAGGCACAACGGAGACCTCTATATATCCAGAGATTCGAGAGCCTTGTTCTCCGTCTCGCAAATGCTTGGTCGTGCAAGATGCGCTTCGCTACCTGTGACACTCGTCGAGTGAAGAAATCACATTAAATTTAGATATCATTGACACAAAACATCTTTGATATTGAAGACAATGACCTTTTCTTGGAATAGGTAAGGTATTTGCCAATTCTGGGGATTAATTTGTTGAGTAATCTCAAATGTCTGCCAACTTCGTGTTGAGTAATCATCAGCCCCTCTCTGGTATGTGCGACCCCAGCGCTGTACGACGACGACAACGGGACCCACACTTGTCTACAACGACTAGTTTGTTCAGCTGATACCTCCTACGGCTCGTTCAAGTATCTCCCCCAGCTGGATTGGCACACCTTGTGGGGAAAAATTGTCATCGAGATAATATGATTACTACCATCTGCCGGGTGGAAACATCGACCATGAGACCGATGAGTATTCAGTGCCGACGTATTTTTGAATCTCTAGAGCATATATAACCCCCTCTGTAGGTAGGCATCATAGAAAGCATCAACACCCTCCCTTTCTCTACCATTTTCCGTCTCCTGTCATCAAATTGACCACCCTTCAAGATGCCCCTCTGGCAAATCTACCACCCACCCGGCACGTTCGAAGACAATGCCTCAAAGCAAGCCTTCGTCAAAGACATCACCGAAATGTATACCTCCAACGGCCTACCTGCATTCTACGTGGTGGTCCATTTCTACAAGATGGACAACAGCAACGTTTACCTGGGCGGGAAATCGGTGACCGAGAACGAGAAACCATTCGTGCGAGTTGTCATCACACACATCGCCGTCCACCTGCCAGATTCAGATGCCGTTTATCTTCGAACTGGCTCCCGCCTTGACAAGATTATGAAGCCTCATATCTTGGACAAGGGATACGATCTTGAGTACCATGTTGAAGAAACGGAGCGGCGACTTTGGAAGATTAATGGTCTGATTCCGCCACCATGGAAGAGTGCCGAGGAGCAGCTTTGGGTGAAGGAGAACAAGCCCTTTCCTTATGAGGGTGCATATCCCCCTGGATCTGGACAGGCTGCGGTGTGAACAGGCTCTCTTAATACCAAGCCATCGATTCTGTACGCGCAGAGGATCAGTCGGCTGGTATAGCTTTGTTCATTGTTCAAGTACATAGAAAGTGGTATATAACATATTATCATTATTTTACTCAACAGGTCCACGATCCTGCAGCTCGATCCCCGGGTCTGATCGTTGGTCATCGTAATCATAATCCAAGGCCCAGCGGGGCCCACCCACGGCCGAAAAGTCTCCAACTTTGTACTTGCAGTCCTTCTCAAGCAAGTACCCCTCCCGCTCGCGTTCGCTCATTTCCCACGTATCCCCAAGGTCAGCAAGCATGCGACTTTGGACAACCCACGGGATGAGAGATCCAATAGACCGGGGAACGCGGGGTCCTCGGTAGCGATTGAAACGAAACGCGAACACGGCCATTAGAGCGACTGCGTCGATGGCGAGGAGACAGATTATGATGACGACTAGGCTGGTGGATGGTATGAAACCCCACAGGCTATCTAGGAGATTGCCGTGTGCCGTTTGGGCAGAATGTGTTGGCAGACGCTCAAGGAACTTATCTTTCCAAAGAGCGAGGTGGGTACTGAAGACGGTCTGGTAGACAGTCTGGACGGAGAGCATGAGATGTTCTGACTTCAACATGAAGTCGTCTGGGAAGGTCATGTCGTAGGCATTGGCGGTTAATCGGCCAGGCCAGTCATGTTGATGGTGGCGACGGTGGCCATGAGGGCGTGAGAAGTTGAAATGATGCGATGAAAAATTTCGAGGCTGGCCTGCTAACACTTGATTGAAGTCTGCCAAGATGGCTGATGCGTTATGAAAGAGCGAGCCGCTGGAAATAGAGCTCCCACTGATGGGACGTTGATCCTGAACCATTCCGCTGGAATCAACTTCCACATGGAAATCTTGTATGTGGATTTTGGGCTCACAGTGCAAGGCGGTTGTGCCGGCTTCGTTGATGTCGGTGATGTTTCTCAGGTCCCAGAATGCGAGGACAAAGATGCTGGATTCTTGACAGGAGTTGTCCGTCCCGTTAGGGGCATAATAGTGAATGGACTTTCCACTTCTGCTCGCCAGGTCTTCTGTCAGAGGAATGTCGACAGTACAGGTTTTTGTGACTCCGGCTTGAGCGATCTTATAATTCCAGGCAAGCGAAGTGTCGGAGGAAGCAGCGGGGAGCACCTTGCAGTCGAGGTCGGCTCCAAAGCCGCGAGTCGTCGCAGAATATACGGTATAGTCATCGTCCTCATCTTGGTCATCTTCAGAGGTATTGTGAATCGAAAATGGCACCATGAAGAACTTTCCATCCGTTGAAGCCCATTGAAGGAACGAGACATTGTTTAAAAGTCTGCCTGTTGCCACCAAGGTCATTTGGATATCACTTTGATTGACATTGTTGACCATGGCAGAAGAGTTGTACATGCTGATCAGATCCGAGCTTGGCGATAAATAGTTCTTCAGTTGTGGTGTAAAGAGGCCACCACTGAGAATTCGAAGCACGAGATCTCCCAGGCACACAATAGATAATGTAAGAAGAATGCCGGACCTTCGGTGGCGTCTGATGAACAATGGAATGAATGGTGTTTGAATCCCATAGTTCTCGACGACAGACTGCCGCGCCGAGGCCATTCCATCTTGCAGCCTGATCCAAGGCTCCATCGAGCTCAGATTGCGATAAATGGAGACGAGGAATGAGCCAATAATGGACGCAATCGCAGTGGGACCGAAGTTGAGGAAAATCATGGCCACGGTTGCTCCGGTACTGAAAAGAGAGTTGATATTCTTCAAGCGAATGTATGACAAACTCACACCGAACAGAGCCAATATCGCAGCGAAAAGCAAGCACTCGAGTAGAAACCAAATAGGCCGCAGGAAATGGGGCATGGGATCGCGGCGACGGGGAGGTGGGTGAGGTGGAGCCAAAGATGCTTCACTCCGATCAACCACTTGGAGCTTTTCTTCGCCATCTTCGTCTACCCACTCGCACCATTTACCATTTGCCCATTGCCGAAGTTGACGAGTGGTTGCCATGTCCAATTTTGCCTCTGAAAACATGACTTTGGTTGATGGCTTGAAGAGCTGTGCAACGATTGTGCATTGAGCAGCTATTGACCCCGGGTCCCATTGCAAGAAATTAGACCGGCGCCGGTACATGTATATTAGTGTAGCAATCATACAGAGGCCCAGGGCTAGAATAGCTTCGGCGAGTGTTGCGGCCTTAGATGCGACCGTCAATATGATAACAAAACTCTGCTGGCTGGCTTCGACGGGCGTTGGAAACCCACCAGGGCTGAAAAATCGATCGATCGTGACGATGAAGTCTGAATTCCAATACTGGCGGATTTCCTGCACATATTCCTCGTAGTTCAATATAGTCGAGTCGGTTGCGACGATGACAGGGTCGCCGCTACTGGCAGACACATTCAGCTGCGTGGTGTTTCCAAAACGGACATCAGACTCTGATGTCAAATATCGAGAAGCAATCAGATCATGGATTCCATCCACATAGAAATCAGCGGTGTCGAGAGACTTGACAGTTGAAGGCGTCATATCCACATCGGCGATGGAGGCGTTTGGGTTGAGAGTCACAGATGCCCATGCTTGCTGATATGTTGGTGAACAGGCAAGCACAGTGACATTCGAGTCAGAAACATTTCCTGCGGCAAGTTGCATATCGACAATGACCCCGAAGACCTTGAATGCACTGCAATCCTCATAGGTGAAGGCAGACGGGGCCAGCAATTTCCCATCATAGCCCATGGGCTCCCAAAACTTTGCTTGTAAAGTTTGTTGATCTGAGCCAATGACGGTGTCCAGTGCGGTGCTAATTTGACATCGTGAGCTGCTGTTACCTCCTGGAAGGTTCCCCATTGACATATTTCCAACATTCCACGACCAGATTTGTTGACCATGAGGCAATTGGCTCGTTAAGGTGAGGTTTGTCTCGGTTTGTGGCGATAGCCCTCTTCGAGTATTGCTGACACATGTCATATTCGACCAATATATGGTTTGATTCAAAGTCAGCAAAGAGGATTCGTTTTGGTCGTCAGGCAGCGAGGTAGGAGGAGTTGCGTAGTCTGCAGGGTCAGGCATGAAGAAACTGTTCAGCTCCGGCGAGCCCATAGGCCCCTCGCCCGAAGATCCTGCTGCTAGCCAAAGTTGTTGAATTTCCAGATCAATGATAGTCGGCCAGGTGTTGACGATTTTCCTCTCAACCCAACTCCCATCGTCCAAGATCACTAGACCAGCTAGCAGCGAGGGGAGAAACATGCGGAAAATTAATGAGACAGGCGCGACACAAAGTACAACCCAATGGCGATTGCGAAACGCTATGATAGATGCCGTAAACGCATTGCAGCAATAATTGTTGAACAGCACGGTGGCCGGAGCCCCGCCCGGCTTGGCTAGCTGAAAGTAAGGTTCAAGCCGTAATACATCCTGAGCGCAAACATCGAGAAGGTTGATGGCTAATAGGGCAAAGATCAAAGGCAGATAGGTGTAGGCTCCCCATGTGGCGGTCGGAAGGTCCTCTTCATATGCCCAATGAACTATGCCTCCCATTCGCTTGGAGTATTCGCGCAGAAGTTCGATGACCCCCAACATGAACAGAAACAACCCTGCCAGCGGAAGAAGGTATACTTTGTGTAACGTCCAAGGTAGCCAACCTCTGGAGGCCCGCCATTTCTGTACCGAGTTCTGCCCATCCGTGGCTGGCATCTCTGTTGCTGATAGATCACGAGAAAAGATAACGAGCGCTCATTCGCAGAGGCGCTAGGGACCTATGTAATGAAAAATGTTAATCAATTGTCTCTAGCTAGAAGCCATGAGAGTTGTGGTAGTCCCATGACTTACGAAATGTTAGGTTGGCGGACTCATATTGTCACCATGGCACTTTTGACAGGCCGGAGAAGCGCTTAATCTTGCTGATGTGGTGATCCAAGATCATGCATCGGTAAGATATGCACACCGCTTGAATCGCCCGCGACTCATGTAGCAACGCCTAATACAAAGAGTGTGGTGGGAAGGATTGAAGGAGATCAGTCTCCCCCGGCACAGAGATCCAACATGGGGAAAGAAACGTTAGAGCGAAAACTTCGCAAGTGGCACATGTACTTTATGAGAACCAGAGTCAGGAGAAACACGTTCGGCTTTCTGACATTGTGGGTCTTAGCCCGTAGGGGAAGGCTTAGGTGCGATATGCCATTGGCCCTACAAGTGGATGTCTCAGCTTTCCGATAAGTCAGCCTTGGCAACGGGAAAATCCGTAGCCTAGACCTCCAGTCAGAGTCGGTGAATTAGAGGAATAATCGGTGCCACGTTTCAGTGGTGCATAGGCTCGAGGGAAATCATATTTGATCTGATGGATCGAAGGCTGGTCATAAGAGAATGGCTAATATCATGGCAGAATCGCGAATGGAACCCCCCAAAATTCGGATCCAAAGGCCCCCTGCCAAGAGGTCGTATTAGGGACGACTTTTCCTCGGTGCGTACGTGGTTCAATACTCAGCCTCAACCCAATGAGACGGGAAATAGGCCCCATTAAGCTTTCGCTTCGGGCGCACCGAGATGCACTTTTTACCCCAATTGGGAGCCCGCCTCGGATGGGCGATACTTAAGAATCCATCACCATCCATGCGTCTGGTACTCGGGAGTGATCTACATTTCTATTTGATGATCTATAAAATAAGTCACTTTAAGGCTGGACCCCAGAAATACAATCTTTGTGCTGTACATACTAAAAAAACTAGTGTTTGATGTGGGGGTCGCTGACCCCATTCGGTAAATGCAAGCCTCCCCCCTCTCCCTCCGGCAAGGCTTAGCCGGGGCCCTGAGCTTTGGCCATGCTAGTCGCGAGCAGAAGGTAGTCCCGGGATTCAAAAGTTCCAAAATAACTCCATTATCAAAGATCGGCAATTATTTGATACTTTGACATTCATGTTCCATTGCAGCCGCCATGCTTTGTTGGATTACAACATCCTTAGACATTCCTAATCATAGTATAGAAGCGTCTATAAATGTTAGTCGGTCCTGGGGCCCGAGGAATGAGGAACCTCTTATGCGTTACTGGCGCAGGAAAAGCTGTTGCTGGAGGCATCGTCGTGAATCGCCTTTCCAGAGACGTAAAGTCCGAGACCACACATGCATCCACCAATCAACACAATCAGCATATTAATGATCGTGAGGCAGATCTTCCGTGGAGATGAGAACCACTTGCCCCAGTTAATGTGTAACCAGTACACACCACCAAGGCCGTAGCTGAACCAACTAGCAAACAGAGAGCTGATCAAACTCAGCAAATCACTGAAAACAGGAATAGCATCAGCGATGATCCAAGCCACAACCCAGCACGTCAGGCCGATGGCAACCCATGACCCGATGGAAACCAAGTCACGACGATGCATCCTGTCAGTGCCACGGAAGAGGCGGACATAAATATACTTCAGACCGACGTGGCCGTTGACAACACCGGCGCCAACGATAGTCGGAATCGCGAGCCCATATGCCACCTTCTTCAGCAAAGGCCCTGCGGATCCCAAAGCCGGAGACTCTACAGACTGGCCGGCATAGTAGTAAATCACAACAGCGGCAACGGTATAGAAGATGATTTCAAAGGTCTGGAGCATATACAGTGCTTTTGGGAAATCTCTTGGGTTCTTCATTTCAGCAAGGAGACCAAAGAATGCCACATGCGCACAGTAAGCAAAGACAATATTGGTCACGGCGGTAAATGCGTGGAACAGATCGGTATCAATGGTGGCCTGAATTCTTGAGACCCCGTTGGCCTGGACACCTACGCCGACCATGGTGACCATGACGGCACTGAAGATACTGACAAAAGCTATATTCATCCGCTGTCAGTGCTAAACGAGGCTTGGGTGAGTTTGCCATTGGGCCCACGTACAAACACCAGAAATATAGGTCATATTTTTCATGGTCCGAGGCAGCGAACACACCATACAGATGACAAAGCCGACTGTCGTAAAAACCATGGTGCAGGTGCCATGCTCGGTGATTGTATTCATCATGACACTGAATGTCAAGATGTGGCTTCCCATGATGAAAATTGAAAAGAGCAGCTGGCCGATTCCGAAAAGTTCTCGTCCAAATGCACCCATGAGTACATCTCCGGCGTCGGCCAGGTTCTGGATATGGGGATATGCTTGATGAAACTGTCCAATGACATAACCGGTGTAGGTGGCAAGGAGACCGAGGCCTATGATTAATACAAGAGCTCTAGAAAGAATTGTTAGCATCATGGCTCGATTGCCTTTCGAAAATCAGGCAACTTACGGTGCAAGACCCAGCTGCGCGAGAGTTGCTGGCAATGACAGAACGCCTAGCGAAACAGACTCTGCAATCATGACTGTTTCAATTAGACACTCTTTCTTCATTCAAGACCGTTCCTTCATAGTGAGAGACTTACACATTCCAGCTTGCCTAGAATCAATCCGTGTGAGAGGCAGTCTTTTGACATATCGAGGTTAATGGAACTTACCACCACTCCATCGTCTTATACTTGACTTCGGCATTTGACTCATCGCCAAATGCATCTTGGTACCGCGGCGCTTCATGCTTAGCATCCATCTCATTCTCCTGCCATCCCGACTCCGAGTCTACGAGCTCGTGCGGTGGAGTCGCTTCTTGGATAGTCATTTGACCAGCTGTAATCAGGCTTTTTGGGAAGGCGAGTAAATTTGGAAATTAGTGAGAAAGGGGAAGGGTTTATAAAGCCAGCAATAACAGTCAGTATGCATACGTGTGGAAATTTCTTCTTAATAACTAGAGGTGGAGCTCAGAGTCCCTGCGACAACCGAAAACCCCGCAGGGACAGGTTTTGTTGGGGTTTTTTGGGGCATTTTCTCCGGGGCTCGGCAATTATAGAGACCTGGAGGAGTTTTCGGAATTGCAGTGTCGTGTTTGACAATTGGATGGGGAATAGTCAATATTGGAGAACAAAACGTATGGGATCAGGGTGCATTTGATGATGTAAATGGTGGGTTTGCCTGGACCCTCGGGCTTGAACAGCACCGATTTAAGCGTCTCTCGGTCCACTTCCGGGCGCCCCAGTGGATTGCGCCCTCCACTTTATTCACTTGTAGGCCAACCAGCTTGTCGGGCCGGGCTTCCATTATATAACAAAAATCTCGGGCCCTCATCGCTGCGCCGGGAGTAACCGGGCGGCTTCAGTTTTCTACAGCGTAGTTGCCTCAATGCCAGGAAGGAGGATATTTGTTTGCCTCAATTTTATACTATAGAAGCTATTCAAAGTCTCCCATGTAGATATGCGTGTATGCAGTAGGGCATGAAACCCTTTTATATAGCGGGTGGCGCACGCTCACCCGCAGCCACTCGTGGTAATAAATGCTTAGTGTCGGCAGGGAATCAATCCAGAAGCGCGGCTCGAACCGCTGCCTCGCCACCTGCCTCGATTGGGGGTTTTAGTCAGAACAACTGCATTGAGTTCTGGCCAGCGACCATATTACAAGTCAGAATTTCCTACTCCAAGTACAAAGTTTTCCGTCGTAGTTGCTGCATGTAGACCTATAGGCATGTCAATAGTTTTACTGATGACCGTGGAGCTTGTTGGGTTGAAAGCACTGCAACAGTAGTGTTCCAATCTAACAGACCACAATATCAACCCTGAAAACTCCTCTGTTGTCTTTTTAGTCATCATTCGGTGATTGAGTGATAAATAAAGGAGACCCATGAACTACAAAGAATCACAAACACCTTGAAGAAGCAAACTATTCATATGTACTCCGTAGATGGACCGTTATTCTGGTCGCTAGAACTGCCTCCGTGCGCGGGCTCAGGCCAGTTGACAAGGCTGGCATCTTCGCTTTTCGAAACTTCGTCGCTCCATTGAATAAGGAAAATCGCTCCTACCAATATGCATATGAGGTTCAAGCTACCTCTTGTCTATGTCACTGTTTGCTCACATCCAATCACCAGGTGAAAACATTGATTTCTCAAGCAATAGATATGTGCTATACTGATACGAATTCAGCATTATGTTACATGAGTCTCGCGCATTCAAGTAAGAGTCAAGAAAACAATCCCGAAGCCGAGGTCTAAACATACCTCCATCTCAACCTGCCATCTCTATATACATCTTGAACAGCGCGCCATCAAGGACAAGCCACCCAAAACGGCAGTTAGACCTGTACAGACAATGAGAAGTCCAAAACCACTACCATAGGCGCCCATTGCATGCCCCTGCCAGGTATCCGCTTGAAGCAACGCCTCGCTGAAAGGTCCACTGACAACATTACCAACCCCCCGACCAAATGCGATGGTTGAGAATATGATTGTTGCATCTGCTCCAGGGCTGTCTTTCTGAATTTCGCGGATCATACCGGACCAAATTGCAGAATAGCTACCTGCAAAAACTCCGTATGCAACGGCAAACACTATCAGAACCGGGATAGTGGTGGAGAAGCCCCATATGAGGAAAATCGACAAGACGGTGCCTGTGGTAGAGATCGAGATACACGTAAGTGTGTGGCATCGATCAGACAGAAATCCCATGGACACACTGCCGAATACGGATGCCAGGTTCAGAGCAGTCACCGTAAGTGAGGCCAGGAGGTCCGAAGCCCCAAGCGTGCGTGCGAGCGTTGGAAGATAAATTGCGGGGAGGAAAAATCCAAGTGCCTCTGCAATATTACCAAGCTGGTAGATAATCGAGACTCGACTGCACAGGAAGCGGGCGTTGAGCCGATCGTACTTGACTTCTCTCGAAACGGGTAGGCGTGACTTGTGGAAATAGAGGAATGGAGCCGCAAGCACAAATATCAGCACCGAGAATATTCTCAAAGTTGTCCGGAATCCATATTGTGCCAAAAACTTCTCCAGGGCGAGAGGAATAAGCACTCCAGACAGTCCGGATCCAGCCCAGACAATTCCGAAGGCAAGCCCTCTCCGCTTATCAAACCATTCGGACATGTATAAGATTGATGGGCTATATGCGATACAGCCACCTATTCCAAACCCAACGCCTTGTGAAAGCACGAGATGTGTAAAGTTGGACGAAAATGATCCCATGGCTAGAGAGAGACACATGATGCTTAGGCCCAGTGTGGAGAACCATCTTGCCGTTCGAGGTAGCAGAATCATAGTCGTGATTACCAGGGGACAACTCATGTACGCGACGCCCTATAGGTACAGTGTTAGCTGATGCTTGACTCGGTCACATCTGGGGGTTGAAACTGACTGTTGCACATGTCCCGATGACTGCCACCATGTTGGAATCCTGGACGACTTCATTGTCGTGGTAATAGCTTTGGAAAACACCGAACGAAAAGGCAAACCCTGCATGCGTCAGTATTGGATTTGATTGAAGAGACAGAAAGTCAATAGAGACGAACCCCAAACGAGAGCCTCTATCATTGCGGAAGCAGCTAAAAACAACCAGGCATGTAATCCACCATCTATCGGTGGCAATGCCTTGACCTCATAGGGATCTGGTTTGATTTTGTCGTCACATGGGGATAGCTTCGTTTCTTCACATTTCCCCGAGTGGTCAGAGAAAGAGTTTCTGGAATCCATTGGTTAAATGCAACTGGAGCTTCAAAAGAGGCTCCGAGGAAGTGGAAGAAAAACATTGGTATAATTTCCGACCGCCAGGTCTATTATCTACCGGAATACCAGGTAAGCCCACAATGTCACATTACCAAGCGATCCAGATTAGGTTCAATTGAGTAAGAAGGGATGAATGAAAGGGCTCATTGCCCATCAAGTGACGGGAAGAATTTACGTCGACAGGATCCTGTCCTATTGGTCCCGTATAGAACGGAGTATTTTTAACTTTGACAAAAGTAGGCTGATCATTCTAAGCCAATCGCTGCCCGAACAAAATTTGGGTCTTATCTGGTGTTTACCACGCGCTCTGGTGCCAACTTCATAGATTAGCCTGCAGCTCGTTGACTCTGCCCTCATATCAGTACCAGATGAGATCTTACCACGCTCATCACATCTGGACGAGTTTCTTCTCAAATTTTGATCTTTAAAGTTACTTTTGATGTGCTCAATGTGGGTTATGGAATCATTCAAAAGGCTGCCCCTAGTTTGGGCTACGTACAACCGGCTAGGAACGGAACGGCAACATTGAGGAATGCAGGGCAAGGACTCTGCCCGCCCCCCCTGATAATCTCGGAGCTCCAGGTATTGACATCGATACTGCAATGATATCATTGGGTCGGAAATTGACCAATAGAACTTTATGGACTCATTCCAGACTTCCCCACTGACCTACTGCACCTACTTCACGCTGAGGCTTGCGCGGAGTCTGACGAAGGGGTTTAGATCGTGGACCCGAGACCATCATTGAATGAGAAATTTCCTTGCCACGGTCTCACCCATGCATAGTAGATCCTATGTGCGTCATTCTATGCTTGGGTCTTGACTCAAGTGACCCAACAACATCCCCGGTGTCACGTTCAGACCGAATTTAATCTCTAGCCAGCGAATGATCCTACGCAAGGGACTATTTCACAATTAAGCAATTATAAAGGGCAACAGATATACTAAATCCGTAAACTGGAGACTAGAACCTTAGTGAAGGAACAGGAACAAGAGAGGAGATGATATCAGAGAGATGAAATCCCAGAGGGGAAAGCCTCGAGGGCCTATATCTCAGATACAGCACGGCCCATTCACTCACTAGTAGACTCTTCGGTTGTGCCACCCAAGGGCTTAGAGAGTCCAACACGGTCCACAGTCTTTTGGTAAACGACACCTCCGTTTACACGGTCTTCGTGCACAATCAGATCTTTGCGATTAGTGTCGACCAGCAGGCGGATCAAGTCAGGTCTCATGTAGTGTCCCCCCTAAGACGTGTCCCGTTAGTTCGACTCCTAATTACTTTTTGGTAACAGCAACTTACAAAGTCGGCCAAAGACTTGGTGAGATGAATTTCATCGAGATCAATCTGTGGCAACAATTTAAAACCGCTATTATACATAAATACTGGGGGGAAAGGAAGGATACAACTCACGTCAACAAAAAGCAGGCCCTGGAAGTCCTTGTCGGGATGGGGAACGAGATTCTGACCATCGGGACCAAAGATGCGACCATTCCCATTGTAGATATTGGGGTCTTCAAGCTCCTTTCCGGGAGGAGTATTGAGTTTGATACCATCCGCGGTGATTGTCTGCCAAGGCGCAAGAGTAAAAGCACCTGTCTCGATGGCATAGGCGGGAGTCACGAGCTGGGCAGTCTTATCAGTAATCAGTTCGCCATTCAAAGTCACAACTCCGTCCGGGAGACTCACGTCGGCATTCGCTTCCGCGATATTAGTGTAAGGGTCCGGGTACTTGAGGGTCTCCTTTCCTGGATACAGAGGCCAAGCTGCAACATGGACCTGTTCCCCAAGAGAGGCGGCATAGGCCTTCAAGAAAGGGTTCATATTCTCCCAGCAGTTCAGGTGTCCGATGCGACCAATTTCGGTATCCATGACTGATTCGGTAGTGTCGCCAGTACCATCACCGAAGACCAGACGCTCGACGTGGGTGGCCTTGATCTTGCGGCGATGGTTGATGATATCTCCAGCCGGGTTGATCATAATCTGAGTTGTATACAAGCTGCCAAGATCGACCTCGGAGTATCCGAGAGATACGAAGATCTTGTTGCTCCGCGCAGCCTCGCGGATTCGACGCATTTCCTCCGAGTCGGAAGGGAGACTGTTCTCCCGGTACTTCTTTAGAAGAGGCAGGCTCTCCTGGTAGTTAACCTTCCAGGCCCAATAGGGGTAGCCAGGGATCCCTGCTTCGGTTAGTCGAGTCCATTCCAAACAACTAGCCGCCTAGACGAGAAGTGATATTTACAAAGCTCAGGAAATGCGATAAACTTGCAGCCAGCCTTGCCGGCCTCATCGATCCAGTGGATGGTGCGTCGGACAGATTCTTCGAGGTTGAACCATCCGGGCTCTGCATTGACTGCTGCGGCCTTGTATTTCTTGAGCACAGGAGCCATTTCGAAGATTGTGGGTTTCTCTTGAGTTGTTTGAAAGAAGACTGTGAGTGATTGAAGGAATATTCTAATTCAGGGAGTGGAAATCACGATGCTTTATATCAGGTCTGAGATTCTTCTCTCAACTACTTGCTACCCGTCTAGAGTCACCACGATGTCTTGCATGAGCACAAGAGATCACAATCACACCACTCGGGTCAATACAACTCGGGAATCGCTTTTTCCATGTATAGGTCCACAGCTTCAAGGTCTCATACGACATGCCTCCTGGGATGCCCGCTCGATGTCTCACTAAGTAAGCTCGGGATCTGCCTTTGTACAAAATCACACCACGAACAACGTTGATAATCGACATGAAGAATTAGTATACGCGAGATCTCCACGCTGACCGTCGGGGTCCTGTCATATCCCGATTTACTCTTGCAATCTAGATTTGATCATGCGACGGGCGGCTTCGTCGTGCAGGGGTACCAAATACCGATGAAGGAGAAGCATCTCCATAGTGGTACGAGGCTCAAATCCCGGTTCAAGCTCTTCCAATTACAATGAGACACAAAGTGTAGGCTCATAGATTATGATCGCATGAATGGCTATCTCTTTGTTTTTATCACCCAAATGTCGACTGGGATGTCCATGCTGACACACACCCCTGGGCGAGTAGGCAAGACAAATCCCGAGAGCAGACCCCGTTCCGTCGGTGATGTTGATGTTACCAACTGCGGTGGCTGATGTGGCCCACTTAGGTAATGTCCTTTGATTCGATTGATTTAGAAATACTTTCATCGATTTATTATAACATATGCATCATCATACTCAGATAAGCGACGACCGCAGTAAGTTCTCCAGCTCCTGCAGCGACTCGGGCTTGGACGTAACACTAGACATCAAGTAGAGTACATTACCCAAGACCCGAGAGTGAACATTGAAATGGTCGCCTCCAATAGCAAGTTGTTGTTGCAAACCCTTGGCAGCGGTGGACGTGTAACCTGGTTGATTGTTAGCTTGAAAATCTTGACAATTGAAGAGACCTGGCGGGATACTTACCTCCACCCTGGGCATCACGCAACGAGATGCTGAGAACAGTACCAATTGCAAAGACACTCTCGACAGACTCAGCGCGGGAAAGGTCTTGCAGGAGACCCTGGGACCACACACTCCATACATCCGGGACAGACGCATCTGTGGGGGCTGCGGTCTTGTGGCTCCAATCACTCTTGAAAGTATCCCACGAGCCGTTGCTGTCCATGTTGGACATGGTTTTCAAGGAGTCGACGGCAACAGTACATCCCACTGCATGGGCAGTATAACTATGACCGTGAAGGAGGGCATCGCTCTTCTCGGGGCTCGAGAAAGTATCGAAGATTTCTTGGCTTGCAACCGTCGTGCACAGGGGAATCAGACCGCCGGTGAGAAGCTTTGCATTCACGGCAATATCTGGGTGCACATCGAGGAAAGATGCCGAAGTTGGGCGTCCTAGTCGGTAGAGACCAGTAAAGACCTCGTCAAAAATGACTGGCAAGCCTGACCAAGATGACGCATCCTTAGGCGAGGGGGCATTGGGGGAGAATAATTCCGGGTGGTCGCGAACGACATCAGTCAAGCATCGTTGGAAGAGAGGATCGCTGGCAAGGGGGGTCCGTCGTTAGTAGTGTTTTAATCGCACATTCCAAAAAGACTTACCAGAAAAGCATGCCTCCTGCACCCAGAATGACAGGCTCTAGAATGAGAGCACCGAACTTCATCCCATGGCGCTGGACAAGATCTTCGATGGTCCGACGAATATAATCCTTGTAGCCCTGACACGTCTCAGAGTTCAAACGTGTCTTAAGGTCAAACACCGAACCAAGTGAGTCGAATTCAGCATCAGAACCAAGTTCAGCCTTTAGCTCAGCGGGAACGTCGACCTTCCAATGTCCATCCACCATCTTGACGAGGGGGAAGTCAAACCAGTGACCACGGCCACGGTACCACTCCACCTTCTTGTTGTAGGTTGATGGCTCAGAACAATCCATCACACCGATCGTGTCTCCATGGTAGCTGCCCTTGAGTCCCAGGATGCTAACCTGCTCTTTGCTCGCATCCCAGCCATAGCGATCGCAAGCAACACGAAGACCCATTTTCAAAGCGACCTCCATACCGGTGCTGCCATTGTCCGTATAGAAGACCTTGGCAAAACGTGGATTATCGAGTGTCTTTAATAAATTATCTGCGAGCGCAAGCGCTGGCTCATGCACTGCGCCTGCAAACATAACATGACCGTACCGACCTGCGGCATAGGCCGCGGACAAAGACAGGTCAGGGTTGCCATGGCCCAGTCCTTGAGTCCACCAAGAAGCCGAGCCATCAAAAGTGGGACGAAGCTCACTGTCCGGGTTCTCTGAGCGACCGGTGCCAAATGTTTGGAAATAATCATCATGCGCAGAGTCAATCACGGTAATGTCCTTGGGGCGCATGCCGTGGTGCTGGGTAAAGGGGTACCAGATCAGGTCTTGAGCACGGCTGGCCATTTCTTCCAAGCGTTCAATTCGCTTGGTGTTCTTGACGTTCATTTCTTCAATCAGACGCATGATATCTGACTCTTGCGAGACTCTTTGGTAATACGAAGACATAGCTTCCTCGTCCTTTTCCAGTGAGCGGGCATCGGTCTGAGTTGGTTTTGCAGGCGGGGCTGGCAATGGAACCAGGGGAATGCTCTTGTTGCGGAAGAACTCGCCAAGGTACTCATGGTTTTGATAATAATCGTCGCGGAATAATAATACTGACTGCACGTCGTATCCTCGGAGCAGCAGGGACTCGTATGCGGAAACAGAAGACGAAATGCCTCCTAGGCGCGAGTCGGCAACCAGAACAATCGGCAGTCGCAATGGTCGATAGAGATCTGCTTGGGAATCTCCATTGGGGCCTGGTGAGTGCACCCCTCCCGCAGTCTCGACCAGGGCGAAGTCAATGTCCGTCCGGGCCCAGTCAGACAAGGTCTTATGAATAGATGCAAGGAGATCGTCATTTTGAGGAATCTTCTCTCCAATCAGCTTGATATCTACCATGTATCGATGCTCACTTACGGTCTTGTTCCTGGCCGCGATATGCGGACTAAGTGGTTCATCAAATTGGTAGAGGCACTTGGTCAAAGTTCCAGCCCCGTACCGCTTGAGATGCCTGCAATCATCAATCAGAACATTTTCACACTCGATTGGCTTAGGGTGTATATCCTACTGATCATCAGCTTCTTCCAGCGACCCTGTCGAAACGGGTTTCAGGAATGCAGCCCTCTGTTTCTGTCTTTGGACAGCATTGCACAGCACCGTCGACACGATCGTCTTGCCAACGTCGGTATTGGCACCGTAGACCTGGTGCGCACGCAATGTGCGCCAAAGACCAGCACCGACAGGAGCCATGATTCAGTTGCAGGAGAGTCAAGCGCAATGAGTCCAAGTCCCAAGGTCCAAGATAACTGTTAAGCGATCCCCCGCGGATGCCGCGCGGGTCCTAGGCAAGTCCAGGCGCGGGTTTGGGTTGTTACCCGGAAAGTTTGAGGTCAATTGGCGAATCACCGCGTCTACAGGCGACTCCACCTTCTTCACTTCTCCCTTCACCGAACTTCACCGAGGTTGAATTTCCCGTTGAAAAAGAGTTGAGCGCCCCAACACAGGTGCAGAATGACTCAAGATATGTCAGATTTGACGTCAATTCATCTTTCAAAGCACTAAAGAAGCTGAATTATTCCGACCATTGCAAATAACCCGACCTCGACGTGCTGCTCCTACCCTGACGTGTTCTCGGTCCTCAGCCCCGGATTCGTCCGTGGTCCGCTCGGACACTAAGAGCCCTTCAAGTGCGGATCATTGATCGTGCCTTATCTTTAACAGGAACACCCGTGCCTAACCGATCCTGCATGATTGCCTATTAACGCAATTTGTTTCCGGCAACCGTTGAAGCCAACCGGAAAGCCATTTTCCTACCCCCCCAGCCTCCCAATGACTTCCCGATCGTGCACGGTGACAGGCGCGTCATCACCAAAGCCCAAGACTCTGGTCGACACCCTGACAAGGGCTCTGGTCAACCGGGAAGCGAAATCGGCCCGCCGGAGACTCACAGTTTTGCCTCGGACAGCGGTTGATTTCTCTTCCAATGACTTTCTCTCCCTGTCAACGTCACCAGCCTTCAGAAAGCGCTACTTGGCTCATCTGAATGGGACTCCAGAGTCATTTCCTTTTGCTAGCGGCGGGTCGCGTCTACTAGATGGAAACTCCGCCTACGCTGAGGATCTGGAGCGCTTCGTGGCCGACTTTCACGACGCTCCGACGGCACTTCTTTTCAATTCCGGTTACGATGCCAATGTAGGAGTTATGTCCAGTATTCCTCAGCCGGGGGATCTCATTCTGTACGATGAGCTGGTCCATGCAAGTGCCCGCGAAGGCATGCGGCTCTCCCGAGCAGCGGCGAGGAAGATGTTTGCACATAGCTCGCCAGCTGCACTAAAAGATGTTTTGGCTGCTGAGATTAAGAAAGACGCTACTATTAAGAACGGCGCTCGAAATGTCTTCATTGTCGTGGAGTCGCTTTACAGCATGGATGGTGACGTGGCTCCGATCAAGGAATTTATCCAAGTGGTGGATGAGCTACTGCCATGTAACAATGGTTATTTCATTGTTGACGAGGCACACGCAACTGGGGTTTTCGGACCACGAGGTGCTGGTGTGGTGCAGCACCTCGGCGTCCAGGATCGAATGTTTATTCGCGTGCATACTTTTGGAAAAGCACTTGCGAGTCACGGAGGTATGTCATATCCATAATGATGTTGCTCGTTGCACAGCACTGACAGTCTGCTTCATAGCCATGGTGCTCTGCGGTCCTGAGACAAGAGATTATCTGATCAACTATGCTCGCAGCCTCATTTATACCACCGCTTTGGGCTTCCCTTTCCTCGCATCTATTCGTACCGCCTATGAGCTCTTATCTTCAGGAGAAACCGAATCAGTAGGTCACCCAGTCCAGTTGCAACACCTTGGGCCTTGTTAGCTCACAAATGATCATAGTTACGAACTCGAGTCCAGGAGTTGATTAAATATCTCCATCAACGCCTAAACGGTCTTCAAGTAAACAAAGCGGTCACATTCGAGGTTGATCATTTCCCCACATCTCCCATTTTCTCATTGCGCACATCACAGCCGCGCCGATTAGCGAGTGCGTGTCAAGAGGCTGGCTACGTTGTCCGTGCCATCATGCCGCCCACTATCCCCGAGGGCAGTGAACGAGTACGAGTTTGCCTGCATGCAGGTAATACAGAGAAGGAAATCGACGGCTTGGTGCGAACCATTCAATCATGGCTGGATGGAAGTTTGGCGACCAGGGAGGCCAAACTATGATCGATTCAAGTGACATTTTGCTATTCATAAAAGCGATAAAATTATTTCACCACATATCTAAGACTTATTCGGTGATAGTCCTAGTAATCGATTTGATTCAAAAGGGGATACTGAGCGAGCTCTTCGCCCCCCTTACTCTGGATTCGAGACGACGGCTCAAGATCGTCCGCTGATCCCTGATCACTTTCGGGAACCTTTAGACAAACACTTCCGTAATTTTCCACATGGAGAGGGCAGCATTCTGGTAATAGCAATTCTTTGACGCTCCATAACAATCCCAGTGACCAGTGACCCACCCCATGTCTAACTCGAGCGATATCCAGAGCCTCCGATTCGAACCCAACCATTTGGTCAACCCCATCTATTATTGGCCCACAGCACTCCCCCAATCCGCGCTTTTTCTTGAGCTGAACTTCTCAGCACGCCACTGGCGAGTTGGTGGGTCCTATTTGGAGAGTTTGAGTGTGGGGTGCAGCGGAAATTTTATGCCGAAGAATAGTAGTGGGCTATCAAGGGACCTCAGAATGCATTCTAAGCCGAATGAGAACTTGAACGACTAATTCTAAACATAAAGTTGCGCCTATCAAGCAAGATACTTCTCATTGTTTATCCAGCATATTCACTTATTCTCCATACCCTTATGGGCTCACTAGCACAAATATGAGTATTAGTACTTTGACTCCGCAGGATGTGGGCTATTTCTTTGCCCTTAATCGAGCCAGATCGCTTCTCAGGTTAACCTTCCCAGGACCGAGATCCTCCGGCAGGCGCTAGTTATGAGCTACGGACTAATCTAGATAAGTCAACGGGGCCATCTAGCACAGGCCTCTTGTTCGAATTCGTATCGGAAGAGAGTGGCTCTACTAATCATGACGATCGGAGCTGAGGTCCGCTCAGTGGAGATTCAATTACCGTGTAGGAACGGGAAAAGAGCCTCCATAGCACGAAGGAGGACCTTTTCTCAGAACCCTTATGCGGATAACGTATAAGACAAAGGACTATCCAATGCATTGTCCCGCTTTCAATTTTCTAGTGGATCATGATCCATTCTCGATGGCCCCGGTCCGTCGATCTTTTGCCGGAACGATGAGGTATGGATTCAAAGCCTTTCGCCTGAACAGGCCGACTACTCCGTGGAGCCGAGTTATACCAGGGGATGGAATATCTCCTTCACGAAGAATTCTCGTAATGAGCCATTCCCGTCAGTCTGTGATTAACGCGGCACGTAGTCTAGCAATAGTCTGTATTTTTCATGCTAATGAACAGGGTATAAAAACCCAGGCTCTTCCTCACCCTGCCGCTTTTGAGCCCTGCATACATCTCTGTTAGCTTTCTTCCTCAATTACAATCACAATGAAGGTCACCGCTGCCATTCTTCCCCTTATTGCCTCGGCCACCGCGTCATGCCTTCACGGTACCTCGCTGTTGCCCCGCTCCGCGGATGGCACCGTTGATATCAATTCGTTCAACTACACCAACGCCGGTGGCCCTTTGACGTGGTACGGTCTCGATGCGAAGAACTCTGCCTGCTCTAAGGGCAAGCACCAGTCTCCCATTGACATTGTCACCGAGGACATTGACTATGCCACTGCCAACTCAATTCGCTTCAATGTCCCCAGCACCGACAACGCCAAGTTTGAGAACCTGGGCTCCGGTCTTGAGGTTGTTCTGACGAACGGTACCCTCGTCACTAGCACTGGCTCTTACAAACTTGCTCAATTCCACTTCCATACTCCTTCTGAGCACCGCATTAACGAGGAGTATTACCCTATGGAGGCTCACTTCGTCTTCGAGAACTCTGGTATGTTTTCATTCACATCACTCTCGACTAGATCTAGCTATACTTGCATATGTGCAAGTAGAGTTTCCATCCTACTATGTACCCAATATACTAATACTTGAGTAGACAATGCCATTGCTGTTGTTGGCTTTGTCTTCGAACTGTCTCAGTTCGGTTATTCCACCCCCCTCTTCGACTCCGTCTTCGCCCACATTGACGACATTGCCACTCCCGGCACCTACACTAAGACTGGCCACCTCGATTTCACTGCCCTGACTGCTCACCTGAAGTCTCACGGTATTTACCAGTACACCGGCTCTCTCACCACTCCTCCTTGCTCGGAGGATGTTGCCTGGTTCCTCAGCACTGAACCCCTCCCTCTGAACGTCCAGAGCTACAACGCTGTCAAGCACATTCTGAAGTTCAACGCCCGCTACACCCAGAACGCTCTCGGCCAGGATAACCTCCTTGAGGTTGCTGCCGGTGAGCTTAACTAAGAAGACTGTACTTGTGACCAGCTGGCGGGAGAAAATCAAGTCCAGATTTTGAGTGGACTGCTGTGATAGGACTTGTAAGGAGGGTAGATTTAGCGGCTGTTATACACACTCTGCACGGATAGGCCGCACAGAGTATAAAGTGTACATAATAAATAATACCACGGGGACGCAGCATTTTGCGTCTTATGAATATTCTCTGCGTCCTTCGTTCAATATTCCAGAAAGCCGATCTTTATCCCGGTAGAGAATTGGTTACGATGCGATATGGTAGGCACGGCACAGATGAACGAATCAGCTTTGAATCCTGAAAGGGGAATCCCCTTTCTTCCGATCCACGTCGGCAATCTCCGCACAATGGGATGGGCCCTACCTTGGTGTGGCGTAAAAAAAATGGCTTGATGGAGACAAGAATTGCGAAGCCCACGCTAGCCCGCGATGCAAGATGGGAAAAGTGGAGCCGAATGTCAATCTCAATGAACTTTTCAGCTGACTCCTGATCCCCTGAGAATGGAGAATTGGGGAGCCAAAACCGCCCTATACAATAAATCACAGCCTTTCGAGAGGTGTGATGAGTACCTTAGCAGAATCACGATCTCAATACAAGGCTTGGCACGAAGTTCCATTTTGACATATAGTTAGACGTCCCTTGAAATGGAAATAAATTTCGGCTTGTAGCCCCCTCGGCTGTGTATATGGCACGAAGATAAATTTTGCAAACTCCTCGGCTGCGGGATTTAATCAAAGGACCTCCATTGGGTCATGGTAATTTGGTCGAAAAGAGTTGCGCCAGGCGCTAGTGATTATCTGTGCCCTCCGGTATTATCACCTTCGGCGCCCCCATGCCGCTTTGCTTTATGGGTGCGCCCCACCGAGTTCGCCAATTTCACCAGAACCGCCATGTACCTTTTATATGGGTATTGTATATAAAAGGTACATATAGTAATTTCCATTTAGGTATAATTCTAAAGTATTTTTCTAGCTTATTATAATATATATATATAGACGCTCAGTATTCTTTAGTATTATCAATATTAAAAGGAAAAATATTAGTGGTTTAAAATATCTCTTTTCTTTGGTATGAGAAAAGTTATGGAGCTCTTGACGGAAATTATAAACATCACGAATCTAGTAGCAAAACTCTTAAAAAGGCTTTTTAATCCTTTTTTATCCTAGATCCTCACCCTTTAAGATCTTAATGTCACTATTACAATATAGTGGTCCCTAGTAAATATACCTAAATATTTGATATGGAGGGTATGTACCCTTTATATATAACGCCCATACAAAAGGTACATGGCGATTCTGGTGAAATTGGCGAATTCGGTGGGGCGCACCCATAAAGCAAAGCGGCATGGGGGCGCCGAAGGTGATAATACCGGAGGGCACAGATATACCTCGACAGGGGCGTCGTCCTTTGCCTCTTTCGAGAAGCCACAACCACACTAGCAGCCCGTGTTTCCTGCCCGAATGAATCGCCGCAAAAAGCCATATTGAAGGCAATAAATTACAACATCATATTTCAACAACCGAAACTTGTATTATAATTCTGTGGTGAGTCAATACTCATAACGTATTTCCCAAGCGAGCGGGCCACCCCAAAACACCATACTAAATGTAATATTTCATAACTTAATATTTCAACGCTCGAAGCTGATCATCTTGTCTTAAGATATCTTGATATTTGACAGACTATAATACATATTCTCCTTGATATAGGAAATGTTTTCGGGCACAATGTTGTAGATATACATATCTACATCACTCTGTGATAGCGTATTTTCTAGGTATTACGTATAAACAATTACATAGTGAATATGTTAGTTATGCTCTACTATTTCTAATGCTCAGAAAACATTCTCTACCAAGGATCAAGTAATAATAACTCATCGTTGTTGATATATGATGACCTAGCAACTCGTCTTTAACGTGGTGTTTTGGGGTGGCCCGCTCGCTGGTGGAAATACGTTAGTGAATAAGAAGGCGATCTGCTGCAATAATCTAACATTCGGATCGTAGCTATCTGATCTTCCAGATTGATACTGGTGTAGGTAGATATATAGTAGTCAAACTCCAAGTGCTTCAAGAGAGCCCAGTCGTGGTGGTTGAGATATGGGTCTGCAAAATATAGTCATACATATATGGTGTTTGTAGGTGTCTCACTCGACCGGGAACGACATTAACTACTCCGTCCGGAGTACATCAATCAGCACCACTCAAACTCGTTGAACGTGTACGGAGTATGTTAGTTCGTTCTTAGCTTGGGCGGACGGTACTGTTGAAGCTGACAATCGTGGTGCCTTACCAATAAGGCATGATGTGGGATCGAAATGTCATGCCTTAGTCACTAAGTTGTCATAACTTATTAACTAAGTCTGATTCTGGCTTGTCCATTTGAGATGTGAGCCCCGGTGTATCTCTCGAGAACTCTTGATAGAATGTGTGAAATAGCTACGTGGGATGTCTCGATCAATCTAGCCACTGAAACCGTCAAGTATACGGCAATTCCAAAGGCAGGGTCCGGGGAACGAGATCTAAGATCGGGCGGTCCTCGGGTCGAGAACCGTGGGGCCTCACAATGGCCAAGATCGCCAAGATCGCCAAGCGTGAGCATCGTCGTTCTTTGTACTTCCCTCTCATCCCTTGCGAATGACCCCTTAACCCTGGATTTACCCAGTGCATTGTCGTACATAGCCCTTGCGCATCATGTCTGGACCCTCGGGAGTAGGCATTGAGTGCCACGACCTCCAGTCAAACCCCCGCTTCCTCTTCCGCCAGCCGCGGGCGCTGCAGTGGTTCGAGAACGATAGACTGGTCAAGCGCTCGGAAGATGAACGACAAGCAGGTAAGAGACTTGCGGTCGCACAGCGTCTAATGACACGTCAGTAACTGATGAATCTTTTTTTTAGGCCGGTTCGAGCTGTTCCTCGACTTGCTGTACGTTGCGATCCTATCGAACTTTGCGGATACCCTTGTGGAAGATATCTCCGGCGCGAAGCTTGTGAAGTACATTGTGAGCAGCAATTGTGCCAACTGGTATTTCCTGAAGGACGCGATGCTCATCAGAGATCCTTTATACAGCTAATTTTATCGCCCTCATGGCATGTGTGGAGCGACCTGCGCGAACTTATGAACTCGTTCTACAATGATGACCTCCTCCAGCGCGTGCTGATCTTGTGGGTCATGGCCACTTTGGTTATCTACGGTAACAACGCGCCCTTGGTCGACGAAGAAATTGGCGCAATGCGCTCTGCGGTCGGAGCTTATATGGCTGCTCGGATAACATGCAACCTCGCCCATCTATACTACTCGTTCGCGAGCTACCATCACCGGGCCCAGCAACGCCTTTGGGTGGGGCTCTCCACTCTTTTTCTATGCCTCTACATTCCACTATACTTCGAGTCGGTCTCCATTCGCGCCAAAATTGCGACCGCAGCTGTTGCCATCTTTGTCGAAGAGTGTACATGGGTTTTCTGCTACTCCCCAACGGCAAAGAAGCTGCTTCACGCGACGTATACTACTGCTGTGGACATCAACCACGAAGTGGACCGATACGCAGCGTTCTATATTATTGCGCTAGGCGAGTTTCTGTACCTGATTATCGTCGGTTCACATGCCGCAATCGGGCTGAACGATCGCCTTCTACGTGCAATTTGGACTTTGATTATTGCATTCTGTCTAAATTGGCTATATGTGCACAACGATGGTTCCGTTGAGAACGACCATCCTCTGCGACACAGCATCTACACAGCCTTTGCCTTTGCCCTGATTCACCTTCCGCTCATTGCTAGTCTGCTGGCCGGTGGCCACGTTGCTGCAGCTTCAGTGGCTGAGCACGAGTTCGAAGAGCCCCAGCGATGGCTACTATGCGCAGGTCTTGGAATTGGAATGATCTGTCTGTACATCTTTGCATTAATGCATAGATCGAAGGATGAGCGTGGGACTCTGCTTCTGGACAAGGTTTGTAAACTTTCTGTGAGCGTATTTCTTTTGATGGATAAAGTCGCTGATACTTCCCCTAGCATCTCCGCCTGATTATGCGACCCGTCACTGGTATCATTATGATTCTCTTGCCGCTCGCGGAGCATCTCGGCGCTACCTCGATTCTATCTATCATCATGGCTCTCTTCGTCACCTGTACACTTTGGGAAACCATCACTTCATTGCGCAAGGGATCAAACTTCTGGGAACGCTGGGAAGATACCAAGTATCCCGAGAAGACCCTTATCAGAGACGAGGCTGCGAAGCATGAAGAGGCCGCTAAACCTTGAATGTCCTGAATACCACCAGAACGTCTCGATCTCTGGATCAGACTCCTCCTGACCCTGCTAAAGTGATGATTAAGGCTATATCTCTTCGCATGATAAGATGTCTAGTATATCATCCCCAAATTTGGTGAAAATAGTGATTATTTCAACTGCATACTTCAATTGGAAGACAAGATCTGAATTTTCATGAGCGATATCTGTCTATGTGATCTGTCGATATGAACTGTGGGTAGCCTTCATGCACAAAATATAAAACATCCTTAATCTACTTCCATCAAACCATTGACTTCTCAACCTTCTCATCTCCCGTAACCTGTGTCTCGGACCGATCCATGGTGGTATAACGACTAAAGTCCCTCAGCCCACGACGGTCTCCTTGTGGAATTTCACCACCCTTCTTCTGCTGCTTGAATGCCTGACGACGGAAATAAGCGCGCTTACACCACTTCCAGAACTCAATTCCAGCAAAGAAAAGCACAGTCTCAACGAACACGATACCCCATTCCCACGAGATGGCCGAATGTTTAAAAACGCTGTGATTGATGACGGGGATATAGATGATAGGGAAGGCGAGCACAAAGCCAGCCATGATACCCCAGAAAAGGAACTGGTTGTGCCAAATATCGTGCATCCACTGGGTAAAGTAGCGCTTGGATTCGGGCTTCATGCGGAAGAAACTGCGACGGAGGTTCATCATCTCCCATGCGAGGAAGAGGGCAAACCAGGTCATGCAGGTGAATGTTGTTGCCCGGGCGCGGAACACGGTGTCACAAGTGTAGGGCTTATTTGGGTCGTTGTAGTGCGTGTTGCAGCCCATTGCGAGGTTGCCATCTCCCCAGCGGAACATGACGAGCGCGAAGGCTGATAGACAGAGAGCTGCCATCCAAACGCCGTAGACAAGAGTGTCGACAATGATTTCCCAGGTGAAAATACCTTGTTTCTGTATGAAAACGGTTAGTAGGTGGAACATAATCGTAGTGATTGGAGTCGAAATGGGGTGAACATACGCTTTGGGGTGGTCGATCCATCACCTCCGGGGCCGCTGCCTCCATTCCCAGGCCCATATCGGGCAGACCGGAGGTAACCATGATGATCCAAATGATTTCAACTGGAGAGATAGGGAAGACAGATTGGTCGCTGTCATCCTTGAATGCAAGACCGATAAGCAGAGTCAGTGCCAATGCGACATTCTCAGCCAGCAAGTGCAGCACAAATTTCTGAATATTGTCGAAGATCCGGCGTCCCTCTTCGATTCCATTGATGATGGAAGCAAAGTTGTCATCCGTCAGGACCAGTTCGGAAGCATCCTTGGCAACGTCGGATCCATTCTGACCCATGGCGATACCAACATCGGCCCGCTTGAGCGATGGAGAGTCGTTGACTCCATCACCTGTCATAGCGACGTAGCAACCGCGACGATGCAATGCCTCGATCATGCGAACTTTGGTATTTGGCGCACAGCGAGCGATGACGAGTGGCAACATGGGCAGATTGTCGATCTCATCTTCGGTCAACTTATCGAATTCTCCGGCGGTCATGACCATCGCATCTGCGACGTCCTTTGCAATCATATCCATGTTTGATGGGATAATGCCAACTTGAGCAGCAATTGCCCGAGCAGTCCCAGGGTGATCACCGGTCACCATGTGAACGGAGATACCGGCCTTGTAACATTGGCTGATTGCACCAGCAGTCTCGGGTCGAGGAGGATCATACAGACCGATCAATCCGTAAAAGACAAGATCTTTCTCGATTTCCTCACGCGGAAGAGGCTCATCATTGTCAGTGTTGCCAGGGGTATGTTCTCTTCCAGCCAGGCAAAGAACTCGCAGACCCTCCTTTGCCAGAGCCTCCATGTTCTGCAGAATCTCGTCGCGAATATGGTCGTCTAGAGGCACGGAAGCACCATCCTTCCAGGTGATAGACGTGCATGAATCGATGACTCGTTCAACAGCACCCTTAGTGAAGACCATCTGTGGAAGCTTCTCTGATCCTTCATTACGTTTCGCAAAGACGACAGACATCTTCTTCACGCTCGAGTCGAAAGGATACTCAGCCTTCTGGATCCATGTAGGCTTCTCGCCTTTAGTCCAACGATCGGCACCCCAGTTGAAACGTGAAGCAAAGACTTGGATGGCGATGTCGGTAGGCTCACCACGGGCCTGCCATTCATTGTTCGTGTCTTTGTGTAGATGTGCCAGGTTTGCCATAGCAGCAACATTGAGGAAGGACTCAAGAAGCTCGTTATCCTTTAGCATTTCTTCGGGTGTCATAGCTTCTCCGGTCGATTCAGAGCTCAGCTTGATTGGGGGTGTTTGAATAAGGCTCAAATCACCCTCCTCTGGGTTTAAGGGATCATTCGATGAACCAACTGAGTAAGTTCCTGTAGATGGAATCCATACTCTCTTTGCAACCATTCGGCCTTGAGTCAAGGTGCCGGTCTTGTCCGAGCAGATATTGGTCACGGCACCCAAAGCCTCTAGAGAGTCCAACTTGCGGACGATGACGTGCCTCTTCACCATTTGCTTTGTTCCAACGGCCATCGTAATCGTGAGAACGACGACCAAGCAAGCTGGAATCATAGCAAGGCCGGTAGCCACGGCGTAAATTATGACTTCGTTATCTCCACGCCAATTGTTGGAGCCTGCCACGACAATTGCAAAAATGATGGCAATTCCGAACAAAAGCAAAGCGAGCTTGGACAACTTCCGCTGCAAGGGAGTACCGACGTTGATTCCTAGGAACCTCCCAATGGCATCGGTAGTAGTCAAGGTCCAGGCCTGGATGTACCAACGCTTCTTGGTTTCGCCCTCCGGTCCACGCTTGACCGGGCGACGCTTCGAATCGCCTCCTCGGAGGGCAGCAGCGATGGCTCCAATCTCAGTTTGCATCCCGGTTCCCACCACGACGCCCCGAGCGCGTCCGCGAGTAACGGTTGATGAACTGTAGGCGATATTCAGTCTGTCTCCAGGGCCGGTGTCCGTGTCGAAGACTGCGTCTGCTTCCTTCTGAACAGGGAGAGATTCGCCGGTCAAAAGGGCTTCGTCGGTTTCAAAGTTGAATGCCTCGGTCAATCTGTCATTTTCTGTTTAGCCAACAATCTTTCCAAGTCAACTCGTAAAAAAACACGTACCTTAGATCCGCGGGTACAGTGTCTCCAACTTTCAATTCGACCATATCCCCAGGAATAATTTCGTTGGCGGGAATAGTAGCGGTTTTACCGTCGCGAGTCACAACTCCAGTGGGAGAGCTCAGGTTTCGCAGAGAGTCCATGGTCTTTTCGGCGGCAAAGTCCTGGTACACGCCCACGACTATGTTGAGTAAGATGACAGCTGTAATGAAGCCGCCCTCGATCCAGGAACGAATGCCGAAGCTGACTGCCATGGCAATAATAAGCACCTACAAGGTGAAAATATGGTTTAGCTGGTTTCTTTTGTTGTCTTCTTCGATTGCGTTGCGGCATTCCTGAATCACTCACAAGCATCATTGCATTCGCAACTTGGCGAATGAAAATCTTGGCAATCGAGACGCCTTCGTCTCCTTCAAGGATGTTCTGCCCATATTTCTCAAGGCGTTGGTTGACCTCAGTCGTCGGAAGGCCATCGTCTGGGTCTGTGCCTAGCTCATGAAGGACAGCCTCAATGGAGAGACTATGAGCTGGCTGGGACAGATAAGACTGTGATTTAGCATCATTGGAAGACTGGGAGCCCTGGGTCTGGGCTCTCTCCTGAGACATCACGCGTGTCCAGGAAAGCAAGTCTAATTGAGGTATGTGGAGCGAGATGAGGAAGTGAGCGAGTAGAGTATGGGGGGATGTCGTTCTTGAATAAAACCTCTTCTAAGGTGGTTTCATATAGAAGGTGTCCAGAATGGTGTGGCAGTCCATGCACGGGTCAAAAGAATAATTCCTATTGCCCGCGATGTAAAAAGAGAATCTTGAATCTATGAAAGTTTCTTGATCCTCTTGACTTTAAAGTACACGTAGTTCCAAAAGCCTATCTTTCTTCTTTTCTTCTCTTTCCTAGCCAAGGGCCTGGCTCGATATAAATAATTATCTCGGCGGGCTTGATGGCAAATTCCGCCAAGATGCAACCGGTTCTAGGGTCTTTATCCCGACACTCCGATATCATCCAGATTTGGAGTCTGGGGACACCCAACCCCATTGACCAATCGTTATCACGAACCACGCGTCGGCACCGAGCGGCTGTACCTGCGACCCCAACCGGGGCGACAATGACGCACACGACTGCTCTCGGCATTGGCTCGGCCTGGAGTCGCCACCGCGCGGTGATTGGTCGCGGCGCGGAATGCCAAGAGCGGGAATCTGGGCATTGTCTGGGCATCCCTCCGCGCGACACTCCAACGCCCGGCGAGAATGTGTCATCCTTGGCTCATCTTGGAGTATCCTTGGCGGGGGTTATTCTCCGAGGCTCGAGAGCCCACCACGCGGTTCAAATCTGCCCAACCGTCCAGGCTTGAATCCCCCTGATTTAGATTTCGTGCAAATAATCTACTACGGTATTCCTATGGTGGCGAACTGTCCAGACTGGCAACGCAAACGCAAAGTCGACCTCGGTTCTATTCAGGTCGCTGTCCTCCTAGTCGAAATTGAGGTGGAACGTACTTTATCGAACATTTCCCTGCTCGTCCGATCGAGGACGCACTACCAACTGGCCCAACCCCTCTATCTGCGGCGATAGAACTCGCTTCTATTGGGTCACTTCCACTTGTCGTACTCGTATTCGCAATTCATTTTGCCTTGCGTGGATCCGGGCACCGGTTTCCATGCTCTCCCACTTATGACGGGCGAGAATCTACCTCAGGGTGAGGTGATCGGGATCGTGATTGGGGCCATAGTGCTGTTCTCGGTTATCAGCATTGTGCCAATGTAAGTTCATAGACTGTGCACGAGCACACCTCTGCTGTGCCCCACGATATGCGGACGAACAGTCTGGAAGCCTTGTGCCGGCGATTATTAACCCCCTGATTAGTATAATCATGTGGTACCACCGACGCCATGCTGCCGCTCGAAATGCAAATGAGGTACACGACCTCACATCACCGATGCATCAAACTTCGGTGGAACACTGGCTAGAGGAGCAGAATACACCCAGAGATATCGAGCAATATTCCCACGAGATTTGGTACGTTGTCAATCTGTTTGATTTCCTTGCAACTTATCCCATGTGCATGGACCCAGTCCACGTTGGCGGCATAGGGTCTTGGCTCTAGGCCCAGATGATGTGATGCGGGGAATGCCCAGGGCTGGGCCATGGATCAATTTGCCTTACAAGGCCCAGTCAACTTTTGGTTGCACGAGTCCTCTTCTGGGCAAACCTGGGCATCGGGATTCCTACCCGTTCTTGGCAGACACGGTCACTATCATGCCCTGGCAAGTGTTCCTGGACCAGGCCTTGCTATCTTGGCCAGCAGGGTCTTATCAGCGAAATAATCCCTTGGAGCCTCAAAGTTGCATTTCTGTTTGTAATAGAATACGCTAACCTGGCTCGCAGCCCGATCTGTCTGTCGTCATTATCGTCATCCCCATATCTTGTCTGCCCAGAACCGGCTCGATTACCCCGCGGTCAACGCAAACCTCCTGGCTGCAGGTCGGCCGAAATTCCACATTCCGAAGTGAAGGATCCCAGAAGGAATATTGGGATTCTTGTTCTCAACCGATGTCATCATGCGTTTCACACAGCTTGTTTGGCCTCCTGGTTTGAGTACCGGCGATACAGATGCCCTATCTGCCAGGCCTCATACTCCCCAACAGATACTGCACAGCAATGATACGTGTTATAGTGTCGATAACAGTCGTCGGGGCGAGCTAGATGGAGTCATAATACACACGTCCAATCTAACTTTGGGAAATTGATCGTCTAGGGTGTCCCGATTTCGGTCTCATAGCATGCATTTTAGTTGATATTGAATCAGTATAGTCTTCTTATCATGTCTGTTCTGGGTACGTCTTACGGGTACTGTAACTAATTCGCGTGATCGGCCCTTCTCAGGGTGCGGTCAGTCAGTACATTACCGCTCTAAGATAACCCTATTATAAAACTGAAGTACCTCCACTGAGCTGCAGAAACCACTACCGGGTCTTTTCATCTCGCGACTCATGGGAAGATCAACAGCTCTCCGAGGCTAAAGGTTGGACGCAAGTGAGCTCAGGATATGGCCTAAAGGCGTTCCAATCGGCTAGCCACGAGACACAGCCAAGGAGTCCACGATGCACTACAGCTGGGAGAGATGGTAGTGAAGGATGTTTGAGAAAGTTTATCAGGCTTCTTACTTCAGACAAAATTAGACAACGCGGTTAGGTCGTCCCGTACCCTAGCAGGCCCTTCAATCAGGGCCGGATTCTGGTCCGAGGGCAAGTTGAAGCCCTTCTTCTAGGGTCAGCGAGAGATCAGACCTTTAAGCTAAGGATCAGGTGATGCCCCAGAGCTGGTGAGCAAATCTGCAAGCTTGCATATTCCTCACTGATCTGTACACAGAGGCACTCAGTTCTACTACTCAGTCTACAAAAGAAGGACCAATACGAAATGTAAGAGCCTGAAGGAGCTGGCATGGCATACAAAAGGTACGTAGGTCTACCATGACATTATGAGATATATCCAAACTGACATCCGTCAGACGAGACATGCATTCCTCTTGAATCCTTCACAGGAGAATCCAACTAATTCTTCCCGAGGTCTCTGGTCTGGTCATCCGAGGTGTCGTCGTCCAAATTTTTATCCGACTTCTGGATCGTTATCACAGTGGGAATAGCCACCAGAAGACTTCCGATGCTGAGGCCCCAGTTCATAGCGAACTGCTTCATCGGGCTGACCTTCTCTGCATTGATTCTCCACGCCATGGCTCCGCCAGCAGGCTTCAAGGCAGAGTATGCTCCAACGACAACGGCGTTGACTACCGGGTCGCGCGACCGAGCTCCCATGATCCAGTAGCAGAATGACTGCCAGAATGAATCATACGCTCCATAGAAAAAGTACAGAAACATGGGACCCAAGAATTTGCTGCCATCCTTGTAATCGATATCCTGTTTGAGACCGAGAGCCAGGCGTTTATCATCCCAAACCTGGAATTGATATCCACCACCCCAGATCACCATTCCGGTGACGAAGAGAATCGCCCATCCGGTGATAGCACGAGTTCGGCGATTGAGGGTGTGAAGGTCGAGGATCAGCCCCATCAGAAGCCCGCCGATCATCTGAGCAATCCAGTAAAGCGCACCATTCAGCGACCGTGTGCGCAAGTTGAAAGTCAGGCCGTTCACGTCGTTCTGCTGGTATGAATAGAAGACGTTGGCATTATAAAACATTGGATAAAGACAAAGATTCCTCCAATCAAATACAATTCGAATCACTTGGATGACAGTCGACTTCAGGTTCCCAAAGTTGAAGGCTTTCGATTCTTGAGCAATGCGATGGCCGTGATATTTCTCGGAAAGACTCTCTGTCGAGCAGACCAAGACGGACAGCGCCCATCCGAATAGCATGATGACGATGTACGCAATATATGTTGAATCGGTAACGGTGCCGGACTTCGAGTGGTAGTTCAGACCAAAACTTGCGAGCGAGCCAATAGTCCCGCCTAGATTGAAGATCACCCAGAAGACACCAATAGCTCGGCCGCGTGTCTGATCTTTGGTATAGGTCACCATGATAGTGCCCTGGGCAACCCAGAAGAAGGCAGCTCCCAGACCCAGCAGCGCACCAGAAGCAATCACGAAGGGTCCGCCATTCTTCACTCGAATAGAGTTCAGCAGAGCGCCCGCGTACAAAGCGTAAGTCCAGCCACCAATGAGAAGCGAAAGACGTGGACCTAGGTATTTGTATAGAGTTCCGACCACCACGAGAGCCGCACCAGCGGTAGCGGCATGGGTCGCGACGTTGGCGTTAGCAGACACCGTGGAGTCTACCTGGCCGGACCCGCCCATACCCGTGAGGGCATTATACATGCCTGGGTTACAGAACGCAATGAACGATATCAAGATAATCTGGAACCATGGGTCCCGACGGATCCTCACGAAGATATTCTTCTGGTGGAGCGAGGAGGGTGGAGCGACAAAATCGGCAGAGTTGTCGCCGACCGCGTCGGGAAAGGAGACATTCTCCTCAGCGGACTTGACAGTGGCCATATCAAGCTAGAGACGAGCCTATGGTTCGCAAACTTAACATCGACATACGCACGGTACCCGGCGGCTTAAATATCACGAGAGGGCGTTGAATTGATCGGTTCGCGATTGTCGTGACACGGTGTGTCGTCCCCGCTAAAGAAACAAAATGCCAGGGGCGGATCTCGTGGTGGGCGAGATCCGTCATAATGCACACCACCGAGATCCAGCACGGGTAATCCGATGTATAATTTATCAAATATTCAACTGAGCGCATAGTCAAAGATCGCGAAAAGCCGCAGCATCCAGCCATTTTCGGAGGAACAGCCGGAAAAGCCACTTGACGCAACATTCAACAACAATGACAACTTTTCTTTCCGAACTCGACGCCCTCGGCAAACTTCAAACGGAAGTACCTAATCTACTAGCGCATTCAATCGATACGCTCGATACACTAGGCCTTTGCAAAGCCTTCAATCGCGAAGAAGAGGGGGTATCTCCGGCCATTGCGTGCTGTCTACTAGTAATCGCATCACTGATTGATGAGCTGGTTCCTCGGTTACAAGATGGTGGCAGGCTCATTTACGTGGGAGCTGGCAATAGTGGCCGATCTGGGCTTATGGACTGCAGTGAACTGCCGGTCACCTTTTCTGTCGAGGAGAAGGAATTCCTTGCCATCGTTGCCGGGGGTAGCGACGCCATAATCAAAGCCCAAGAGGTTGCAGAAGATTTGGAACAGGACCGATCGAAGCAACTTGAAAGACTACAGATCACCTGCAAAGATACCGTCATCGGCATCTCAGCCTTGGGACAGACTCCATTTGTTCTTGGAGCCCTTCGAATTGCGATAGAGCAAGGCGCATTGACTGCCTCTATCACAAATACAACGCCTTCTGCAATCGAGAATCTGGGTGTCACCCATTCCATTGTGCCTCTACTGGAACCCGAGTTCCTTGCGGGCAGTACTAGGCTGAAATTCGGCAGTGCGGCAAAGCAAATCCTCAATATGATCAGTAAATGTTCGGTGATACAAATGGGCAAAACTGATCTTGCACTTATGATTGATGTGCGCGCGAAAAATCACAAGCTGCTCTCCCGAGGCCGCAGAATAATCCGTCAAGTCTATCGCATACTTCAAAAGGATGGTCATATCTTCAATGAGACGGTTCAAGACCCATACACGATAGAAGACTCCGCTTTGGACGTTCTTATTGAGCAATGTGACGGCAGGGTCAAAGTGGCCTGTGCTATGATTGTGTCGGGCCTTCCACAAGATGTGGTCCAGCATCACCTTGATCTGGTTAATGGGAACTTCCATTTGTTTGTTGACTCCCTCAAACAATCCATACCCAGCCAACCCCCCATTCCATCTAGCCATTCCAAAGAGCTCTTCCTGGCTATTGATGGCGGAGGAACGAAATGTGCAGTCTCTATCGCTAATACGACTGGGATTGTGGCTCAAGCCGATGCCGGGGCTGGTAACTTTCACTGTGTGCCCATTGATGTTCTTCTAGATCATATCAAGAGTGCTGTCACAAAGGCCATTTCCCTCCTGCCCGAGAAATCGTCATTATCTTCAAAGCAAATGACCAAATTTGCTGCCGTATGGGCTGGCCTAGCCGGGTTGCAGCATGCCAATCGCCGGGAGTGCTTGACACAGTCTATGGAGGAAATGTTCGGGGTTTCTGCTCAAAATGGTAGTCTGCGTCTGTCAAGTGATAGCGAGCTGATCAGTGCTCATATCGGCCTCGATGATTCAATCGACCGTGGTATATCTTTAATAGCTGGTACGGGGTCGGTTGCGACCGCATTCAAGCAAGACTCGAACGGCGATGTCTTACAGATCGGACGCGCCGGTGGCTGGGGCTCACTACTTGGAGACCAAGGAAGTGCGTTTGATATTGGCAAACAGGCCGTGCAAGCACTATTGACTAGCCTGGAACTGAGTCAAGGCACCGGAACAGATCACCTTTCTGAACTTGAGCTCGAGGTCCTAGCAAGCCTTGGCGATTGCACAGAGGGCTTGCTATCACGCATCCTTTTTCCCGGGACAGAGACAAAGAAAATCGTTGCCGACCTTGCAAGAGTTGTAACAACTCTTGGGTTCAGAGCCATAAACCCAGATCCTCAAGCTTTGGAAATTCTGGTATCTGCCTCCAGATCTCTTGTTCAGATTGTTAGGCCACTGGCCAAAAAGCAGATTTGTGATCCAGCAGCTAGTTCACTGGTATTATCGGGCGCTTTGATGAAAGTTCCTGAATTCCAAAGCCTGCTTCTCCACGAATTATCACAACAGGGGATTTCTAAGTTCAAGAATGTTGTGATTGTGGATGATCCGTCGTCCGATGCCGCATTATTTCTTGCTAGGCAAGCGCCGAAGGCGAATTGAGCTCTGTTACCCTAGAAGGATGAATAAGAAATACAACAAGACAGTTAGTTAACTAGATAAATGGCATATAAAGAGGATTACTAATAAGCTTCAAGGCATCTCTGTGCCGCACCCTGATCTAAGGCACCTAGTTACTGCGGGAGACGAGCTGGTGAATAAGACATTCAGTTGACACTCGGTTCGGAGACTCGGAGTACTTTTAGCCCCCCATCGGCATTTTAGCGTCGGTACGGTCGATGGCACCTTTTAAGTTCACCCCTTTCCCGCCCCCGCAATAAAAAGCAAGTCTCGCGACTTCTTCCTTCGCACAGAACTCTTCACAAGCGAGATCCGGCTTGCCGCATCTCGCATACAGCCACAGTGCTGGGTCTGCATGTAATTACCGCCCCATGCCTGCTGAGAATTACACACCGGGCGCGCCCCAGGTGGAGCCTGTTAGCTGCCGGATCTGCCGATTCCGCAAAGTACGTACCTCGTGTTCCCCCAACTGGTCAATTTTTTTTCGTTTTGCCAACAAGAAGAAAAAGGTCAAATGTGACCGGACCCTAGGCGGGTGCCTTCGCTGTCGCCGATATGGCGAGGAATGCGTATATTCATCTGGCAATACCCTTAATAGCAATGGGAGAAGCGATGAGAGGACAGAGGCCGGGCTCAAAAGGCGACGCGTACTACGTTCATGCATTAATTGCAGAAAAGCCAAGACCAAGTGCGCTGGCGGTGCTCCCTGTGAACAATGTGAAGGAAAGAACCTGAATTGCTCCTATGCCGAAGCAGGTGTGGCTACGCCTCCTGCTTCTGCCTCGTCGACCCAGAGCGAGCGATGCGTGAGGAAAAGGGCCTTGTCGGCCATCCCCGTATGGCTCACGTCGAGCAACTTGCCGGCGATCGATCGCATCCGCGATCTGATTGATTTGTACTTTCTTCGCGTGCACACCGTGCGGTGCTTCGGTTTTATACACATTCCAACCTTCATGAAGCGATTGAAATCGCCCGATAAACTGGCTCAGGAGAAGTCAGGGCTTGTCTTTATTATGTGCGCTTTGGCAGCACCTTTTTACTACGCCGAGAAGCTCTGCCCTAGCAACGATGGTCTGAAGAGTAATGTGCAGTACTTTGATGCAGGCCGAGGCTGGGCTGAGGCTGCGAGACACTGTCTCTTTACAGGATTTGGAGATATGGGCATTGAGAGCATAATGACCGAGGTCTTGCTTCACGAGTACTACCTTCGAGTGGGAGAGTATGCGAAGGGATTCATGGTATCGGGACAGATCACTCGACATCTCCAGGTTGTCCAGCTTAATCTGGAGCGGGATTCGGATGTGTTGTGTCAAAGAAGCCCAGCATCCTGTCATATCAAAGAGAGTAGGAGAAGGCTAGCATGGGCCTGCTATCTACTAGATTCGTTGATTGAATGTGGAATTGATCAACTTCGCCTGATTCCGTACCACGACATTCAAGTTCAGCTTCCTTGTTCAGAGGAGCTTTTCATCACCAACACCCCCTGCATTACCGAGATGCTGCCTCCAGGCAAACTGCTTCCAGGGATTGCCCCAATACCTGGTATCAATTTTGCGGCACATCTCGATCTACGGGCTTACTACCTCCGTGCTACAAGCATTCGATCCAAACTTCTCAAATATGTGAAACACTTGGAAGGAGAAGTACCCTGGGCAGCAGATAACAGTTCACGGTTTTCGCAGCTCGATCACGAACTCAGAGACCTCGAGGCCTCTATCCCCGAAAATATGAGGATTTCAGCCGAAAATATGTACCTGTTCAAAGGCTCGGGCGGGCTGAATCTGTACTTTGGCTTGCACATCCTCATATCTCAAAACTTCCACGATCTGTACCGCGTGGGTGTTTCCAATCTCGTCTTCCCCAACACCGCGACAAGTTGGATTCGCGAAAACGCTCCAGAAGACTTCATCAGGCGTTGTCACCTTGTATGCGCCACCAAATCTGCCTATATCGGCTCGCTATTGAGTGATCTATGGAACTGCCATAGACCCAGCCTCGTAGACTGGCCATACGCTATGCACACACAAGTCTGCAACAGCGTCATCGTCACGACTCTCATCTCATGGGGCCGCCCCGAACCTCTCATCCCGCAATTCTCATACCTTGATTACCAAGCCATGCTGAAAAAGAACGTAATGATTCTGCAGTACCTTCAGCGCTTCATGAAGGTCAGCATGTACTGCGAATCCGCCGTCCAAGCTTTGAAACGATTCAACGCACTTTTCGTGCCAGACTCATCTGATTTTGCGAATCCGTCCACAAATGCCCTGCTATCCGCCAATCAATGCAACACGTCCAATCCATCGTCACTCGAATACATCCTCAATCCCCTGGGTACGTATCCTATGGCGCGGAAACAGGCTCAGACGCAAGATACGTCTACGCCGGATGAGACAGAGGACGATATGCCAACCCCACAACTGGCTAAAGTTGAAGCTCCGATGATTGTACCCACCATGAATCCTGGTGGCTACCCCAGTCCTGGTGGTATCTTTTCTGGTCATTTCTCAGACTGGGAAGCGGATATGTCTATTTTACCGGGGCTGGGTTATCCTACGTTTCTTGATCAGTATACTATTGAGGCACCGAGGGACATGAACTTACCCTAAGAGGGTATAGGAAGGTCTTTTGATCGGTTGTTTTATACCCAGTACATAGTTCCTTTCCGTCATGAAATACCCTAGAATTGATCATAAGAGAGAGCCCGTCCAAACTTTTGCCACAAAGGTTTAATAATCGATCTCTCATTTCATTAAGTAAATTCTGCGGATAGCTATGTGGGTATCATACAACCAAAACTAGTGGACCTCGAAATGAATCGTGTGCTGAATGCCGTTTTGCTGGTCAGCCCCAGTGACCAGTCCCTCTGTACTTTCCCCGTCATCCTCAAGCGACTCCCGCCATCCACTTGTGACCTGGACCGAGGTTCCTGGCTTCAATCCGTGATCCCTGGACTTGCCCATGGATGAGATATTGTATCCAGCGCCGGGGCCTCGGAGATCGGATGGGTCGTCGTTAATGGTAAATGCGTGGATGCTGGGTTGAAGCTCCATGACGAGGCGGCCGAGGGATGGGAGGGCAGTTGTGATGATGCTAAGGTTCATCATGGCTCTAAGATTTGCGATAATCAGTCATTTGCCTATTGATGCAAGTACTGCCAGACTTCACTTGTGTGAGGCGAACTTACTGGTCCCAAATGGTGGAATTAGTGTTTGCCCCTGCCAACCCTGTTAGTTTCATAGCTCGTATTGGAGTGAGTATCGTAGCCAAGAATTTTCTTACAAGGCATATCGGGCGAGTTGAGCATTTTGACAGTGTACTTAACTTCAATACCAGTTGCGATGCAGACTCTTTTGTCATGTCAGAACTGATATGCGGATCAATTATGGGAGAAATTTCAACTCACAGGAACCTGCTAGCTAGCAGCGCCATGATCCTGAATCTCTTCAGTTTGGTCAACTGCACATCTCGAAGCAACAAAGATGGAAGCACAACGAGTGCGATATCTGTCAGGATATTCAACGCCGCGATGGCTTGGAAAAGTGCAGCCTGCAAAGGTAAAAAATCAAAAATCCAACTCGTGAATGATTAGTTACCCACCGCGACATACCTGGTTGATACACTGATCCGGCTTATCCCATTTCCAGGGAGTTGGCATGGAGCACCGAAGAGCCAAGGCAATGATAGAAGCCAATGCCCATGCAATGATCACACCCATTAAGGTCTGATTTGCTATAGAGGAGCGACGCGAGGTCATCAAGTTCTTGAACAAAAGCCCCAGTGAGAGCTTGCTAAAGGTGATTGTCGCAATTAGGAAGATCTGGGCAGCATATTCGTACTGCGAGGTCAATTTGAAATTAGACGTTTGACTTCTTTTCAAGTGGGATGTCTGCACGCACCTTGAGATATTGCTCCAGCTGGTGGTCGCCGATGTTCAGGAGTCTCCGGCCAAGGCCATTGGAGATTGCAAGTTGTGCTAATACGCTCTGTATGATTCCCAGTAACTAATTGCACGCAAGCAGCGACGTCAGCAAGTGCAAGGAATGTATCATGACAGTCAAGACCTTACCAATGATATGCCCAGTAAGATATCATCGGGATGGACAACGCGACCTATGAACCATCGAGTCGACAGACGAGTAGACACAATGACCACTGTCAATGCTAGTAGGGTGTATATAGCGACTGCACCGTATCCGCCATGATCGTCGGCGGTAATCTCGAACAGTGGAGGTAAAGTGCCTGCCATGGCGACAGCAGGACGATCAGCCCTGTAGCTCTGAACGGGAGGGGTTCGACAGTGAGAATATTTAGTAAGAGACAGAAGAAAAGGAATGAAAGGAATGGCAGATCACGGATTGCAGATCATGCAAATGGCAGGGGAATCTTTTGTCTGGTGGGTCTGAGTTTGGCCAGCCATGAGGCCGTAGACTTCGTATCTCGGCAAGAACCGTGCTGATGCCCCTGGAAACCCACGTCGCAGTATGGAGTAGTAGGGAGAAGCCGAACTCCGTGGCTGAGATGACACGGCCAATCTATTATACTATAAGAAACCGAGTCATCATGTACAATAATCACTTAAGATTTCGCTCTCATGGTTCTGATTGCCCGCGTTACTCGAAATGCCAACCACGTTACATGGATCGAATGGTGCGACAGAACTATCAGCATCGAATTACATCAATTCTATGACCAATGTCGATGGGCCAACGCCTTCGTGAGCCCACGCGGAGTCCCGTCGGAGGGTTCCACATGGAGCGGCCTGTGCTCGTCCCCCAGGAGCTCGTGCCTTGCCTCGTTCACCGGATGAAAGACCCAATCGGTGGCATTAGCACGGTCCGACAAAGTTAGAAACTTGGCGAAGACAAAACCTTAGCAAAGCCGACCGTACTTAATCAAAATAAGCAAAGTTAGTGAAGCCGACAAAGTTAATAATTGTCAAGTGGGAATGTCCTCTGCGGCTGGCTTTAGGTTTCGGGGTTAACCTGCCGCAGCTGACATGCTGACAGGGGGGGTGTTTAATGAGCACATGGCATGGTATGATAGTATATGTGATAAAAGATCATGGGATGCACCAGTTACCACGCGAGTCCAGCGCGTCTTCGCCTTCATTCAAGGAGGGTATGGACTCGACACAACTACTCCGTCCTGTGATCGCACATCACCCTCTTACCTCGATTTGGGATGTCCTTGCCCGCGGCCCCACGACGGGTTGCGGGGGAATGTCTTGGTTGGTCAATGAAGAGGAAACCCATCCACGAATGGAGGTGGAGCCGGTGATGGCGATTCAACTATCGACCAATCACTGGCTTGATAGGGCATTCCTGAAACTGGCAACACATGCTCGATAGCTCTCGTTGAGATAACAAGCATGTGGTGGACCAATGGACTCGTTCTCGAACGATCCCCGGTCAGTGCTTGTCTCTGCCACAGGGTCGTCGTTTCGGTTCCCATTAGCGCTAGTGAATCTAGTTAGTACGCAGCCCCCTGTGGTATCCCAAGCCGCCACTTCCTAGATAGTCAAGAGCTCGTGCGCAGAAACTCTGATGCGACCATGGCGCAGGAACAGTAGCGAGGGGCGCATTACGCCAAACGTCCGGTCAAGGGCTTCCCGAGAGAGATCGTTTTCGCCAGTGCGTAAGATATCGGTCCTCGGCACGTTTTGCACTTCTTGCTTTCGATTGCTGTTGATTCAGTATCTCTCCTCTTTCTAGCCTGTTTGCCGACACGCTTCATGGACTAAATCAGGGCAGAGACCGAGCAACAGTCTGCTCTTAAAGACCTGATCAGCCACGTATAATTGGAAGCAATATTTCGTGGGACTCTCCTGCTCTTTCTTAGCCTCGGCGAGCTCGTGATCGAGAACCTGGCGCCATGGCGAACTCGGAGGGTTTCGAGATGTCCCGGTTGGGTGTCAAGTCGGCCCAGTTCAGCGTTGGCGAGAATCGTGGACACAGTCGTTCTGGATCGGATGGAGGTTATAATGGAGGGGTCTCAACATCCATGTCGAGTGGAAAGCGTTTGGATGTAAGTTAGGTTGCCTGAACCCATCCCTTCTTCTTCCCTGGACGATCGCAAGAGCTGCATTTCAAATGTGCCGAACGAGAAAACAATAAAAAGAGACCGTGCATTTCAAAAAGGTCCCCACTGACAGCTGCTGTGTTTATAGCGAGGTTTCGGCTCACTGTCAATTCTTTGTCTATCAATTACACTACTCTCTTCATGGGAGTCGGTTGCAAAGTAAGTCCGCTTCCTGTCCTACAACGTCAACCTCCAAGCTTATTATTATACCTCCGCAGTGGATTCGAAGCTGGCCTCCTTAACGGCGGCCCAGCGGGACTCGTCTGGGGAATGGTATTGTCATTAATCGGGACAACCTTTATCATGCTCTCATTAGCAGAAATGAGCTCCATGACGCCGCTAGCCGGAGCTCAATATCACTGGACGGCCGCACTCGCCCCGCCCCAGGTTCAAGCATTCAGCACCTGGATTCAAGGCTGGATCACCGTCTTTGGATGGCAGGCCTCAACAACCAGTATCTGCTACTTGGTGGCATCCCAGATCCAAAGCATGGTCCTGTTGAATGATTCGGGCTATATTCCCAAGCAATGGCATGGCACATTAATCATGTGGGCCATCATCCTCGGGTCCGGTCTGGTCAATATCTACGGCATCAAAATCATGCCTGCGTTGCAGATGATGGGTGGAATTCTCCACATTACTCTCTTCATTGCCTTGGTCGTTCCGATCATTTTGCTCAGCCGTCGCAGTACCTCACAATTTGTGTTTACCGAGTTGTTCACGGCAGAGGGGGGATGGGAGTCGCCCGGCATTGCGTGGTGTCTGGGTATGCTGACGGTTACTTACTGCTTCCTTGGCTTTGACGGTGCCATCCATATGAGTGAGGAGGTGCGGAATCCAGCAGTCGTCATTCCCCGGGTCCTCGTCCAGACCATGGCCATTAGTGGAGTGTTGGCGTTTGTGTTCCTGCTCGTCATTCTCTTCTGCATCGGCAGCGTTCAAGAGGCATTGAGCCCCGCTTATATGTTCCCTATCATCGGAATTTTCAAGCAGTCTACCAACTCCGTTGGCGCAGCTACGGCTATGCAAACGGCCATTACCGGAATTGGCATGGTTTCCAACGTCGGCGTTGTGGCCTCCGTTTCACGATTGACTTGGGCGTTTGCTCGAGACGGTGGTCTTCCATTTTCTACATACTTTTCTCACGTTAGTCTCCCTTCCGGGTGCGATTGAAACCTTCTAGCATAGCATTACCTCTCTAACAAACTGATTAGGTCGATCGTCAACATCGCGTCCCCAAACGGGCCATTCTACTCGTCTGTGCCGCAGTGATCGTTCTTTCAGTCATCAATGTCGCCTCTGAGACCGCTCTTAGCGCAATCCTCGCTCTCTCCACCAGCAGTCTTTACGTCTCATACCTCATTCCCATTGCCATGATGATCATCCGGCGACTCGACACCAGCCGGGGCCCGATCCCATTCGGTCCCTGGCACCTGGGTCGTTTCGGTATGGCAATCAACGTCTTCTCACTCACTTTCGGTGTCTTTGTGTGCATCTTCGTTCCCTTCCCGACACGGCTTCCCGTTACAGCGGCCAACATGAACTGGTCCGGTCCCGTCTTTATTGGAGTTTGTCTGTTACTCGTTGTAGACTGGACCTTCCGGGCTAGACATAATTTTATTGGACCGACGAAGGATCTCTTACATAGCAAGAGCAGGGCCTGAGCTTCTTGATTAGACATATATAGGACTACCTAGAAACTAACTACGCTACCTAATTTTGATGGATGGATGGTCTGAACTTCTATTTTTCTCATATATAGGCCACATGAATTGATTTCGTGATTCCAGACCTGTCAACCCGACCCGTCAGACCAGGAAATATTCCGCTAGTCGCATGTCATTGCACAACTTACTGATATACGGTGTCTTTGGCATCACTTCCGTCTCGAGCGCGTTCACACGATCCAACAGCTCATCACCATCGCCATTGTGATCCCAGACAACGGTCTCGGCAATCCGTCGAATCTCGGCCTCCTTCTCGGGCTCGACCGCGGGGACCTGGGCCTCGGGCCATGTCGGCGTGCCATCATCTGGGTTGATCTCATAAGACGATGGAAGGCGCCATCGAGCGTAGCCGAGTATGCGGCCCGTCTCTGAATCCACTGCTTTCTGATGTCGTAAGGCCTCCCTTTTGTTCAAGAGGTTGCGCGGGAAGCGCAGGGCTATCTGTGAATGGTGGTACTCGAGGGTCCGATGGCGCCAGGCCAGGACCCAGTGCGGGTCAGTCCAGAAGGCGGGAATGCTGTTGGTAGCTAGGGCGGTGCCATCGGCGACGCTGCATTGGGAGATAACTAGGGGAGCCATGTTAGGTAAGAGATATGAAGCAGCCCCAAAGCCTGAGGCAGTCTGCGGCAGAGAAAGGGCGAATAGTGTGTGTGTCAGACAGAGTCTCGGAGCCTGCGCCTCTGAGGATATTTCAGGCGAAGAGACTCGTGGGTGAAAAGTACGTCGGTGCCTTATTTACCGGAATCCGAAGGTGGTCGGTCCAGTATTTCGGCAACTGGCGAGGGTACGCGTGTACTTTGGACCATTAGCTAGCACTAGTTCAATTGACGTGATATTTAATAGGAGTAGATAAAGAAGTTAAGCCATGTGATATCTACATTTTAGCTCCGGTAATCTCATTAGTCAGTTAATCTAAATCATTTCCAATCGTTTCAGTGCGGGGAATCGCACTTAACAAAGGGTATAAGGATACGCATAGCTTATATAGGGGAAAGATGCCTGTAAATGAGATTCTGCCGATTCAGCAAATGCTTGTAATAACCCATAATGACCTACAGCTCTTAAATTACGGGCAAAGATTTATGGCCTTCTCCCCCCTACATCCGCCGTAAGTACTTGCTGACTTTGGAAAGACTTGCCTGAAATACATGTTAATTTGTCTTGACTGTCTTAAAACAACTGGCAAACCCCCTCCAAGCCCAACCAATATGCCTCCCTAATAACTCGAATCAATCCAATCCCCATAGTCACTGCCCAAAACCGTCTTCTTCGTCACCCCCGTCGAAATAGAGCTCTCATACTCACGCGCCGAGGTACTCGACCCATCCCCCGAATTATTATACTCATAATACAGCGGGGTCGCATTAGCAGCCATAGTCGTCCACCCTTTCGCATTGATCAAGCTCCCCAAAATCGAATTCTGATAGATCACCCGCGCAAGGACACGCCACGGTCGACCGAGGTATACATCCCCGTCAAGATCGAGGCCCGAGGCGGCTTTCACGTTGCAGTGATCGATTGCGTACCAGGCTGTGTCGGTGGACGTTTCGCGGGAGTTTGCGGTTATGGCGCCGGCGCCGTTGGATACAATGTCGCATTCGCCGAACCAGGCAGAGGCGTCGCCGAAGATGTAGTCTACGGCTCCTAGGTGAGTGTTAGAGTGGGCCGTTGTGGGGATCAGGCAGGCTGGGGGTCCGAGGTTCATACCTTCGATCATGCAGTTGGAGTAGTATTGGGTTCCTGCCTTTGCGTATAGAGTATCTTGGTAGCCCGTGAATTGGCAGCCGTAGAAACCAAGTTTATTGGCATTACCGACGAGTCTGCAGATTGGTTGAGATCGATGCCTTTTTGGCAAATAGGGTGAATTGGGGTGTCTTACGCAACAGCCTGTGCACCCTTTCCATATCCATTAACCACATTGATGTTATACATCTTGAAGCCGGCCGAGACGACGTTGACAGTCGCGCTCTTATCGAGACTACCAGCATCGGGCGAGGAGATAGTATGCGTGATAGTCACAGTGTTGTCCTTGTAGGTCCCTGTATCAGAGGTCTCGCCGTACAGAGTCAAGGTCCCGGCATAGCTGATGGTGAGCTGCTCTGTGTACGTGCCACTGGCAACATAGATGCAAGCCGCGGAAGTCGATGAGCCCAGTGCAGTAAGTGCGGCACCAATCGTCGAGTATGTACCTCCCGAACCGACTGTCAAACAGCCTGATGGAGCGCTGGTTCTGCTTGTCCGGCGATTCAGGGCACTTGGTGCAGCGATGATGCCAGTCACGAGCGATAGGGCTGAGAGGAGAGTCGACAGATGCATCGTGCCAAAATATTTTCCCTAGCTCAAGAAGATATACAGTCTGAAGATACTGAGTGGGAAACAAAGCCCCACACGACGATCTATCGAGGATATATGAAGATCCTAAAGCTCTCGACTCACATCCATGAGAATCTATATCTTCGTTTCAAGGATCCCAGTCACATTCCCAGCACCCACTAACACGACGAACTCCTCACTATCATCTAAGCGACGCTCCTCTAATTTCTCCGAGAAATCGAATTTCCATGAATGACAAGCTACCCTGACCCCAAGTCCGCGACAATCTGACACGTTCCCCACAATTGTCTCGGCTATGCTGCCCCCTCGGACCCTCGACCTATTTTAGGCTGAACTCGAGACGGCCATGACGAAGCTAATGCCTGCGCTAGGGGTTCGTCTGATTGTCCGATCCCTGTCAGACGATGAATCTTCAGGGATTTCCGGGGTAATTATGCAGTAGGGATCCGTGGAGGGATGCACATGGAGCGGCATTGGGATAAAGAGTGTGCACAAAGCAGAACCGGGGTACCTAGTACATGATACTGGTACTAGTATCTAGTATCGCCAAGCACATACTCGTCGGTAGTTTGAAGTAAGTGGGTTTGTCCGTATGCAGCTGAGACGTCTGCCCCGTACGCCGTTTCGTCGTGAACTGGAATAGAGACTAAGGAATGGAGATCGACCCGAAAGTCAAACAGAATTTCCTCGAATCGGGGCGTCCAAGGAGGAACTCGTTTCATGTTTGACGGCTTCTCGGCTTCTTTGTTTCCGTAGGTTTTCGATTCGCACGTGGGTAAATCCGGCTTCAGCGTCTATACCATACAATTTTCATGGTTGTAAACATAATCGTCAATTGCTTTATAAAGAGTGTTCGCATTTTGGCCATCCGGAAGTAAAGATCGAGTGGTTTACAGCGCTCGACTTTATCCTTACTCGGTAATCATGAAATCTTCAACGAATATCACTTTCGCATTCCTCGCAACCGTCTCCCTCGGTCTCTCCCTCCCAGATGCATCCCCAATCCTCAATGCCCGCGCCTCAATCTGCACCCCCATCGCCGGAGGATCCTCCTCCACCGACGACGTGCCCTCCATCACATCCGCAATCGCGTCCTGCAGCAGCGGGACAATCGTGATCCCATCCGGAACGACATACTACCTCAACAGCGTGCTGGATTTCGCCGGATGCAGTGGCTGTGATTTCCAGGTCGAGGGGCTGTTGAAGTTTAGCTCGTCGACTAGTTATTGGAGTGGACGGACGGCGATGATCAACGTCAAGAATATTAGTGGGTTGAAGATACGGTCGTTGACGGGGAAGGGGGTTATCGATGGGAACGGGCAGAACGCGTATGTTCAAGACCTTGACACTATGCTCTTTACTACCCTCTACCTCTAGAGTATACGTTCCTGCTGGGCTTGGGGATGCTAACATTCTCGGTAGATGGGATCTTTTCGCTTCGGATAGTAGTTATGCGCGCCCAACACTACTCTACGTACGTACCCAATCCTTCCCTTCCTTCTAAGAGCTATACCATCCAACTTCCACTATATACTACGTACATACTAACTCTTTCCCCCTTCCCCTAGATAACCGGCGGCTCGGACATAACAATCTCCAACCTCCGCCAAAAGAACCCGCCGAACGTCTTCAACTCGGTCAAAGGCGGCACATCCAACATCGCCTTCACATCCCTCACAATGGACGCAACGTCCAAAAGCACCAACGCCCCCAAAAACACCGACGGCTTCGACATCGGCGCCAGCACGAACGTCCTCATAAACAACGTCCACGTCACCAACGACGACGACTGCGTCGCCTTCAAGCCCGGCGCAAACGGGGTCACCGTCACGGACATAACATGCGTCGGCAGCCACGGGTTATCCGTGGGCTCGCTGGGGAAGAGTTCCGACGATACCGTGAAGAACGTGTACGTGTCCGGCGCGACGATGGTCAATTCGACCAAGGCGGCGGGGATCAAGACGTACCCCTCTGGGGGGAGTCATGGACAGTCGACCGTTTCGAATGTGACGTGGACCGGGGTCGTCGTTGACGGGTGTGATTATGCGATTCAAATTCAGAGTTGTTATGGGGAGGATGCGAGTTATTGTGCAGAGTACCCCGGGGATGCGGACTTGAGTGGAATTGTGTTTGATGGGTTTAGTGGGACGACGAGTGGGAACTACGGGTCTGTCACTGGGAATTTGAATTGCGGTGCTGATGGGACGTGTGGGGTGAAGGTGAGTTCGTATACTGTCAAGGCGTTGAATGGTGGGGATGAGGTGCTTTGTGCGAATACTCCGTCGAGTTTAGGGATTACTTGTACTTCGGGGGCATCCGGTTAGAGAGGGTGAGAAGCTCTAGTCGATCCTTTTTTTTCTACTGCGGACTACGGGTGAGATTTCCAGCTCACAGTGCACTCGATCAACGGATTTTCCAAGAAACGCAAGTCTATACAGTAAATTTTGCGATATAAAAAGTATATTCATCATACACCATAAAACGTCCCGTTCCAGCCGCAGCCCGAACCCATTCAATCAAACCCGATTTTCCCTTCGTGCCCCATCTAGGCAGCGGCAACCATCTTGTCCTTGACGTACAAATCGACGTACTTGTCGACATCGTAGTTCTCCAGCTGCTGGCGGTCCCAGCCCACCTTGAGCAGCTCATCAATGCGAGCCTGGTCAAAGTGTGCCTGGAGGTGGCGCTTGTACTTGGCCAGGATCTCGGGCTTGGCCTCCTCACGGCGGAGACGGTGGCCCAGAGGAGCCTCGACGGCGACCTCCTCGAGAACGGTGCCGTCGTTGAGGGTGACGGTCAGAGCGTTGGGGATGGTACGTTTGGAGGGATCGTGGTAGTCGGCGGTGAACTGCTCGTCCTCGACGCAGCGAATGCGCTTGCGGAGGTCCTCAACCAGAGGAGAGGTGGCGGCCTCGGAGCCATCGGCGTAGTCGGTGGCAACCAGGCGGTTGAAGGCCAGCATGGTGGCAACCATGTACTGTACGGGGTGTCAGTCTTGAGACAGGAATGTGTAGATGGCCGTCAGTGGCTTACCTGGACGCAGTGGTCGCGGTCGGCAAAGTTGTCCATCTCCTTGAACTGCTTGTCAATGATACGGATGCAGGCCTCGTGGGTGCGGTTGGTGATCTCCTTGATATCCTTGGCGCTCTTGCCCATCTCGGCCAACTTCTTGTTAATGATCTGGGCGGCCTCAATGGCGGTCTGAGAGTGGAACTCGGCTATTCAAAAGTCAGTCATCTGGTCAATTCGCCAAGGGAAAGATAGTAGTCTTACCAGGATAGGAGACCTTGAAGAGGACGTTCTCCATCACGTAGCTACCGTAGGGGCGCTGGAATTGGAACTTCTTGCCCTTGAACAGGACATCGTAGAAGCCCCAGGTGGGAGCAGAGAGAACGGTGTGCAGACCACCCTCACCCTTCTGCACCTTGAGGACCAGGTTGACGGCACGCTGGCAGGCGTCACCGGCAGCCCACGACTTGCGGGACATGGTGTTGGGCGAGTGGCGGTAAGTACGGAGAGACTGTCCATCAACCCAGGCCTGGGTAATAGCATCGGCAGTCTGCTTCTCGGTGAGACCCATCATCTTCGAGACAACGGCGGTCGTAGCGACCTTGACCAGGACGACGTGGTCCAGGCCGACCTTGTTGTAGGAGTTCTCCAGAGCCAAAACACCCTGGATCTCGTGAGCCTTGATCATAGCCTCGAGGACATCGCGGATCTTGAGGATCTTTCCGTTACCCAGATTGCCACCGGCACGGTTGGTGCGGGAGATCCAGTCGGCGACGGCCAAGATACCACCCAGGTTATCGGAGGGGTGGCCCCACTCGGCGGCCAGCCAGCAGTCGTTATAGTCAAGCCAGCGGATCATAGCACCGATGTTGAATGCACCGTTGACGGGGTCCAGCTGGTAAGGGGTACCGGGGACACGGGGTCCATTGGGGACAACAGTGCCCTCAACGACGGGGCCAAGCAACTTTGTGCACTCCTTGAACTTGAGAGCCTCCAGACCGCAGCCGAGGGTGTCCAGGAACACCAAACGGGCAGTATCAAACTAATGGATGCAATCACAGATCAGCTTGAGATTCTCGCAATTAAGAAAAGTCCCCGATATCGAAAACTTCATAAAGGAACTCAAAAAACTCACCGCCAGATCAGAGTCCACATTGTACTGGTGGATGTAGCTGGCCATGTCCTGAATCTCCGGGTCATAGGCCTTGTCGGCGGAGGGAACCGCGGGAGCGGCAGATTGACGGGCAGCCATAGTGGAAAAGCGAGGAGCGCGGTGAACACGAGGAGCAGCGATGGCAGCAAGGTGAGAGGAGGAAGAAGAAGCGAAAGTGGGAGAGAGTCTGGAGACGGGGATGCGGGCCAAAGTGCGGGGAGACGTGTGGGTCAACCGTCTCACGGCGGGAAGGGACATGATCAAACTGCGCAATGGCAACGGGAATGGGAGAGGGAAGACGGAGGGAGGAATTGAGCAAGGATCAAGAGTGTCAAGAATGATCCGAGAAAATGGGAGGGGGGAGAAGTGTAGGGAGAAGAAAGGAAAGAAGCAGGGACAGGAGTCGAACAAAAGAAGTTCGGAGAATGTGGAGTTTGTTTGGTTGGGGTCGTCCCTGTCTCTGGGCGGCCGGGCGGAGGGTGTTCAAGCTGATCTCCTCTTGCCGAGGAACAGACACCTCGGTTAGTGTCGGATAGCCGGACGGACACTGTGTACAAGAGGACGTACATTACCATTCCTACACTATTAGTAGGTCGACTACGATGGATGTTCACACCGGGCATATTAAGCCTCAATTTCCAGTCAATTGACATACGGACAACCCGCCGTTCTCTTTGCTGCCCTCATTGGCCAGTTCCAAACCAATTATACCGAGCCGACAAGCTCGGTTCCCGGACAAGTCAGACAACAAGACACCGATAATCGGAAGATGGACTTTATTTCCAGCAGTTGGATAGAGAATATGTGCGAAGATCGGACCTTTCTATGCAAGCCAGATGTTCAGCATAGTGGAAAAAACGAGACTATCCAGAGGAGGCAAAAAGTCGCCGAAACCAGAGTACAGGAACACCTATGGGGGCCCCGTTGTAGAACCCGAAGGGCGGTCGGCCTCGGGCCAGCCCTTTCCATGAGAGCGTGTGGCCTCTTCACATGCCCGCCGATCTGATAACCTCCTCACCTTCTCTATACGCCATTCCCCCAATTCACTATACCATCATCCTCCTCCAAATGCGCTGCTATCACCCGTCATTATAATGTCAGTGTGACCACCTTACTCGCGTCCCGCTATAACTTGCTGGCGCTGGCACTCGCGCTCCCGCTTCTCTCGCTCCCGTGCATCGGTAGCCCGCAAGGACGAGATGATCTCCGTGTACAGCGCCTTCGCCAGGGCCGGCGGTACCGCATTGCCAACCTGCTTGCGAACTCCCTTGTCTGCAAACTGAAAGTTCATAGGAAAGGTTTGCAGACAGGCGACCTCTCGGTGGGTAAACTTGCGCCGACCCGAGGGGTGATAATTACCCTCCCCTCCACTGCAGGTCAATGTTTTTGCTAGCTGACGACCATCGAACGGTGCACGCAGTTGCCTTGACCAATTTCTAAGCAAGCTTTGAACATCATGGTCCGGTGCGTCATCGGGGATATTCGTGATCGTATCATTGATGGTCACCACGGGCAGGCAACCACTTCCGGGCAGGTCGTGAGTGATTTCGGGGAACGAAGGGAGGGTCTCGCCAGGGCTATTCAACAGTCAGGAAAACCCAACCCAGGCAGAATTCATTCAATACTTACCCTGCGGCAATGATGATCAGTCTCTTGCGAGTTTGAGGCACACCGTAATGAAGCACATCAATTACAGCCCATCGAACCGAATATCCGGCTTCGATCATATCCATGATCACCCGATTCAATATCGCTGGGAAACGCTCCTTGAGTCCTGCAGTCTCCTCCATCGTGAGGATACGCGGACGCGCATGCTCCATCAGATTCCCCGCGCTGAAGATACATGCCGAGTTATCATCATCACGATCGCAATTGATGGTGTGTGCCGGCGAATAGGTCTGGCACGGTGGCGAGCAGTGGGCGACATCGACTCGGAGATACTCCTTCGAATGGGTCAACAAATCATTGAAAGAACAATGGTCGATCTCAATGTGGAAATTCAATCCGTAAGTTGACACCGCAAAGGGATCCAAATCGCATGCCCACTTGAGCTGCAAGCCTGCCTGCTTTGCGCCGCAGGAAGTTCCACCGGCACCACAGTATGCATCGCCGAACATATATGCGGTGGGATCAACAGTGAGATCGATCACCTCCCGAGACCCTTGCTCGTCGTCATCTGTGACCGTGGGAGGGCCGGTATAACCTACCCGACCCTCTCCAAAGGGAACGGTTGTGCATCCGCGATACAGATCACGCAGAACGTGTGACTCGAAGCCGTATCCCTCATCGCATTCATCCAATGTGAGAAATTCAACGCTCGTGTCATATTCTGGGGTGCGGCTGGGCTGGAGGCCGCCGGATCGATGAGGAGAAATTTTCGGTCTCTTCCTGGCAGTCATCTTCAACCGACAAAACAGTCCAGCCCCAGGTGGATGATTTGTATTCTTTCCCCGGCGCTCGTTAGTAAATATCACCTCGCAGAGGCCTGCCACTTCCATCGGAGAAACGGGTAAATGGCTCTCTATGCTGACGAGATTCGTTTCATGGTCCATCTTGGGAATCCAGACCAGTTCATGCTCGTCTTGGGGGATACAGAGAGGCCATTGACTGTCATGGCAGCCCACCAGGTGTCGGCCCCAGAAACAGACTTGTCCCTCGCGCTGAGTGATCCACTCAATGCGCAAGTACGACCCATTCACAAGCCGAATGGATGATGATGGATGAAGGATCTCGCCATTTAGCTCGACGTGGTCAATTTCACCGGCCAGCGTCGCTCGTGGGGTTGCAAATTGTCTCCGTGGATCCTGCACGACAGATAACCGATGCCCAAGTTCGACATGGAGGGCACACAGATCGTCCTCGATCTCTGACAGGTCAATTGGGTTTGTTGATGATGACCCAGACACGGTGGTGAAAGAATCATCAGTCGTGGACTGTGATGACGAGTTTTCGAGAATCAAAGATCTAGACGAATCACTTGGGTCCTCAGGATCTAAACGGTGGAAAAGGCGGCCCACATCCTTGAAGGACGGATATGCCTTGGCGGATCGCCTTTGCTTGCTTCGACGCGGATCATGGTGTACCCATCCCCATTCACCCATGTCTGGAGACGAAGGCTCACTTGGTGAAGTGGGCGATGAGTGGGATATTTCCATGATCGAATCATCGTCTATCATGATCATAGACAAATTAGGCTGAGTGCAAGTGACATGGGAGCTTCGCCGAGGCATCTCGGGCTTATCCTCTGGCCAGTCTTCCATCTCGTGTGATTTTGAAGTCAGAGGTAGAGACGCAGAAGGTGATAGAAGGGTCTTGTCGGGGTAGTGATTATAAGGCTCTCCCGACTCAGAGCCGGATGAAAGGTCGATGATCTCGGGTGTCATCTTGAGAATATGTGGGAAGAGCAAGTAAGTCTGAGAGCTGGACCGAGTTTGACGGCTCGAAAGTCGGAGTAGACGCGGCTGTGTCAGGAGAAATAAGAAGTCAGCGGACAGGGGGAGGAGAAGAGAGCGAAAGAGCGAAATGAAAAGACGCGCTGGAGAGAGGCAGAGTGTGTGGGATTTGAAGTTTTAGAACTGACGGATAGTCCTCAGCAGAAGTAAGGCTGCTTTTGTCCGTCCTAGATGCGAGGTTATACAATGCGTTTAGTCGGGGCAGGTGAGTCTTGAAAAGAAGGTGTGAATTACGCTCTGTTCTGGAGACAAAGGTGAGCGGGGCGAAGCAGACAATGAGTAGGTCTTTATTTGAAGGTAAGCTTGTTTGTCAAATGCTTATCACAAAGACAAGCGTAGGATCTCTAGAATTATCATGATAAATAGTGAATAGTGCTTCGTGGTGTAGAAACTTTTTGTCTCCTCCTTATCATATACAGAATTCCCTCTGGCTAGACTTCCCATATCCAGCAAATGTAATTACTATCGTAGGCTACCGCATGGATAAGGACCATCTAGATACTTATTTTGGGAGGGTTGAAGTAGAGGGTTATTCACACTGCTGTAAATTCTAAAGAGTTCTCATTTGATATCATGGCACGCATTAATGCCATAACCCTCAGATACGTTGTCTATATCGTACATGCCCAAACGGTTACTTCTTCTTACGACCATGAAATCAAAGAAAATTTACATTAGTTCAAGGTAGTAGGAGTCAAGATTCATTTTGCTTTCAAATGTATATCGATATTCACCTAATATTTATTTAAATGGTCGGTAATCAAATTGAGTCTTTCCGGTGGTTACTCGATTAACCGCGATTGCTTAGTTATGGCGTAGTCATTACTAATCACAGCGTGACTATACGCAGAATAGGTAATGAAAGACATAGAATCCTAGAAATCTAATTCTTCTCTGTTAATAGATTGATAGGCGAAACTATGACTATGAGCAACCTATGATATAAATCATTCCAGTTCCGGGTTCTCCTACATCCCCGGTTCACCTAGAGAATCACTCTGCATTAGCCTTTAAATGAAAAATTCCTTTGAGTAATTAAAATTCAGAGGGTTTCTCTGAGTTTCTGTATCTTATAAACAAAAATCTTGAATTGCAGGTTCTCTTTCACATCATGCTTCCTGACGTATTCCCATCACCAAAGGTTTCTGAACCCTTACGCTGGGTAGCGGATGAAAGCTTGAAGCTTGATAGATGATAGTATTAGCATTCATTTTCTTATGGGACTCAACAACAAAGTGGCCAGAAGTAAGGTACCTCTCTTCAGAACCCAGGTCATCTATAACTGACGAAGCTTATCGAGCAGCCTTTCACTTTTTGAGCAGAAGATTCTGTCGGCAATATTTGCGAGGGAAAGTCTCGAGATACCATAAAAATTACCTGAAGCTCCGAGAAGCCATGCCTTTGATCATCAAACATGCTGGACTGACCAGTATACCCAGAAATAGCATGATATTAGGCGAGGCATCCCAGAGCCTTGATACCGCCAATCTTGGTACTTACCAGTCTAAATAGTTCCTTTTCACCTTTCATGAGCAGTTTCCAAGTGTTACCTGTCTCCACATTCTTCCAACTCATGATATTTTTTTCCATGGACCTGTTAATCTTCTTATTCTCGTTGAATTCATATCTACTTCATACACCGCCTTATATTGCCAGTAACTCACCGCCTTAGCCCCTCCAGCACGTGACGTCAGTCTTTGTCAGCCCGGAGTCGGCGCGGAAAAAAAAAATCTCAGTGGGGAAGAACCACGCCGGAAAGGAATGCCACTATGGAGATTTTCTTTCCCCTTCCCCTCCGTGTTTCTCGGGGTATCGATGAGCATTGCTCCCCGTCAACTCCCTTGCGTTCTGGTTCTGGTAAGTTGAGCACGTTGTTTCCTTCGCCCATGCCCAATGTCTCTATGATGAACTATGGAATTTTTTATAGATGTTAGACTTCCTAACCTTTGTTGCGGAGAACCTCCAATACTGACTCGAGACACTCACCCCGCTATTCATTGTCAATTTTTTTTGCTTGCAATCTGGTGGCTCAAGCTGACCAGTGTGCCTGCCACCGTGTTCTAGGAACCTAACCTCGCGTCAAGATGTGTGGTATCATCGCTCTGATCTTGGCCAACCCCTCCGGCGCTGCCGCCGTTGATCTCCACGAGGCCCTCTATTTACTTCAACGTGAGTTGTGAAACCTGATATGAGAGCGATGGGAACAAGAACTAAGCGTTGCTCTGGGACAACAGATCGTGGTCAGGATGCAGCTGGTATCGCAACCTGTGCGTCCGGGGGTCGCATGTACCAATTGAAGGCCAACGGCATGGCAGCTAAGGTTTTCCATGACGGTGCAAAGGTCGCCAACCTCCCTGGGTCCATGGGTATCGGCCACCTGCGGTACCCAACTGCCGGTAGCAGTGCCAATGCAGAGGCCCAGCCCTTCTACGTCAACAGCCCGTACGGTATTTGCCTGGCCCACAATGGTAACCTCATCAACGCTCCGGAGTTGAAGCGCTACCTGGATCTTGAGGCCCACCGTCACATCAACACCGACAGCGACAGCGAGCTGATGCTGAACATCTTCGCTGATGAGCTCAGTGAGACAAAGAAGGCTCGTGTCAACCAGGAGGATCTCTTCTCCTCCCTGAGCCGTATGTACGAGCGCTGTGAGGGTGGTTGGGCTTGCACTGCAATGCTGGCTGGTAAGTTACATTGAAAGAAGTCATTTTATGCTGGGTATGGAATTTTCCGCTGACCAAACCTTCCTCTTTTATTCAGGCTTTGGTATTCTGGGTTTCCGTGACACCTACGGCATTCGCCCCTTGGTCCTCGGCTCTCGTCCTTCTCTGGATGGTGAGGGTACCGATTACATGATGGCCTCTGAGTCCGTTGCCCTGGATCAGCTCGGCTTCACAAACCATCGTGATATCCAGCCCGGTGAGGCTGTCATCATTGAGAAGGGTGGTCAGCCTGTCTTCCGCCAGGTTGCTCCCAAGAAGGACTACGCCCCCGACATCTTCGAATATGTCTACTTCGCGCGTCCCGACTCTGTCATGGACGGCATCAGCGTCTACCGCAGTCGCCAGCGCATGGGTGACAAGCTTGGTGCCCGTATCCTCGATGTGCTGGGTCCCGAGGTCGTCAAAGACATTGACGTGGTCATTCCTATTCCCGAGACCTCAACTACCTCTGCCACACACGTTGCTCAGTACCTGGACAAGCCGTACTGCCAAGGCTTCGTGAAGAACCGCTACGTCTTCCGCACATTCATCATGCCCGAGCAAAAGACCCGGCAAAAGGGTGTTCGCCGCAAGCTGAACGCCATGAAGCAGGAGTTCAAGGACCGCAACGTGCTGCTCGTCGACGACAGTATCGTGCGTGGAACCACCAGTCGCGAGATCGTCAACATGGCTCGCGAGGCCGGTGCCAAGAAGGTCTACCTGGCCAGCTGTGCACCCGAGATCACCCACGCTCACATCTACGGTATCGATCTTGCCTCGCCCCAAGAATTGGTTGCTCACAACCGTGACACCGCCAGCATTGCTCGTCACATCGGCGCCGAGAGTGTCATTTTCCAGACCTTGGAGGATCTCAAGGAGTCCTGTGCCGAGATCGCACGTGAAAATGGCCAGTCGGAGCCTACCAACTTCGAGGTTGGTGTGTTCTGCGGCAGTTACGTGACCCCGGTGCGCCCTGGTTACTTCGAACACCTCGAGCAGATGCGCGGCGAGGGTCGCAAGGCCAAGGCCGTGGACAAGGCGAAGGAGGCTGTTGCCCATGGCGTCGCCAGCATATCTGACTTCAAGATTGCTGCCAACGGTGTCACCATGGACACCAATGGCAAGATCATCCCCGCCGACTCCCCCGAGCCCGTCGCCACATTTGTGAGCGAGGCTGACCCCAACCCCAAGGTCGACGATCGCATGGATATCAGCATCCACAACATTGCTGATCACCCTTGAGCGTAGCCAGTTCCTTTTTCTTATTTCCTTTCTCTGTTCATGATTCTCAAAGCCACCACCCTTTTTTGTTTGATTTTGCATCCGGAGTCTAGGAGTTTGTATGGTGGCATACTAGACGGGCGGACAATATTCCCCCAATGTGATGTAACAAGTGACGAGAAAACGCATATTCCTCGAGATTCCCATAGCAATGAACCATTAGCTAGATCTGAATTGAGGTCAGATACCATTCGAACAGAAGAACTCTCTCTCCCAGTACTACTCATATAGTCACTAAATTCGGCCTGATTGACCACCTCGCTTCTATCACCGTTGCGAACTCACTCGCTCTTCGACCTCATTCCCCTTTCCTCTGATTGAATTCAGCTTTGCCGTCATATTCACACCGTCAAACTGACCAAGAACATGATGGCTCGACTCAAGATGAACCCTCCACGGCGTCGGGAGTCACATGAGGCCGACAACATACTCTCCAGCGAGCCAGTCGGAGCTCACCACACTTGTTCGCCCAACGAGCCTCTAAAAGCATTTCCCAGGCCATTCCTCTCAACTTTGCCCCTTCCCACATCTCAAGTTTCAAGCCTAGTTGATTCATCGATCTTAACCCCTTCCGGGATCATTCAGGAAAACAAGCCAATTGACGTCATCCGTGGCAGCTACATTCCCGATCAAGATCTGGCCATCATCCCAAAGTGGTCCGTCCAGCTTCAACGTCGACCCGACTTTCCTTCCTTTTTCAAATTATCAGACTTGGAAATTGGAGAACCAGACACAAACTCAGCGACTCCTGAAGTCTCAATGACCGGGCCAACAACCCGGTCCCCAGCTCGGGACGGCTTTCCCGCAGCATCAACTACTCAAACGGTGCCACAGAAACGCAAGAGAGCCGCTCCAAAGTCAAAGAGCTCTACAACATCAAAGTTCGTTGAGAATGAAAACTCGGAAGCAGTTGGGGATACTGGGGCTTGTGCCTCATCGGCGGCTCATAATGAACCTTCGCAGGAGGCATCGTCGAAGCTCAAGCTCATCTTCAGAGGCCCACAACCAGTGACAACCGACCCCAAAGTTAAATCCACCGAATCTCAAACTACATCATCACTTGCGACAGATGAATTCCAGGATTCTGACAGCCATTCTCCAATTTCATCGCTGGTGGAAGGGGATTCCGGTATCTCACTTGCCAATGCCGAAAAAGAGGGATCCTTGTCAAAGGAGAATGGTGTCTATGGGGTTTCAACAGAGCCTATAGAGCCTGTTTCCATGACGGATACCGTTGATTTAAAGAATCTGGTTCTCGAAGAACAGTCTCTCAGCCAGGTTGATGCTTCGCCTCATACAGCTTCCACGGCTCAGGATGAAACGTTGATCCCCTCAGCTCCTTTGAAAGCTCCTCGCAATCTAGCGACTGATCCAGATACTCTTGTCAAATCTTTGATTTCTGTCAATGGTGTCGAGACTAACGAGGAATTGCCGGATGCTCTTGATACCAACGAATCGGTCACCGCTCCACAGCCCACAGTCGGTGCACGGGAGACTCTCGCTTTCATTGAACTTCCACACAATCTGGGATTCTTGCCTGCGTCCACTAGTAGTGCCAGCTCTACTGTACCCGCAGGTAGTCTTGCCAAAGAGACTCAGTCTCAACCTCTCCGTGAGACCAATGTCACCGACCCGATTATGGATGGCAAGCCTGTGGCTGATACCGCCATCCCGACAAACCTAGCAGCTCAGGAAGTAGATGGAGTGAAAAAGCCAGCCAAGAAAACCAGCTACGGCTTGACTCCTGGTCGAACTCCCTACCCGAATTGGAAAGCCCCGTCTGTTGAAGCGTGCCGTATAGTCAATGACCTACTAACACAGGTCCATGGGGAAGTCATTGCCCCCAAGACCATTCCTGAGCCTTCACTCACTGTAACTGGCTGCGGTGAGGTTCCATCGGTACTGGATGCTTTGATCCGCACTCTCCTCAGTGGTGCCACGACTGGACGCAATTCTGCCAGGGCCTTCGATGGGCTTGTGCAGCGGTTTGGGACACTTACCGAGGGGATTGGCAAGGGGAGTGTGAACTGGGATGCCGTTCGGCAAGCGCCATTGCGCGATGTCTTCAAAGCTATCGAACGCGGTGGCTTGGCAGACATCAAAAGCAAGAACTTGAAGGCTCTCCTGGATCAAGTCTACGAAGAGAATCAAGAGCGCAAGGAGCGCCATCACGCCGAGGACTCTGACACAGAGAAGGCAGGCATGTCCTCCGACAAAACCAAAGAAGCCGATGAGGCCAAGGAGTACGATATCGCCAGTGCCAATGATCATTTCCTCAATCTTCAATACGTGCACAAGTACAGCAAAAACAAAGCTTTGAAGGCTCTGATCAGGTATCCCGGCATTGGACCCAAGACGGCAGCCTGCGTGCTTCTCTTCTGTCTGCAGCGCCCTTGCTTCGCCGTCGATACACACATCTTCCGTATCTGCAAGTGGCTTGGCTGGGTGCCAGAGAAGGCTAATGAAGTCACGGCCTTCAGCCATCTGGATTTCAAGATTCCTGATGAGCTGAAGTACTCCCTCCATCAGTTGTTCATCAAGCATGGCAAGGAATGTCCACGCTGTCGTGCAATCACCAGTCCAACAAGCGCAGACTGGGAGAAAGGGTGTGTCATCGAGGAGCTGGTCAAGCGAACAGGAAGGAAGAAAGTAGGTCCTTCTCGCCCGCATGCGCAAGCTGGGCCTGCAAAGCGGATATCAAAGACGACGAAGAAAACTGTCAAGCGGACCGCCAAGAGGAAGCGTACCACGGCCAAGTCTGACAAGAAGGCGGCAAAGATCACTCGTGCGACAAAGCAGTCTGCAGACAAACAGCCGGACTCTCAGCAAGCCCCACTCGCTGAAGTTGCGGAACAATTGGGAGAGACCCAGCCTCCTCTTGACCAATCTCAGGCGTCAGCACATTCGGAAACATTGAAGCGCAAGCGTGGCGACTCGGATGCCAACGTTCCCCTCAGAAAGCAGCCAAGTCGCACCAGCAAGAAGCCTTATCCGGCTACCGATCCAAAGGCGAAAACTACACGAACGGTGGAGAAGCCAGCTTCTAAGAAACCTGCTCCTAAAAAGTCCGGCACTCGGAAAACAGCCAAGAAGTCACAGCCTGCTGCCGCCGTTGGAACTCGTACGTCGCCACGGTTGAAGTTGATTCTCAAGCAGAAAAGTGGGGAGACATCTTGACACAAACTTTCAACATTTTCCTCTATCTACAGCACGAAACATTGCTTACATTGCTTTATGATTTTTGGTTTTGATGAATTGGTGTGGCGTTGATCTTCAGCTAAGTTACGAACGATATGCCATATACGACGGATGCATTACTATCAATAGCTCAGAAGATCAGGATTTTCGATGCTATGTTTTTAAATCAGAAGGATAGTTAGCTTTTCAACGGGCAATTATTTGATTTAATATTCAATTACTATAACTCTTGTTCTCTTCCTATTAGAATCTACTACTAACCAGCGTGGTTACTCCACATTTCCCACTATCAGACCACAGACCTTATCAGCCCACTTATCAACAAAAAAGATCCCCGAGCCCGCGGAGCGTTCCTCCTGAACACCACAGCTCCAGGGGCAACGCCCATTCCCACCAATCCACCTCCTGCCAGCATGGATCAGCTACTCTCTTACCTCCCGCCACCCGTGCTCGACTTTATCGAGACCCATGGGTCCTGTGTCACCGCCGAACACGCGCAATGGGCTGGCGTCGCGCTGGTCTCCCTAGCCGTCGCCTACGCTGGGTATCTTTATATTCTGTGCCTGAAAGAGGCCGCCGTGTCCTTCAATGTGCCATTACCGGCAGAAGTGCGCAATAGTGCGGGTGGGAAGAAGTGGGAGGAGGTTACTGGTCTCGAGAAGCGCGTGCTGGAGGATCAGGTTCGAGGGGTAAGTTGAAACATGGGGAGAGCTTCGTTGCTGTCGAGATTGTGGTTCGAGGAAGATAGCTAACATGGCTGGTACTTGGACTTTAGGTCTGGAATGATAAATTGATTATGAGCTATTGCCCTGCTGATGGGCGTGTCTTGGGCAATGGTATCAAGCCGGCCACGGTGCAGGATGTCGATGATGCGGTGCAAGCTGCAAAGGCTGCGCAGCGTGAGTGGGCGACGACGAGCTTTGCTGAGCGCAGAAAGGTTCTTCGCACTCTGTTGAAGTATGTTACCCTTTCAGATGCCAGCCGTATACTATGGAGCTTGGCAGCTGACTTGACTCCCCCGCTAGATACGTTCTCGACCACCAAGACGACATCGTAACCGCCTGCTGCCTCGACTCCGGAAAGACCAAAGTGGACGCCTCGTTCGGCGAGATCCTCGTCACTGCTGAAAAGCTGAAGTGGACTATCGATCATGGCGAGAAGGCGCTGTTGCCGTCGCGCCGGCCGACCAATTTCCTGATGATGTATAAGAAGAACATGGTCACCTACGAACCACTCGGCGTCGTATCTGCAGCCGTCTCGTGGAACTACCCCTTCCACAACTTCATCGGGCCCGTCATTAGCGCATTGTTCTCTGGCAATGCCATCGTCGTCAAGCCCTCCGAACAGACAGCCTGGTGCACCGCATTCTTCCTGGAGATCGTTCGTGGCGCGCTATCCAGCTGCGGACATTCACGCGATCTCGTCCAAACCGCCGTCTGCCTCCCCGCCGTGGCAGACAAGCTAACCTCGCACCCGGAAATTTCCCATATCACCTTCATCGGCTCCCGGCCCGTCGCGCACAAAGTCTGCGCCTCAGCCGCCAAATCCCTCACCCCAGTCTGCGTCGAACTCGGCGGCAAAGACCCAGCCGTAATCCTCGACGACGCCCGCACAATCCGCAACCTCTCCGCCATCGCCTCAATCCTCATGCGCGGCGTCTTCCAATCCGCTGGCCAGAACTGCATCGGCGTCGAGCGCATCATCGCTCTCCCGGGTATCTACTCCAAACTCATCGAGCTCGTCACCCCACGCATTCGCGCCCTCCGCCTCGGCTCAATCCTCCTCGACATCCCTTCCGAATCAACCTCAACCCCAGACATGGGCGCCATGATCTCCCCAGCCTCCTTCGACAAACTCGAAGGCCTCATCGCCGAAGCAGTCGGCCAGGGTGCACGCCTCCTAGCCGGCGGCAAGCGCTACACGCACCCTACCCACGTTCACGGCCACTACTTCATGCCCACGCTCCTCGTCGACGTAACACGGGACATGCGCATCGCGCAAGAAGAACTCTTCGCGCCAGTTTTCCTGGTTATGCGCGCCGAATCCCCCACCGACGCAGTCGCAATCGCAAACTCTACGCTCTACGCCCTCGGCGCTAGTGTCTTCGGCCACAACGCCAGCGACGTCCAGACCTGTGTCCGCGGTATCCACGCCGGTATGGTCTCCGTTAATGACTTTGGCGCGTACTACGCCGTGCAGTTACCCTTTGGCGGTGTCAAGGGGTCTGGGTATGGCCGGTTTGCGGGAGACGAGGGTCTGCGTGGGTTGTGTAATCTCAAGGCCGTTTGTGTGGACAAGTTTCCCAAGATTATGGGGACTGCGATCCCGCCGAGGGTGGATTATCCGATTCAGAAGCGTGAGGGGGTTGCTGGTGCGACAGATGGGCGTTCTGCGTGGGAGATGTGCAAGGGTGTTGTAGAGACGGGCTATCATATCACGCTTGGTGGGCGAGTGGCCGGTATTTTGCGGTTGTTGGGGAATATGTGAGGATGGATGGTCGAGTAGGGTGTGATGGATTCGGTGAGATTAGTAGACAGTATTTCTTAGGCTTGTGTCGGTCTGGTCAAGGGCTGGGTCTACGAGGTTGTACGATATATACATTAACAATTATACATCAACAAAATAGTTTCATTTCTCATTCACAAACTCGACAAGATAGCTCATCGATATGGTACATAAATCTTACACAAGATAGGACAGCCGTAGAGTCCTATCATGAAGGCATTGATATGGTCATTTGACCAAGGGTATCACAACAAGGATCGCTCAAATAAAAAACAGTACCCTCAACGCGCCGAACAAGATCCCGTTGCAATGACAATGGAAATCTTGGGCATGCATAACACGTCACATCACTTCTTCGACTAACCACTCTTCTTCACCCACCAATCCTCAACCCGAAACTGCGACTCGGGCATCCAATTCGTCGGTGGGCCACGCCACGGCGCAAGGACTTCCTCAATAAACCGAGTAGCCTCCAAATCCAAAGGATCCAACTGGCCGCAAGTAAACAATTGACCCTGTGGGAAACCCTGAGTGTACTCCAACTGGTCCGGCAGCCGCAGCACGAAATTGGACAACCAGGTCGCCAACTTTGCATTGAGTTGATTGTATTGGCTTGGCTTGGCCTGTGAAAGACGCACGTTTTCGAGCGTCCACTGTAGGATTTCGGGGGCGTTGGGGGGAATCGATTCTGCGCTGGCGCGGAGCAGAGCTTCGAAGAAGGCTGCATTCAGATGGGGGTTTTCGCGGCCCACCTTGGTAACGGTTAAGAAGTGGTCGGAGGGGATTGTGTAGCAGACCGGTTGGCCTTGTCGGGACGTGTGGAAGCGGAAGATGTATTCGTCGAGTTTGAGGAGGGAGATGAGCGCGTTGTAGTTTTTTGTGCGGATGGCTTTGTCGACGCCTTCGTGCAGGGCGGTACGGTTGACGGTCGAGGTAGTCGAGGGGAGGACCGGGGTGTCATTCAAGGCGAAGTTGTTTGAGCACATGCGCAGCATCTCCAGGTACATCACGTCGTCCGGGGTGAAGCCCGTGTTACGGCCGCGGAGGAGATGGTCGGGGAATTTCAAGATTGACAGGGCCGGCCAGATGACGATAGTATTCATCGTCACGGCACGTATCTCCACCCTCTGCATGGGTTTCACGTAGAGCTCGTACCTGTGTGGACTGGGGATGCGCGAACGGGCTAGCATCTCGGGATCCTGGGAATAGTGCGGCGCGAGGATCCTGAGAGGCGGCCCGTAGCCGTAGAAGTCACGAATCAAATCGTCCTGGCGATTCATAAACTTGTCCAACGCGGCACGCTGATAATTGTTCATCACGATACCCAGATTGACCCACTGCCGATGGATAGTGAGGAGCATGATTGTCGGGATCTGCTCGCGCACACGCTCCATGGTACACCACCGAGCGCGAAAGACCGCTTCCTGCAGCTGGCCCCGTTGTTCGCGCGTGAGGGGGACATAATCCAACGGTCTGAGGATGCGATTGATAGGATCACTTAGGCTCAGACGGGGGTTCGGCGGGGGATCATTCCAGAAGGCGAGGATGATCAGGATTTTGAATATTTTCTCCCTCGAGACTGCGGCAGCGATGACGGGCGATGCGCGTGGTAGGTTAAGATTCAACGAGTAGAGGAAAATCTTCTCCAGGATCTCCACCGGCAGAGTCTCGAGCATAGACAGCGAGCGCGGGGCCGGAGTCGATGCCAGGCTCGGGTTCGCCGGGGACGGAATAGCACTTGTCGATCGGGACGAAGTCTGGGACGAGGCCGTTCCGGTCACCATCTTGAAAGGGCGACCAGGGGGCCGCTTGGGCTTGGATGGCGAGCGTGTAGATTTCGCAATCCTGGGGTTGGAGCTGGATCTGGAGATGCGGACGCCTGGTAGAACGCGACCTTTCTTTGCCTCTTTTTTTGCCCGTGTCACGAGGGCATCACCGCCCTGGCGGGGAGCCATGGCATATCACAGTAATGCTCAGGCCCGAGTGTATTTCCCTCTTCCTCCATTACACCCGTGTCTGCAACGAGTATTCCATTGTCGATGTCTCCCGTTGAAATCTCCGAAGGTTTAAACACCGAAAAGGCTCAAATTGTTTCCGGACACCATTGCGTCTGCTGATTGGTGGGAGAGTGGCCCGTTTCCCACGAGTGTCCAGGCCAGGGCTGCGTCCGGTCACGTGGTTTTTAGAGGTTGCTACCCCACTTTCCGATGTCCGGATTAGGATGGGAGAGCTCATCACCTGATATCAAGTGACGTCAGTGACATTTGCGAACAGCTGCAAGCCCCGTCAGGTTCCTTCTTCCTCTGGAGGGGTTCGTGAGAATCATTGAAAGGGGTAGGGGGGACATGAGACTCTACCATGGATGTTAGCAGGGTCAGTGCCAATCCTAAATGCAAAATTCTAGCCAACGACAAGCTCACAAACGGCCACACCAACGAACCTCACCCGCGGCAGGGATCACCTAGAAATCAAGGAATTGGTCCAGCCAGAGCGTCGTGATGACGGCATACAGTTGAGCCACACCAATCCCAATCCGACTACATGCCGTTGTACTTTGTTACTCGAAGTCTCTGCCGTCTTCATCTCATTTCCACGGGTATAATTGCATAACGTGGCTGTCACTCTCCCTGTTCTCCATCTCCCATTTTTTTCTCCCTTCCGTATTGGCTGCCGCAAAACTACGTCAGTGCTATCTCAGCCCTATTGTCATAATCCACACCTGGGAAACATTCCTCTTATCCAGGGAAAAAAAGGAAAAAAGCCTGTGTCCATTTTGCAACACACCGTCTATCATTCACCTCTTTCAGCCAACAGTTACGTAGCTGGAAGTTCCCAAAAAAAGAAGCATTGTGTGGCAGGTCCCGTTTGAGACCCTGGCAATCCAGTTCTAATTACGACCATCGCCTGATCCCATTCCCACGGTGTTTGCTTTAAAAGGCCCTCTCCTGCATCAAGCTTCAACCTTTTTTTCTTCTTTTTACCATGCGTCCATTCACCGACACTTCTACCCACGCTACTGCCTCCTCCAGCTCTGGACCGACCATTCCAACCAAACCAAAGCCTTAAACCACTCTCCAAAGAACCTTACACTCTTGACAAAATGGGTGCCGTCGTCTCCTGTGTATGTGATATCGTCCCTCTGTGATGGCCCATGACAAGACTCCCGAGGTACTAACATCTTGTTTTCTCTTCTAGATCACCGGCGTCTTCCACGCTATTGGCCGCTGCCTCATGGGCGTCGTCAATGCCATCGGCTCCATCCTCCGTGCCATCCTTGACGGCATTATCACCATCTTCGACGTGATCATCTCCTGCCTCACCTGCCAGGGCTGCTCCGGGCGCCGGCATCGTCGATCTAGAAGATCAGCAGTCTGACGGGGCTAACACGGTCCCCTCGACCAGATAGGCCGACCATATCGTGTCACACCCGGGATAAGGACTTGGATCGGCCGTGTCTAGCGGTTCACTTCTTGATGATGACGGTTCTATGATCTATTCGGTTGATTTTGTTTTTTTTCGCTTTTCGACTTTTTCTCCTTTTTATCTATGCTACATACCCAGGCGCGTTAATATGAGAATTACTTTGGATATCAGGAGGTTGTTCAGTTATGTCTTTCGCTCAAAGTCATCTCGTAGGCTATTCAAGTAGAATGGTATGTATGCAGAACATAGTGTTACAGAATACGCCATAATTCAGCATCGCAGGCGCTCATCAATGCTAGTCGCTCAAGTGACAGGTTGTCCCAGTCAACCGCAGAAGATCCTCCTTGGCCGATGGAGGGATCACATCCCACCGCTCATTCAAAATACAATTCGCAAACGGATCCCCAGGACCCCCAGCATACCGCCGTATCAAATGATAATGCGAAGCCTGCAAGGGCCAACTAGACGGAACACGACAATTCGCCGCACGAAACGACATGCGCGACAATCGGCGAAACGGCTCGATCCTATGCTTTCGAATCAACCGCGTCGTAATCTCCACCGACCTCTCTGCCGAATGTTCGTCCTCGTCTAGATAAAAATCCGAAGAAAGTAACTGCAGAAACTCGAATTGCGCGTCCGACCACGGTTCCTGCAGTACTTTATCCGGTATACGACCCGGTCCAATGGCCACCGAACAAGGTAATCGAAACAGGTCATTTTCATAATAAACCTCATTCGGTTCCCGGATCTGCACAGCGCCAAAATGAAACCAAATCGCCACTTTGCGGTCGAAACTGCGCGATGACGAAGACCGCTCTCCGTCCGGTAATTGGGCAGGAAGAACGAGATCTCCCTTTCCACGCCGTCCATCTACCGCTTTATCACAGCTTTCTAGATCCTCGAATCTCGTATCCAGGGAGTCCAGTATACGGCGGTCTGCCTCGGAAAATACCAAATCCGCACACTTGCGCCGGATCGCATGGTCCACGTATTCCCGTTGACACCGCCGCATAAGTGGTAAGGTACACCAGCGACATGCCAAGATCGTGCTCTGCAATTTCTGCCTCTGCTCCCACTCCAATGCCCAGAAATCTAGTGGTGGTGGGAGGAAATCTGGTGTGAAGAAGCCCTCCCGCGAGCCGGGGTTCGTGCTACTGAAGACTAGTCGGATAAGCCATGTGTATAGCACGGGATTGGATAGTGCGCGGGCAAGACGGGGTGAGGCCCGGGGCAAGTTGACCTCCAGACTGTGGAGGAAGATTAATTGTATGATTTCGACGGGCAGAGATTCCAGGCGTGAAGTGCGCGTGTGGACGGCCAGCGGATCGGATGGACCCATTTGCGAGTGTAGAGAGCGAGAGGTCGTTGTTTGGATCGAATGCCTCTGAGCTTTCCTAGCTGGTAATAAGAGGTATGTCGGTTGACTTGTTTACCACAATCGTGCGGCTATGCAAAAGCGCTTTTTAACAGTGGCAGGTAGAATAGAAGAAGGTGAGTCTGTCGTTCATCTCAGTGGCATGATTGCCCACGGTATTCGACAAGCAGAAGAGTCATGACGGGGCCATTGGAGCGACCGGGTCGCGCATATAGAAGAAATCAGAGGATTCGGCGAAGCATCAAGAAGGGGGGAGGAGGGGGGAAGTGGGTAGACCTGAATAGATGGTGAAATGCCATGTCTTGGCATGGCCGGTTAGGCTCACGCTATTCGGCGTTATGACATCGTGGTGTGGCGCTGTCAGCTGGAGATTGCCTTATGGCATTCTAGCTAGAGGGCAGTTCTATGGCCGGATATTATAGACGGTATATTCTTAGTATCGTAGCTATGTCATTAATGTGTAAGGTTGGTCATCATGTATTTGGTGGTACTTGGTTGTGATCTTCGGGTGCTCTTCGTGATACGAGTAGGAGGGCCCGTTCCTGCACGAAAACACGAGGTTGATGCAGCTGCAAATTATTAAGCACTCTCGTTGGTTACGACTCTCGGCCACTCAACGATATATCTCCCGATTTTACCAGTCATTGATATGTTCCTAAATCTTACTACGGTTGGGGTTGCCGGGAAGCTCGTTCCAAGGTTGGTCCCTAAGCCCGATATATATCTTGGTCGGGTACCTGGATATACCTCCCCCTCGTAAGGTGTCCGATCGATTCCCACATCATAATAAGGTTAGTAGATAAAATCAAGCAAGTCTACGCTAGAAACTGCAGTCAAGTCACTCGACAGTGTACGCAAAAAAAAAAAAAAAAAAAAAATACAAAAGCACAAGAGATAGATCTGTCGACAAAGGAAACGCAGAAACCATCTGGATTTGAATTTGTTTCTATACACATCCCATCCGCCCCACCACGCCAACGATGGGAGGTTTCTAACCGTACCCTGGCAAAAGCGCCATATGCTTGACATTGAAAAAATACATCTTGCGGTGTAATGACACGGGGGATAACAAGGGATATAGGAGGGAAATGGTCCCACCGTTTAAACGGCGGACAGATCGCCGAAGCGCTCCTGCAAGAAGAAAGAGAGCATGAGCACCGACGGACCACCAACAATAAGTAGAATGGGATGTAACGTACCTTGTAGCCGGGCGGCATCCACTTGCCCTTGGACACGAGGGAGGCGGTCTTCTCGTCGATCTCGGGCTGGGCAGAGGCAACCTCGTCCTAGAAACGGAATGGAAACGTAATAAGCGACCGATCCAACAACATTCACAGTCCACACAAATACGTACCACGGTGAGGTCCTCGAAGGGACGAGCGGTCTCGATGTTCTCCAGGGTCTTCTGGAGGTTGACAAGCTCGGCATCAATCTTGCCCTTGGTCTGCTCGGCGTTCTGGACAGCCTGGGCCTCGAAGGCATCGATGGCCTTCAGCTGGCGGCTGACATCGTAAGAGGCGGGCTTGAAGGTCTTGAAGTGCTTCTCGATCTCGTCAATGACGGCCTGGTTCTTGAGGATACCGCGGTAGTGGGCGAAGTCGATAGTCTGGGGCTGCTCGGACAGGGCCTGGACCTTGCGGCGGGCATCGTCGTTACGCTTCTTGAAAGACTGCAGAGAGGCGGCGGTCTGGCCGCGGAGGCCGAGAGAGGTCGAAACCTTGGCCCAGTCGATCTTGAGTGCGGCGCTGCGCTGTTTCGGGTAAAGGGAGGAGTTTTGGTTAGCCGTTTTGCTCGTACGAAGCCCCGGCTGGGGGCCGGTCCATGGTGCGCATAGAAATGGGCTAGGTGAGACCTACAGCTGCCATTGTGACGGGAGGAGAGATAAGTGGTGGAGGTGGAGAGAAGAGGGGGGAGGTTTCGATGTGCAGGGAGGTACCGGACAGGCGAGTTTGACTCGGAAAGGTTTGGATGCGGATGGCACGTGACGACCCGGCATCCGAGCATCGGCTGAGGACGACAAAGAGCTGCGAGAACAACATACAAGACCGTAAAGGAACGACGATTGATTAAATTTTGACTCCGAAAAAAGTCTCTGCTCAGGCTACAGAGGTCGAAGGCTAGTCAAGTGTTACAATTTTATCATTGGTGAACATATCAGGCTGTGAGTTCAATTCTTTTTGGGTTAATTTGTGTACACTAAAACGCAATCTACGATGGAATTGAATCCATCGGACTGCTAAAACCCAGGCCACTCAAGAGATGCGCATTGACCATAGAATTGAAGGTCATTATATGCTGAGGGCCATGATCGAGTTCACGATATCATTGTCATTCTCCCGCAGGGCCTTGACAGCCTTCTTGCGGGAAACGCTGGCCTGGGCCATGACCAACTCAATGTCCTTGGCCTCAAGACCAGCCTCGTCAACCTCCTCACCATCATCCTCTTCCTCCTCCTCCTTCTTGGCCTCAACCTCGGGGGCCTTGCCCTTGCCGTGGTCGTGGTCGTGATCGTGGTCGTGACCAGCGTGCTCACCGGCAGCCTCGGCGGCAGCAAGCTGCTGGGCGGCGGAAGCCTGGGCCTGGGCGTTCAGGTCCTCAATCTTGGCCTCACCGAAGATGCTAGAAATAAGAGTCAATAAGGGAATCGCATGAAGTTGGGTGCAGAGAAAGTCACATACATCCAGGTGTTGCTGGAGGGGGAGCGGTAGACGTCGGGCTGGTTAACGACGAAGAGGATCTATAGGACCGAAAAGAAAAGCGAATCAGCATTTCTGAACACAAATTTGGTCGCAATGATGCCCATAGGTAGCTAGCATCATGACGTTTTGCGACTAGCCGTCGCAAGTGGATAGGTGGTGTCTGCATACGTTCTTGGGGCGGCGGAGGGTGACACGGGTGATGCCAGGGACGTGCTTCAGGCCGAGCTTGGCAATGGCCTTGCGGGCCTTCTTCTCGTTGCGAGAGTGGATGGTGACAGCAGCACCGCCGGGGATGACGGGCTCGTCGCCAGCCTCAGACTCAGAGTCGCTCTCGACGTTCTTGGGGACCTCCTCATCGGGAAGCTCTTCAACGCGGGGGTCGGCCATTGTGAATGTATTGGGTGATCTATTGAGCGGAAAAAAGAACAAAATCAAAAGGTCAGTTCAGCGTTCAGAGGAGGTGAATGTTGCGCAATTCGAGAGGGTGAAAGGTGTCGGTCAAGGTGGGATGGTGGGCATTGAGCGGGCAGAGGTCGACAAGCCCCCCCCACGAACCACACAAAGCTCGGGAGACCAAGGAATTCGAGATGGGGATTTCATTTTGACGGGGGATCGGGCAGTTCAACGCACCTGAAGCACAGAGATGAAGCTGTGGTGGGAGCGGGGTGGATTTTGTTGGTTCGTGAGGTTGAAGGTTAACGTAGCTGTGCGGCAGCCCCGTCGGCCGAAAATCGTTAGCGAGGCGGTTACTTGCCCACCCCGGACTCCCACACTGTGCCCTCACCGGCACGACGGACTCTGGCGCCCATGCATGTACATCATAGTTCAAGCTTGAAATCACGAGGATTCAATCTACAGATATATAGAGCATACTAATTCGGGGAAATGCAACTTTTTATTTTCGTTTACAATGGAATCAGCTCTTCTCTGGCCACTTTTACATAAATTCATTTTGCTCTCTTTCCTTTACGGCAAGAAGAGTTTTCCCAGATCTATCAAAAAGAGGAGGTCCCGGTTTGGGGGCCTAGACGCAGAGCAGAACTATGACACAAGCCCTTGCCGGGATATCAAGGTAGTTGAATCATTTTTGCTGTAGATCGATTAATGCATACAGCGATTTTGCTGGTAGAAATTGCCAGCTATTGGAAACCCGTCCCAGGACACCTCCTTCATCCTATGCACCAAACCCTCGTAATCATTTATGACTTGGCAGCGGCAGCCTTGACCTTGGCGTGGGACTTCTGGACCTCGTAGCGGGCCTAGAGCGAAAGATGTTAGATGTAATCCGCAACCAAAGGAAGGGTCGGGATTTCGGGAGAACGGGAGGTGGAGAGAATTGACTGATGATCATGTCGCATGCCAATACGGCGCATTCTCCCACATCGTCATTCCCACCCAAAAACCACGTCGTTATCAACGTACCTGCTTGCGGAGGCGCAGAACCTTGAAGCGCTCGAAGTCGGTCAGGTTCCGGCGGCGCTCAACGCGGTCGGTCTTCTGGGCGAAGCCAGACTTGGCCCACTTGCCATCGATCTCGTTCTTAGCCCACAGCTTCTTGACGGGGCCGGTACCGGCAGCACGGGGAAGTTGGGGGATAACGAAGTGGGTGAGAGTGGCGTGAGCCAGGGGCAGAACGTGACGAGGCACGATCTTCTGCTCCTCGCTGGAGGGACCGTCGACCAGGACCTGTAATAGAAAAAAATTCCACAAGTCAATATACATGTTCCCACACACTTTGTCGCTCGTTCGCATTGGGGGAGACTCCTTCGGAATCTCGATGCATGGTCGGGATATCCCATCTAGGGAGAGGGTGGTGCGAATCGAGCAAAGGGCTGGGTGTTTGGCATTTCTTTCAACGTACACGGCGGTGATCAACAATCTCGACGACGGCGGCGAGCTTGCCAGCGAAGGGGCCGCGGCGGATCAGGACAAGGCGGCCAACCTCGACCAGCTTCCAGGAAGCGAGCTTAACGTCGATATCGGCCATCGCGAATTTCTGGAAGTCACAAGAAAAAAGTCTCAGCGCTCGTTCTCTTTTTATTTAGTTGAATTGTTCGCTGCAGCGGCACTCACGGTCGACCGGGTTGGGATGTGTCGGAAGGGTTGTTGTCGAAAGAGTCGGATTGTCCAAGTTCACTCTTGCGAATTTCGGATGTGCCCACACAATTCTCGCTTAGCGGGCCACTCGCGGCGGGTCTAGGGTTGGATTATGTCAGCGTCCGGATCATCCACGGTCAAACATTATTCCGTCGGGAAGCTTATCTTGCGTTTTTTTTTTCGGCGAGAAAGCTTGCTATTGTCTTCATGTCTCTCTGCTTGAGCAAAATGGTGCTCTGTCGCAAGATTGACATTCTTTTCACGACAACCTTCGCCTTTGAACAATGACACGGCTTCGACACTAACTCTATTTTCCGGCATAGGGTGCACTAATGGTACGTGTCTGCTTTTGCTTGTCTTCTGCCCGTCTGTGACGTCTGTTGCTTAAATGATGCCGTAATTTGCGATTGACCCGGTGTCTGTGAGGCTCTCGCCGGAGCTCTCGATGCAGCACTGCTGGATGATATTCAATTTCTTACATATTCTGATATTATTGTGACACAACGTTGTTATTGTTACTGTTACCATGACCTCGAGCGGACCTCATCGCTAACTGCTTGAAGACTTAGATTATTTTCAAACTTGGCGGTGGAGCTTGACTCGATCTGGATGGCATGGCCATGTTGCCTGGCTTTGCTTACCCACGAGGTTAGTATTTTCTCAATGCCATCGTGGCATGTCTTGCACTACTTCACTCCCCCCCGGCCCGATGATTAAAAATCTTATCACGCCTAGATAGTAATTGAGCTACTGGCTATGATATTACCTTTATCACCAAGATCTCTGAGGACCACTCACACAATGCACACCCTGCTTTGCATCATCAGTTGGGATCCGTTTCTAACTGTTGATAGACTTCCTCAGCTTCATATCGTCAAGAGCCAATCACCGCCGGATAGTTTCATTAATACAAAACCATTGCTTCCAAACTACGAGCTATTTTTATCTATTCCCGTAATCCACGTTAGACATTGTTCGTGTAAATATCGTGTCTCCGTTGTAAATGATTTTGATTACAGTAAGTCGTGCTATATCGTGACTATCAGGGCCTTTCCTCCACAGACTTGAGGCCCCAAAGCAATTCAGACGCTGAACGACCACCCAGTCCGTACAAGCCTTGCCCCCCTGTCAATCCCATCTATACCCCCAAACATGCAAGTGATTTCATAACCCCCATACAATAAATCATGAGCTGGCGCTCGCACCCAGCGTGGACGGGCCCTCCCGGCTCAGCACCCACATGAAGACGAACTGAATCAGATATGCATACACGAACAGGAACTGGGTGCGACGGTTGCGCTGGGAACGAGCCACGGTGTGCATGGCACCGTTGCGCATAGTCGAGTCGGTCGAGTCAGGAAGTAGGACGTACTTCAATGAGCGGAGCTGTTGTTCCCTGTTAGCAAGAGATCAGAATTTGTGGAGAAACCGTGCCAAACTCACCAAGAAGAATGCATTGGCCAAAAAGGTGTACACGAAGACCGTCCAGCCGACCCAGCCACCAGTTCCGCGTCCAGGAGACAGGATTTCGGAAGCAACCAGAGTCACGATGATGCCCACAAATTTGTATCCGGAATAAGCGACCAAGTCTAGGAGCTGGGAATCGTTGTTGATTGTCAAGATGTACATAGCCATCTTCAGGCACAAGATCTCGAAGATAATCACTGCAATGGCCGTGGTGGTGATCGATCCCAGAAGCTCCGGGTGGAAGTCACCTCGGAATCCAGCCAGCAATACCGATAGCAGGATGTATGTGACTAGTGCCATGACGGGAATGTACATGTCAGGCGAGTTGAGGTCGTCCCGCGGGGGCAGGAACATGGAGGAGTATTGCTGCTGAACGATCTGACCGTTCGGCCCCGTGGGATTACCGGCCATTCTGGCCTGTTGACGAGACCAAGGCTTGTGTCGCCATGGGAAGAGGACAAGGGCGAGTTTCCTCAAGACGTATGAGTTGGAGACGTTGAAGTAGTGCTTCAGGGCAGGAATTGAGACGTAGCGGTTGAACTGTAATTCCATATTAGTAAAGGATAGCCGATTGATTTATCCCGACACATGTAGACATACGTTTTGCTCCATATAGTCCTGTCCAGCCTTCATCGCAGTCTGTCCGACCTGGAAACCCATCTGCGCCGTAGGGTCATTTATGAACCCACCAAATCCGGGGGCATAGCTGCCACTGGCCCCCTGTGCAGGAGACGGCTGGTATGGGTTACCTCCGCCGCCATATCCGGCATTTGGTGTCTGTTGAGAGGAGGGAGGGGGTGGTGAGCGCATCATCGGGACGGTCGACACATGCTGTGGGACAGGGTGATGCAGAGGCGGCGACTGCGCGGGCGGCGGTGCGAAGGAGCCCCGGTACATGATGGACCTGAATCAACAGGGAAAAAGGAGAGGAAGAGAAAGCACTGAATGAGACGGAGTAGTGCGTGCTTGCGTCGAGGGGGAAGGTTGAGGGGTGAGAGGTGGAGGGCGTGGAGACGGTTGGAGTTGGGTGAAGTAGAGCGAGGTGTTTATACGTGGCTGAAGATCCGCTCTGCCTCCGAGCTCCAGCATTCGCCTTTCTCCGATCCGCCACCGCGCGAACTTTCCCACTAGGTCTGGTCCTGGTCCTGGTCCTACGCACCCCCACCTCTTTTGATTTCCCAGGATTCCCCTTTTTCCTTGTACCTTTGATTTCTCTTCCAAGCGTATACAAAGATGTTGGAAGCTTTTGAAATTTTGACCACCTCTGGTGTGGTGCTGTGGTCCAAGTCATACGCACCAGTGGGGGCACACGTTATCAACAGTCTGATCAACGACGTCTTTATCGAGGAAAAGGTTGTGCCTCAGAACACTTCGGCAAACGGTGCATTGCCGGTCTTCAAGAAAGAGAAGTATACCTTGAAGTGGAAGAGGGTCAAGGAATTCAATTTGATCTTTGTGGTACGTTTGATCGCCGTCGCATGTCGCATGTCGCAAGTCGCATGGTCGACACTCTCCTGCGCTTTACTCGAATCGCAAGACTTACTTTGATCGCTATAGGCCGTCTACCAATCGCTGCTGCACCTCGGATGGATTGACAAGCTCCTCGAAAACATCTCGACGATCTTTATCGATGTCTACAAAGACCAGCTGAAGGGAAACCGCGCTAGAATCACCGCCTACAAATTCGATGCATACTTTGAGCAGCAAGTGCGGGAGCTAGAGGACAATACGGGTAGTATTGCAGAGGTCTATTCCGTAGAGACTGGGGAAAAGAAAGACCCGCTTGTCTCATCGGACAATGGAGGTCCGCCACCGCCGCCGGTGCCCGGCCTCATGAAGGGTATGTGATTGACTTGACTCCCTTATTGGCGCGAGAAGATTGTGGGCTGACGACACTCAAGCGCAGCACCAAGCTGCGCTAGCCGGGGCGACCTCTGATGAGGCCACCCCACCAGCAACTCCTGATATTTCTAGATCTTCGACTCCCACGGGCCACCTCCTCACCGGGAAGACTGGGCCCGCCGGTCGAGTGTCTCGCCGTGCGCGCAAGGCTGCTAATGCAAGCGCCAATGCCTCATCCGGTGATGAGCATTCTCGCAAAGGAAAATCCACGCCCAAGAGCTCTGCCAAGAAAATGCGCAAATGGGATGCGGATGGGTTTGCTGATGAGGATGACGGGGAGATTTTGGACTATTCTGCGCCGGCGGATGAGACCAATGCTGCCGCCTCGGTTGTGGAAGCCGTTTCCCAGGAGGACATGGGCCATAGGACTGGTAAGGGTCAATTTATCCTGAAGGACTTGGGTGACGAGGTTCACAACATCCTCGATAATGCCGACGCCGAGAAGAGCAAGGGAGCTGCGACATCCGGCGTGGTGGGCTCTGGTTTCAACGCAATTGGTGGCTTCTTCCGCAACATTGTTGGCGGCAAGGTCTTGACAGAGGCTGACCTGCAAAAGCCATTGAAGGCAATGGAGGACCACCTTCTGAAGAAGAACGTTGCTCGTGAAGCTGCCGTTCGTCTTTGCGAAGGCGTTGAACGTGAGCTTGTTGGAAAGAAGACGGCCAATTTCCAGAGCGTCGATGCTGCTCTGCGCATCGCTATGGAGGCATCTTTGCGCAAAATCCTCACCCCAACCTCTTCTCTGGACTTGCTCCGCGAGATCAACGCCGTCACCGCACCTACCACGAAGCAGCAGGCTCCGCGTCCGTACGTCATATCCATCGTCGGTGTCAATGGTGTTGGCAAGTCTACAAATCTCAGCAAAATCTGCTTCTTCCTGCTGCAGAACAACTATCGCGTTCTTATTGCCGCCTGTGATACCTTCCGTTCCGGTGCTGTGGAACAACTACGTGTCCACGCCCGCAACTTGAAGGAGCTTAGCGCGCGCGAGAATGTTGGCGAGGTTGAGCTATATGAAAAGGGCTATGGAAAGGATGCCGCCAACGTTGCCAAGGACGCAGTCGCGTATGGTGCTGCCAACAAGTTCGACGTCGTCTTGATTGATACCGCTGGCCGCCGGCACAACGATCAGCGGCTCATGTCTTCGCTGGAAAAGTTCGCCAAGTTCGCTCAGCCAGACAAGATCTTTATGGTTGGCGAGGCTCTGGTGGGAACTGACAGTGTCATGCAAGCCCGTAATTTTAATCAGGCCTTTGGCACCGGTCGAAACTTGGATGGATTCATTATCAGCAAGTGTGACACGGTTGGTGACATGGTGGGAACACTAGTCAGCATGGTCCATGCCACCGGTATCCCTATTGTGTTCTTGGGGGTTGGGCAGCACTACGGAGATCTGCGTGGCTTGAGTGTCCCTTGGGCTGTCAACCTCCTGATGAAGTGATGAATGACGCTTTGGTTAGTTTTCGATGTCAGCCTATCGAACCATGCATTGCCTTGTTGCATACAATTTGTTTCCAATTACAATTTAATTCTTACAACTTATATCTCTTGGCAATCTTTGCGTCCATCATTGTCTGCTACAGTTCTTCCCCAGCTGAATCTCCCATGCTCGGATCCATACTCGATGCTAGAAATGAACCCCACTGTGCAGATTGCATGCGCAGCAAAAAGAAAGTTCATCTTGAACGATGAACTCAACAATTTGACCTACGCAGGGGTCGAACCTGCAATCTCTTGATTCGTAGTCAAGCGCCTTGCCATTGGGCCAGCAGGCCGTCTTGTTGTAGAAGAATGAGATTTTTGGCTCCACAAGCGAGAGGCGAGTTGGGGCTCTGTTCAAATCCTCTGGTTCGTCGATGAAGATGCGGGTGGGGCATGATATACCTATTTCGGAATGGATTACATACCGAAAGATTTTCTAGAAAACCACAATTCCACAATGAAGACTTAGGTAATTGATTTTTGAAGAGGCATAATTTCCATTAGGTCAGTCAATCTTGGAGACTAACCTAACACTGAGGTATCCTAGCTTATTTAGTCATTTTAAGTTTACGCATTGTAGTTCGAGTACCACGAATGAATGAGCTCCTGAGCACATGCTTCCGAGATAAAGCACATCGAGTCAATGGTTTCTAAATTTCTAGTTCCTTAATGGTTGGATATAATTTCTAGCAAAAATTTCTTGCTAAATGGAAAGATCTAGACCTATCAGATGCAAAAAGAAACTCTCCCTCGGGGAATCGAACCCCGGTCTCCCGCGCTTATCGGTGTTAATGACAAGCGGAAATCATGACCACTAGACCAAGGAAGATGGAATGACCGAGTTACTGCTCGACCACTTGGTACTGGTTGGTGTTCAAGGAGGGATAATATGGCTCTATCAACCTTTCGCCAACTCCATATGGCAACATCAACAACGCGACACTCCCTCATCCACTAATCTTTAGTGAAACAGGGCAGAGGTATTGTATTTGCTCCTTCCCCATACATTTTGGCCTAGCCGTTAGATCATAAGCTGCTGTATCATATGAAATAGAAGACATTTGAATTTACATCGCGAGGGCATCCTGTTTCCTACGGAGCCCAAAATCCGCCTTGGACTCAGCCCAGCACCTGCAATCAATTGAAGTCTATATTTACCGATGATATCGCCTTTGACCGACTGTCCACAATTCAAACTACTACTGCGTGTCGCTCTGTATGCCAGATAGAATTGCATGCCTTTTTCGGTCGTAGTACAAAGTATCATAAAATTTAGAACATGAAATATGCAGGGCTCTAATACTGGAGCGCTGCCAAACGTCGAAGATCTACATTACATGGAGAACATAGTGGCAACAGGGTACCTGCACCTAGTTGTGCATGATGTGCAGATGAAGGCGCAATTTGCTACTTGATTGGATGGACTCGTTGCACGAGGAGTTCGATCTTTGCAGGTAAAATGGCCTAGTAAGAAGGCCCGTGGTTAAGCACAACCATCCGAGAATTTTAGCGAAAGATAGGAAAATATTGTGCTGCGGGATCACTGAAAGAATTAGTCAGGGATAGAGCAACACATAGTTATAGAGTTGTCTGAAGATCGCCCTCTATAAGAGGGTCTCTACTCAATGATAAACTTTGCCCGCAAGCAGCGGACAATGTCCGATTCCCCGCGGGCAGAATGCGATGACTCAGCATCTCCATTCCACAGCTTACATCATCCCTCCAACCCAGATTCGGGCTGTTTCCCAGTTGCATCTATCTCGAGGCAGTCATTCCAATAAGCAGTTTTCTGTTCCTGCCCGGTAGACTCCCTTTGCGACAGCAGCTGAGCACTTCAACACTGCCTCTGGTATCTCTTACTCGCACTCCCATTCTGAGAGCAAGAGCGAGAGCTCGCACACGAGCTAACAGGACCGCGGCTACGGACAGGCGACCAGCCTCACCCAGTTACCGGGTTGAGTGTTCAAGTATCTCGCCGACCCTCGACCCTCCCGGCGTGCTGCAGAAATGACGGCCTTAGAATCAACCCCGATTGCTCGCCGATCCTCCACGCAACATTACCAAACCTTCGATACGCCACCGCCCAAGTCGCGGGGGCGACCCAATTCCGGCCGGTCGGAGTCTTCTGGAGATGGTTCGCACGATCAGAACGAGTTTAATGACCAGCCCAGCACGAACTCGCCATTGCCGAAAAGGCAGATGGCCGTGCTCGCCATCATCGCCTTGGCGGAGCAGACAGCCCTCAATTCGATCAGTCCTTATCTCCCCGATATGGCGTCGACATTTCCAGAGGTGGAATCGAGTCAAGTGGGCGTCTATGTGGGAACGATAGCATCGGCTTTTGCTTTGGCGCAGCTGGCGACCAATTACTATTGGGGTTGGCTGTCCGATCGGATTGGGCGCAAGCCGGTGATCCTGCTCGGGACACTTCTTACTGCGATGTGCTTCGTCGCTTTTGGTTTCTGCAAGACCCTTTGGCAGGCTATACTGGTGCAGGCATTGATGGGTGTGGTCAATGGCAATCAAGGCCTGGTATCCACCTGTCTGGGTGAGATCACGGACCGGAGCAACCAGTCGCAGGCTTTCACTTATCTTCCCGTCCTCTATGGGCTTGGAGGTATCACAGGCCCGCTATTGGGAGGGCTGCTTATCTTTGAGCGCAACCCGTTCACTGGCAATAAGAGCACTTACCCATACCTCGCACCAAATCTCGTTGCCGCCGCCATTCTCCTTGTTGACTTTACTATAACGGCTATTTTCCTGGAAGAAAGCTTGGAAGACGCAGACACAATACCCAAATTCGGAAAGAAGGTTCGCAGCCTCTTTACTTGGCTGTGGCAGTTCACGGGATTTTCGAGACACCCGACTTATCTTCACCTTCCGCAAGCAACGCCGTATTCTTCACTTCACCGTAGCGCTGATAGTGAGGATCATGACAGCGATTTGGACTCAGCCTCCGAAGTGTCGAGCCGGGATAACCACCCTGCGGAGGAGTTGACTTGGGATGAGATTTTCACAAGGGACACCATCCTCCTCCTCCTGACATATCTGATTTTTGCTTTCTGCAATGTGTCTTTCAATTCGCTGTTCCCAATCTTTGCACAAGCTAAGCCGCCCGTCGGTCGTCATCTTACCCCCTCTGAGATCGGTCTGTCGCAAGGTTTTGCTGGCGTGGTGACGATCATTTTCCAAATTTGCATCTTCAACCGCCTGCGCGATAAGATGGGCAACCGATGGTCCTACCGTGCTGGGCTGTTTGGGTTTGTGGTCTCGTTTCTTCTGATGCCCTTTGTGGGTTATAAGAGTCAAGATGGAGAAAGTCTGACTCGCAAGTCGGCTCTCATGGCTGTGGAAGTGTGCTTCGTGTTGCTGATTAAGACGATTGCCTCCGTGGGAGGATTGACTAGCGCACTGCTATTGGTAAGTTCTTCTCTATAGGGGCCTTTGTACCTCTCTCCATTTGGCTATGAACAAAGACTAATTGTCTCCAGGTCACTAATTCTGCCCCAAACCATGCTGTTCTGGGTGCCCTCAATGGGCTTGCGCAGACACTCTCCGCAGCCGGACGTGCCGTTGGCCCCTTTTTGTCTGGCGGTCTTTTCTCGTTGACATCCAAGATCCAGCCCAAGGGTGAAGCGATTGCCTTTGGAGTCTTTGGCGCCGTCTCATTCATCGGTTTCATCATGAGCTTTGGCATTCGCGGTCGATCTCTCGAGGCCGAGGGCTGGGTCTCGGATAGTGATGACGAAAACTATAAATCAGACGATGAGGAAGAGCACGATGGCGCTTGATTGCATTATATAAGCATCCTCTCTTGCAAAACCCCGCCTATATGACGTGACGATTCTTTGCTTTTTTTGTGAGCCCTCTTCGCATTCGAAAATATACATCAAGCAATCCCATTTTGAAGGGATTGACGAAGCATTTTATAGCAGAGCGTGTCCTAGGGGATGAGGTGTTTTCTCTGTCCTCTTTTGGCTCTTTTTTGTCCTACCTGGTTGTGGTTTGGACATAGAACTATATTTGTGATTCGGTGGCTGTTTCAAACATTGTACAATCATTGACGCTGGAAGTTTCTACCATGTATCGTTTCATTGACTAGATATTTATGAACAAATAGTTTCCAAACATCAATACGCTGGCTTAAATACAGAGCCTGTAGCTGAAGTATCGATAAAAATAGAGGTATGTCAGTATATTTGCCTGTATTCAATAGACTTGGCTATCACTACCTAAGAACTTGAAATGTTCGCCCACAACTTGCATACATTCGGTCATGCCGAGGCCAAAACTCTAACAGATATGTGTCTAAATTATTTCCTCTCTAATCTTTTCCAATTTTGGTGCAATTTGTTCTCGCAGAGTTGGTGAAGCATCAATACCATAGAATGAGGTTATTCCCAGGCTTAGAATTTATGGCCATCATATGTAGAATCGACACATTTCGTCCATTCTTTCCGCGGACCCGGTGGCATTAATAATGACTCTGCCACTTGACGCAAGTGCAAGCAGGCGTCTCACACTTCACGGCACACTCTTGCCGAGCATTGATTATTGAGCATTTTGACCGGATAGATACCGGATAGACGCCCAAAGAGAAACCTTAAACCACATATTTGTACTCGACATATATATTTTAATAAATCGGTCTGTAGCTGTACCATTATTTTTCCTCTCACCAACTTTGAAGATTAACTCATCATCCACAATGACGGCCACCAACCACCAGAACAAGCTAAAGCTCATCGATCGGGCTCGAGAGTTCCTTGCCGAAGTTGAGGACTTGTAAGCATCACCACACCCACACGCAGTATCACCGGAAGAAGAAACAGAAGAACGGAACTAATTCACAATTAAAGGACCCCTGGAAAAAACCTTGAAGCACTACTGAATCGTGAATATGGTCCCGGCAACGCCTACTACGAAGACTTTTGCACCCTTATACGAGAAGGCCTGTCGCGCGACGAAGGCTGGGTTGCCACGGACGAGATTGACGGTCAAAAATACCGCCGCTCGAGAATATTGGCACCGTCCGAAGCGACTCGCTATTTCAGCATCACCGCCGTTTACATGGATAGCCAAGAAGAATATCGCGGGCAGTACCACCTCCATCCCTACGGTGAAATCAATTGCGTGATACAAATCGATCAATCGGCTGAGTTGATGGGTATGTCGGGATGGCAAGGAGCTGGGTGGACATCCCCCGGTCCTGGAACTCATCATTATCCCCAGGTTCGTGGAGGTGCCTTGGTGGCTTTGTTCTTCCTTCCTGCTGGGCGGATCTCATATCACAGGGCAAAGCCGGGAGATGCACAGCCCATTTCTATCTAGAACATAAATGACCCCTTTTTGAGTTTCCCATTCAGTCCATCTAGTTTACAGTATAGTCGGGGTACATGGGATGAAATATAGCATAACCTACGCTTGAGCTAACACCTCAAAATCACATAACTTGGTAAATACGACAAACCACAGCTTCATCTCTCTCCAGCGATACAAAATTTCCTTTGACAATTGGTATGGGGCTCTTATAAGAATGAAAGACAGGATATTCAAATTCCAATTGATTTGAGAAGTTATAATGTCACATTACTATAACACGTAGTATTTTAGCCACTTGAATGCATTCCCTGGTTGATGCTAATAATAATTCTCTTAAAGGAACTAATGCATTAGAATTATAATCTAAGTTTTAGGATCCTAACAACTTACCTAAAATAGACGTGGTTAGAGAGACTTGAAGTTACTATTCAACACAATTACTAGTTATGTGTTTTGGAGTTGCCAGTTCAACTATTACGACCTGCACATGTGGTATAGATAGTTCCACGTGCCGCTAAGCAAGCGCAGAGCTTTACACACACGCCGCGCATGGTAGAACCCTGGCGATTATTCCACGCATACAATCAAGCCATTACTTTCCTTCACTCTAATTTATGTCCGAATCATCAGGCCTAGTCGAAGCAGGTCCTGATATCGACCATAGTGTCAGCTCGGCTGTGGATTACGTTGGTTAACTTACATAGTTAACTTAAGTTAACGTAATCCACGGCCGACCGGATCACACGGCCGACCGGATCACCCCTTCTAAATTCGCGTCTTTCTACCAACCTGATTAATTCAACCACCTACCATGCCACCAATTCGCAGTGAATCTAGCCATAAATTGGCCAACCAAGAGGGCAAGATCCTATTGGCCCTTTCTGATTTAAAAGAGGGCCGTATCTCTTCTATCCGCGCAGCAGCAAAGCTATATGAGATACCCTACACTACCCTACATGCGCGCGCCGATGGCCGCGTCTCACGCGTTGATAAGCGCCCATCTGGTCATAAATTGACCCAAACCGAAGAGGATGCGCTTGCTGAGTGGATATTATCTATGGATTCACGTGGAGCAGCGCCTAGACCGGCTACTGTGGGAGAAATGGCTAATATCCTGCTTGCTACGCGCGGTAGTAACCCTCCGCCTACTGTTAGTGTCAATTGGCCATCAAGCTTTATTAAACGCCGCGATGAGCTTCGATCTCGCTTCTCGCGAAGATATGATTACCAAAGAGCCCTAAACGAAGATCCGAAATCGATTCGGCAGTGGTTTACGACCGTACAGCGCACAATCGATGACAAGGGTATACAACCGGAGGATATCTACAACTTTGATGAGACAGGCTTTGCAATGGGCCTTATATCTTCGCAGAAAGTGGTTACAAGAGCTGAATACTACGGTCGGCCACGTCTTCTACAACCAGGAAATCGCGAATGGGTTACTGCGATCGAAGCAATCTGCGCAGATGGCTATTCACTACCGCCATGTATAGTCTTCAAAGGCAAAGTGGCTATTGCAGGATGGTTTAACGAAAATCTACCGAAAGACTGGCGAATCGAGGTCTCTGCCAACGGTTGGACTACCCATGAGATTGGCCTACGCTGGTTACAAAAGATCTTTATACCATATACGAATTCGCGCGTACGAGGTCGGTTTCGGCTATTGATTCTTGATGGTCATGGTAGCCACCTTACACCCCAATTCGACCGAATCTGCACAGAAAACGATATTATACCTCTTTGCATGCCTGCGCATTCATCGCATCTACTACAACCACTAGATGTTGGGTGTTTTGCAGTGGTTAAGCGCGCGTACGGTCGCTTCGTTAGCGATCTTGCGCGTAGAGGATATAACCATATCGACAAGCACGATTTCTTAGTGGATTACCAGCACGCGCGGCTAGAAGCGTTCCAATCAACCAATCCTACTATCAAAAACAGCTTCGCAGCTAGCGGTCTAGTACCATTAGATGCTGAGAGAGTACTTAATAAGCTTAATATCTCTCTACGAACTCCAACACCACCAAACAGCCGGCCAAGCAGCAGATCTAGCGAATTCACACCACAAACGCCTAGAACCGCTACTCAGCTATTCAAGCAAGCTTCTATGTTAAAAGATCTACTAAAACGGCGGTCAAATAGCCCTCCGAGCCCATCAAAGGAGATCCTAGACCAGATGATTAAGGGGTTCCAGCTAGCGCTTCACAGCAGTGCACTACTAGCAGAGGACAACGCGAATTTACGCATGGCGAATGAGAAGATGGTCAAAAAGCGCAATCGGTCAACTAAGAAGATACCCTGCGAAGAGGGTTTAACCATTGAAGAGGCTATACAGCTAGCTACGCAGCTAAACCAGCCAGAGGAAGATGATGGGGTAGATTCGCATGCAGAGGTCGAATTGCCTAGTCAGCCAACTAGGCCAGCAGCTAGGGCTCCGCCTAGGTGTAGTGGATGCAGGGAGATTGGCCACAGGATTAATGTATGTAAAAATCGCTATATCTAATTGAATTGATAGGTGTTGGTTGAGATAATCGATTTTGAAATATTCTTATGGGGGTAGGTGATCCGGTCGGCCGTGTGATCCGGTCGGCCGTGGATTACGTTAGTTACTGTTGCACGGTACTTTATTACTAAGCTGCAACGGTGCAGGAGAAAGTCACTGGACAGCGGACCCGCCAACGTACCTGATTGCTTATAAGTGTTATATCTCCTGTCGGTACTCGAATTTGAGGGAGAACCGGGATGCCTCGTCCAAAGGTCTCTAAGCAAACTCGACAACGAATCGCAAAGGCCTGTATACATTGCCAGTCTGGCAAACAAAAATGTGACGGTTTACATCCATGTGCCCAGTGCATTAAGCGCGAACGGTCGAGCGAGTGCGAGTACTCTTCTCATGTTCGCTCCTATGGTCGTCAACGCCTCCGCAAAACTAATCCTATCCACCGGCCATCTGGAGGTGTCCATGTGGGTAGCCTCAATCAATATGGCCCTGTTGATAAGGACCTCAGAGAGGATTCTAATGCATTCCATGTTGCTATTCCAAGACTACCCCATAACGTGCGGGACTCAAAAGGGAGAGCAAGTATGCGATTACTTTTTGGATACCGTGTGCGTAAACGAGATTACATGACTAAACATCCGTCCTTCACAGTCTACTTCGGAAATTCGGCGGCACTGTCTTTTCTTCAAAGTATCCAAGAGCTGATGGAAGTCGATGACACGCTTCAAGTTCTATCCGCAGGTGCTCCTACCAATTTGGTGTCTGAAGACCTGGTACCTCATGATGGTGACAGCTTTTCCCTCCACGGTTATATCAACGGCCCCGAGATGCTTTCACTTATAGAAGTTTTCTTTACGTCGGTAAATTTTCCTTTCAATTTAAAACTTAGCAAATCATCTAGGACGGCATTAATAACACTGGTAGACTTGTGGAATCCTGGACATCTTCAATCGGTCTCAGATCGGAAGCCTCGTCGACGCCTGGGTTAATGAAACTCTTTCACCATCGAGCGGCAGCACCGCAATCCTGTATCTCGTGATTGCATACGCCGCGCAGACTCGTGACGCTTCTGAAACAGACAAAACAATCTCTAAGCATTGTTTTCACTATGGCCAGCAGACTTCAGTTCTCAAGTTGACAACCGAGCCTAGCATCGAAAGTGTTCAGGCATTTTTACTTATCAGCCTATACATGCTGGGTCAGGCCCAGCGCAATGCCGCCCATTTTAATTTGGGAATCTCGTTGAGTGCAGCGAGGGCTCTTGGGTACCATCGTATACCTGCGGACGCGGAACAAGGGGATCAACTTCCGTACGTTCACTCGTGACCTAAGCCCATGAATGAGCTTTGTCATTGATTAACGTGGACCAGGAGACGCATCTGGAGAACATTATGCTATCACGATTTATTTTTCTGTGCCATGATGGGCCGCACCCCGTCAACATCTACTACTGATTTACTAGAAGGTAATGACACACCGTCTGACTCTAGCGATCCAGACTACGGCCAGCAACTTGGCATGATCGAAGCAGCTCGAGCATTCTCCATAATGAGGCAAACGGTTATCAACATCTACACAAGGCAGTCTGTGCCATTGGGACTACTTGAACAAATTTCATCCGATCTGCAAGAACTAAGAAAACGTGTACCTGCCGGGCTATGTTACCTGGAACAAGGTCTCTCAGAAGGAAATAAACCACTCCAGCGCCAACAGTTTGTCTTACGAAACGCCAGTGTTGCCTGCGATTACCACTTCAGCATGATGCTTCTCATGCGACCTTTTCTGGTTTCCTGTTTGAGGATAAGCTTTCAGAAAACTACAGCTTCTCAAACAGGAGGGAATGAAGAATTGCAAAACTCCACTATCCAAAAAGAAATTACAAGGGGGGCGATGCAAGCTATCGAGGCAGCAATAAGCACCATTCAAGTCATACATGATCTCCACGTGAGGGGTCTACTATTCAAAAATATGCCTCTCGTAGTGTGAGTTACAGCTGGAGAAACTTATATATGCATCATCTAATTGACTTGGCCAGTGCCCGAGTACTTGTGTCAGCCTTGACGGTTTGTGCAGCCTTTTTTGGCCGTCTGGGTGACTCCAAAGAATGTGAACTTGCGATACATCGAGCCGATCAAATCCTTCAACATTTCATGGAAAGCAGTCCTCAGGCAAAGCACTATGATGCTACTCTGAAGAATCTATCCAAGGCAGCGTTTGGCTTTGGCTGCCACGGAGGTAACAGAAATTCGCCTACTGCCATTAACTCCATGTCCGATCTTTTTGGATCGCATTCATGTGATCAAAACAATCTCGTGGCTGGTGGTGAGAGAAGCCTCGCCACGAAATCGGACTCTAGGGGCATCGCTCAAGGAAACAGTTCATCTGAAAATACTTTCGCATCCTATCTTCCTTCAAATCAGTTTTCAGGGATGCCATCGGTATTCGACGATGACAATGTTCCTTTAGAGGGAGACTTCCAACCAGAGAGTGTCGGTCTTTCTGCCGATCAGGCAACTGTCGACTCTTTTAACTTGAATGGCCTGGATGATTACAATCTCTTTCTTGATTTTCAGATGACAGAAAGCATATGGGATATCAACTGGGATGGAATGCTTCTATAAATTAATTGACAAGATGAGATCAGCAAATACAAGGTCAACCTGCGGGATTTGCATTCAAGGACTCCAGACTAGATTGAAGCAAGACCTGGGGTGTACGCGACTCTATAGATCAGCTTCCTCGCACTGATGGTTCCATTTTGCAAATGCCGCAATCCACCTTCAACGGCGGCTAACCCGCCGGGTAGCACCTGATAAGGGTGTCCATTCATCTTTCCTTCGGCGAGCCACTTTCCTAGAAGGCGAAACAGAGCATAAGCAAAATCCACATCTTCTTTGCATTCCTCATCTGAATACGGTGTGAGTTGGCCATGTACCGTGCCGAAAAAGGTGACCCCAACATGAAGATTGGGAGGGAGAGAAGCATAATCAAGCCGAGGCATATAGACAGATATCCGGCTGCCTTCGGGCTCCAGTACCTGCGCAAGCTCATTCCAGCTGGTCCCGTTGTTAATAGCATCAACTGCATAGAAGCACTTCTCCCCATCCAAAGCGGCTTTCAGGTCGTCGACAACGTTTCCCTTGCGATAGTCGACAAAATGGGTCGCAGCATCCAGTGACTCGTCGTAAGATCTGCCGCCCCCGCAGACAGCAATGACTTTTGTAAGTCGGCTAAGCTTCGATAGTTTCAACGAGTAGGCTCCGATCGATGAAGAAGCACCGTAAATAACCAGGGTTGGCTGCACCTCCGCATTAAGTGGAGAAGTTGGGAATGGGATCCCAAGTCGCTGATACAGTCCCAGAGCTGCTGTACAAAGGGCGAAAGGGATAGTGCAAGCCTCTGAATACGTTGTTAGCAGCTGTACATGTTTAGAAACAGTCAAGACCCTCTCCTTCAAGCGATACATGCGGTGGTATCAGGAAACATGTGTTGACAGGCGCCGTGGCATATTCTGCGTAGGTCCCGTTCGCGGTCTGCATCGGGTGCGCGGCGGCGACCCGATCGCCTTTTCGAAACTCGTAAATCTGACTCCCGACTGCTTCAACTATTCCAGACATTTCATTTCCTTGGTTGATTTCCTCGCCAGGAATTAAATGGTCGGGGGCCTTCCAGTCCCGTGGGTTGCTCGCGCAGTATATGACTTTGATAAGTACCTCCTGTGGCCCCGGCTGGGGTAGAAGGACATCAAGTATGTCGCAATAAAGAGGATGAGCTCGAACGATAATAGACTTCATGTTGATCGAGAAATATTTGATCTGTCAATTGAATGTAGTAAGTCGTCCTTGATGGAGAGACCAGAACGGCTATATACAGGTTGTTTCAACCTTCGGTGCGCCATTGACATGCGACAACCCAGGTCATTAAATACGCTATAGTATTCGCCTTACATGAACATGAAATTGAAATCAGGAATCAACATAGAACAGTGAATTATAGCCAGTCTTTCTTAATTCCACAGTTAGGATAGATTCCGTATAGACACCGGATAGATACACGGCTGATCAGCGCCCGAAATGTGGGGACGATACCTGGTCGGCGAACTTTGCCGGGCGCCAACGTATTGGAGTCAATTTGATCTTATTTTGGTCTTATTGTTCGACTTTTCTAGTTCACATCTTTTCACAGTGATTCTCTCTTCTTGAACAGGTTGGATCCCGAGACAATATTCCACCGATCTGAGTACGGCATCTGTTACTCGGAGCACATACCCTCGGAGACGCTGAGAAATACAAGCTCGACGAATCTAGCCGCCCCGAATAATGCTCATCCAAGCAAATCGAATGCCAACCGGAGATATACAGATGACTTTGATGAGTTGGGAAAGTGCAAAGATCTTGCAACGCTCATGCATTTCCTTGATTAGCTTCGGCCGCTATTCTCACTTGCGGTTGATTAGAAGTGATCAATCGCTTTGCATTCATTATGCCCTAAGTCGAGGATATTCAGTAAAATAAGACCAAGTAAATCTGGACACCTGGCATTCAGCTTTATGATACATAATTATTGCCAAGTCAATATATCACCATCCGAATTGGTGTAGTGGCTAACATCGTCGTCTCTCACACGACAGCCAGGGGTTCGATTCCCCTATTCGGAGATTTCTTTTTTGTTTTTTTTCCCCCCACCTCTCCCCCTTTCATACGAGTCAATTTTTAGATTACCCATCTAGTCATAGAATTAAAAATAGTCAGCTTGAAATTCAAGTAATTAGCTATAGCGCGCAGGGGCCATGAAAGTGTACTGGCTCTACGGTGGATAGACCTAAACGGAACATTGTCTGTAAATCTTCACGACTACTGGCAATATAACAAAAGCCTGACTGGACAGACATGATTTCGAAGTAAGCCGGCCAGCCCGTAAGTCCTGACTGTTCGTTTTGAAAGACCTCACCTAAGTTCCACATCAGAAAGAACTGGCCGAGGAAGAGATTGAAGCAGGTCGTGCGTGAATGGCTCACTGGAATTATTATGATAATCTGAGTCTGAGACTGAAGCGTTGACTAAAGTGCGAGTCAGCCAGCATCGATATCCCCGAGTCTACTACGCATGAAGATGCGAACGTTAAAGTGACTACAAATTACTTCCCACTAGGAGTCGTCGGGGCAATTGTTCCTTGGAACTTTCCTATTTCCCTTGCTCTTGCAAGGTGGCATCGTCACTGATTTGTGGAAATACCGTGATCGTCAAGCCTTCGCTATATTTTTTTCCGTACAGTATTCAGATTTCTTCCCTGCAGGAGTCGTGCAGGCTCTGAGAGGCAAGGATAACCTGATAAGTGACCAATTTTGGAGATATAAAGTAGAGTGGCCTTGGAGGACAATGGGGCCCTCTGGGACTGATTAACTCTTTCAGCAGTGCGCGGACATTTCCTTTTGCGAAGTAGCAGAGAATTTTAACATATGAAAAACACTTAAACTGCTACGCGCAGAAGAGCTCCACAATATGATCACCCCCGTGAAGAAGAAAATGCGGGAGGCAAAGGGAGGGCTATTTGGCCTTCTAATAGAGTATTCATGAGTTAGTTGACCTACAAATCCCACTGTTAGATTCATTCAAAGTGCGATCTTGTATGCAGTAGTGATCCATGGATGAGACTGAAGAAGATACTTTGAGTTTTATAACTAGGATTTAACTAGAATGATAAGTAGTGACTGATTGATTGATTGTATGGGTAACAGATATGGTTCTTGATTGTACAAGTGAGAACATAATAGGGGGTATATAACACAGAGAGGGTGTAAGCCACAGTCTTGGAGACAGTACAAAAGGCATAACACAAAAAGACCAAACAAAAAGACAAAGTATGCGTATATACCAAGATTTCAATCAACACCAGCCGAAGAAAAAGAAAGAGAAAGAAAACAAAGGAAATATTCGCTATTGAAACAGTTTAAGGTCGCTCAACGCAGATATCAAAAGCAAATATTCAAAATAACATGACGAAGAGGGATAAGACCCAAGAATGCCAGGACGGTATCCCGCTCAAACGAAGCGCCAACCCGAATCTTGCGAGCCCTGACGTTTCATCACAGACTTGAGCAAACTATCCTTACCCCGCGGTGCGAAAGGATTCAGCTCATTCTTGCGCTTCTGCTGTTTAAGCAATTGTTCTGCAGCATCAACGTCAATGCCCTCCCCGGTATCAGTGATCTTCAACGCCCACTTGACATCATCCGGGTTAAAGCCCAGCTCATTGACCATGTGAGCAATGGCCCGATCAACGGGGTCTTGGACCTGTGGGCGGAGGGGTGGGGGCGCGAGAGCTGGCTGCAGGGGTGGGCTGCGGGAGATGGGGAGGTTTGATTCGGGGGTCAAAGAGCGTGGTGGGGTGCGGCTGGGGGTTCGGAGGCCGATGCTGGCGGTGGAGGAGAGTCGGTCGAATGATAGGGGTGGGACGGGTGGGATGGGCGGTGCGTCGCGGGGGATTGTGCCGTCGAGATTGTGCACGATCGTGCTGAACTCTGACATTGGTCGCTCATCAGCGAAGGATGTACCTGGTGCACCCTCGCGGCTTGGGGGGCCGCGTAAGCGACGTGTGCGCAGCTCTTCTTGGAATTGTTTGCGGCGCTGGAGGGATTGAGGTTGAGGGTAGGCGATCTCGTCGGGACTGGAGGATGCGAGTGAACGTTCTTGCTCTTCGTAGACGCGGGAAACGGCTTCCTTTAGGAAATATGAACGGCTGGTTTCGGTTTCCATGGGCTCCCATTTGGTCAGGCCGCTGGATCGGGCCTTGGTGAAGGTGGCGGTAGTGGCTTCGGCGGGGCACAGCGAGCTGATGGTCAACACGGCGGAGAGCCCAAGAGTAAGCACGTAAGACGTCCACTCCTCTATTGACACCGAGTTAGTAAAATGTTTCTTTCAACGAGTTACTGGTCGATCAATCACTTACCCAGTGCAGTCTCTTCTCGAACGTTATCACCTTCCGGGATATCCAGTCCCTGGAATATGCCCGCGTTTCTAGCCTCGACACACTTGCCGTGCAACGGCTGCAACAGCACTCCCAGACAGGTCCAGATCTCCGTCATATCGTACAGCTGCTTGGCAGAGAGTCCAGCGGCGCCGTTTCCATGAGCGAAACCCTCGGGTGGCTCAAACAGCACATTGTTCATGCCAAAAGGCTCAGTCACCGTGGAAGACGCTCCGAATGAGCTTCGAGCCTTTGGTCCACCCTTCAACCAATCCATCTGACCCTCCAAATCATTTTCGCGACCCTTGCCACTACCGAAGATGCGACAGAACGTCCAAATTCGCCAAAAGGCATGGTCAACTTCCTCCGCGCGAACAAGGTCCACACCAGAGAGCCCTTGGACCGTATCTCTGCGCAAAAACGGCGAGCAGCGAACTAAGATCATAGATTTGAGCTGCGCCAGCGTATAGATATCACACGCATACCGATCCAAGTACGATTTCGGGGTATACTCTGGCAAGGGAGTATCCGGCTCCAGTAGAAGCTGCCACTCATTCTTCCATGGCGGACTCATCTCGCGTAACTCCCATGCGGGCGGCGACATACGGAACAGTGCGCCCTTGATAAAGAAAAGCTCGCGATGCTTGAAGATTTGATAGAACTGCTTCTTGACGAGGACGAGATTGAACAGGTCATCCAGCGAGTCGATCTGGCCCATGATCAACATGACCAGATGGTCCGGCATTTCGATTGGGAAGTCGACGGGCATATGCGAACTCTCCATGAACATGGCGGGCATCGAGGATGATGGCGAGGGCGGCGTTGCAGCGAGCTCGTAGATCTGCTCGGGTGGTAGCTGCACGCTGCTCGCCTGGGCCGTCGAAACAAAGGCATGCATATGTCGCAGCCTTTCGCTGGCGACAAGCTCACTGGCAACGAGCATTTTCTCATCTTCCGGTGGTGTGACGCGCAGCGGAAGAGTCGACAGTTTGGCATTGCCACTCAGCGAGGCCGTCTGCGCGGGGTGGGGATGTTGATGTTGCACTTGGGGGGTGGGGCCGGGGGCGCATGGCGAGGGGGCCGTCCCCTGCATTTGCTTTGGCTCCGGTGGTGGTTGTGTCTGCTTTGTTTGTATTTGGGCGAGGAGCTCTTTCTCGGTGCTAAGCGGTTCGGAGGGGATTGGTAAGCCGAGATCTTGAGTCTGCAGGCGTGGGAGTTGCAGAAGCAGATCGTCGCGCTTGGAGGCCGTGCCTGCATCCAGATCCGAGTCCACCTTCTCGTCCGCGTCCCAATCCAGACTGGGACCCGAGTGTGAAGAAAGTCGTGGGGGCCGTTCGGGGCGGGCCTCCGGGGCGTGTGGGTCGACCAGTAAAGTCTCCGACCGTGAACTGAGGACGACGCTCAGACGGGGTTCTTGCAGAGTCCGGACCCGACGGGTGTGCGTGCGCTTGAATGATGGTATCGTCAGGGTGAAGGATTTCTTCATCTTGGGCGTCTTGGAAATATCGTCGGTGTTCAAGTTGGAGGTAGAACTGTTGGACGGCCACTCGGCCTCGTCCTTGGTTTTGAGGGGTTTGTTATCTTTGGGCGCGGCCTCGTCTTTGTTCTTGGATTCCTTGTCCGGGAGGGGAGGAGACGCCCTCTCCTTGGTCGCGCGGAGAGACTTGAACGTGGCCGACCGGGGCACAGTGGAATCTTCAACTGCTTTGGCCTTTGTGTGGATGCTTCGACTCTTCTTAAATGATTTGGAGTGTGGCTTGGTCGAGGGAGGCAGTGGTGCTGGCCGAGTTGCAACTAGATCACCATTGTGTCGACTGATCTGCAGCGGTCCGTCGAGCACTAGCAGGGTCCGTTGCTGCATATGTGGATCTCTGGCAAGGTCGGCTAGGGCGAATTCCAACTCCTCTGCAGCTTGTGCGAGCGTTGGGACATGGCGCATGCGCTGCCCATTCCTGGTTTCTGACCACTCAGGGCGACGGCCCCGGCGAGATTGACTCGAGTCTCCAATGCTACTCCGCCCGCACCCTTCACAGTTATGACATACCTGGCCCCCGGATTGCTTCCATTGTAGACTTGTGGCTGAGTGACTTGAGTTGGGGTGAAGATAGGTCGAATGAAATCCCGTTGATCTCGAGGCTTTAGTGGTCGCAGATGACGGGGTGTGGTCATTATGGCGAATCGCCAACGGGCTAGGCTCTTGAACGGGCTCGAGAGGGAGAGGCTTGTTCTTGATGTCGTTCAATGACAGTTTGGAGGAAATCGAGGCGCGTCGAGATGGCGGCAACGAGGTCGATGAATAGAGCGAGCTTGCTGGGTAGCCTGGGCTGGGTGCAGTGTCTAATGGTACTCGCGATGCAAAAGACGCAGCTCGCGATGGACACATAGAAGCTAAATCATTGAAGACACCGGCTGCAACGGGGGAGAAGATTGAGTATCGATCAAGTTCGTTTGTGGCTGGGCTGAAGGATTCAGTGTCAACGCTGGTGATCGAACTCCGACGACTATAACACGACGAGGCACAGTCAAACACATCTTCCGAGCCCGATCTCGAGGACGATCCAGTATTCCTCTCCAAAGCTTGATCCACGTCGGTGGATTGGCTTTCGATATCATCTGTCGAGTTCTTGTAGAGGGCGTGGACCCGCTCGTGGAGTTCGGTCTCGAAGATGGACGGGAACTCCATCGGCCTCGTGTGCTGCTGATCGGCATCAGCATCAGCGCTCATCGGGGACATGACTGCGAAATTGCTTGAGGATAGTTCGGGGAAGAAACGCCGGAGGGCGGCGCCAGATCGTGCTGCCGCAGATGGCCTGTCATCAGACAACGGTGAAATATCGGACTCTTCATCATCAGAGGAGCCAGGCGTATCGAGATCGATCATTGTGCGTAGTGATTCCTGAGGGGAAACAGATCGAGTCGGCATAGATGGCTCTGGCGAGGCTCGTTTGGAGATGGAGGTTGCCGTTTCCGACCGTTGATGATGGTTTGTTTCAACTGGTCTGAAGGTTCTGGTCGGTTCTAAAGGTGGTGGACGTTCTGCGAGAGAATCTTGGGCCGGCTCGAACGAGCCTTGTGCTATGGATACTTCCATCTTGAGCGGTACTTCCTGCGCTTCGTCGTCCCTGTGCCCTTTTTTCTCTTTGTCCGATGAATTCGAAATACTGCCTCGCACGGCTCTGGGAAACGGGCCCAGCACAGTAATATCTTTTCGAACCTGCGAGTGGAAGAAACTGCCCTCGAGCCTGAGAGGTGATGGCAGTCGAGTTCCCGTCTTGTTCTTCTGCTTTGTGGAGTTCCTACGCGGCCGAACGAAAGGGAAGGTTCGCCCAGACACCATCTTGGACAAATTCGAAGCAATTGGTCCAATGAGGGGCTTAGTACCCGGGCATTGTTGACTCGAGGCAGATTTTGTCTGTGATCCGCATTTAGTTTCTGGTGCCATGGATGTTGACTTCTTCGTGGACGGGAGTGGTGTTCTAGAAGAAGTATAACAAAGAACGTACCATGTATCGGGGAGCAAATGGGCCTATCAAGTGGTTCGGGCGATGCCAACCTACAGCGCGGCGTCTTTGTTTTCGAGTCTACAGTGGCTCGTCCGACCTGCTCAGGTGGTTGTGATGGTTCTTTGGTCCGTATATTGGAATGCTGCGATATGTTCGTTGAATACGTAGAGATTGATCCAAGAAGTAGAACAGATCACCGTTTGAGATAGGTAAGCAGGTGAGAGGAAGGAAGAGAAGAGATGAAGAGGAAGAGTCCTTGCAAAAGATTATGTTTCAGGGCCAGAAGGTCAACCACGATGGGGGCGAACACCACCGGACTGATATCGTTTCTCGTTCTCTCGTAGACCAAATCCTCATTCTGCTGAGGCCCCCGAATAAGCAGTGGGTGTGGATCCACACTTGCACCCCGTTACGATCGGTACGGCCCCGTATAGTTACCACTTACGGCAGCCAATCACAACCGCCTGACACTGCGACCGGGGCCAAATCTCTATCCAAATAAAAATACAATCACCCCTAGATGACTTTTCCAGTAACGCGCAAGAACGACGAACTAGGTCATTCAGGAAGGAGCTGACACCTACTGACTAGCTCGTCACTCTATACCTCTAATCAATTTTCAGGGCCCGATATTCTCGCCCTCTCCCTCCTTCATCATTGCTACTAAACATTCTTGTCCATCGTAAAGCTACCAAATATAACCTCGAGAATTTACCTTTCCCTCGTATACGGCGGGCGGGCGTGGCTATTCTTATTCTAGAGTTCAAAGGATCGGCAACGCCCACTGCTTGTCCGGGGAATACGATCGCCCGTCAACACGAACGGGAAGTCCTGAGGAATCGTAAAACAAAAATAACTAGTCCGACACGAGCCGCCACACGAGATGGTGTGCATGAATACCCCTTCGTAGCCCGGGGAGTACGGAGAATTACACTACAAATTGATTAGATTAGTTCATGAGTTACTAGAGATACGAAGCTGTGCTCCGTGATAAGCGTGTTCTTGCTATCCTGCGAAACAGTGCGAAACTTTACAAAATCCAAGTTACAGCTGCCTAGACAAGTTTGGATGTCCAGTTATTGTGGTATTTTTTTTCCTGTACTACCTAACAAGTTTGGCCCGATATTCGTTTCCCCGAAAACTGGCCCCGTGTATGGAGGGGCGCTGTTGGTCCACTTAGCTTTTGTGATTGTAGCATACCATACCTTTTAGAATCCAAAGTAGTCATCTACAAAATGTACTCCATCGACTACTGGGCATATAAAATACCCCCAAACATTGGAGTAGCCTACATCCAACAAGGGTAAGTCTGCGCATCTGGCCCCAGCCAACGATCCTCAAAGCAGTAGAACCATCCGAGGGGCCACCTCGTGGCTGACGACCGTATCACCGACAGCGAAGAAAATCCTTCATGATTCTGGGTCCTGCTTCATCAGACAACCCTCGAGGAACGAGGTACTAGGAATTATTTCACGACGAATCTCTGTGCCTTGAGTGTAGTGCCCTGACCCATAGCATGACAGCTCTGTCCCACGCTCACCTGAGTCAGACGTATGACCATGCCATCATTCGCTGCGCTTATGCGAGGAGTGATCTGCACATCATTCATGTCATAGCCTTTGTGTATGACAATTACTAGTTCCCAGTGAAGCTGCGAGTGCGAATGCTACGGCATTCGACGAGTTGCCGCCCCCATGGGGCCGAATTTATCGGTCCCAATAGTCGTCATCATCACAAATCGGCTTGTGAACGATCAAATTCAAAGTTCGTAGAGCGTTTTAGCAACTGTTTAAGAAAGTAAATTACACAGATGGTGGCATGTACAGGTAATATATCAAAGATATGCATCCTCGGCTGCCGAAATACAAGACACAAGGTTCACCCGGTCGGGAAGAGTCACACAAACCCCTGCGTGGATCCTCGGAACAAAACGCCCGGGACGTGGACTGTCCGTTGTACCGCGAAGTATAAGGAAGGCTCGTCAAAGTGAGAACTCATAATTTTGGACTGGCCATACTGCTTGTACCGAATTTTGTGGCCATAACTTTCCTTGATAGCAACCAGTGTATAGCAAGGCTACTATATCGACCCCGCCCATATAAGGGTAGATGCAGCTTCTTCGGTCGAGATCTGTAATTGTGACCTGACCATTGAAACGTGCTACGGCGAAAGCTCGTCGTGTAGAGCATACATCTCAAAAGCAGTTTGAATCACGGCCCTCGGGCTACCTCCTCATCGACGTGCTGACCAACTGGAGCTTCATTTCCCATGCTGACGGTCCCAAATCTGCCTTCTGTATGAGTTAGTGATATGGGGCCTGGGGCGAGAGGATCTGGGGGCCAGGGCATGAGAGGATATCTTCCTCTTTTGTACAATAGGGGCACATGGGTATTCAATTCCAAGGGCCACGTACTTCATGACGGGGTCTAGGTCTGCGATCAATTCCTCGAGGCCTTTTTTACAATATCTACAATGTAACATGGAGGCCGCCCCCTCTTAAGGTGTATCTGGAAGTAGAAATTGGTAATTGTGCCCCCGATCATCGCCGCGATGGGGGTCATTAGCTTTCAGTCAAGGAAGCCGGACAGTTAGAAAAACGTATGGATTAACTTTCTTACTGGTCTACTTTATCGAGAATGACATGTGTCCAAATCACTGCCCATATATGGGGCATAGGCAAAGCTTTGCCCTCCCTTCCTTCGCTCAAAAATCCTTCCCTTATTTGGGGAGTTGATAGTCTCAGTTCCTCTATTCACCCCCTTACCCGGACATCAAACTCAGGTAAACAGCCCATACCACACCAAAAAGACTGGCTACCAGCAGTCGCTGATCCACGGGGACAACGGTGAAATTGAGAACAGACACAAAGGGCCAAAGTTTGAAGCCGGCGATCATGATGGGCCAAAACTCCTAATGACATCAGACGTCAGCCACTGTGGTGAACTACCACATACTTCGAAGTGCATGCATGCTGTTGAATAATAATAGGTGCGATGCGACAGCTTTGGCCCTTGCAGTCGCGTGGTAGCGCAGATCCTGCGGTTCCAATGCGCCGGGCCAGATGATGCACGGCTCAATGCCTTGTCCAGTCCCGTGGCCGCCCCAGACCCCGGGGGCCACGGCCCGAAGGATGAAAGTGTTGCTGGAGGATAGGAAAATGGGGCCAAGTGACATGATAGAAGCAAACTTACCTCTCGGATTTGCGTGAAAACGAGTTCTTGATGTTGACCTCGCAGGAGACCCATGGTCAAGATGAAGAGTACCGTGTTCCAGGTGCCACCAATAGTCTGATCAATAACGACCTTGGTGATGGTGTTGGTGACATTAAGTGCCGGCTTTGAGACTTCTGGTTTCGAGCGCTGAGACTTTTCATCGTGCTTGGGAGCTGTATTTTGAGGGCTTGTACCAGGGAAGGTTGCTTCCAGGTTGTTTTGCCAGATGAAGTTCAACGGCGTAGTGATGATGGCGCATGTAGTGAATTGTATCAAGGCCTGAGTGTCGATTTCAAAGGCAATCTGCGGAGAGGTTAGAATAGAATGATGAGATAGATACAAGGCATAATTGTGATGGTAGAAGCATCTCTCGAAATAAAGTTGCCAATCTGTGTAGTCCCTGGCTCCTTTTGGGCACCATCAACCCCTCACTTTGTTGTACATAGCAAAACCACAAGCAGCTCATCTCGCCACTTGCTGCTTTGTGTGTCGGAGAATAAAATAATAGCCTAGATATCGAGGAAAGTATACTCACATCATTCCTATAAGCCTTGATATACTGGGCCAAGACATTGGACCCAGCGTTAATGACCACCGCCTGCAGCGTGGCCTTTACGATGGGTGGGACCGCCATATTGAAGCCCACGGGCGAAGCAGTCAACCCCTGTCCGTTTCGGTGTGACCTCGCCTTGAATCCTCTTAGTCAAATAGTCGACCTGAACTCGCCCTCACAGCCTTGATTATAATGTTGACTCAACCGTTCGGGGTCGCGATTGAAGGTCGGATTTGAAGCGACTTGTTTTTAGTGGGAGGGACAGATAGGACTAACCGCAAAGGTACAAGTGCTTGCCGGCGCCGACCCGCACCAAATCTGGAGCTGATCTCCACTTCTAGTCAAGCTTGGTGCTAATTTTAGGTATCGCAGAACAAGGCCTATTGCGGATAACACGATTAGATGGCTTGACTGTCACGATGGAGATAGAGAAAGAGGCGATGCAAAGTTGAATAGCAATATGGACACGAGGGGAAAACAACACGGGTCTGGTAACCTGGTGGGGTACTGAGTGGGCTTGACCATTGCTTTTCTTTTCCCCGCGTGTTGCATGCTGGTATGTTACACGGCAGTCGATATATTGGTAAACTGGAGGGAAAGCTCGTTAGCAAAAGCTCATGTTGTTCACCACTAGATATTTTCTATGCATAATCTTTCTACCTCGATCGTTTAAGTACTGCCGAGCATTTCAAAGGGGCTATGAATACTGACGACGAGGTGATTCAAAGATCCCGGGTGTGAAACTGGCAAAATGTGTATTTCCGAAATATAGAAGTACCCCCGGGTGTTGAGTCGGATCTCCTCGAAGGTGGTTCTCCAACCAAACATAATCGCGACAAGCTCAAGCAATGACACTGATGATAACCGCACTTCAGTATTTCGTCTGTCAACGGATGCTATCTTCAATAGCTCTTGTATTTCTGTTGAGGTTGATCCTCTCATGCATGCACCAAGACCATCACTTGTAGACTTGGTTAAATATCTAGACTATTCTCATTTCTTTGAGCGCTACCAGAATACGAGATTACCCAGGTTGCCGTACTTTCCATGCCTTGCACCAATCACCAGTCGAGTCCATTCGAGCCACTACCCGATCGAGAGCCAGAGCCGGCACAATCGATATCCTTGCACACTATGCGATATGTTAATATAGTGACGATCCAAAACTTGAAACAAAACGTACGCTGCTCGGCTTGTTGGAACAAAGAGCTCCCCTTGGGTTGACGCATCGCGGGAAGAATCTGGCTACCGTTCTTCTTCTCAAGTCTCAGGTGTCCTTGAAGCTGATCTAGAATCTGGCTAGTATTGGAACTACTATCAAGAGACCCAGGAGTAACGGATGAGAATTCAGTCTCGATTTTCTGCAAGATGTTCTTGATGGCTTCCGCGATAGAATTTGTGAGTTCACCCTCGTTGTTCCCGGTGGTCGACGATAGGCCGAACATGTCATAGCGGACCTGTGTAGTTGATTCTGATGCCGGGATAAAAGAAAGGGATATCCAGAAATGGCCGTCTTCGAATGAATAAAAAAAATTTCGAGGGAAAATGTGAGATTTGGCTTTGCTGCTATGCTGTCGGATGAATTTCAAAAACTTTGTTGCTACTGAAGGTGAAGCCGCAGCTGATACGATTTCCTCAAGCTGGTCTGCAACAACTGGGTGGTATTGAAGGCTCACTAGAGATTTTTAGTCAATGTTTAGGGAGATAGCCTTTCTCTTGGCAAACTTACTTCCAAACTTCCAGTTGAACGTCCCCGTAAGCGTCTGGCCCGCAAGCCATCTCGACTTTGAGCCAAGCCTAGCCGCGCTTGCAAATCTGTCTATATCCGAAGCTGTAGAGTTAGGAAACGGAATAAGCTCCCCGGAATCGAGGTTCACAAAGACCATTCCATGGTCAGTAGTATGCGTGTGGATCTCAAACAGACCATTCTCTGACTTATCAAAGCCAGGAATACCGTCGAACTGCGGTGCTTTGACGAGTCGGCCGGTAGTATCATAACTCCAGCCATGGTAGCGACAACCAAGTACAGTAGATATTCCAGTCTCTTTTCTGGTGATGGTATATGCCCGGTGACGACATACATTGTGAAATGCGCGAATCTTATCATCCTTGCCGCGGGTCAAGAAGATCGGAAAACCAGCAATATCAAAAGACTGATATGCCCCGGCCTTGCAGAACTGAGCCACATGTGCAAGATACAACCATGACTATAGGTGCAATAGTAAGAATGTGTTTATCATAAACGGCGCGCTTATCTTACCTTGCTAAAGATAGCTCGTCGCTCCAGCTCAAAGACCTCACGGCTAGACCACCATCCCTCGGGGACATCGGGCTCCTTTGAAACTACCAAATTGTATGTATCGTCCACCTTGGAGGACCCGCCAGAGATCTGATAAGATTTCTTTGATCGAGAAAGATGTGTCCATGATTGATGAGTCAGGAAAAGCACCGTCAACAATGCCACGATCACCGAGCTCGGCGTTAATAAATAGGCACTGAGGAACTCCATGACCTTGACTTCACGGAAGAGAATATTCAATGATAATTGCACACCTCCTTTGTTGTTCTAGCAGGCACCTTTGTCTGATATAGATATAGATCAGAGCATGGAGGCCCAAGTGTCGAAGAACCCCACTTTACACAGTTCACCCACGACGCCGTATGTAGCACCCCCGCCCTATCTAAGGATTTCCCGATTAAGTTGTAATTTCCAGTCATGTGAGGTAGTAGGGCTTTGGTAGGCCAACGCTACTTCGCTATCAGGCCATCAAGTTGGAGATACAGTTTATCCCAATATGGTCTATCCTCTTATCTGTACAACTAATCTTGCATCTAAATAACGGAACGGAAGTGGTCCCGCCTTGGAGATAATAGAAGCTGATACTACTGCGCAGGCTTACAAGAATGGAGAGAGATGATAGGCAGTCTTTCTACTACTAGAAATGTCCCATGATACCATCACCAATACTACGCTAAGCTGTCATCTGTACCAAAGGTGGCGCAACCTGATCCTTTAGCACAGAGTCATCATTCCGCTTAGACGCCCGATCGGCCGCGTGCTGCTCACAGACCATCTGGAAGACTCGCTGTTGGTAGTCTACAGGAGAATTCTATGAGTAGGTTGTCTAAGGATGTCGACCGAGCATTGAACTTACAAGAAACCCCGTTCTCCTTTTCCGGGTTTAAGATACCCTCATGATAAACACCTCTGGCCAAGTTATCCTGGGCCTTTTCGCAAAGCTCATAGTCTTCCATTGCCACTTGTCGGACAAATTTGAAATACTCTTCAAATCTTTCACCCTCGGCGAGGTGGTAGTAGTCAAACTCCATACGAGTAACTTGTGGATCCGCAGTTGGACAAACACGGAAAGACGACATACCGCCACCGTAAACGTTCAGCGTACAATTGGGGAAGAAATAGAGAAACAAACCATCATCGGGCTTCTTGGGGTCCGCGATATGCTGGGAGAAGTTGTGGTTATTGCGTACGGTGTAGAAAGTCGGCGGATAGAAGACCGAGAATGAGGGATGGGTGTACTGGCAGTGCAAGCACTCTTGATACCCATCCACCCTGCATCAATAAAATGTGAGAAAATCGTACAGAAAAGCCTCAACCAATGGCTTTGCAAGGGAATCTCACATGGTCTTCCAATTGAAGCGACCCTCGTAGCGAATGCTGCGTCGGTGGGGCAGCCGAGTGAAGTCGACTTTACCCAATAATTCTTCAAGTTCTGGGAAGAACTCATGGAAGGAAGGGGCATCGTCGGAAATTGTTGAGAATAAAAGACCAGTTGGTGTAAGGTGGCTGCGCAATTCTTTGTCCTGTATGAATTTGAATCAGCCAACTATGGACGCCAGGGTTTCTAGGTCGAAATATACGTACCGTCCTCGCATCAAACACCTTCAGTTCATCGGCAAGAGGATGTAAAGCTTCACCAGACAAGCGAACAGCGTAAATTGGCTGTTGAGCAATTTCATAGTCCACATGCTCGCCTACTTTCTGGAATCGAGTCACCGGACCAAGCAAATACCAGGACTGATCGGAGTCTTAGTTTTCATAGTCATGAAATATGATGGAATTAGGTGCATACTTTGAGAAAGACCGCCTTACGCTCCATTTGATAGAGTGGCTCGTTGCAGTACCATGAGGCAGGCAGGGTGCGAGTGAGCTCGGTCATGTTGAGTATGATGAACTTGCCAATAGATGTACGCGTACTTCAAAAGTTGACGATGATAAGAAGACATGGCAGTGATAGCCAAGAACCCCATTTTATATCATCTATCATGCCTGTCCCATTGCCTAGCTATCATTGAGAGCCCCTCATCATTGGTAACCACCCGTCTGGGCTGCACCTGGTGTCATCTGGTGAATGGGCGGTTTATCGTTTCCTGAAGGAGTTATTAAATCCCTAATGCTATACTAGCTAGTTCAGGCCAGACCGCCGCCTACTGTGCCACCACAGAAGCTTGACAGATCACTAGAGAACAAACTCCAGCGCATTATGTCTCAGGATGGTAAGCTCAAGATGTAACGATCGTGGCGTGGGTGTGGATCGATAGATGCTGGTGGGCCAGGAACCGTCAAGCTTTGTAGATAGGTCAATGCCGACGGTGCCAAGGTTGGGAGGGAAGGTCATAGTAGGTAGTAAGAATTCTTCATGAGCTGTAAGTTCCTATCTAGTATGAAAAACTCCTGGTGTTCTTCTAGACTGCGGTGACCCTTGCCACGTAACTGTCAGAAGTACAATCGCGTATATTTTCAGCGTGTTGCGTCACGCGTGCATGATAATCGAGGGGCTTGACCTCTTATTGATTGAACAAAGTAAGTTAACGGCTTTTGCCCTTTCGAAAAATATCAAAGAAAATATGAGTATGTCCACCTCAAAACGATTCATCATTAGACGGCGTCTAACATGTGATGCTAAAACTAGTGATTCGCCAGTTCGTGATCAGCGGAGTTTGCTGCTGCCTAGACCATAGTAAGTGGCGATTTTGCTGCGGAAAAGCAGGATTCTACAATAATGAAAACACAGAAAAAAGTACAAACCATCCCACGAACAAAGACCTTGACTCAACGGAAAAGGATCAAAATCTGAAAGCTGATTCTGGAGCAGTGAGGAAGACGCCAGAGACAAGCGGAGCTCCAAAAAAGAGGGGGACCGATCTGCTTATCTTATCGCCGATCATTTGATCATTACGTCTTCATCACTCGCCCTGCCTTCAACTTCAACCTTTCGCCCATCGCGTCACCATCATGGCGGGCCCAGTAAAATACACTCCTCCTCCGTCACCGCCATCGCCGACTGCGTCGTTTTACGATTTGAGTGACGATGACGAAGACGAGTACAACACCATCGCACATGCCCGGTCTGGGCGTGGGGTGAAGCTACTCTACTCTAAAAGCAAAGTACGATCGCTCATCGGCCACAGAATTCGCAGAAATAGCTAACGATAGATTAAATCAGGTCTACGTGCACCCTACACCCTCCGCCAAAGACAACATAGCTGGGTTTATCGCCCTGATCCAGCAGAAACCAAAGCCGGGGCTCAGCCACTCGACCAGCACACATTCCCACAACGATGCTTCCTCGTTTCTCCTTGCCTGGGTCCCTGAGGCTTCACTCGGTGATGCTTACAGCACCTACGTGAAAGTCGATCTTGCCGATGACGATTCCCCGCCCCGCCAGCGATATCTCGTTCCGCCGCTTCCGACTACCACCACGCATGCAGACCCGATCGGACTCTATTCTTTCGCCGTCCCCGTGTCAGAAATATACTCTTTGCTAGTACGACCTCCAAGCCTAGGATGGTGGTTTGGAAGCGTTGTGATCAATACACGATCGGGAGGCAGCTTCCCTGCGTTGTTCTTCCATGACAGCGAATGCGAGTCGACGATACTGCAGAAGAAAAAGCGTGTCAGGGAGAGCTTCGATCCGTTTGATCATGACGGTAGTCTATACTGGGGCGGTGATGAGGTCCTGCGTTGGCTAAGGACATACGTTGAGGTTCAACGTTCCTCCGTTGACCGGAACGTCTATCTGATCAACCCTTCCGAGGAAGATCAGCTCTCATTCGGGCGAGGTTTGAACGCCGGGGACGGCACTGTATCGAAGGCCCAAGCGGACGCTACTGCCGCTGGACCCAATGCAGCGGGACAGCAGCGAGATGCCAGCATGGACCCGTTCATGAAGACCCTGAAAGAGACTCGCTGGAAGGTGCTAGAACAACTCAGCAAGATTACCACATTTACCAGGCGGACTGCAAACGAGATCGCCGACAATCCTCGCATTCCACCGCAGGTTCGACGCTTGATGAAGAATCCCGAGGTTCAGACCCTCCAGGATGAATTCGATAGCGCCCGGCTGTATTTGGCGCGGTGGGCCATGAGCATTGCTGAACAGGGCGAGAAGGACCGGAACCAGCGGATCTGGACTGCTCAGGATGTTCTTGAGTCAGAAAATAGTTCTGTAGGCGATTTTGAGATCCTTGAGCTCGAGACGGGCAGCCTGGCCATTCAAGAGCGACGACGAATTGTCACGCTTACCGAGTGGGAGGGCTTCTTTGATCCGGTCTCTGGAAGACTGCATCTAACCGTTGAGGAAGTCAAAGAACGCATCTTCCATGGAGGCTTGGATCCCAATGATGGGGCACGAAAAGAGGCCTGGCTGTTCCTCCTTGGTGTCTATCCGTGGGATAGCAGTCATGAGGAAAGACAAGCGATCATGAACTCGAAGCGTGATGAGTATATCCGCTTGAAGGCTGGTTGGTGGGAGCGCATGGTTGACGGCAACTCGACGTCTGAGGAGTATGAGAATTGGAAGGAACAACGCAACCGAATAGGTCAGGCACTCGGATCCCCCTTTGGAAGTGGAAGTTCCCACCTACTAACTTCCACATCAGAGAAGGATGTTCATCGCACCGATCGTACTATACCACTCTTTGCTGGAGAGGACATCCCACATCCCGATCCGGACTCTCCGTTCGCTGATACAGGAACCAATGTGCACCTTGAGCAGATGAAGGATATGCTCCTGACGTACAACGAATATAACCCAGACCTCGGATATGTGCAAGGCATGAGTGATCTTCTGGCCCCCCTCTATGCAGTCATGCAAGATGATGCCGTAGCTTTCTGGGCCTTTGTTGGTTTCATGGATCGAATGGTAAGTTTTGTCGCATCAACAATGATTCCTTGCACTGATACTTATTTCTTTTTCTAGGAACGAAATTTCCTTCGAGACCAGTCTGGCATGCGATCTCAGCTTCTTGCTTTGGACCATCTTGTCCAGCTTATGGACCCCCAGCTGTACCTCCATCTGCAGTCTGCGGACAGCACAAACTTCTTTTTCTTCTTCCGCATGTTACTGGTCTGGTACAAGCGAGAGTTCGAATGGGGAGACGTCCTGCGTCTCTGGGAGGCACTCTGGACCGATTACTTCTCAAGCAGCTTCCATCTTTTTATCGCCTTGGCTATTTTAGAGAAGCATCGCGACGTCATTATGGATCATTTGAAGCATTTTGATGAAGTTTTGAAGTACAGTAAGTCTGCACTTTCGACTTCTACAACTGTTTTCTCGGTACTAACTACTTTGCAGTCAACGAGCTCTCTAATACGATGGACCTGGTTCCGCTTCTCACACGCGCCGAATCGCTCTTCCGTCGCTTTGAGCGATCAGTTCAAGCAATTGACAAGAAAGACAACTTCCCCGCCCCTTCTGCTCACCAGCGCCGACCCGACACTAGCAGTCCAGACTCGACTGGAAAGGGCAAATCCCCTCAGCGCCCAACAGTGGGATCCAGCAGCGGCGTTCGTCCCCCTTCGGCACTTCAACAAGCAATTGACAAGGACAAGCCGAAGGTTATCTCTCCCGAATTGCGCGAACTTTTGAGAAAGGACATCCCTTGGAGACGCCAGCAGACATCATAGCGGGTGTTGCTGGTAATGTCTTGATGATTTCGAGGGGACACTAATTGCGAGGCCATGGCCTGCTTGCATCATCTAACGATTTTCACGCCTTGTTCTTGTATATCATTCCACTCATTTGTATTAGTTCTTTTCATCTTTCTTCTTCCAGGCGAATAGGTTCGGACTTGGCTTGAGAGCCTAGTTCAGGTTCATGGATTCTCCGATTATGTTATTGCCCCGCCTTGCTTGTCATAGCGCCTGCTACTGAATACAAACGGCCTTTCCAGATTCTCTTCAAGAGTTGTACATCGTTCTACATCACTCGGTGACCAGGCAAGTCAAGAAAATATGTTCCATTCTAAATCTATCATGTATGTATGGAGTGGGAATCAAAAGCGCCAGTAAGCAGTAAATTCATGTTCTATGACTGTCCGCTTGAATGCAAAGTCATGGCTTTAGCGCGGATCCATCCAGCCACCTTGCCTTCTTTTCACACGCAGCGAGTTCATGCGCTCACACCAGGGAAGCAATCAGCAAGACCCTTCTTGTGCTTGTTGGAAGCGTGCTCAAGCAGACTGTACAAAGCGATGTTAGTAAACTAAGAGATCCTGACACATTCATCGGGGAAAGACATACGCAGGGGCCTTAGTAGTCTGCAGGAAAGTCTGCAAGCAGACCTTGCACTGAATGTTCATAGCCTTCTCATTCTACACCCCAAAAAACACATCTTAGACTCAGTATCAAAGCAGATCTCAGAATGGACTTTCACATACGGTCTTGATCTGCGACTTGGCAACCTTGCCCTTGTCGGCGGCGTTGCGCTCGCGCTTCTGGTTGGCCTTGGCTCCCTGTGGACAAACATCAGTTTAGGCTGCACGATAGCCACCTGGGGGGTTCATGGTGAGGTTGCATCTGTAACAACTCGCATATACACCATGAAGGTCTTCGTACGTTACCCATTTTGTAGATTTGCGATATGTATGCGACTGGAGATCGGACTGGGGAGAAAATTTTCTCCACTCAAGGCCGAGCGGATCAAATCTGGCGGGGCAAAAATGTGCTGACTCAGCGGGTTCTATTTTTGACAGGCAACCTGTCAAGGGAAGGCGAATGATGGCTTAGTCTGATAAAAGTCATGAAATATTGTAAAGAGAGGATCTGGTCCGCCAGCCTGGAATATCACAGCAGAATGAAGCCAGTAAAGATAGGCTTATATTGCGAGAGGGGCATCTGTCGCCTGTCTTCTAAATGGCACCATACCAACCAATCAGATCACAGGGATGAGAAGTATACAAGGAGCCACGATATGACTGATCTGAATTCTACGTACACGATCACCTTCAAAGTGTGTGTGACCGTTTTCACCATTGATTACTGAATAATATGGAGCCATCACTTAGGTTCTCCCCATGATATATATCTGCCTAAAACAACTAGTCGACGTTCCCGTCGGTGTGTAGATTTTGAACAAAGTAGGTACTGAGGTGTATCTAGTGTCCAACGAACCCCAAGTTCAGGCCATGCTGTATCCGAAATATCGATCGACATTAATACTACAGTCCCATGAGGATATTTGGCCCCATAGCCTGTCATCACTCCAAGTAGGACTGCAAGAGTAGTCGAAGTTGTTATCCTGATACTCAGAGTCCTAGCTCAGGTGTCTTGAAGCTCGCATAACGATCTGCGCAGCTCGTGCTTTCTTCTACTTCTCACGAACCTACACAGCCCTCAGAAGGGATTAGCAATTTTGGCATGAAGCAAGATTGTTCTTTGCCTCCACGCCCCTCATCCCGTATTTTCCATAACACCAACGAACAGCAAACCGTTCCCTTGATATCATTTCCACAAGTTGGTATTCATCCTCCGTCCCGAGGAGGGTTTAGGCTATGTAAACCTGACATGGATCCCCCAAAGCCGATCAACTAGCCATCGTATAGGAAACTTTGATGGTGCGATGCTCTGTGGTAAGTAGAGGTACCAGTCTTGTTCATCCACCAGGCTGAGGGTGCGTGTTAGGGTAGCGCATTCGTAGTACGCCGGATAAAATCCACTAACCTCCCAATCGATGATTCCAGTAACAGTATAATGGCCATTGATATTGGGATCCCTTGCCACCATGATGTTGTCAGTCCTAACATCACCGTGAGTGAAAACTGACCCAGGTGGCATATCACAATCGTCATGGTCCAAAAGAGAGCGAAGCAGCATGCTGTAGGTGTTGCTGCCATGGTGGCGAGCAGAGAACTGCAAGTCGCTGAACTCCTTGGTTGTGGTGATGCCTTTAAACGAGGTGCATTCGTCCACGCGAAGTTCCTTGGCCCCTTCTCCGCAAACTCCCCCAAGAACTTTCCCCTCATTCTGTCGAAGTGACCTTAATCGGCAGAATATGACTTCCAACTGCTCTTGAAATGATACCTTTGCTTCGTGTGACAGACTGGGCCATACTCTGGTCAACGTTGTGTCTGGGATGTAGGACATTAAGATAACGCGAAATGAACCAAAAGCAATCAAGCCATGGGGCCTTGGGACAGGCATATCAGGCGCTCGCTCAGCAAGGAATTGCATGCTCGTGTATTCCATGTAATCCTTAGTCCCCACAATAACTTTGGCAACAATTTCGTCGTTGCACTTAACCACAACACCTCTAATGGGGCTCTCCCACAACTTCGGCGATTCCCAAATGAGTCTCTCCAACGAAACGACGAGTCCTTCGTTATTCTCACTTGGCTCATCTTTGAAATTCTCTCCCGAGAATTGCGCCAAGAGAACAGCAGCCTCTTTAGACAATGGGAAGATAACGTTGGCGGTCTCGGCAAAGTCCAGTCGTGTGCGGAAATCAGGGGCCTGCATCTCCAGAATATCTCTCTCGGCCGGCGGCAAGACCTTTGCCCCAGTTGCCATTGTAATTCTGCGATTATAGTTTTTTTGGAAATTGGGATAGAATGTTGACTTCGGGTTCATCCCCAGTATATATCACACAGCTCATGTAATGTTCGCGGATTGATTGTTGCCGCATAAGATAGCTGACGATACTGAGAATTGCGATGTTCATGACGATATGAGGCGGGGAACATTGACATGAGATCAGCCTCTGGATTTTTTTTCAGTTCGCTCTGAAATGTGAGCATAAGATCTCTGTTCCATTGCGCCGCCTCAGCGTTGGAGAGTGCAAGGGGTTCTGGAGATGGATCTTCGTCCAGAATTGCAGGTCCACTCATGGTATGGTAGTGTTCAACGAGATAATTTCAGGGGCTTAGAGTAGTAGGGAACTATAGGGGAGCGAGAAGTAGGCGCACTTAGGAAGAAGCAGCAATATACAAAGCAACCGATGGGTCACGCGACTGAAATCAAAGCGCAGCATCGCCCATTTGACCGAGCTACTCTTGCAAGGGCGTTTTGAGAAATGATGAAAAGCAGACAAGTGTGGCTTATATACGGCTGAGCAGACGGGAAGCTCTGTTCTCCACACCCTATGGCCGTATGTGCTAGAATATACTCAAAATGGAAATAAATAGATAGAAGTTTAAAGACGGGGCAAATAACGCCGTCCTTTGATAATCGGTGGCGCGAATAGCTGGTTTAACAAACCATGCCACTAACCTTTTTCCCAACTTCATGTACTTACGACAAAGGTATAACAGAATCACCAGAAGGCTAGTAAAAAGATGCATTCTATTGAGGGGTATTAAATGCAGCCTCGAAAGTGATATCGAGTTAGACCAACTCAGACAGATGAGATATGTACAAACACGAACCCGAAAAAAAACGACCTGGTATGTGAGGATATCAATCGCAACCAAGACCCCAACAAACAATAAAAATCAAAAATTGAAACCAAAATCTTTTCGCCGCGCTGATGCAAATGCTGAAAATCAGACAATATCAAACTGGTGAATAAAAGGTGAATAAAAGGCGATTAAATGCAAATGGTTCCCGGATATGACGAAATTTTGAAGCAGGAAGCGGGAAAAACGCGCTTTACCTGCGGTTACCAAGTCCACGGAGTGAGACTCGCTTGCTTGAGCCAACAGATCTGATATCACTGATACTCGAGACCTTGGGCAAAGAGCGGCGGCCATGGCTACGGTGGTGGTCGTGGTCATCTGCCTCTTGTGGGTCAACAACGCTCTCAGTTCCGGGCGCAACATTCAATGCGAATGACGGAGAAATCACGGAGCTAGATCGGCGAGTTTGTTGAAGGACATCCTCCACCCAAGCTTCACCTTCTGGGCTCATCGAAATCTGTCGCGAGCGGGGCTTCGGACCCGCCAGACCCAGCGGTGTTGATTGCGAGTCGTGGGCGAGGGAGGCAAGTGCGACATTAGCAGGAGAATGTGTGCCTCCGAACGAGTAGTTCGAGGACATGGAGAAGCGACGTCCACCATGTAGTGCAACCGGCGGAGGCGAGATGTAGGAGCTGAGATTTCCTGTGGTGACTGATCGGGGCCCCAAGGCATCAGATGCGTTGGATCCACGCCTCTTGCGGACGGTAAGTGACGATGGAGGTCGCGCACTCATTACGGACGGAGGCCGAGATGGTGTCGCTCGACCGGATGTGACGTAGGGAGAAGCTGCTGCTGATGATAACATGGCAGCAGGAGAGGTATAGCTGGGTGAGGTTCGAGACGTCAGACCCTGTACCTCGACGCGTGGTGTCTCTGAGACCTTGCGGCGTCCGTGATGGATGACATATTCGCGCAAGTATTCGCCAAGATCAGCCCAGCCACCACCAACCCGGACCATGACGCGCTTTCCGTCTTCTCCAACTGTGCGGACGAAGAGCTTGGTGGGCGCTGTTTGGCCTCCATGGTGCAGATGGTATAGTTTCACGTAGCTGTCTTCGGCCTTGTGAGCGTGAGACAATCGCCTCCGTGCGGCAGGCATAAGCATCAACGAAGGGGCAGGGGTGATACTGCGCGACGGGGCACCATGCGGCGACTCTGAATGGCCTCTGTCCCGTATCTTGCGGTCTATAGAAGATGATGAAGAGGAGGTGTCGGCCTCGTTGCTAGGATCGACCAGGTGAATCCGACCAGGAAGAGTGCTCAAGATAGAATTAATCTTTTCATCAAGCTGGTCGCGAGGTCTCCGCCTGTGCGGAGAAGATGAGCGCGAGCCTTCGTCGATCAGCTCGGCTTCATCTTCCTCCACATATGGCAGTTCTTGTCTCTTGACGCCTAGACTTTCCAGGCTGGGATGAGCTGTAAGTCGTTGGCGCAAGCGGGTAGACTTAGGTTGCTCCTGATGAAGCAAGGCCCGATGGGCCGTGTTCATGCCAAAGGCCTTCCTGTTGTGGTCGACATTCTTCTTCGAGTTTTCGCTTTCCTTCAAATCAGATACAGACTTGCCACGAGTAAGTCTTGGGCGTCGACTAGACACGCGGGGTGGTACTTGGGGTGCAGGCGTCGAGAGACCAGTAGTAGCGGGCGGCGGTTTGGTGACCTCAGTGCCCTTGAAAGACGAAGCAAACTCCGCATCCTCTAGTTCAGGCTGTTCGCGTATATCTAAATCAAACTCATCGTTGATGAATCGCTCCAAAGGCAGACTCACGGCACGGTTCTGCGGAAAGGCTACTGGGGATGACTTGTCGTTCTCAAAACACAGCAATCGATCGGCTCGCAACAAATGCTCCCCGTGCGAAGGAATTGAGTTCGATCGAGGGAAATCCTGGCGGGAGGGAGTGACGAGAGGACCGTCGTGTGACGAGCCTGTTTGAGGCTCGGGTGCATCAGGGCTTGATATAAGAGAAGAGTTGTCAGAGAGCAAAGAGCCCACGGAGCCCGTAGAAGATCGTCGCTGGTGCCGGCGTGGCTTTGGGGCCTCTCCATCGAGATTCAGTTTCCCAGGTCGGTGTTTTGATAGTTTGATTGGGCTCTGAAGCGGTTTCCGGATCGAGATTTGTGCCTGTGGCGGCTTTTCCTCCCTTGGACCGGACACAGCAGGCCGTGACTCATATATGGCAGACTCAATGGGCTCCGATTGCTGTGTAGGCTTCCCAGAGATCTCTTGGAAAGGATCGCAAGCGCACTTCGTGTGATTCGGAGCATCAGCCGAACAAACATCGATTGTTGGCACTTCCACCTTTTCGGTATCAGCCAGGCGTTTTTCAGGTTTTCGGTTTCCGGGCGTCACAAATTCGCGGTCAGAGGGTTCTGAAACAACCGGAATCGACTTGGTTATGCCCTCCTTCGGCGACACGGGCTGACGATCGATCGACAAGGAGTCTTTGTGAGGGTCAGCCTTGATGGAGTGGACGCTATCTTCCACAGCCTTAATATCAGGTGGGGATTCTCCCACTTCTGATATGGATACGACACCCGCAATAGAGACACTTGGTGTCTTTTCAATCTCGGTTTCCCCTGAATGAACTGGTTTTTGAACAAATGGGTCACCATCGTCTATGAGATTACGTTCAGACAAAGCAGCCGGCTTCGATCCAGATGAGGATACCGGCCGCTCTTGATCATAGTTCGAGGGAGGGACATTTTCTTTGTTCTCGACATCAGGACTCATTGGTAATGGCACTTGAGACGGCGATTGCTGGCTCAAGCTGTCAACCGCATGATTGAGCGAGAAGGTAGGCCGGGTGGGAGTTTGCATATGCTCCGTGACAGTCAAACTAGTCTCGATGGGCAACTGTTCCTTGACCGACTGCGTCAAGGGGGTCTCAGAGCAAGGGTTGGGTGAGGAAGCATTCAAGTGAGAAGACACTAGCACTTGCGCGCTCCTCTCGACTGGGGACGCAATGGAATTTTCGAGACCTTGCTCATGCTTCTGCTTCTCACTAAGTGCGGCAGTCTGAGGTTGAATACTATCCTCTGCCGCTTCCTCGATCGTCTTTTTCGAAGATCCCAGTTCGGGTAGCGCCTGTGTCTCGGTAGCCGTTGCTACTTTATCTGTCAAGTTTGCAATTTCCTGCAGCGAAGGAGCTTCGTGGGGAACCTCAGGGATTTCAATCGTCTCGGGCTTTTTAGGTTGGTCTTTCATGCGTAACCAATTAGTGCGAAGCCTATACCTCTCAGCCTCGACTACCCAAGCAGCGAATTCTGACTCGATGCTCTCCAAGTCGTCAATCCAATTCTCAGGTAGGGAGTCTTGGCGACCCTCCAACGCATCAAGGGCGCGATCCATTCGCCTACCCACTGCAACAACGGCGCGTTCAAGATCAACATGCTCGCCGCGTAGATGTGAGTCGGAAAGTCGAGAATCGCATTTCTCATTTGGGTTCGATGTTCGTAGTGCATGAAAGGAGGAATCAAGGGAGGCTCGCGTCGCTTTCAATTCCCTCAATAGGCCCGGTACTTGGCGAAGAACAAGCAGACGGACGTCCCAGGTAGTCAAAAGGCTATTAAGTCTTGATAGCAGTGGCAAGGCGCGAAGGATAGTAGCGGTGACGACAGCTGTAAAATCGCTTAGTTGCACATAGCTGAGCGGTGGGGGCACGGACACTGTGCTGTTCGAGGAGGAAGGGCGAGACCGGGATGGAATGTGGGCATTGAGGACGTGTTCCTTTAGCTCATCCACATCTAAATTGTCCATTCCATCACGTATCTCCTCGATCCTCTTCTCATACTCTTCTACCACAGCGGCTGGCAAGCTGCCATAATACTCCACATCAGCACCACCACCCCAATTACTAGCCGGAGGGAGCAGGAGGGAGCTCGATACGAGAGAATTGTCTTGCGATGAAGTTTCTGGTGGCGGCTCAAATCCCATTCCGAGCTTCGCCTCGCTATGTTTTGGCCATAGCCAGGACTGCACCTCCTTATACCAGATACCCAAGTTCTGGGCGGCTATGGCGGCACGGATGCCGAGGGCGCGTTCAGCGGGAGAGACTTGCGAGATACTCTGTGAGAGTACATTATGAGAAAAGTCTCCGTTCGTGGGGACGGCCTCGGTCGATGTCAGGGCGTGTAAAGTGGATTCGGGGGATAGGTTGCTGAGAAGGGGATCGATTTTTTGGTATAATGAGGCTGGATTCCGTTCAGGGGACGCCGGACGTGAGTTCTCTCGCGAGACCACCGGAGATAGCCGTATCGACGGGCGAAGAGGACTCGTTCGACTGGTTGCCATCCCGAATGGCAGGCTTTATAGCTCCGGATCGGGCTTCACAGGGAGGAGACTCGGTGTGTGTGGGAAGACTCGAGCTGGCATATGAATGTGGGAGGTCGGAATGATGCAGCGGGCGGACGAAGAGAGCACTGTCGAGCCCGCATGCTGAGACGTGATCGAGAGGGATTTTCAGATGCGAAGAACCCTTATGTCCGTTCCAATCTTTTCAGGAGCTGTTGCGGTGCGGCTGACGAACGCGAGAAAACACGGAGGTTGGCGGTCAAGAATGATATAGTGGATTGTAGGGACTTTGGAAGAGATCGAGATGAGTATCCAGACGAACGGATCAAAGAGCGGAGGATAGAAAAATGAAAGAAAGACAGAAAGGACCAGCTTTCTGGGTTGAACGCTCACGGCGGAAATAATTGATGCTGATCGAAGTTCTTTGGAGACGGTGGAGTCAAAAGGGGGCACGGATGAAGTGGACCTTCGGGCTTCCGCCGATCCGCGACGCTATTATTTCGCGAAATGTCCGGGGCGCGCTGCGGGTGGTTAGATCGCTTGGTGGCGGACTAGATTTGACGCTTACTTCAATAGATTTACAGTACTAATTAAGTGAACCAAGGGGAGAGTTTGGTGGTTATAGGAGCTGATGTCTACTTGGCGTTGTGGTACGAGAAGTATGCAAGGGCTCTATACATAATCGGAAGACCACACCACACGACGGCATACCCAATGAACACAAAGGGAACCAAAGATGTCCTCGGCGCACGCTAGGTTGTCATTTTTGTATGGCATTGGCTCGAGTTTAGTCTAAGTCTACACGGCCCTTCGGTGGCCGGTCACGATGCGGTCATCCTGGCGTTGTCGAGGCAAATTTGAGCATCGCAATTCCGCAAACTCGAGGCCGCCTTGATGAAAAAAAAACAACATGGAAAAAAAAGGAATGGTGGGAGGTCATCCCATTTGAGTCACTCAAAAAAATGCCTTCGTTACGCTATCGCCCTGAAATGCTGGCAGATGTGCCAGAAGAGCGCATTTCCTTCCTGAAGCAATATGAGGACTGGTTTACTGTGGAGACACCCAAACTCAAGAAGATCACCAATCACTTCGTGAAAGAGCTGGACAAGGGCCTCTCAAAGGAGGGCGGCAACATAGTAAGTCCTGCTGCTTGGCTCTTAGTATTGGTGCTACCCAGCAAGCGCTAATGTTAGCGTTCGTTCTCAACAGCCTATGAATGTGACTTGGATAACGGCATTCCCCAATGGCAGTGAAGAAGGACGAGTGCTGACTATAGATATGGGCGGTACAAACCTCCGTGTCTGCGATGTATACCTCCCAGCTGGTAGGAGGGATTTCGAACAAACCCACAAAAAGTACAAACTGCCCGAGGAAATCAAGACGGGCACCGGAGAACAACTTTGGGGTTGGATCGCCGATTGCCTGAAGTCTTTCATGGAAGACAAGCGCATCGAGGCACCGGAGGGCGAAAAATTCTCGTTGGCTTTTACATTTTCTTTTCCAGTCTATCAGTGCCAGATCAGACATGGTGTCCTTCAACGCTGGACGAAGAATTTCAATGTGACGGGGGTCGAAGGCCACGACGTGGTGCAGCAGCTTGAGGCGGCCATTGAGAGGAAAGTAAGCATTATCGAGTCCGGTATGATCTCCCCGTGAAGACAACACAATGCTCATTCGCCCAGCAACTTCCAGTCCAAATCGTAGCCTTGATCAACGACACGACGGGCACGCTTCTTGCCTCGCATTATTGCGATCCTCACGTCAAAGTGGGCTCAATTTTTAGCACGGGTTGTAATGCTGCATACATGGAATATTGCAAGAACATCCCAAAGCTGCAGGGAAACGGACTTGCAGAAGACGCGACGGTCATCATCAACACCGAGTACGGTGCGTTTGATAATGATCGCAAGGTCCTTCCCCGAACACCTTTCGATGTACAGATCGACCAGCGATCCGTCCGACCTGGAACGCAGATTTATGAAAAGATGGTGGCTGGACTGTACATCGGCGAAATGCTTCGTCTAGTGTTGGTCACGCTCTGGGAGGAAGGCAAGCTCTTTCAAGGCCAAGACATCAGTCGCCTCCGAAGAGAGCATGCCGTCGACGCGACGTTTCTCTCAATCGCGGAGCTTGATATCACAGAGGGGCTCAGGGATATGCGTGCTGAGTTTGAAGAGAACTTTAGCTTGTCACCAAGCATGGATGATCTCAAGATATGCCGGTATCTAATCGGCCTAATTGGCAAGCGTGCGGCGCGCCTCTATGCATGTGGAATCGCGGCCATATGCAAAAAAACCAATACCTTGAGATGCCATGTTGGCGTGGATGGCGCAGTGTTCAATAAATACAGTGGCTTCAAGTCGCGGGCATCCCAGGCTCTACGCGAAATCTTCGACTGGCCGGCAGAGGAGTTGGACCTGATCGCGCTCAATCCGTCGCAGGATGGTTCAGGCGTCGGTGCAGCACTGGCTGCAGCTTTGACCACGGGATGCGAAAGCAGAGGCAGATCAGCCAAGACTGCTTTTCTTGTTTAGATGAATAGAGAGATCACAATATAGAAGAAGTAAGTCAAAATTTGAAGTGAAACGTTTGGTACGCGTCGCGAAGAGCGATAAGATAAGCCGATAAGGACATGCGATAAGAATCTCTCCACAGTGAATCGGTCAACGGTCACCTTCCCTCTTGCCATACTCCGCGCCATATCAGACATAATGCGTTTCCGAACCCAATTGAAGAATACCAGAACTTTTTCCAGTTCGTGTGGGCTATTTCCTTTAGAGACAATACAGCTAACTTAATAATGATAGAATTAACTGCCTCGCTGTCATCACTGGGCAAAGTATGTTGGATGCGGCTGGAATACGACGTAGTCCGCTTCACAGTGATCCCAGAGCAAGGCACCCAAGTATGGGCACAGATCCCGGTTGTACGTGTCAAATTGGCTCTGGATTTGCTTCTTGACTCAGTCTCACTGACTTGTCCCCTAAGGACACCATCTTCGAGGAGTCATCGTATCAATTAGAATCCAACTCAAATGCAATCAATATCGAAATCAACATCAGCCTTCTGAACCGTGCGCTGCGGTCAACATTCGGCGCCTCATCCTCTCAACTGCGCCTGACAAAGAAAGACAAGATGCCACTGCTCGCGCTCACAGTACTCACTACTGAATGGACCGAGGGTAATATGGCCCTTGCCACCGACGAACCAGGCGAACAAAGCCACGCAACAGGCCCATCCGCCCAAGGTGATGTCGTCGGCGACCGGCGAGCGCGTGAGCGTGAAACGTGGATCACGCAGGAAGTCCCCATCAAGATCCTACACGAAGACGTAGTAGAAAGCCTCCACGAGCCGCATTGCCCGGATCCAGATGTATACATCATTCTGCCAAACCTGATGCAGTTGAAGAGTATCTCAGACCGATTCACTAAGCTTGCCTCTTCGGACAGCAAGGGCCGACAGTCTGGGATCGTGGTTGCGGACCCGGCGGCCTCTACTACCGGTGCCACGGCGCTTTCTACTAATTCGGCCCCCAAACTGGAGTTGTCGGCTAACATGCACGGTAAATTGCGCCTCGCGATTGCGACGGATGATTTGCGCATTGCCAGCGTATGGTCCGGACTCGTGAATCCTCCTCTGGATCCTGCACATATCACGCAGGACCAGGCGTCTCAACTACCTAGTGAGCGAATGCGCGAAGCCGGTGACGATGATGAGGCTGGATGGGCAAAAGTGAGGATTGATGGGAAAGATTGGGGTCGGGTGCTGAGCGTAGGAAGATTGAGTCCGAAGGTCGTTGCTTGTAAGTTGATATGCCCTTTTGCACAATGAGTCTTTTAAGGCCCTTGAACTTTCAGCTAATATTGCGCAGGCTTTATCAACGAAACGGCGCTAGTTTTGTATGTCTACCTACCAGGCAGTTGGAACGGCGAGGAATCATGTCTGACTGTAAGTTGTTCCATGTTCAGTTCCTGTAATCCAGAGGGGCTGACCAACATCGAACTCAGTACTACATCAATTCTTTCACGACGTGAATAATCAATCTCTATCTGGTTTATCTAAGATAAATGGGCAAAGAAAGTTCTGGCGCCTACGAATATAGCGGCGGGATTTTCAGAGAATCAATAAACACACTCGTAATCGAGATTATAACGAATCATTATTAAGACAGGCGCACGGTAAGAAAGCCATGCGGAAAGAAACCTCCCCAAAGACTCGAAAACCAGGAGGCAGGAAAACAACGCAAGGGGAGGAGCAGGAATATGATATACATGATGCAAGGAGAGTCGTCTCCCTCGCTTCGCGGACGAAGTATTTCGCAACAAAGAACAGCAGAAACAGCAAGCTATGTACAAGGACTTTGCGGTGCCGAGCTGGCTCAGGGTGCGAGAACGCCTTGGAAATGGGGGTTGTGTCGGTCCTGACGCGGGATCAGATAAGACACATGCAAGATGCTGGGAGAAGAAGACTTGACAGCAGGGAATCTCTATTATATGGGCGGGGAGGGTGCGAGGACTTCATGGGGCAATCGGGCAATGGGGAATTCAAGCGTGATCAGAAGCAGAACCAGACGGACATCAGAGGCATAAGAGCACAAATGAAATAACAAAAGAAAAACAGTCCAATCAGTCAATGATTCAACAACTGATTAGACTTTCAAAAGCTCAGCACTCTCGAGAGAGTCTCGAGATTATTGAGCCATCACATCAACATAGCGGCCTTTCTTCTTACCCCTAACGGTGTTTCCCTTACGCGCGGTGGGAGCGCCGAGGAGATCATCGATGGAGTTGGCATGGGTCAAAGAAGAGGCAGGTCGAGGTGGTGGGCCAGACGAGCTACCGGGCGGTGTTGGAACAGCCGCACCCGTAGAGACTGAACGAGACATGTTACCAAGAGGTGGTGGCATACCAAGTGCTGACAACGCAGGGCTCGATGAAAGAGGTGGGGGCGGCATATCGCTAGCAGAAGACTGGGGTCGGCTACCTGCACCGGACATAGGAGGTCCAGCGGGAGGAGGCATACTGCCAGAGCTGGCAGCTCGACTCGGCGGAGCAGAACCTCGTGGTGGAGGCGGCGTAGCACGAACAGCAGCAGCAGAAATGGGGTCCTTCTTGTTGACCCACTTCTTGAGGTCTTTATCATAGTAGAAAGAATTCTCTTCGCCGAGCTTGGCCTTAATAGGACCGCCGCCAGTGTTCTCCGCTTCCTTTTTGGCGCCTCCAAACCACCCACCAAACCACCCCTTCTTCTGAGCTTGTAGGGCGTCTCTCTTGGCTATAATTGCGAGATTAGCAAGATTGCAGAAGAACTGGGCTAAAACTTCCCCATCTTTGACTTACCATCTTCTTCAGCGGCCTTCCTGAACGCTTCATCCGCCTTGCGGTCATTCTCAGCCTTCTGCATGGCAGCGGCCCTAGTAGCAAGATCGTCATCGTCATCGTCATCCATGAAAGACTTTTTCTGCCGAGGCTGAGGCTCCTCATCCACCGTTGGTTGATCCGGCTCCCCTGAAGCAGGGGCGGCATATGAAGGTGGCGCATACGCATTGCTAAGTGGGGCCATGTAGGACGAATTTTCCGACTGCGGCATGCCAGGGGGCCCCTGGTAGTAGGGCGACTGTACAGCCGGTGTCTGTTCGGTCTCATGATGGTGTTGCTCCTGCTGTCCATGAGGCTGGTAGAAGAGACCATTGACAGGAGGCGCTGGCTGGGTAGGCGGTACAATGTCTGCAGGCGATTGAGTAGTCAAATCCTCTTCGACCGGGGCAAGTGGCATGTAGGATGTCTGAGGCGGAGTAGGCTGGTAACCTGAAACAGCGCCAGGGGAACCGTATATAGGTGCAAAACTCTCGACTGGAGAGGCAGGGTATTCTTGTGAGGTCCGACGTTGTCCAAAGGGAACACCCCCAAACGATGGAGACCTCTGGGAGTCCATTGACGATCGTCCACGGAATTGTTCAGGCGATGCATTCGGCGCATACTGGTTCGGCATGTATCGCGAGGAACCGCCAGCAGGAGCAGGGATAGGTTGAGCTGCTGCTGCTGCTCCAGGATATGAGCCATAAAGGTCGGACACAGAAGGAGATCGGCTGACAGTTGGCGTTCCTGCAACGTTGGCAAAGGGACCAAAGTCTCCAATCTCGCCTGCTTTGCCGGAACCTGTCGACGCCGCATCGCTATCGTCACCAGCAACAAAGCTATTGAAGCGAGCCCACATAGATCCAGATACCTTCTCCATGCTCGGCTTGGAGATCCAAGAGCCACCATCTGTGGTGGTTTGACGAAGTCGAGCAGAAAGCTCATCAACCTCAACAAACAAGTGCTGATGATGATAAGGTGAGGGTCGTGTGGTTGCTTTGAGCGATGCGGCAACTCCATCACAATAGGTCTGAGCCTCAGACTTGCGTCCCCGGTCGGCGAGCTGTTTGGCGTGGACGAGCTTGAAGGCCAAGAGATATGGCAAATTGGCCGCCGGCGAATTGGGCAGGACGGAGATAGCATATTCATAGATCTCGGTCAGAAGAATGGCGTCCTCGTCCACCAAGGAGCAAGGAAAACGTTGGTGATCAGCACCAAGGAGCACAATGTTCGCTTGAGGATCATCGGCGCCACCAAATACCGCACTGCGAGAGACGATAAAACAGAGATGTGCTGCCTCCACGCGGCCATAAGAAGATAGCAAACGGCCAAGAGCAAGGAGAGATTGCTGATCTTCCGAGCTTCGGTTGCTCAGCACCAATCCGACGGTGTCTCTCCAGCCATTCAAGCCATCCAGCGCGTTCTTTGTGGAACTTTGGCGATCATTCATACTAATCAGTTGGTGCCCAGCCCGTGCGGATGGAGGTACAAGTTCGTCGACGCTTTCCTCCACATTTCCAGCGAAGATTTCGTAGAGGGCTGCAAGAGATTCGGTGTTTGCAGCTGTGGATTTGATCTCACGTCGAACAAACTCTTGGACAGCCTGCTTCCAGATAGCCCGATCCATGGTAGATGCAAGAATCATTGCGTGACCCCATAGACGGCGGTCGACGGCGGCCCAGACGGCTTTTTCCCGTTCACCTAGGAGCAAAAGATTCCGCAGCTCTTCCATCCACTGGGGGTCAGCAGCTGCATCCGGCTGGGATGATGCCCCGAGGGAAGCAAACCCGCTGGACGTTCCAAATGGACTGATCACGGAGCCATCCGGCCCGAGTTCTGGAAGATTTGGGACGAATACCTGACGAAGGGAGTTCTGTATCTCGGCCGACCCCTCAAGTTGACCATCATTTTCAACCATTATCTTTATAACCTTCCATAGCAGTATCTTTTCCTCGTGGCGCTTCTGTATGTCGGGATGAGACTCCCCAAACCCGTGAGGCATGTCATTTTCGAATGCAGCAATCTTGCTTGACAGCCAGGCGAGCACATCCTTCTTCTTGGACTTTGCCTTGAGCAAACCGGGATGCTGCACAATGGTATCTGGGGATGGGACCCATTGGCTGACCTGTGAGAGCTTGGGTTCACCAGGACTGGGTTTGATCATTGGGAGAGCTTGACCAACAGAGTACCTAGGAATTTGTTGGGGGAAGCAAGAGACCACAGCTCCGCCGAAGCCGAACTTGAAGATAGGAGCGCCTTTCCATCGCTGAAGAGGGTCCTGTTCTTGTCCGTCGGTGGGTGCGATAAACTCCAGGTGCTGGGAGGGAGCACGGGCGCGGCCCTGGATAGAGGGCTGTACTGGAGCATACGGATTGATTGTCTTGGTAGGCGAACCAGAGCCGTGCACAGAGGCCGGGCGCGGTAAAGTTGTAAGTGGAGGGACAGCAGCTCGGGGACTCGTCATTTGTTGACCCGGTGAGGAAGTATGGGATCGGCGAGGAGGAGCAGACTGCACCTCGGTCACCTGATGGGATGACGGTGGCCCGACTCCCGCAACTGGGACAGGTTGGTAGGCACTGTTTGGTGCAACGCGCTGAGCGAATTCGTTGACATACTCTGGCGGTGCGTAGCGATTCTTGGCCGGCGGGGGAGTCTGTCGTGGGGCTACCGGGGGGTGTGCACCATCAAAGCTGCCAGTTCCATTTGACAGTTGCGGAGCATAGGGCGACCCTTGATCAATGCTAGGCCGCTGCGCACGTGGTGGAGAAAGATCAACCGACGGCTGCAGCGATGGGGGCTGCGGTTGTTGAGACTGAGGCTCATCGGGCTGATACGAAGCCTTTTCATGATAAGCTAGAGGACTGGAGGTACGAGGCTGGAACGGCAAATTGTTAACGTGGCCTGGAACAGCCAAAGGCTGAGAGGCATAGCGATTACGCGCAGCCGGTCCCGAGGGAGGAGGCGCGGGTGAATATCGAGGCATCGAAGGTGGCTTCGCCGATGGTTGCAAGCCTGGAGGCTGAGGGGAATACCGGGATGCAGCAGGCGGACCAGCTGGTGCACTTGATGCCAACAACGACGGCACGGAATATGGATCCAAACGCTCTGGTGGCTCAAGGGAAGGCTGGGGAGGCATATTGGCTGGTAAGGCAGCAAGAGGTGCAGTGGGTGCATATGGATTTTGCGGCAGCGATGGACCAGCAAGCGACGAACCAGTCGTCGTGGTAGCGGCAGGATTGGGAGAGTATCGCCCCGAGCTTGTTGCAGGTCGAGACTTTGGAATCGGCAAGGGAAGCTCTTCGTAGAAGTTCTTTGGAGCAGCTGGCGCTGCCGGTGCCGGCGCAGCAGCAGCGGGAGGAGCTGTTACAACTGGGGATACCCCGTACTGGGGCGTGCCACTGCCGGGTGGTGGAGGTGGAGGCATACTGCTCACAGGCAATGAAGCAGGCTTGTGAGTAGTCACGGGCCGCCTGGGTCGAGACAAGTCATCTGGCAGGTCGTATGGAGATTTATAGCCCTCTTTTGATCGCTCTGCAAAGCTCTCCCCGCGAGGGGGCAACACGGGGTTCGAAGGCTTCTGAGAGAAGTACGGGGGGATTACAGCATTCGCCCCTGGGGGTGCTCCGGGTACAGGGATGCCTCCAACAAGGTCCGCAGTAGTAGGTTGATGTGGCGTATATATGCCGGGAATAGCCCGAGGCTGCGTCTGACTGTTGGGGGTCTCGAACGGGCTATTCAGTCCAGTAGGAGCAGAGTTGATAGCTGACAGTGTCACGCCCTGGGGAACATATTGTTGACCAGGTGTAGCGGCTTGGGGCTGAGCTGGGGCAAGTGCAGTTGTATCGTCCTCCAAGAGTATATCGTCATCATCCAGGTCGAGGGCAGCCTCCCACCGAGCAGCCAACTCATCCTCGCCTGTATCGCTCAATTCCGCTTCCCATCGGGCAGCAAGATCGTCTTCCGTAGGCTCTGCAGCTAATTCCGCCTGTACCGCAGACTCTACAGGTTCAGACGTAGCGGCAGCTTTCAGAATATCGTCAAATAGGGCAGCAGCCGACGTATCGCTTGTGGGAGAGTCGATGTTGAACCCAAGCGACTCGATAAACTGTGACGTGCTCTTGCGAGTAATATGCGGGGAGGAAAAGTCATCGCTCGTTTCAGCCTTTTGAGCCGAGCTGAAGAAGTCATCCCCGCCGTTTTCGTCATTGGCAAAGGGGTCCTCAACATGGTTTGCCGGGTGTTCTTCACGCACTGGGGATTCTGGACTCTCTTCATCCAAGAGTGGTACTCCTTCTTCAAACCGAGACTCGGCCTCGGGAGGTGCGAAGATGGGCTTGGTTTGAGTCTTTAATTGGTTGAAGAAGTCATCTCCTTCTGAATCCACATCGTTTTGCGCTTCCATGGTCCAAGGATCGGCATCATCCCGGCTTGGCTCTTGCGCAGGTGACTCAGCCTCCAAATAATGGTTGTTTCCAGGTGCAAGGGCCGACGAGAGCGGCTCTCCGGGAACGACAGGCTCCACCTCGACTGGGGGTGTTGGTAATTGCTCTGTATGAGGTTGTTCGGCTTGCGGCTTTTCCTTTTCTTCCTCAAATGATGCGATTTCAACAGAAGGGACACGAGGTTGATCGACTAGAGAGTACGCAGGTTGAAGAACAGTAGCCGGGTCGATAATCAGCTCCTGTTGATCGATCGGTTGCTCAGCCACTTGAGTAGGCACAGTGTTGTCTTCGTCCTTCTCTAATCCGGCCAAAACGGAAGACTCGTGATCGGTCGTAGACCGAACATGCTTGACAAGAGGGTTGGATAAGGAATCTTGAACATCGGTTGGGGAGAGAGCAGGTTCGGTCGGGGTGGCAGTGGGCTCAGAGGAGGGCGGGAACGCTGGTACAGGATCGGTTTCTGTGGATAGTACCTCGGATGATTCGAGCTGAGTAGAGTATTTGGTAGGGATCACTTTATCTTCCAGATCTCGGGTCGTCGCACTGTTCACGGTCTCGACGTCCCTGACTCCGCTAGTTTCCTCGATCGGAGTGTTGTCATCCACCACGGGAGTCATCCCTTTCGCCTCTTCGACCTGAACAGGATTTTTGTCGGTCTCATTTGAGATATTCCATGCAGAGAAGTCGTCGTCGCTTAGAGGCGATTTCGCGTCGGATGCATGGGCTTGCTTCGGACTTGCTGCGGCCAGGAGGTCGGCCAAACCACCTTCTGTAGAGGCCGCCGCATTGGAAGGCAAATCGTCTTCCGGCCATGATGCGGGATTCCAGGAATTTGCATTGCCCACGGACAATGTCTGCTGCGCCATGGTGCACGTATCGTTCTCGTCCGTGGCCCAGGTTAGGGGGAATTCGTTTCGGAGGTAGCAGCAACCTGACACGTCTCCAGTGACGTCCGGGGGTCAACAATCCTAACTCGGCCAAACTCTCGACGAACGTCAAATCAAAAGATCCATAAGACAGCGCAGGCGATGAAAGCAAATGAGAAAATTAAATTAAAACGGGATTAGAAGTTGAAAGCATCAAGTTCGCCAAAGGGCAAAAAAGGAGGGAATGGCTTTCGAAGGGCTTCAGAACCAACGCCTGAACCGCGATGGGCGGCCTCCGGGGTGAGATCGGACCTTGATTCGATGATGGCTGCTGACTCAGCTTCCTGAAAGGGTAGTTCGGATCAACTAGCCTTCCGGAACATTAAGAGACACCGCGCATAATGGCCCGCTTTTATGCATTGTTATGTCAGCGGATGTCCGTAATTGCACAGTATACGCAGTCAGGTGATTGCGGCCGCGTATCACGGGCGCTCCGCCAGGCAGTCACGTCTTGTCGCAGATCATTAAACAATCTACTTGTCCAAAACTTACAGCAATTTCAGAAATCGGATATTACTAAGATCTAGTATCTACGCCCATCGATCTGTTTCTCAGCGCGCGTTCAACACTCGACCCATCTCATTATGCTCCCGCGGAACCCCAATGCTCCTGGACCAGTTATCTAAGATATGATCCTGGCATGTGCTGATAGAACTGGAACCCACCACGTTGCCTTACAACTCACGATTTAAGTCATTGTGGACCTCCACTGGCTTGGTTATTAACTATGTCTTCCTCACACGACTATCTTCATCCCCTCCACCGGCCAGAAGACCCTGGCGAATACTCCGGCTCCGATGACGACGACTTGGACCTTGAGGAGCTCGATCCCGATACCGCAACACCCCAAGCCTCTCGGACTTCCAGAGACTACACGAGCCGCTCTCGAAACTATGGACCCGGGATCGCTCTACGAAACCTGCGTGTGGGTGTGGGAAGCAGGTGGAAACGAAGTGTCTCCGGGCACCACGGGGAAGCAGATGGGGACACGGATGCGTTGCTGGAGGACCGCAGGGACGATGGACCTCGACGGTCCCATGGCAGCTCGCAAATTATGGCGGAAGATGATGTGCCATTGCTTGATCGTCGGGACTCAATCCGGTTGTCTCGGGACGATAGGCCATCGAAAAAGGGCGGCCGGTTACGTCTACCAAGCCTAAGAGGCCCCAGTTTCCTCCAAAGTGCGACAAACCGGCTACGGCGAAACGTGGAGGACCATGAGAATAAACCTCCACGCGAAGTCCTTGTTGGCCAATACCAACCCACCAAGTACCCGGCGAACGTTGTTTCGAACGCAAAATATACCCCCTGGAGTTTCTTGCCTCGCACACTGTATAACGAATTTTCCTTCTTCTTCAACATCTACTTCTTGCTCGTCGCTTTGTCGCAAGTTATCCCTATACTTCGGATCGGTTATATGTCCTCATACATCGCGCCTTTGGCGTTTGTTGTCTCAATATCTTTGGGGAAGGAAGCCCTTGATGACATCGGTCGGCGGCGTCGGGATGCAGAGGCAAATGCGGAGGAGTTTACGGTGGTCTCGCTTGAGAGGTCAAATGCGATGGAGATGACAAAAAAGTCTCGCGATCTAAAAGTGGGGGATGTTCTCAAAGTCCGCAAGAATCAGCGCCTGCCCGCTGATGTTGTGATTTTGAAGAGTGTCTCAAACGACTCAACCTCGGAGCGTGAGCGTCAAGCATCTATGGATGAGCCCGTCCCTGGACCATCTACGGACCTTCTGAACTCCCCGGGCCCTGGTCCTGCCGAAGACAATTTTTTTACAGATTCTGCAGACGCCTCCTCTGCTAGCGACACTTTCATCCGAACTGATCAATTAGATGGCGAAACAGATTGGAAGCTTCGTTTACCCTCTGTTCTCTCCCAAGCTCTTCCTTTGAAAGACCTAACACGACTCAAGATTACCGCCAGCCCGCCAGATAAGCGGGTCAACGAGTTTGTTGGCACTATTGAACTTGGCCCTCCTACTGGTTTCTATGATGCCCACGTCGACAAATCTACTGCTTCCACCAATAACAGCGGTGCCGAGGATGACGAGAGCCACCTTACTAACTCCGCCCCGTTGACCATCGACAACACTGCTTGGGCCAACACCGTACTCGCTTCCAACACCGTAACCTACGCTGCGATCATCTACACAGGTTCGCAAACTCGTGCAGCACTTTCCACGTCACCTTCAAGGTCAAAAGTTGGCTTATTAGAGTATGAGATCAACAATTTGACGAAGATCTTGTGTGCCTTGACCCTCGCTTTGTCTATTGTTCTGGTTGCCCTGGAAGGCTTTGAGCCGACAAACGACAAGGAGTGGTATGTCGCGATCATGATCTACCTCATCCTCTTTTCTACTATCATTCCCATGAGTCTTCGAGTCAATCTAGACATGGCAAAGTCTGTCTACGGTCGGTTCATTCAACGCGATAAGGACATTCCAGATACATTGGTGCGAACGAGCACAATCCCGGAAGATTTGGGCAGGATTGAATATCTGCTCTCAGACAAGACCGGGACTCTGACTCAAAATGGTAAGTCCTGTCTCCATGCGACATTGATTTTAGGTAAATATAATCATCACTAACTCCCACTTAGAAATGGAGTTGAAAAAGATTCACGTTGGCACTGTATCCTACGCCAACGAGGCAATGGATGAAGTTGCTTCATTCATTGGTCAAGGCTTTGCAGGCGATGCTTTGACAACACCGTCAACTGTATTTGGCACTCAAACCGGGCAAGCTGCTGCTCCGCGCACCAGAAGAGAAATTGGATCTCGGGTTAGAGATCTTGTTCTAGCCCTCGCTGTTTGTCATAACGTCACTCCCACTGGAGAAGAGGAAGAGGACGGGCGAAAAGTAACCAATTATCAAGCCTCATCTCCCGATGAGATTGCGATTGTTCGATACACCGAGGATGTTGGCTTGAAGCTCTCGTATCGCGATCGCCAAAGTATTGTCCTCGAGTCTACCGACTCGAAGCAGGTCGTCGTTCGCGTCAAAATCCTCGACATCTTCCCGTTCACCTCCGATAGCAAGCGCATGGGTATTATCGTTCAATTCGAGCAAAGTGAGAATGCTCTTGAGACTGGTACTAGTGCGGAACCCGAGATCTGGTTCTATCAAAAGGGCGCGGATACAGTCATGACATCGATCGTTGCGGCAAACGACTGGCTTGACGAAGAAACCGCAAATATGGCTCGTGAGGGTCTGCGAACGCTGGTTGTTGGGCGTAAGCGCCTTTCCCTCCAGCAATATCAGGAATTCGCAAGCAAGTTCAAGCAGGCCTCTCTCTCCCTTCAGTCACGAGACGTCGGTATGGCCAAGGTTGTAAGCGAGTACCTCGAACGAGACCTGGAACTGCTCGGTGTGACCGGTGTGGAAGATCGCTTGCAGCGGGATGTCAAGTCTTCGCTGGAATTGATGCGCAATGCAGGTATTAAAATCTGGATGTTGACTGGAGATAAAGTCGAGACTGCGCGCTGTGTCGCTATCTCTGCCAAACTGGTCGCTAGAGGACAATACATACATACCGTTTCCAAGGTGATGGACAAATCGACTGCCCAGGAAGCATTAGACTTCCTCCGAAACAAGACCGACTGCTGCCTCCTGATTGATGGCGAATCTCTCAACTTGATGCTGGGAGAATTCCGGTCTGCTTTCATCGCCGTCGCGGTGCTCCTGCCCGCCGTCATTGCGTGCCGTTGCTCGCCGACGCAGAAAGCCGAAGTCGCCAACCTGATCCGTCAATACACCAAGAAACGTGTCTGTTGCATTGGCGACGGTGGCAATGACGTCTCCATGATTCAAGCTGCCGACGTTGGTATTGGCATCGTAGGCAAGGAAGGTCGCCAGGCTTCTCTCGCTGCGGACTTCAGTATCACCCAGTTCCACCACCTCACCAAACTACTGGTTTGGCACGGCCGCAATTCATACAAGCGATCTGCCAAGCTTGCCCAATTCATTATGCATCGCGGTCTGATTATCGCTATATGCCAAACCATGTATAGTATCGCGGGCCACTTTGACCCAAAGGGTCTGTTCATCAACTGGCTCATGATCGGATATGCCACGGTCTATACCAACGCACCCGTGTTCTCGCTCGTGTTTGACAAGGATGTCGATGAGCGCCTTGCCAATCTCTACCCCGAGCTCTACAAAGAACTCAAGTCCGGAAAGAGCTTGAGCTACCGCTCATTCTTCACCTGGGTTCTTATCTCTGTCTACCAGGGTGCAGTCATCCAGGGTCTCTCTCAGATCCTGCTGAATACTATCACTGGGCCACGTCTCATCAGTGTATCTTTCACGGCACTGGTCTTGAATGAGTTGGGTATGGTCGCCATTGCAATCACGACCTGGCATCCCGTGATGATCGTTTGTCTTCTGGGTACCCTCTTATTCTACGCTGGCAGCATTCCCTTCCTTGGTGACTATTTCAACCTCCACTTTGTGGTCACCCTTGACTGGCTGTGGCGTGTCTTCGCCGTTTTGGCCGTCTCGCTGATTCCCGTATGGGCCGCCAAGTTAATCAAGCAATCATGGAGCCCGCCAAGCTATCGCAAGGTGCGCGGCTGATATCTGCGATATCTTTTGTCCGGATTATCTTGGGATGTATCCGTGCAACATTGTACTCTTATCCCTTTTGACCTTGAGTTGTTCTGTTTGATTCCCCTTGCTTTGTTGCCCCTCAGAACTACCGTCCGATCTGACTGTGGCTACCTTTGTATATCCCACCTCCCAGCATTTTGTTATCCCGAGCGCGCATTAAGCGTTAGAAGCGCAAGCATTATTCCGAAATTCTCAAGCTTTTTGCAATACATATTCAACTGGACCGTATCACTCATCTTTGATAGTCTAGGATGGAGGAGTTAACTCTCGATATTATACGTCTTCCCTTTTTCTCCTCTATAGTCATTGGTTGTACGCGCGGGATCTGGTTGGCAAACTACCCGATATGCGATCTTGTCACCGGCACGCAAGATAAAAGCCAAGCCATACGACAAACTTGGCCTTATTCAATTGATTCCCTCTCTTTCTAGATGTTTGGATTTAACGGCCAGAGAAAAGTCTAGAAAGAAACGCGTCAACTACCGCTGTCTTGAAAGATCTTTCCTAAATTCTTTTGAAACGTCTCCGTAGACAGCTGTTGAATTATCTTTCGGGCTATCTTTTGGTTTATGATCAACAAATAGCTTTCCAGAATAGAGCTATACTGATTAGGCGTAGATTATAGTAGGAGCTGACTTTACTGGCCAGCAAGTACAAACAAAACCCTAGATATATACCACGTAGTCCTCTACGTTGAGGGCGACAAGAGGCACACCCAGAAACCATAACAGGTAATCCTACCTTTCCTGGCCAATACAAGCTCTTCGCCCATTCAAATAAGCCTCGACGGCGTGGGGCTAAAATTGAACCCTCGACGCACGCCCCCCTGAACCCTGGACCTTCATTTCCACCCATACGGTGGGGGCGGAATCTATAGCCACCAGCAGTCATGCCGAGTCAAGAGGCAGAGTACTGAAGCGAAAGGTAACTAGGGTTGTTTTAGGATAATTATTATCAGGTCATATAGCTCGTCACCATTCTCGTTCTCGCTCTCCCTCGGCCGCCTACCGTTGAAAGATATCAGAAGTCCCATGCGACTCAACCCGCCCCGGACGCGGAGTAGGGGCCAGGGATCTATTCTCAACACACACAGACCCATTGCGGGCCTGACAACTGCCCCATAACCTTGGTTGATTGGCGCATCTAAAGGTTGGTGCTTCTGAGACGGGCAGTGCTTCACACCTCACACATGGCCCAGCACCTTGACCGGGATTTGACAACTAAGCCAGGCGCGAAATGCCGATCTATGTGACTATTATTGGGCTGAACTGCCACCGTTAATCATCCTGACCTCCCAGTGCTCTTCACCCGACACTTGGTCGTGCTCCCCTTTCCCCCATCGCTGGTCCTCTAATATGGTTCGTGTCCTCTCGCCATGACGACAACCACGGATTTCGGTCCTCTCACGACCATCTTCTCTGCCCCGACGGGCTGCGCTACGGAACAATGGGTTGAGCGGCAGCCCAGCTCGTCGATACTCCGATGGGGCGCCGGCTGCAATGGCAAACATATCGGCTGGGATGCCATTTGTTTTCCGCCCGGATGGACGGCGGGGAATTCTACCAAGATTCTGAATAAAGCCTTCAATCCGGGGTATGCTTGTCCGTCGGGTTACGTCTCGCGAGCAAATGCAACGGGCACGACGGCCACAAAACAGTTTTCAGAGTACATTGGTAGTATAGGCACGGATTCTCTCGTGATTCTTTGCTGTCCCACGTAAGTATCTCACCTCATTATGATTGTTGATTAAATGACAATCTTTGCCCTACTAACATGAAACGTTCAGTGGCTACATCTGGGCCGGTGATTATTGCATTGACAATCAACTTCGACTCACAACGCGCAACTATCTTACCCTCGACAGCAGCAAATGCATAACGACATCCGCCCCCGCGTACAACGGAAGCAATAGCCTCGCAACCCTCCAAGGCACGCCTATCTTCCTCATTCAGAAAGTCGGCGCCACATATAACATTCCAACGTCCACATCGAAGCCTTCCCCGGGCACATCGAGCGAGGGTCTCGCGACGGGTGCGAAAATCGCGATTGGTGTTTGCGTTCCCCTTGGCGTCATTATCATAGCGGCGATTACATTTATCTGGTGGCACCGACGAAGGAAGGCACGGAAGACCAAAGCAGCTTACGTGGCGGTCCAACGGGCGGAGCAGAACTTGGATCCATACACTGGGAAGCCGGAACTTGATGCAGGCGAGGCGGTCAACCCATATTTAAAGCAGGAGCTTGATGCGGGTAATGAAGTTCGACCTGGGCGACCCGATGCACCGGCTGAGCTGCCAGCACTGGAAACACCAAAGACGCCAGTGGCTGAATTAGCTGGAGCAAGTCAAAGACCTGATGCACCTCAAGCTGAGTTTGCCGGTAAAGGGATGGTAGGAGAAATAGTTCCCTCAAAGAAAAGCCCGGATGCGACAAGTCCTAGTGGTATCTCGGATCAGAGGTCAAGTTCTACTGGAAGACATGCGGAGGATTGAAAGATTGAATGTCAAGATCAACAACCCAGGCAACGGATATCAACGAATTGGTCACCAAAAAGGGGAACGCTGGAAAGGTCGGCTCTGCTTGCATTTGACTCGCAGAGGGATTATTGAGGCGTCAAGGAGGCTGTTTCTATGTAAACACTATGGCTTTGATAGCGTATATTATATTTCCCTCTTGCTTATGAAACTTCGGCTTCTAAATATTCCTGCAAGCATTGGATCTTTTTCGCGTTTGCAGCCTTTATTGTTGAGATCTCGAAGGCGCAGTGCCAATCTTTGGTAATCGTAGTCTGTAACGAACCTGTCTTGTGGGATGTCCAATGCCGGGAATATTGCTTGTACGACAGGCTTCATCCTTGCAACTCGGTTCATCACTATACTTCTGCTCCTTTTTGAAGCTATGCACATATAAGCACCTCTCCTGCAACGTCTCGGCCGCTTTCTAGTAACTCCACATAAACAGTTTGACTGTGGAGAGGGAAAATGCTGTGGACGATGGGAGTTTGAATGGGGCTAATCTCAGAATCATTGCAAAAAAGTAGATGTAGCGGGGTGACAGCTTGATATCTGTCAGAGCAGGTCATTATAAAGAGTCGCTTGGAGATCGATCCTGCCTATAGCAGGATGGTGGACAGTGTGGTCTCCAGACTGTACCTCACTTTGAACAGAAACTCCTTGACCCAAAATCGTCCCTGAGTAGACGTAAAATCCAAAATGACCCACAGGGAATTGAACCGGAGCTATCCAATCTCGCCGGCGCCAAAAATTTGCGAATAACCTCACCTGACAAACGCCCATCACAAGCCTTGGGCTTCATTCTTGTAGAACAGCATTCTACTAATGTCATTCTTGCTCTCATTCTTGACGCAGACTGCACACAAATCAATAATCATGATTATGGTTAATGCTTTTAAGCTTTGGTAATGAAAAATGGAAATCGTTGTCTGTAATTCAAAAAAAAGGGAAGACGGCCTAATCACCCATCCAGTCATGTTGAATTACTGGATATATCAAGCAAGCTCCTCGCGAAGATCGGCCCCAAGATGCCAGTGGTACAGGGATCTGCACCGTCGCAAATGGAAGTCGCAGGCGGATAGGATTCTTGGTTACCGTTTGACCACAGGGGCAATTAGGCAGCAAGGGAACCCTTAGGGGGTTCTATCAAGCGTGAGAAGGGAGATATTTGGGGATGGGGAAGAAATTACATGTGACATGGGACGAGGGGGACACTTCGGACGATTTTAGGCTCATGTTTGTTAGTTATTCCCTTGCCCAGGTATGCAATGTGATATTAGTCACATAGACAGTCATGCTCGGGATTTTAGTGAAACCCGTATAATCAAGGCGATTGGCTTCCATCGTATGCCATGTATGCAACCCGTAGTTCAAAGCATACCCTGGTCTGTCACAAATTGGCCGAGTATACGAACGCCCAGATTGTACCCCGCAACAAAACGCGATGCGGAGAACGGGTTAACGAACCTTGATCCCGAAGGCTCAGCAAAAAGAAGAAAAGTTTCTATGCCATATCTAGATAACCAGGATCAGTAATATTTAATGACACTCTAGCACCACAATAATGTAAGAGCAGTTATCGCAAGAACTAGTGAGCGATGCCCGCCTAGTATGACAGCAGGAAAAGGACATATAGAGAGCGCCATGACCTATATAACAAGTTGTTATTACTCGCATTATGAGAGAAATGGAGTTTACACGACGCAACCCGCGTATTCGGAATAGGCTCTTACTCCACTCGCCAAGCTTCAGATGGATCTAGTTGATTATAAACCCCAAATTATAGTGTGAGAAATAATGCTAGAGTGATGTGGCAATACCTTGAAAAAGACCTTGATGGCGATGGGATCACCAAGCGCAAGGAAGCAGGGAAAAGCAAATGAGTTTTATCGTGTCTACCCAAGAGAACTAGAAGCAAAGGCCGTATATGGGCCAGCAAGGGCTAGTTCTGGACGCCATGAAAAAGGAGATCCGGTAGGAACTTTGCGGCATTTGCGATAGAGGCAAGACTCACAAGAAGATTCCATTGGGCCTGGTACAGGCCTTTTTCGTGGGGGACGCAGCTAACGTGTATCTAGTTACAGTTTTTTCTTGAGGCTATAAGGTCCGGGGTAGTATTGTCGGCTGATTTGCATACGGTACCAGCGTTCAGAGCGACGCCCGCCCGAAGTGTAAGCTGTGAGAGTGCGGAGGAGGCTGTTCCGCCTCGTCATCGTCTCAAGGTGAATAGAGGACATCGATTTGGCCAAGCCAAGCCACCCGCCCAAGCCTTTGGACGTGCAGCGAATGAGGTTCTCGGCTTGAGTGAGACGGGAAAATCCCGCAACTTCCTAGCGGCCCCCGAGATCGCTGGGCGCACCAGCAAAACTCAGAATTTACCTCCGACGATGATGATCCCGTCTTGGGACTCCTCCACAAAAACAGCACCCATTCGGAACCTAGTTTCCTCGAGTCCAATGGTCGTCTCGATCGTCCCGCTTGGACTTCCGGGTCGGGCTGGCCCTGAGCGCTGAGTGGATGCCGATGCCCTGCCTTTTCGCCGAAGAGTCGCCGACGCGCATTGGAAACATGGGGGTTTCCCCCCAAACTCAGCGTGGCGGATGCCGTAATGAGGAGATTCAAGCCGGACTCTGTCCGAAATCATCCCCAGCTCCCGTCCCTGTCCAGGTGATGCACCCGTGTTTTTTTCGACCTTGCGGAGCCCCCACGAGTCTCGTGAACCTTGTTAGTTGGACTCGTCTCGGCATTGACTTCTACCGTGGCCCGTATGGAAGGGGATCTCCACTTGCCAGGCCCGAAATCCTGCGCTGCGACTTGCACGGGAAGCCGGGAATTTTCGAGAAGTGCCAGTCCCGATGTGACTCGTGACTAACCGTACAACCACGTTCAAAGGCGCCATATCAGATCAAGAAGTCTATTGATGAAAGGCAGGTCCAAACTGGCTTTTGCCACTGAACGCCCTGCCAGCACAACCTTGGGAGTGCGACTAGTTAAGCTTCTCAGCCACTACCATTCTACCATTCGTCCAAACGCCCGGTCAAACCCCCTCAAATTCCCCGGCCTTTGCCTCACTCCACATTCTGCGGTTCCCAGCGAGTCGAATCGAATCGACTCGACTCGATACATTTTTCCCAATCTGGTGCAACTATGCCAGTCTGGGATGACCGGTGAGCGCCCGCGTTTTGGTCGTCTTCTCCTCATTTTTGTCTCGGTCGCTGCGGGCGCCGTCGCCGAACCCGTGGTTGGCCCCGGTTCTGCGGATCCTCTTGGACTCCACTCGAGTCAAAACAGACTGTCGTACAGTCCGTGACTCGGCTCCCTCTCTGTTCGGCGGAGTACGGAGTACGGAGTACATCCGGAGACTCCAGATCAAAATTGCGAGAGAAACTGGGGCGCATCCTCGACCTGGTCGTGGGTTTTCTTTGGTCACAGTTTCGCCGACGCTTCTCCACCATCGTTTTTTCTGGCGTCAGAGTCTGCCAGCTCTGGTCGTCAAAGTGTATTTCCGGTCGTCATGCAACGTGCTATTCACGGTGGTGTGGTGTGTCTGAAGATCGGCCTCAAATAGTCCTCGTTTCCCCCTCCCCCCCCCCCCCTCATTCTTCTTGCCCCAGGTCTTTCTTTTTCTTTTGACCATTCTCCATCTTCTTCAATTCCCACTTCTCCAGACTGGGGTCAACCTCGTCCTTTTCTGATCTATAGTTCTGTTCTTTCTATATAAACACGCATCCCCTTCAATCAAGGGTGCATAATCCCAATCCATCATGTCCGACCTCAAGGATGCGGAGGTGCCTCGGGACCTCCACAAGGAGGGCGGCGCCTACGAGATCGATGATGTGCACGAGCAGAAGCTGGAGAACCAGATGACCGAGGCGGCCATGGACTCCGAACTGCAACTGCTGGAGGAGCAGCTGCAGACTATGCCCCAGTCCCGATTCGAGCTCACCCTTTCCAACCCGGCCCTCTTCACCTATCTCCTGGTCGCGTTCGCCTCGATGGGAGGTCTGCTCTCCGGTCTGGATCAGTCCCTGATCAGTGGTGCCAACCTCTACCTTCCCCGTGACCTCCACCTGTCCGATTCAATGAACAGTCTGGTGAACGCCGGTATGCCCCTTGGTGCCGTCGGCGGTGCTTTGATCCTGTCCCCTGCCAACGAGTACCTCGGTCGTCGCATGGCTATCATTGTTTCTTGCATTCTATACACTATTGGTGCCGCCCTGGAGGCTGGTGCCATTAACTTTGGCATGATTTTCGCTGGTCGTTTCATCCTCGGTATGGGTGTTGGTTTGGAAGGTGGTACTGTCCCGGTCTACGTCGCGGAGTGTGGTAAGTTTGCATTTTATTATAAATTTCTCCTTTGATTCAGCACACTGCACGGACTCGAGACTAACGATTTCTTTTTCCCGAATCTTCATAGTTCCCCGCAAGATTCGTGGTAACCTCGTCTCGCTCTACCAGCTCAACATTGCGCTGGGTGAAGTTCTCGGCTACGCCGTTGCCGCCATGTTCGTCGGCGTCAAGGGTAACTGGCGCTACATCCTCGGTTCTTCTCTGATCTTCTCCACCATCCTGCTCGTGGGTATGCTCTTCATGCCCGAGAGTCCCCGTTACCTGATGCACAAAAACCAAGAGGTCGCCGCGTACGGCGTGTGGAAGAAGATCCGCGGCTTCAACGATATCGAATCCAAGGATGAGTTCCTCGGCATGCGCCAGGCTGTCACCGCCGAGTCCGAGGAGCAGTCCAAGACCAAGAAGTATGCCTGGATGGACTTCTTCACCGAGCCCCGTGCCCGCCGTGCCATCGTTTACGCCAACATCATGATCGTCCTCGGCCAGCTCACTGGTGTCAACGCAGTCATGTACTACATGTCCACCCTGATGACCAACATTGGCTTCGACGACAAGACCGCCGTCTTCATGTCTCTCGTTGGCGGTGGTTCATTGCTGATTGGTACCATCCCCGCCGTCCTGTACATGGAGCGCTTCGGCCGCCGCTACTGGGCCAACGTCATGCTGCCCGGTTTCTTCGTCGGTCTGATCCTCGTCGGTGTCGGCTACACCATCGACTACACCAAGTACCCCGCTGCCGCGCAGGGCGTGTACCTGACCGGTATCGTCCTGTATATGGGCTTCTTCGGTTCCTACGCCTGTCTGACCTGGGTCGTCCCTTCGGAGGTCTTCCCCACTTACCTCCGTTCCTACGGTATGACCACTGCCGACGCGAACCTGTTCCTGTGCTCATTCATCGTCACCTACAACTTCACCCGCATGATGGAGTCGATGACCCGTATCGGTCTGACGCTCGGCTTCTACGGTGGTATCGCCGTCTTGGGCTGGTTCTACCAGGTTATCTTCATGCCTGAGACGAAGAACAAGTCTCTGGAGGAGATTGATGAGCTCTTCTCCAAGCCCACCTCCGTCATTGTCAAGCAGAACCTTAAGCAGACTTCGCAGATTATCAAGGACCTAGCGCATCTGCGTCTGCGCAAGGTTTTCTCGCCCGAACCTTACCGCTAAGGGTGTGTGACTGGCTTGGGAATGACTTGATGTCGTTGTGATGAATATATTTTTTTCAGTTTAAGAAGGTTTACGATTCATGTTCTGGGATGAGCATGTTAATTAGTGATGATGCGATTGAAAGGTGCATTGAAATATACCCCCAATCTTTTTTTAAACTTTTGGAACCATTGAACACCAGAAAGTAGAGCCGATTCTCTCGCAGTAGTTAATAACCTTGGACATTTTTTTCGTACATAATCAACAGCGCAGTACGGTTCTTTTCCGAAAAGGAGCATGCTGTCTAACAGAGATATTTAGGTCAGCGCGCCCAACACGCAACGACGCCTACAAGAGTTTCTTTGGCTTTCCATTCCTCATAGGCATAGAGAAATCGCCACTGGAAGTAAAGTGGCTGACCGTTGAGGGATCACCACTTTAGCGGGCTCCTTGACCCCTAATGGCCTAAGGCACTAATCTAGGAATAGCCTTGACTTGTGGCGGAATTTCATAACGAATTCCCGGCCGATCTGGCCACTCCAGAACACCATACTAAATATAATATTTCACTACTTATCTTTTCAATTGTCAAATCTGATGACCTTGTCTGGAAGTATCTTATTGTTTAACATGCCACATTGGGTATTCGCTTTAATGCGGGAACTAAGTCCGGGTGTAACAATGTAGATATATATATCTACATCGGTCGGCTGTAGCGTATTATTGGTATTGCAAGTAAATAAAAGATTCCTAAATATGTCACTTGTGCTATACTATTTCTAATGCCAGGAAAACATCCTCTACCAAGAATCAAGCAAGAATGACTTCTCGTTGTTAATATACTAAGCTGGAGAATCGCCTTTGGTATGGTGTTTTGGGGTGGCCAGATTGGGCTGGGGATTGACTACGTGTTTAACTTTACTAAGACTTGTGAGCGATTATAATCTGTGAATTTGCCTCCACTTTCGCAGAAACTTGCCCCTTTGGTGTAGTGGTTTATCACATGGTACTTGTAATACTAAGGTCCCCGGTCCCCGGTTAAGCATAGTTTTTAGACCCTATGATATCCTTGAATAAGCAGCTAACATCTCACTAGATATCTTCCCCGATAGAATGCTAATTACAGGGTAGTACCAGGCAATATTCCTTGGCAGTGTGCTCTTTAACCCAAGGGAAATATAAAGAGGCCGAAGTGGTATATCGACTGTAGCTATAAGTATAAGAGAGATGCTTGGTTTAAGCATACTTACATAGTTCCAGTGACGATTATCTTGGCTTATTTCCGACATATACTAGTGAATCTATGGCGCCCCTCTAACCTAGCGTTACGGATACGGAATCTGGAGATTTACCTGGTGATGTTTCATGGAGTTGAAGACACCTCCCTTCTGAGTGCCGAGTGACGATGAACCTCCTTCCATTAACGAATTTCAAAGTTTGAACTGTATGTACAACTATAAGGAACGCAGGGCACAGACAACATGAAAAAAGCGGAAAAATGTTATCAAACTCCGAGCGCCATGCTTGACGGGCAATGCAATCAATCCAATGCGACCCATATTCCCCGTCCTACCATTGCCTTCCTCCCACGGGCTTGCGAACGCTCGGATCTATATTCCCTGGACTGGGGGAGCGTCCACCATGCAACCTTGCCCGCAACCGTTCCTGTGCCGAGCTAGCCCCGGATCTGCTATCTTGGCTAGACCGCCCAGATTGCGTCGACTGATAAGATCCAGAACGCTGGCTAGGCAGCGGGCGAGCACCCGAAGGATGCAGACCGCCCGGCGAAGGAGAGTGAGACTGCGAGTGCGAGAGCTGAGGCGGGGGCGACATTACAGGGCCTGGCGGAGCACTCAGGGCAGGTGTCAATGCCGAACCGCTCGCACCACTCGCGGCACTACCGCGGCCCCGGCGGAGACTGGAAGTTTGTGCACTTCCTGATGAAGAAGCACCCGAATCACCCCAAAGGTCGCCTAGACCGCCACCCCGGCCGTAGGCACCGGCGGGGGCTTGCCCGTATTGTGCGGAGGAGGCGGTTGCGATGGGGCGAGGTGCAGCGGAGGCCGGAGCCTTAGGGTCGGGAGGGAGCCAGCTGGGGAATGGCCGTCCCTTTTCTGTGTAGTATGCTCGGAGAGCGTTGGATATGTGCGAACCGTCCTCGTTCTCCGGGTCGTCTTTTTCGTCGCCTAGTGTGATTGCCCGGCGGAGGCTGTTGAGTCTAGACCCCAGAGCATTGGAGATGGAGGATGAGGAGGTAAATGAAGCTAGATACGAGCTCATTTCGCGATTCCTAGGTGAGGTGAGGTGGCAGTGGTAATGTAGTCGAGCAAGGCGTGGACCGTAGAGGACAGCTTCGGTGTGGGGTGGGGTTGATGCGGAGCTACAACCCTGCAGGAAGCCAACAGTGCGGAGAAGGAAGCCGGGTGGAAGTGGGTAAAATCGAAGATTGTGTCAATCGTTCAGCAGGCGATTAGTCGTACGTTCCACAAAAGAGCCGGCTTCTGTGGGAAACAAAGAGTTGAAGTTGCAAGTGTGGCGGGCATGAAGATCGCCGAAACACAACCCTATGACGACGGCACGTGATCTCATACTAGGTTTCAGAAGAATCGCGGGTCAATCAACCTGAGACCAGCGAATGGATAGAACCAAATATAAACGAAACTAATAGACATGGAATGATATCTCAGACCCGCATTGACAAGTATGTATAGCAATTGATGCAATAACTGGGTATGATGCCCGATCATAGTAGAAACACATTGACAGAAAAGAAAAAAAAAACTTCAACCTGTAAAACGCCATGCAAGATCACATAAACTTTTCCCAACCCATTCAGCGAATAGTTTACGCCATGACATGATCCTTGCCAACACCCTCGGTCTCGTACTCGATTTCGATACGAGGGCCCTTCTTCCGCGGCTTGACCTGGGGAGCGACATGCTTGCGCTTGGCACCAGGCTTGGGCTTCTTCTCATCCTCGCTAGGCGCGCTCTCGCCGTCGCTCTCATCATCACTCTCATCATCCTCATCGTAGTCATCGCTGGAGTCGGCCGAATCACCGCCCAGCCAGTCCTCGATATCCTCAAGATCCTCCTCTTCATCAAGGTCGCTGACGTACTCGACCTCACCAACACCTTCCTCCTCATCCTCAATTTCCTCTCCATCATCCATATCCTCATCGCGCTCACCCTCACCAGCACGCTCCAGACCGCGGAGAACCTTCTTCCAGATGTTTTCGTCAACATTAAGCGGCTGGTCACCGTAGGCACCACTGCGCAGACGCTCGATAAGCTCGCGCTCAATTGCACGCTCCACCTTGGCCGCAGACAAAGCCTTCCGCTCACGAGTGTCCTCACGGCGGCGAATCTTAGGCGCTAACTTGGGCACGATCTTCTCACCGAGGCGATCATCCTCCTTGGCAATGTTCCTCATGCGGATTTGCACCTGCGTCAGGCGGGTGAGACGCTGCTTGCACTTGTGGACCAGGAACTTGGGCCAGTAGATCAGGCGCTCGTCGAGTTGCTCCAGCGCCTTGGCGTAGTTGGAGGACAGGCGCACACGTTCCCACCACTTGCTGGGCATGTGGGCACGTTCGACGGTCTTCATGTACAGGTACATGTTTCCGGTCTCGGGGTCGGAGCGCACCGTCGCATATCGCGAATTGGCGAGAGGGCAGGATTGCCGATTGCACAAGCCAGTTACGTTGTGTTCATTGCGGCAGAAATTTTGCTCCTTGGTAGTTCTAAAGCAGACAGGGTTCCAAGTTAGCGAAACGTTTCACATATCTCATTTTTTATTGCAATTCAATCTCAAGTGCTGGCGGTGTCTCGACTGGAAAGATCGACAAACCAACGCAGAGAATTTTTCTTAAAGGGTAGGAAATCTATGCAAGACACTTACTTGAGCTTGTAGGAGCAAAACTGCTGGTTGATAACCTGCCAAACGATCTCGTCCGACATGATGGGCAGGGAGCGATGTAGTGTTCGGTGCTGGAGAGCCGTTGCCCAGGTGTTGATCGAAAGAAAAAAAAAGTAGCAGTCACGTGAGAAGTGCTTATCGATAGCCGCACCTTCACTAGGCGGAGACTTGACCCCAAGTACAGACACTATCCGAATAAAGAGAGAGTAATCATTTCCGAACTTTATTACTCCACATGAATGCATTGGCAAGGAAGGTTCTAAGAATGAGCTAGTACAATAGCTAGGGTATATGCAATTCGTCTATGTCGCTGTGCAGCATGGTTCATGATACTCACTGTGGCCAGCCACCCTCCACCTGCATTTGGCCACCCTCCCACTCATTCCCGTTTACCATATGGTTGCCTTGATCCGAGTCATCGCCGGCAAATTCATCAGCAAAGCCCCATCCCATAGACTCTAATTCACGGACAAAGAAATCCCGCTCCTCTTCCATCATGCTGGATCCCTCGGGCCCAGCCATTACATCCTTATACTGACGTAGATGCCACCAGTGTGTCAATCCACGAAGAGCCTGCTCCAGAGGGAGAGCTTCCTCAACTTCGGCATCAACGTCCGAGCCGGCAAGCCAGTCATCCCGCAACTCTGGTCGGCAATACAGGTAGATAGCGGTGATGACGCGCATGTTGCTCTGGCGCCATTTGCGACCGCAATAAGGTACTTGCGACTTGAATAGCTTGAGAGTGTAGAACCGAAGATGAGGATCCGGGATCTTAAGGCCTTTTCGGAGTATTGTACTCGACTTATACTGCACGAGCAGAAGGCAGCGATGCGCTTTGTCGCGAGTAATCTTCTGCATGATGTGAAGGTAATTGATGGCGGAGAAGAAATTGCGGAAGGAGAAGACGGTTATGGGCTCTTTGGGCAGAGGAGCCGTGGGATAGCCGAGCTCATCGACCTCAGGGCGGGTCGGACCGTCAAGTATACCCGCGATGGACTCTTCAGGGGAGAGGGCTCGAACGCCGCTGCTGCCGGTATTCAAATTGGGACGATGACGGGAGATGGGGGGCGGAACAGCGTCATCCTCACTCTCAGTGTCACCGTCATCCGGTTGCTGGGCCCGCACTGCGTAGTCAGAGTGTTCGCTGCAGAAATGGAAGAAACTATAGTATTCCAAAGTTTGTTTAGCAGCATTCAGTATGAATGGTTCGACCACATCCACTTACGCCAGGTCCTCGCGGTCATTTTTCTGCGCCACGGCTTGATCCACATCTTGATGGGCGAACATTTTCAAAATAAGGGGCAAGTAGTTCGAGTCCAGTAGTAGCTGAGTCATATATTCGAATTTAAGAATGTCTTCATGGGTCAGTAAGGTGGCACGGGAGCAGCGTGATAGACAAAACAAAGGACTCACGAGATCGCTTGAACCACTTTAACAAGAGAAGTAGAGTGCCGGATACGGCTTTACCGGTGATTTCTCGTAGCCGAATATTATCCAATTCGTCGATGGAGGAATCAGAGAAAAAGTCTGCAGATGATCCATTTATGCCATGGCCATTACTACTGGCAAATTAGCGATAGTCGACTATTGGAGTGATTTCATCTTTCGTACCTCATATTCTGGGAGGTCTGGGAATTCGCCTGATTCACAACAGCACTGACATTCGTCAGAATAATCTTCAGGAACACAATTGTGATGGACTGAAGATGAGCCAATGTTTGAGACTAGATGAAGTAATGTTAGTTCGGCGCATTTAGATGACTGTTCTCAGGTACTAACATAGAACCCTTCTACGGCATCCAGTCGTCGCTGTACATCTGGATCATCCGTTACTTTCTTATGAGGAGTATGCTCTCTTTCGGACAAATCCAAATTGTCCAGTTCGCCAGTAGTATCATCGAGAGACGGGAAATCGGGAACTCGTTGGTACGACTGCTCCAGGTTCCAGCCCCGATCGTACTTCATAAAATTCTCGCGCTCTTCCCACAGTTGTTGCATTGCCCGGGTCATCTTCACATGGGTGGAGAAAAGCTTTCCGGCTTCAATGACAGACGCAGGTACATCACTGCCCTCCCAACGCTTGCCTACCAAGACGTCCTGTCGTTCTGTAGTGCCCTTTCCGCCGATGCGATTGCTAGTATCATCCAACGGGGGATACATAAGCGGGAAGTTCTGGTTCGTCTGGTAGTTCTGTTTCTTGCCGGCCTTTCCGCCAGGACCGATAGGAGACGGCGGTGGGGACGGCGCCGGAGTCGCGATATGAACGGCCTGTTGAAGGATAGAGCCATTTCCACCAGCAATAGATGGACCGACTCCGCAGAAAAGACCACTGGAGGAGTTTGCCCTGCTGGGATGCTGTGGGAGAGGGGGTAGAATGGAATTGTTTTCAAGTTCCAGAGGGACAATTGAGGCAGGGGGGTTGTAAGAAGGGTATTTGGAGGTTATTTCTTGGCGAAACATGTGGTAGTCGAGGGGCTTTGCGGTCAAGAATGGCGTCCTGCGATTTGCAGCATCCTCTTCAGAAATCAAAGGAGGCTCCAGAACCTCCTTTGTCCTCTTCAATTGGTCACTGCCACCGAATACGAGAAGAATAGATTTCCAAAGCAAAAGAATAATTCTCGTAAGAGGTATATTGGCGGATTCATCCCATCTCAGTCGCGCGATGATTTCCACAATGGTGACCAGTAGACAAGGATTCGATTCGGCAAGAGCATCACGAATCGAAGTATTCTGAGCGTCTCGAGTTTCTTGACGTCGGCCGACTTCGATTGCAAAGTAGAGCAAGGTGAGAACCAGGTTGGCTTCACGCTCCGGCGCGGCAATATCACCAGGGTTCAGTCGTTCGAACTCAATTCCATCTGGATCAGGACCAAGCGTGGCACGATTCTTATCAAACAGCTGCGACAGCCTCAAGATTAAGACTGGTATTCCCGAGCATCGCTGGAGAAGAGTCACATTTTCCTCGATCCAGTCAATTTGAAGGGATTTTGACTGGGGTGTCTCGGCCGCTGACCGGGCATCTATGTTTATGGGATAGTCCGGGACAGACCGTCCTCCCGTCACGCCCCATACACCGGTAACCGCATAGCAAATGTTCTCCAGTGCCTCCAATCGAACAGAAACGTCCATGTGTTGCAGATTGTTCAAAGATCGCATAATAAAAGATCGACGAAGATCCTCCGATACATCGACCCATGACTGCCCACTGGCGCCCGAAGCATTCTGCTGACAGAAAGCACTCCATTGCCTGTCGAAGGTAGCTTTCATACCCACCAGCATCACGCGATCGAACTCGTTGTACTGGAACCATTCTTCCAGCTCATCTGGAAACGGCTGCGCATCGGCATATTCGAAAGCATACGCGGGCTGCTCGACCTTGGGCATTTCTTGCACCAGTCTCCGCAGCTGAGCCAAGCTCAGCGAGGAGTCGGTTGGTCGGTCCCCATTCTGCTGAACGGGTGCGGGGGGAGGTGGTTGTAATGGCGGTGGAGGGGCTGATCCGTCTCGTCGCAATTCGGGTCGTTTTCCGGTCACCTCTGGCTGTGAGGAAGCTGGTATCGCCTCATGTGCAGCGGATGAAGCCTGCTCTTGACGTAGACCCTCTGCTACCTCCTCCATCAATTGGTCGTCCGAGACGGGCGAGATATCCGTGCCAGTCTGATCCACCTCATCGGCCTTGACAAAGTGGTGTTCCGGCTCGGGCAGATTGCGGTCTGTGGGGGCGGTGGGAATATCCATCCTGGCGTTCCCTCGGATAATGTTAACCTCACAGGGAAATCGCTGGACAGTTGAGCGTGCGGCTAGTAGGGGTGGTGGAGAGGCGCAATATGACTGTTTGGTGAACAACGGACATTAGGTGAGTGAGAGTTGAGATGGAAGCTGAACCGCCCTGGGGATGAAGTGACCTCAGCAGACAGGATCATCTCGCAGCTTGAGCCATGATTGAATAGGTCTCGTCAGAGTGGTCGCGACAGCAGACCGCGGAGTCGCGGTGATCAATGCTAGCTGATAGCAGTCACGTGGTCTACGCGGATCATCCTACACAATTGTAGCCAAAAGGCCAGGGTGCATCAGGCACTCGAACTCTATGAAGACAGCGACACGCGACGTATTTGTGATCAGCCTAAGACCGAGGAACAAATGAAGACCTCTTCATCTGCCACATATTCTATCTATAGGCAATCCTAATCGATAGCAAAGATCAAAAACTTGGTAGAATAGTTGGTAGAGGAACAGTATGCAATGGAAGTCTGATATAAATCCAGAATTTCCTTTCCCCAGCATCAATCAGCTACGATAGCCTAGTGGTACCTGATTAACAAACTTCCGAATTGGTGTAGTGGCTAACATCGTCGTCTCTCACACGACAGCCAGGGGTTCGATTCCCCTATTCGGAGTTCTTTTCTTTTTTGTCTTGCCGACTTGGCATTATCTCAATCAATGCTCAACATGCTATAGAATTGAATTTTTCGAAATACGCCATTCATGGTGAAACTTCACTTGGCAAACAGGATTCCATTCTAGAAATCCGCCCGCTCGGGCCTTCAAGTAAAAGGTGAACCGATTTAAGTACGAGATGGTTGTGATTTGGTCAAAATATGTTTACATGTGGCCCACTTCGTAAATGCCGAACCTATAGCAGATGGGATGTCCAGTAGACTGGCCCTTATAAAGAATTTAGACAACCAACAACGTGACTATACAAAAAGCTATAGTATTCCTTTACAGATATCTCCTCAGTCCGACTTGCCCACTTCACTGTGGCGCTTCTTCAACCTTTGCGCTTCCCATCGTTGCCAGCCGGCCTCGGCCAAGTCTTCACTTACCACCAGATCGCGAATTCGCAATAGACGAGATAGGGTCAATTCCGTCACCCAGTCAATCCAACCGGAGCGTCGGAGAAGCCCAGTGACCACGAACCAGCTACAGGCGCATATGAAACCAACCCCGGAGCCTGCCAGAACCTGTCGGGGGGTATGGTAGCTCAGATAGACACGACTGGCTGAAACTGCGACCGCGCTGGCACAAAGCCCCACCGCCAGGGCAGTTCGGAGTAAGAAATCAGAGTAAGGATAGGAGCCTGCGTAAGATGGAGAGTGTCGGAACACCAGGAAAAGGGTCAAGTAGATGGCGAAATAAGTCATGAATTGAGCGTGGGAGGATGGCATGCCGTAACCTTTGCCGAACATTTCTGTAGACACGCATCGGACCACATCAGCGCCTGCCCTTTGCAGTATAGAATTATAATACGGGAAACAACAATCCTTACCCTTCGGGCGCTCTTCCTTAATGATGCGCTTCAGCACAAAGTTCAATGCTTCACAGCCCAGCTGTCCAGCGAACATCAGGATCACCTCCACCTCTCTCGAGGCCCAGACCAGGGTGGCATAGGAGACGCAAAGGGCCTGGGGCAGTAGCGCCAGCCATGCCGACGCAAAGGACAGCGAATCCTCGGGGTTCTATTGGGGACTGTTAGCACATTGCAGCCCAAAGGCAACAGTGCAGAGAACAACGCACGTAGTGAACGTGAGTCAAAGACAGCGAGGCCAGCGGAGTGTCGCCCATTTTGAAATGGGGGAGGTGTCCTCGTGCTCCTTAAGAAGTAGAAGTAGTGACGAGGGAACGAGTCGAGTCAAGGAAACAAAGGAGGGAAGCTTAGTTCGCCAGTTGTGAGCTGGGCAGTTGTAGCTCGGCCGGATAAAACCAACACTGTCAGCCGATAAGCGGAAACCGATAAGACCCGATAAGACCAGATAAGAGACGAAGGTCACGGCGGGGCGGCAAACTGCAGGAGGGGGAAACCCTCTGGCCATTACGAGACACAAAAATAAATTCCCCTTCAGGCACCAAAAGGGGAGTTCGCTTTTTCCTCTTCTCGCCTCCCTCGCCTCCCCCCCCATCTCTTCCTTTCATCTCATCTCCTGCTCTTTGTTCATCCTCCCTCATCTCAATTATTCGTTCCAAATCATGACGCAGTCCCTGTCACTCTATACTCCCGCTTTCTTGTTACATCATTTGATAGACCCCTCCCCTGCACAGTGGACTCGCCTGGACCGAGCGCGAATAGTCCGCACAAGAATACCCTGATTGTGGTTTATTCTGGTAGCCCACTGGGCTGTTCGTACGGTGCTTATTGAAAGCCTTTCGCGCAGACAAAGAGTGTCTCCCTCCCAAATTCCTTCGTAATCGCCACTGGGGTGATCTAAAAATCCTGCTCGCCATCTCCACTTCAGACCTTGTACGCAACCCTTCTACGACGGCAGCAATGGCCGCTGCCTGCTAAATCACACGGGATAGTTGGAGCCTCCTGGGCAGTACGATTACGACTGTATAACAACGTCTTCTCAAAAAGATCCTTGGTGTCTTGAATTTGAGCCCCGCCACTTTCAGGGCTGGTCACAGTATGGCCGAAATTCGGGACGAGGACGATCGGTCCATCGAATTATCCTCCATCGCCGCTATCTATCCAGAGATCAAGATCGATTCGGCCAACCCTTTCAAGGCGACCCTTGAGCTCCCTGTCACACTCCCGTCGCCCACTCAAGTCTGCTTCCGGCAGCCGCTCGATCTCGGACCCCCGCCGGCGCTAACGCCGCCAACCTCTGTCGATGGCTTCAAAGCTGACTTGGGCCAGAATACTGCCCGTGACGTTCACATCCTCTCGCATCTTCCCCCGCTGAGCCTGAGCATCGAGCTGCCGGATGGCTACCCCACCGAGAACCCCCCGATCGTTCGGCTTACAACCCATCCGTTATGGCTCCCGTCAACGGTCCTTGCGAAACTGAACGACGATTGCACTCGGTTGTGGGAGGAATGCGGGCGGGATATGGTGGTCTACACCTACATTGACCACCTTCAACAATCGGCCGAGTCGGCCTTTGGCATCCAGGATACCACCGATGGAGAATTGAGCCTATCACGGGACCTGAAGATCGCTCTATTGGATTTCAACAGCAAGGCCGAGCGTGAGAAGTTTGAGCAAGAAACTTTCGAATGCGGGGTATGCCTGGAACCGAAAAAAGGTGTCACCTGTCACCGGCTACTACGCTGCTCCCACGTGTTTTGCGTCCCCTGCCTGCAAGACTTCTATAATACCTGCATTGCTGAAGGTGACGTGGACAGTGTGAGGTGCTTGGCGCCGGAATGTGAGAAAAGCCAGAGCCCGACACTTGCGCCGGGTGACGGTCAAACCCCTCGCCGCAAGAAGCGCGATCGAACACTCGGCCCCAGTGAGCTTCTTGAAATTCCTCTGTCCACAGAGACGGTGCAACGATATGTCTTCCTTAAGCGCAAGAAGAAGATTGAATCCGACAAAACCACGGTATATTGTCCACGTCAGTGGTGCCAGGGAGCAGCCCGATCAAAGCGGCACCCCAAGCCCACCGACCCCATGGCCGACGCAGATGACGCCGATGCTTCTGAAGATGAAGAGGAACCCAATTTCGACCCGCTAGGGGAAAAGGGAGATCTTCCCCCCGTTGCCGAACGAGTCGCCATCTGCGAAGAGTGTAACTATGCCTTCTGTAGCGTCTGCCGAAAAGGCTGGCATGGTGAACTCGTCAGGTGCATGCCTCAGCGCAAGGTCGAGGAGCTGTCTGCCGAAGAAAAGGCAACCGAAGAATACCTGCGCATGTACACCTCCCAGTGCCCGACATGCACCGTTCCTTGCCAGAAACGCATGGGCTGCAACCACATGCGTTGCTTCCAGTGCGATACACACTTCTGCTATTTATGCTCCGCCTGGTTGTCCCCGGATAACCCGTATAGCCACTTTAATCAAACTAGCAGCACATGTTACAACCGCCTGTGGGACTTGGAGGGCGGCGACGGACTGGACCCAGAAGGTGCCGAAGCGCTGCACCGGATTCCAGAAGCCCTGCTTGTCTTTGATGACGAAAATCAAGGTGGAGCTGTGCAGGATGTCGATCTGGATAATGAGACCGAAAGTGAATGGAGCTCCTCAGACGAAGATGATGACCGCCCAGCGTGGGACTTTGACTTCAGTGACGACGACCAAGATCGCCACCACCGCCCTCCTCCTCCAGCACCCGTGCCTCCTCGAGTTCCAGGCGCACCCCGCGGTCTCGGTGCAAACCATCCGGGCCAAGATGCCGCGGCTCGTGCCGCCATGGAGCGTGAGGAACAAGCCCGAGCGATGGCAGAAATCCGTAATCGAAACCGCAACCGACCTGCGCGACGAGCGGAGCAGCCACGCAACGGCGCCCCTCAGGAGCCACGGGGTATGATCGGGCTCCAGCGGTTCTTGGAGTTGGTGCAGAATGATCGCGAAGATGAATGGGATAGTGATGAACTCGAGGATTTTTAAGATGAAGATCATGAAATATGAGACATGCATAGGACTTGTTCATAGGAGGAAGGGAAAGATTTACGATACTCACGCACAACATCAAAACGGGCATATGGTGTTTTCTTATGAAGGATGATTTTAATGATTTGGAACTTCATAGCTTTTTCTTGTGAGATTGCATTTGTCTTACATTTTACATAGCTTGTCTAGCATATGGTTGTCCTTTCAATTGGCTTTTGATTTGATATCACACAATCCAGTACTACTGCTTCTCTAGCCCAAACAAGCAGAATATGGGGATTCACAGCTCCAAGAGATTGGAGGGTTTCCAGATTGGACCCCTTCTTAAGACTGTAAATTGATACCTCATCTCCTCTGCAACCAGACATGAATAAACGACATAGAAACTTCTTCACCCCTGAAATGCGCAAAGTAAAACTCCTTCGTCCTCAAGATCCACTCCGACACAAGCTCACCACTTTTCTCTTCCGAGTAATTCTCCGGATCTCCATCCCTCAAAGCCTTGAGAAGGTAACCAGAAATCACAGCCGTGACCCAATCAATAATAGCATGCGTATACTTCCAAGCCGCCTCGTCATCCACCCGACCCTCCTTACTCGTCGCCCTCTGCAGCTCCACATACGCCGGATGCACCACTTGATTTTCGAAACACTCTCGTATAGTCCAGAACTCCTCCACTTCACTCAACGAAGATTGCACATCTTCAATGCTCCGGTTATAAAGCGGCTCATTCAACGAGGAAAGAACATCTTTCGACACTTTCCCTTCAACAAGCATAAGCTTTAATGCACCGAAGATCGAAGAAACGGGCCCAACTAGATCCGATGACCCGGAGGCTGATTTATTCGGGAAAGAGAGGACCAGCGTGCCCCCGGGTTTAGTCTCTATTGCTCGAAGATGGAGGAATTGGAGTAGGTCTTTGTGTGACTGCTCTTGCAGTATTTTGTCTGCATCGGGGATTCGTTGGAGATTCTCGTCCATCATTGGCCGGGTGGTGCTTAGGTGTTGAATGCATGCTAGGGAGAAGCCAATGTCGACGGTTTGTGATGGGAGAATTTGATCATAGAAATTCCCTGGGATCATGTTGATGAAGGGCTGTTTGCTGAAATTGTTGGTCCATTCGGTGATTGTTGAGGAGAGGGTGTTAAAATCATTGTTTGCTTTGTCGTTGAGCATGATTTGAAGGTTCTCTGGTGGAATAGATTTGGTGATTGTTTCCAGTGGTTTTATCCTATGAAGGAATTAGATAGAAGAGATTTAAGTATGAAGTAGGCGGACAACTCACGAGTTTGCGCCTTGGGCTGCCCCATATTCTGCAACTGTCAAGACTTGACCAGCTCCCCGATCTTCAATTTCCTTTGCGGCCTTTTCGATCAAAGGTAAAGCCTGAAGCATAACTTCATGCTGAAGATCAGAATGAGAGCTGTAGACACCGCTGCCTTGCATGGTAACATCATTAGCCACAGCGGAGGGTGTATAGTCCCCCATTTTGCTTTCAAAGCTCAGGTACTGATATTTCGATATTTAGAAGAGTGGACGGAGACACCCGCGGAAGGGCAGCCTTTATAGAGGGGAAAGTCCTACCAATTTGGCATTCTCGCATGCTGAGAATGCAAGTCTTCGAAAAAGTCGCGGTAGTTCATGCACGAACTTAATAGCCCTCATGATCTTGCCGATCTTACATCTCAGCCTCGGCGGATCTCGGTGGGGCTGAATCCAATAGGATACTGGGTGCCTGACTATACAGTATTGTGTAGCAAGTCAAAGCCAGCCTGGACTGAAGATCGTGCCCTTCTCTTTGAAAGAAAAAGAATGGACAATGGACTCTAGCGAAAAGAGAAGAAGGTATTGGAGGAAAACAGCCCTATACTGTTTGATGATGGCGGTCTATACCCAAACATTAAAACATAATTCAAAGCCCCCAGCCATGTAATGGGATCACCCCTCTCCGATAAAGAACCTTCTCTTAGTATCATACTTGAAATAGACTATATAGAGAGCAGGCTATCTTGAATTCATACTTGGGGTTACTCGGGGCTATTCTCATGCCAGCTCATCAGCTGTACTGACGCAGGGATCGGAGCCTCTACACCGAAAACCCAAAATAAAAAGAAACTAAGCTTGAAAAACAATTTTCAAGGTGGAGATATTCCGAATCTAGGATTTCCTGCCGCGAATCTGCCATAAGTAATTTCATCCTCAACGGCAACTTGGAAGCCATAATCGGAAGCCATCCAATTATAGCTCAAAAGCAAAAATTTCTGTTAGAAGAATAGGTGGCGGCATGTTAATTCATATCATACTAATAGGCCAATCGCTAATTAGGCCCAAGGACGTGTGAAAAGATAGGATAGAGGTGCACAGCTAAAGATCCTGCAACGGAAGCGGTAAGAGGTAACCCAAGTGAGCGTTGCCTATTTAGCAAAGTATGCCTGAAAATTCAGGTTGGAGGTGCTGCAAATAGTTATCGGCGATGGGAAAAGCGTTATTTCCCTTTTTTTATCACCCATAATCTGGGGGATTAAGGGTATTTCGTGGAAACCTTTCTGTCGATAAAGCGGGCTGAATCCCCCCCGCTAAGCCCCGGTTGAATCGGAATGTGGGGGATAGCGGACGCAATGAAGCCAATTGAATGAAATGTGGATGATTCAACCAGGTTAAAGTGTGGGGTCTCCTCGTTTGAGCGCTCGTCTTCGAATCTATGTACTAGAGCGGATGGTGCTGATGGTGAATTGGCTGTACGTATAGATGTTTAGGTACCCTTTGCTGGATTATAAATATCTCTAGCTCACTCCACCAGCGTCTCTATTCCTGTTTCCTCCTTCCAACTCGAAGCACGTATAGATATCGACTTTCGAATATTTCTCAATCACCCCATCAGCGTCTCTATATCTAATTTCTCCTTGCACTTCAAAGTACTATACTTTCTTTTCATCGATTTGAACACCCTCATCATGGCCACCTCAGACTGGCGCCCAGGGAAGCGGGTCGCCATCGTTGGAGGAGGACCTGGGTCAATTTCGACAGGCCTAGCCTTTATCAAACGAGGCTACGACGTGCGCATCTATGAAAAGCAGCCTGAATGCAAAGCCATTGGAGGCGCAGTCCTCTTATCGACTCCTGTCTTGGCTATCCTTCGAGCCTATGGTGTGGACCCGGAAGATTTTGGCTCCTTTACGGTCACTTATTTCAAGAACAAGTCCGGCGCCGAACGTGTCAAGCTGCCTTTCAATACGGAGGTTGAGAGAACTATGGGCATTAAGGGCTGGCACTATGGCGTCCTTCGCTCTTCTATTTTCAAAAAGATGTTGGACCTTGTACCCGAGGGAGTGATTCATGCAGACCATGAGTTTACTTCTTACGCCGAGCAGGAAGAAGGCGTTGAACTCTCTTTTAAGAATGGCTATCGAGTCACGGCCGATATTCTCATTGGTGCGGATGGAATTCGATCCCAGGTATCACAACAAGCCTTTGGTGAACTCAATCTCTTCCACACCGGAATCCGGCTCTGGCTTGCCTGGTGTGATCATATCCCTGGTATTCCACCCAACCAAGGTATGATTTCACACGACTCTCAATATCAAGCCAGCTTTTTCCCAATGCTGCACGACGGCAAGCCAGGATTCGAGTGGTGGGTAGTTGAGCCATCGTGGGATGGAAAGCCTCTTCCAGATGATCCCAAAGCACATCTCACCGAGATCCTCAAGGACTGGGCACAACCTATGCCTCGCTTTCTAGAAGCCACCAATTTCGACACTCAAATGTACCGATGGGAGATTTTTAACCGGCCATCGATGAAGAAATGGTCCAAGGGTCGGGTTGCATGCGTCGGTGATGCCGTCCACCCGGTGTCACCATATGCGGCGTATGGCATGGGCATGGCAATTGAGGATGGTTATTTCCTTGCCAGAGCACTGGATGGGGTCGACCTACGTGACTTGCGTGCAGTCAATGCCGGATTCGAGCTTTACGAAGAAGAACGGGTCGACTACGTGAATCACAATATGGAGTTTGCTCGTTTCCTGGGCAGAATGTTTCACTCTATTCCTCGACCTCTCGCTAACATTCGCGATATGCTTTTCGACTACACTCCGTTGCTGAGCAGTTTCCTCAAGAGTGGTTACCTCAAGAAGGCAGAAGAGGAGACACTTCACCTGAAGGAGCTTCATGTGATCTGAGTCGGCTCGCGAATGTGATTTGGCATTACTTCATCATGCAGGGCAAGCTTGACCTAATATGAGAGGGGAAGATTCGTTCCATATATTTCAACGGACCGGCAACAGGTGGATTGTGAACTCTGATAGACCGTGGGAGGTGTGCCTATAATTGCCCAACCTATCAAGATCCATCCTGTTCTTTCATAGAATGTTTACAGTAATAGGGCATTTTTTGGTAAAATACAATCTAGTTGACTATATGCGTCACCACAACTTCAAATATGTACACGATTTGCAATGACTGCGTGGTAGGCAATAGGATTGAATTCTCTATTGAAACGCTCCGACTTGGTCTGATCCGGACCTATGCCCTGTAGTACTTCTTGCACGTATTGAATGACCTCTACTTGTTCAGAAATTCCAGTCCTTTCATCATTTCCCGTTTTCTAGGGTGACATTAACGACATGACAGAAAAGTTCATGGCACGACAGGGCTAGTCCCCATGAGGAAAGCCCCCTTTTCGATACAGAATGCTGCATTTGAGATTTATGTTGTGCCTGTCTAGTCATAAATGTATAATTCACATTAACGCTTCTCGCTAATATCGTTAGCGACCTTACACGACCTCCTTCTATCTTATTCTCATAATAGACTGAGTCATTTTTCTACTCCCCTTCCTAAGATCACCCTTTGTTGAGGTCTTTCCAAGGTCTTTTCCAAGGTCTTTTCTCAGATATAGGATTGTGCATACATAAGGACACGGCAGGTACTATGTACATAAATCTCGAATGAAGCATTTGTACTAGTGGCGTGGGCCATTCCTCATTAGGACTAGCCTTATCGTGCCATGGATTTTCTGTCGTTAATGTCATCCCTTTTCTATCCCGATTTCATGTGGGGGGACAATCGTCCCGATCCATCGCAGGATCGACGACCTCCCGGAGGCCCCGGCGTCCAGGCATCCATGTCATCAGCCATGTCGCGCTCCATCCTCGCACTTGCTGCTTATCCTAGTACATAATCCATCACCCATCATACATACAGTACATAGATCGTCATGGCAGGGTCACCAGTGAAGCGCAGCTTTGCAGGAGCCACTCTAGACTACATTGGAGCCCGCTACGTCGGCGCCGGCCCAGAAACGTGCAGTTACACCACCCAAGCCATTCAAATTCCCCTACGAGACGGTGTCGAATTGGCTGCCGACCTCTACGAACCAGAACTACCTGACGGCAAAGCACCTACCGGTCTCATCCTGATCCAGTGCTGCTATGGTCGCGGCGCAGGCATCTCCTTCCTCTACGCCCGTGTCTTCGCCGCCCGAGGCTTCCAAGCTCTCTTCGTAAGCACGAGAGGAACCCATGGCTCCGGTGGGACATTCGATCCCGGCAATCATGAACAGTCCGATAGTCAAGACATCGTGGCGTGGATGCGCCAGCAGCCCTGGTATCACGGCTCCTTTGCAACGCTGGGCCCGTCTTATCTTGGCTACAGCCAGTGGGCGCTTTTGCATGATCCGCCACCCGACTGTGTCGCTGCGGTTATCGCCGTTGGGCCTCATGATCAAGGGTGGCATGCGTGGGGCACGGGCTCGTTCCGCCTTGATCGAGCTTCTTGGAGTGATATGATGTCTAAAAAGGAAGACGAGAAGGGTAGTTTCCTCTCGCTACTTGCTAGACTTCCTGGTTTGAGCTTTTTGCGGTCGCCAGAGCTTGATCATGCGGTCGCTGGCTTACCGTTGGAAGATAGTTTGAAGAAGCACTTTGGTGATAGGACTCCATGGCTATTCGAGTACTTGCAACGTCCTAATGTTGAGGATGTGTACTGGACATCGCGCCGACACCCGGTCGCCCTCGAGCGCGTGAACATCCCCATCCTCCTGATCGGTGGTTGGTACGACACGTTCACGATGCAGACGATGCACCAGTTCAGGCGTCTGCATGATCGGGGTGTGGATGTGAGTCTCATCGTTGGCCCATGGACGCACACTCAAGGCTCGGGTATCCATTCGACCCCCGATATACTAGACTTCCTCTCCGAACATCTCGCCAAAAATGGAAAATACAAGAACCCGCCAGCCCGCATCTTTGTCACCGGCTCCGAAGAATGGCGCTCCATGCCAACTTGGCCTCCATCGACTCAACCAAAGACTTTATATCTACAAGAAGGCAACTGTCTCGGATCCAAGAAGCCTGTGCAAGACGTCAGTCCAGGAACTTTCACCTTCGATCCCTTGGAACCTACTCCCAGTATCGGCGGCAATCAAATGTCTGCCGGGGGACGGGTAGACGACAGCGCCTATGCAGACCGATCAGACGTGCTAGCCTTCACGAGTGAGCCTCTTTCCGAAGACCTCGAGATTCTAGGTATTCCATCTGTGCACCTGATCCATGCCAGTGATTCGCCCTTCGTAGACCTGTTCCTGCGAATCAGTGAGGTCGATGACCGTGGCGTATCCCATAATATCACAGAGCTGTATCAGGCACTTGATCCCTCTCGCGACACGTCTCAGCCTCTCGTTTTGGACTTGCAAGACTGTGCCCATCGATTCCGCGTGGGGACGAGGGTGAGGCTCATTATTGCGGGCGGGTCTTTTCCAATGTATGCGAGAAGCCTGGGGACTGGGGAGGATCGTCTGCGGAGCGATACGACGGTCCCTCAGAAGCACACTGTTACTATTTCTGGCGGGGTCTCGCAGCTTATTTTGCCGGTTAATGCTGCTGTCTAACTACTGTTGGTTACCTGGCGATTTCTGAACAATTTGTTGTGTATACGTTTACACCATGTGCATACTTATCATGAGAACGATATGATGCGAGTCCCGATAGCTATTACCTGGACCACGATCGATGCAGTGAGAATATGTTAATAATAATCTGAATTCATACAAGAGAGTTGTAGATTTGGGACATGCTTATATTCGTACAAGGCGGCTACCTAAGTGCAAGTAAAGAAAACGTGGGATGCGGAAACCAGTTCACGATCACCAAGAATGTAATTTAGTCCTTCCAGTCGTGCCAGAATTCATAGCTCATCACCGTGTGGTCACAATACAGTAGCATCAATCTGTAGTGGCGGGACGGATGCCAGCCGTCCCAGCGTTCCGGCGGATGGTAAGCGCGTGAGGCATGGGCGTGAAGTTCTGGGAGGGTATAATTATTTTTGTCATTGGTTGTTTCTGTTGTATTGGATTGTGTCTCTGGCGCTTCGTCTGATTCGGAATCAGAGCCAGACGGCGAGTGAGAATCCTCATCGCCGTTGTCAGACTGAGAGTCATGTGTAGCACGAGAAGATTCTGGCCGAGCGGACGGTTTGGATGGAGAAGGGTCGGATGTTGTAGATGAGGGCGAAGAAGGACTGTCGTCTTCTTCAGGATTGAGGATGCGGTAGTTGAATTGAAGCCAATCGTCAGGGTCAACGCCATGCGGGATGGAGGGGACATCCGGTGGGATTTCGTAACCTGGCATGGGACCGACAGCCATACCAAGGAGTGGGATCATAGGCCGTTCATCGCTACGCTCTTGGGTATGAAAAGGAACGATCCAGTCGAGGCGAAATGCATAGCCAATTTCTTCTTGCCAAGTAAGAGATATGATCGCCACACGGCCTTTCTGAGACGCTGCAACCACGATTCCAAGCTCGGGGACATATTTGACCATGTTGAAGCGATCACAGGCGGAGCTCATATCGACAGTGAAAGAGAAGCGCTGGAATAGAGGATTTCGACTAAGGAGGTGGTAGTCCGAGTCGATTGGGTAGGGTGCCATGCTGATATGGTGCTCAGAAAAGTGAATTGTGGGGAAGAATTGCGGAGGATGGACGGCTGCAATGGTTGAATCAGCTTGTTTGTTCCGAAAACTTTTGACGTTATTAGTAAAGGACGCTTACGATGCACAGGTCTTTGCGTAAAAAGCTTAAAGCTGTGGTCGGAGAAACCCTCCAAGTCATAGACAAAGTCTGGGTGCAGACATGGTGATGCGTGGAGCTGGTCGCTCTCTTCCTCATAAAGGCTGGACAGAGGGCGTTTGATCCGTACCACCCGGTCCGATGAATCGCTCGAGACATCGTCAAATTCTGAATCAGTGACCAAATCCTCTTCGAAACCACCCTTGGGCTTATCACCATCCGCTTTTCCGGGTTCCGACTCCGAGTCTAAGCGCGTTCGAGAATGCCGCTCTACCCTACACCCAGTCGAAAAAATAGTATCAGGCAAGCACTGAACCTGGCGATTCAGATTCTGCGGGCGTTTGGAGTTGATGGCGCCGAATACAAATATTTGCGACGCATCTCGCACACCTTGGATGGCCCTAGACACATCCAGGATGGTTCTAGATGCGAGTAACACCGAGCCTGGCTCACATCCGCATGCATCCTCTTTCGTCTGGTGGCGTTTGAAGGTTCTTGGGTCCAGAGGTATGACAGTCCACCCCCTCTGGGGAGGATTGTTCAACGGGTGGCCAGGATAGTAGACCCTGTATGGACCGAGGTCATCCCAGATACGCCAGATTATGACCCGGTTGCTAATATCAGTGCTTGCCATCCATGAGCCATTGGAATCCAAGTCAAAGTTGGCAAAGGATATGTGTGGGATGTTGTCGAAGTGACCCCTATATGTCAAGCGTAGATTGCGTGAACGGTGGTTACGAGGCATAGACCTCTGTAATTCCCGTAATTGCTTGATATTATGAATGGACACCCAGGTCGGGTCAGACTGGGTGGCATTCAGACCATCTGAATCGGGATCTGAGGCAGGATCATCCATGTCTTCTGATGATGGGTCTACCAAGGCAAAGGCATAGACCGTAATTTGGCCAGTGTTGGCACTAATGGCAATCAAACGGGCAAACTTGTGAGTTGCAAGGCCCCAAGCGCTCATGCCGACATTTTCCACAAAGAATGGAGTCACTTCGGAACCATCAAAGGGTCGTTTGTATCCGCTTTTGGCGCATCGCTTCACGGCGGAGAAGATTGCTTCGACATGGTATCCGCAGACGTTGCCAGAATCGGTTGCCAACAGCAGAACTTCGTCACGACCCAGCTCATCCACAATAATATTATTAATGGTATGTGGATGTGCCGGATCAATGTAACCATCGGCTTGAGGTTGCTTCATGACTGGTTTGATAATCATCTCGGCCTGAGAACCCAAGGCCTGAAAAGGACCCGATGGGATCCAGACATAGATATCGGATACATGTGCTACAAAGAGAAGGTTGCGCCGCTGGGAGGAAGCCGCCTATCGAATGGGTCAGCAATGGAACATTGGGCCCGAAAGCTTGAATGAGGATCTCACTAGATTGCTTCTCCAGGTGGCCACCGGAGGACCAATGATATCATTCTTCCTATCCAGATCTATCAGTATATTGCAGACTTGACCAGCAATGCCGGTCTACACCTACACGGAGAACTGCCTTCGTCAGTTGAAATCCCTCACGTGAGACATGTAAGGAATATCACGCACTCGTTGTCCTTCTTTTTCAACACTCAGAGCTTGGAATCGAGGTCTGAGAGAGTCTCGAAGAGAGAAAAGCTCCGATTCGGAACTTGCAGGGCTGTAAAAGGCCATGTCCCCCAGGCTAAAGGTGCCTGTCGCCAGTAACCAAGCTTGGCTTGTAGTATGACCACGGATCTGCGCGGGGGAAGTTGGAGAGGAAGAGAACGGGAGGACGGGGCGTCGGGTGTAACGTTGTCATTGCCAGGGACCGGTAGTTCTGAGAAAAGGGAAGAGAAAGCCAAGGGAGTATTACAGAAGGACATGTTCAAGCCAAAACACGGAGGGTGGTTATCATCACCGACAGCGGGGGAGCGGGAAGTGTGGAGCAGCCGATGATGAAATCCACTTTCTCACCGCCTTCCTCTGCCATCCCGTTAGATCTTATCCCCAATTTCAACATCGCCCTTTACCAGTCAAAGATGGATTTGGTTGCGGGAGTCCGGAAAGAAGGCAGCCGGTGAGTAGTTCTCTGCTTGCACACATTCGCTCGTTACCCATGGCGTATACTCATCAACTTGTCCATATAGCGGCGGCCGGGGCGAGTTCAAATGGTCTGATGTCCAAAACTCGAGCCACCGCGAAAACTATCTTGGTCATTCGGTGATGGCCCCTGTCGGCCGATGGCAACAGAATCGTGATCTCTCATGGTATGCCAAGGGCGATGCAGATGCTGAGGAGGAACGGGCCCGCCAGCAACGCGAAGAGCTCCAGCGTGTCAAGGATGCCGAGGAGGAAGCTATGGCCCGCGCACTCGGACTACCAATCCCACCCAAGGCCGAGGAAAACGCCAATTTGACGCCACTAGGAGAAAACGCAAAGACTCAGGTGAAACCAGATGAGGCTGGGGCGAAAGAATCAGGGAGAGAGTCGCGGGGAAGCCGAAGACACAGGCATGACCGCAGTCGAAGCCCACATCGAGAGAGGCACAGAGATCGCAGCGATGACCGTGCTCGAGATCAGGAGCGAAGACACCGCAGACACCACGATGACGACCGGGAAAGGAATCGTGAAAGAGATCACGATCGAGATCGTCATCATCGAAGCCGCCGACACCGGTCTCGCGACAGAGATCACCATAGGAAACGATCTCGCTCGCGCTCTCGTGACCAATACAAACGAGGAGAGGAGACTAGGTCTCGGCGGATCGAGCGTAGTCGTTCCCCTGAACGTCGCAGAGACCGAGATGATCGCGACCGGCGACACTGATTTATGACACACATGATATCCATTTATTGCAATACAATACCACTTGGGCAATCTTGACCCAGCCTCACGATTTCGCAAGAACCCGACAGTTTAATTACTTAGACGAGAATGTCAGAAGATACAACCATTTTCACTCTATCTCTTCGTCGAAAACGGCAAATCTCGAGGGTTGGACACATAGCCAACAAACTCATGTATGCAATGATCATCGCTATCTAATGCATGCAAAATGCATGTGACGAAAAGCTAATTTACATAAAAGGCCAATCAATGCCTTACAGCTCATCGTGAGAGGTCTGTTTGCCCTCGGGCAGATCCGGCATGGACATAACGTTCACCACCAGACTGGTCCAGCCAGTAAAGTGCTGTGTACGCTGTCCCTTGCCCGTCTCCGGGTTATACTGTTCCCAGGCAAACCCAGTGCTCTTCCACTCACGGAAAATATTCTCGACCAAGTTCTTCCGCAGCTTCGAGTACATCTCCCGGGCCTGCTCCTGGTGAGGGCCGGAGGCAAGAGCGGTGTCCTGCAGACAGGCGATCGTTAGCATGATATGCAATAATGCAGCATTGACTGAGATCCGACTTACATATAGATTCTTCAGCACCAGGTAGTTGATAGGCATCCAAACTGGGCTTCGCCAGTAGTTCTCTTCCGTGCCGTAGTACTGGTCCTTCTTGCTCAGACTGCGAATACCATAGTCGCTCCATAGCTCCTCGGGATCGTTGATCAGGTCCAGCACAGCCTTCAGACGAGGGCTGTCGGGGCCCAGCATGCCGGTAAGGAAGGGGAAGATAGAGATGTAGCCCTTGTGGCAGACATGAATGCTCTCCTCGTATTCATCGATGGTCGCATCGCAGAAAGTCTGCTCCTTCTCGTCCCAGTGCAGGTCATCAATGTTTCGGGAAATAGCATTCTCATAGTAAGCAAACTCCTCAGCATCTTCCACCTCACCCAGGTATTCCGCAATGCGGCGTAGAGTGCGTGTCATCATGCCCATCCAGCTGATGAGATCCACGTGCAGCTCACCGGGGTGCGGTGGCTGGGGCCGGGGATAATCGTCAATGCCAGAAGTAAGGATGTGTTGCACTGAGCGTCCACGCCAGCGGTAGCCTTCTTTGCTGGAAAAGGCTTCACGATCATAGGACTTGATGTCGCCGCGTTGGGTGCTACGGTACCACGAGTAGTGTTTCTTCATCAGAGGGTAGAAAGAGCGCAAATACCCATTGGCCAATTCGGGGTTTCGCAGGGTAGCTGAGCGCAGGCTCTCGGCCGGGTCGTTGTGATCCAAGCTCACGGACTGAGCGCTCTTGTTACTCTTCGCCTTGTCCATGAAGGCTTCCAAAGCCATGAACAAAGTGGGTGGGTTAGCGTAGTGGGGATACTGGACAGTGAATTCGGCGGGAACCTTGCTACGGGCTTCCTGTCCCAGAATTTGCTCACGAGCAATCCAGCCGTCCTCATCCATCAAATGGAACCAGCTCTTGATGATCTCAAGCCTAAGAAATGTGTCAGCTTCATTACCTCGAAGGCAAAAATTTTCATGACTTACGCAAGGTCAGAGTCATATTCCATCACAGGCATCAGGTGGAAACCCTCATCCCAGAGAAAGCCTCTGGGGAAGAACGGCCGAGAAGGAACGCAAGTAAAGAGATCCTTGGCCCCTTCCATGACCGGTTGGGCTGCGGCGCGAGCCTCGGCAGTCTCTTCCCAGAAGCCTTCATTCTCTTCATCATATGCGGGAGAGCCGGAGCGGTCAACAACATCGTCACCGTGGAAAAATCCGATACCACCGACCAGGTTGGAAAGCATGGCCTTAGAGAAGGTAGAGAACTCGTCATCAAGGTCAAAGGGCGCCTTGGGGGCAAGGACTTCCTTGTGTCTTTCAGAGAAAGAGAGAGATGCATCCTTAATTTCCTTGGTAATAGTCTCCGCTATGTCCTTTATTAGAATCATTGCGGAATATAAGAGTAGGCAGACTTACAAGTCAGAGGCTTAGGGGCGGAACCAGAAGAAAAGAGGACGTCAAACTAGAATAGATCAGCAAGAGTTCACTTCAATTTAGGTCTGCGGATCGTACCTCAAAAGGACCCTTGAAGACTTTCTGAACAAGGTGGACGTTTCCATCCCCAGGCGCATGTTTGATTGTGAATAGCTGGGCTGGGTGCGGCGGGTTATCGGGTCCAAGCTCCTTGATGGCTTCCTCAACCTCGTCCTTCATCTGCGTAAACAGAATGCCTGGAGAGGAATAGGTTAGTAACAAGGCATCAAGAGTGGCACGTCAGTGGGGCACACCTTTGGCTTGCCAGAGATGCTGCTGCGGCATAGTTGCGCTGGACACAAGACCGTGGCCCAATGGCTTGCCCTCGCCGTTGGAGCGATCGGCCTCGAAATAATCGTTGCTGCTCGGACCGTCGGTGACATCAATGGTAAAGTCTCCCAGTTCTGAAGAGTAACCATTGAGCCTCAAGTCGCCCTCCAGTGGTGCGCCTTCGGACACCGTGTCCATGTCCACACCCAACTGGCCTAATCCTTCAAGGGTAGTGTAGAAGACAACCGAAACGGGCTGGTCAGGGTTTCCATCCTCACGAGGAGTACCCTTCACGCGGAAGCCCCAGCTGCCTCCATGTTGACCACCGGGCACCTTGATGAAATCGATCGTCAGGTCCAGAGTATTTCCAGCGTCGTGAATTGTCTCCCGCCCGCCCTTCCGGATATCGTATTCATCCCAACCGTATCCAGCCATACCCTCATTCTGTTCGCAGGTGTGCCTAAAGTCTGCATCGAAGGATCAGCAATTATTCATGCGCAGCGCAACTTGATTAGGACAGGAGATTATGACATACTCTGCTGAACTGTAGCAAAGTCATCGACCTTGGCCCACATCAATCCTGCAGCCAGACTGTTCGAAATGCGAGGCCGCACTCCAAAGTAGAGGTTTGGCTTGTAGGGACCCCATAGCAGCGACTCGTTGTTGGCGCGCGCAGCCTCTTTGATCAAGACAGAGACGTCATTCAAATCTTGGCTAGCAAGGATCCCAGTCGCATAGAGCAGCGAGGTTAGTAGAACGGAGAGCCTTAGACGATGCATTATCGATTGCATCACTCAAGGGCGTGGCATTGAAAGGTGGTCAAGTTCGCAACAGTAGGCGGAGCTGGCTGTTCTCTTCGCAATTACGTGGCCCGAGCTCTCCGCGGCGAGCTTGCGTTTTAGTAGTAAATTATTGCCTTGGCACGACGATTGAATGATCATCAGAAAAATAGTTCTGAACGAATGGATCTCTTTTGTAATCAAGTCTTCTCCTTCTAGTATATGTTGATATGTACAGGCTATGTTCAAAGCTGATCACGAGGGTCCAAAGACGCAATCTTCGCACTCTTGGCCTCCCCGTCAAATACGAATTCGCTCATGAGCTTTCCAGTGCCAGGCCCATTCTGGATTCCCCAGCAAGTATGACCAGCAGCGAGATAAAGGCCCTTGGTATGAGTCAAGCCCACCAAGGGACCTCTGCCGCTTTCACAATTAGGCAAATAACAAGCCTGCCTTGTCCGAATCTTACCATCGCGCAGTGCATCCGAAATGCTCCCAACCTGATCAATGATCTCCTGGCAGCGCTCGGCGTCTACCTCGACCTCTGCAGATGTACTCGGCAACGGTACAGTCTTGTCTCCGTCACCACAAGCGTAGACGGTGTCGTCGGGACGAGTGTAGATCTCTGGTGCTGCCACTGTTGGTCGTGATTTCTTCGCAGGGTTGAAGTTGGCTGGAATCTCAATATTTGTAAATAGAGCATATGCGCTGACGGGCTTTGCCGGTTCGATAACAACGCTGTGCGCACGCGTTGCCGTAATGGGGGCTTCTGGGAGGACAGAACGGGTCCATGGGCCAGCGGCGACAATCACATCAGTGGCCGGGATAGTGCGCGACTCTCCAGATGCCTTATCAGTATAAGTAACGGACTTGACAGTCTCACCTGGACGAGCAATGTCGGTGACCTGTCCCAAGATAATCTTTGCGCCCTTTTCTTCCGCCAATTTTGCCATGGACGTAGTGAATAGGTATGGGTGCACCTGAGCTGTCTCTCCGGGGCCACTCATACTCTCGTAGGCTCGCAGAAGGTCTGACTCAATCCAATCAAGATCGTTGGGGATCTTGGCCGATTTGAGCTTGGAGACTGCGGCCGTGCTGCGCTTCTGTAGGGACTCGCCTTCTTCTTTCTTCTGACTCTTCTCACTCATAGCGCGACCCTTGACAATGAGCTGACCGCAATTGGTCTCTCGGTACCCCCATTTATCCTTCCCATCATGCTCCTTCGCAAGTTGCGCGTGAAGCGTGAAGCTGAGATCGACGATGTTGCTCGGATAAGCCCATTGCGCGAGAAGTCCGCCCGCTTTACCCGATGCCCCGCCTGCAATGTCGGAGGCCTCGAGGAGCGTTACTTTGTGACGGACTGGATCATAAGATGGATGTCTCGTGAGAAAGTAAGCTGTGCAGCAGCCAATGATGCCACCGCCTGGAGTTGACGGATCCGCGGTCAGTTATGTCTATTCCAAGGAAAGCTATGCGCGCGGGGTACATATTAATGCTGGCAAGAGGGACTGACCAACAACGACAATTTCACGGGGATCGCCCGTGGCGGACATTTTCGCTATCGGCGCGATCTTGAAAGCAAAGGTTCGTAACAAAGACACGTTGTGGTGAAACCGAGGAGGACGAGTAAGGAGTAAAGATGCGAAATGGTGTTGGTAGATGTTGGGCTACGTCACCGCGATTAGGACTGCCCCAGTCATGTGCTGTTGTTGCATTCTATATGGCCCAGCCTACGGTACATCTGACTACACTTTTATGCCGCTTCTTTCTCTGCACGATGCTCAATTTCTTTTCCATAGATCATGTGGCATACGAAGTCAGAAGTTTTGCCATAAAAAAGTTAAAATCAAACCGGGCTACCATGCTCCGCGAAATGCAAATTGTGCTGGGAAGAAAGGACAAGACCAAGAGAAGAGAAGAAAGATCCGTCCCTGAAAATACAATGCAAAAGTCAGATAAAAGTGGTTGCAAATGAATCACCGCGATGGACTGAGTGGCCGATTGAAACCGCCTGTGCGGTTCATGTACTGGCGGTACTCGCTCTTCTTCTCCTTGCGCACACCGTAGATATCGTTCCCAGGAACCTTGGTGTTTTTGGTGGTTCGGAATCTGGTAAAACCCATGCTCTTTCGCATCATCGCTTCCATCTCATCCTCGTCTGCGTCTTCCTTGAAGTCCACTTCCATTTCCTCCGCATGGCGACCGGTTACAGCCGAGCCGTTTGCCGTTCGCCCATCATCACGAGGCCGGGGATCTTTGCGATCAGGGCGGCGGTCGCCTTTAGGTCCTCGAGGAGGTGGAGATCGAGATCGAGTTTTTGTGCCATTGCGGCCAGGTGATCGTGAACGTTCGCGGAACTTGCCGCCCTTACCGGGGTAACCTGTTTGCGCATCTCGAATTAGAAGGACTTCAATCAAAAAAAGACGTAAGCCAGGGCTTTGGATGGGTTGCAATTACCTCGTCGATCGGATCCACGTTCCCTGCTACCACTCCTCATGCGGTCTCGGGCCCCACGCCCATCTCTATCTCGATCCCTCCGGTCTCGGTCGCGGCGATCTCGAGACCGGCTCCTTTCTTGCCTTCTGTCATTACGATCCCGGGAACGCGAGCGATAGCGGCGGTCTTCACGAGGGCCATCGCGTCGGTTGTCTCGGGGATGTGGTGAGCGTCTGCGGCCATGTTCCGAGTCTTGCTCTGCAGAGACGGTGTGAGAGTCATTCTTCTCCCACATTGTACTGCTATCGACGCGCCGAGCACGTTTGGCGGGGGGTTCTGTCATAGTGGTAGCTGGAAATGACTGTGATGTTGAAGGCAAGAAGGTCGTGTGGCGAGGTTGCGGCGATTGAAAGGAGAAAAGGGGGTGAGGTAATCTCGCGTCTTGCGTGTGTGCAATATTGCGATGGAATTAAAAGATAGTACAAGAACACATCATTAAGAAAAGTCGAAGTTAGGGGTATCAGGTCGTCACATTCGAAACTGCCAGCGCACCTGGCGGAAGACAGAGAAGTTTATTCCGGTCACCCGGATCAGCCTTTTGCGCAGTTTCCCAGTTTAGGTGAAAGTTTAGTAGTAAAAAAGCTTCCAGTATCATTACACGACCTTTTATTAACATACATTTATTTTCAGTGAAGCATTCTATGATTAATTAATGACAATAGATACTACAGACATGTCAAGTTAATACACTCATCTGTGTAGCATATTCGGGTGTGTCAAAATGGGTATATCCACTCAAGTCAGAGTGGATGAATCTGACCAAGCAGACAACGTTGAGGTAGGTAGGTAGAGGTACACTCTCCATCCCGATCTTGGCCCACGAAGAGCCTTTTAGTTGAATCTGTAGCACGGATATTTTCCAGATCTAAAAATCGGGAATTCACTTGAATGACCCCCAATACCTCAAAAGGCTACCAAATATGGAGCTGTGAAATCTTCGAAGGCGCGGTTGGTAGAGGCTGATCAAGGACAGGCCGCAATTCCTTCGGCCACAAAACGACTTGATACTATCCCCGATAAGCTTGTCCCTCCGAGTTGGTTTACTCAACCGTATGAAGCTAAATGGAACCATTCTAGCTAACAATATCAGAAGGTATCGACAGAGTGATCGTGTGCTGCACCCAGCAAAATTAAAATAGGCCATGACCTTTGATCGGCGGAGAAGGCCTCAAGTCCATGGAAGGATATAGATTTGACTATATCGAAATGCATTTGTCTTTGAATGTTTGATCTAACCGATGGTAAGTTATATCGCCGCGGGGCATCGTCGCGAGGGTAGAGAGCAATGTGTTTGAGGGGAGCGGTGTAAAGGCAAGAACCTCAAGGTGCTGTAATGTATTCAATAAGTTAAGAAGGTAATAAAATATGACTTAGAGGTTGAAAGACCGTCAGAGGCTAAGTATATGCTGCAATTATAGTTTGAAGAGCCTGTACTCGTGAACTCGGCGGCCGACCGCAAAGGATCTTATAGTTAGGTTTGCGATTTCAGCTCTTGGGACTACGGAAGGCTTGCTACGGCATATTTCTTGGGCAAATGTACTACACCCAAAAGACCATGTATAATTCCCCAAACTTTTCATTGGAATGGATTTCCTCTGGCGACGTGCTCTAGCTACTTAGTTGACGAGAGGCGGCTGACACCTGTTGGTAGTCAATAAGTTTATTCAGCAAAACATAAAGTAGCCCTCTCAAATAGTGATAATTCTGATACGGCTTGGACGAACCAGTCTAAAATTCAGAGCATGAACTGCTCCAAACCGACAAGATCCTCATTGAGAAAGCCCTCCTTGAGGGCTGGCCATGCAGCCCCACGGGCCGACCCGTCGAGCCCCAACTTTAAATCTCACTGCGAAATTTTCGCAGGCCAACTACCCCACTTCAGTTGGCCTCGACTTCCCTGCAGCAACCAGCCACATCTCTCGCCACATACAGCCATGGCTCCCGTCAACCTGTCTCATCGAAGGACGCATAATTTGCTTTTGATCTCGAAGCTATTGAGCCTAAGGGATACGGCCTCCCCGCTTACGCTCCTTCAGGATTCATTGGAGCAACCCGCCACACCCCTCATCAAGGAGTATATCAGACGCGCTAAGGTAGGCTAAGCTGTCAAAACCCTTTAGATAGGGATGAATTGCATCATGATATACCGTCATATCCTAAGCCGGTGATGCTGACCATATTCATAGCTCTCTAAGGTGCATGTCACCTTCGTTGCATTTGAAACATTGAAGAAACCGGATGGAGTCGATGCATTCGTAGCAACCCGCCGAAAGAGCCCGGCCGATATTGTCAAGGAGGTAGCATCTATTTACCAGCCTGCCGTAGCAACAGGGCCATCAAGGCGTGAGTTATGATGAGATCGCTTTACACCATCGATCGATTGCAGCCGAGTTAATCAAAATCTACAGGCCGTCTTATTATAATTGATGCGATCAATCCTCTCCTGAGCTCGAGAGGGTTGGACCCTGGATTTCACCTCCCATCTTTTCTCGGCTCCTTTATCGCGCCTTCAGGCCCATCGGCTGGCAAGGCTGAAGCTTCGCTGGTGGTGACATATCACCAAGATGTCCCTGCCCTGCCTCAGCAGAATCCCTACTCTCCGCCGTCGTTGTCAGTCTTGACCTATCTTGCGACAAGCATTATCACCCTTCATTCGTTCTCCCATATTCTAGCTCAGAAGGCTGCCCGTAATCGCAGTTTGGCTGCTCCGGTATTCGGTCTTGAGGAAGAACAAGACGGTGTCCTTCTTGGCCGACTGGATAAGCTGGCTGGAACTGGCGCCGCAGAGGGTATTGTGCTGGAGCTTGAGCACCGGCGGAAGAGTGGTCGTGGAGTTCTGGAATGGTACCTGCTCCCCCCTGCATCGAGGTATTCTCCTCAACACCTGAAAGAGGTTGTCACACTGCTTGATGACAATGTTCTATACAATCCTCCTATGGAACCCGATACAAATCCTAATGACGACGAACCCAAGTCGACATTCGAGCTAGGTCTAACTGACCGACAGAGGCGGGACAGAGAGGGTGTTGTCCTGCCATACTTTGACGCTCAGCACGGAGACGGCCCTGGCGAAGGAGGTCGGATTCTCTACGACATGGGTGAAGAGGACGACTTTGACGAGGAAGAAGATGAGATCTAGAAGATACACATTCGATATTCTACAAAAACCTGCGAAATTACTCGTTTTGGAGTTTGCACACATTTCTGCATTTTAGAAAGATAGGTGGATCGTGTCCTGCAACCACCTGGAGGTATTAACTATGCATACATTCATACAGAAAGGGGGGCCCAGTATTGGGGATGTAGGAGACGAGTAGCGCTCAGAAAAACCGCCACCACAACAGAATAAGCACGACAAACCCGACGCCGGCGAAAGGCCCGTACTGTGACACAATTAGCCACTTCATTCTAATCCAACAAAGTCCAGAGACTATCTTACTTGCTTCACCAACAATTCCCAGTTGATGCGGACTGCTGCCTTTCGATACTTCTTGCTGTCTTCCCGCAGCCGACCGGACAGCTCGCCCATCCGCTCCAGGCTATCGCCTCGATAGAGCAGGTCCTCGATGTTCTTGGTCATGACCTTGGTGACGTCGCGCAGCTCGTCGTTCAACTTATCCAAGTTTTGAGAGGCCCGGCTATCTTGGTACAGCTTCTTGGTGCGCTGGATGAAAGTATCGAACTCGACAAAGGCATACGGACGGAGTGTGGGTGAGTGGTATTGTGACTGAGTGTAGGTGGTGGTGAATTCGGAGGCCAGGTCAGCGAGATAGGTGAAGGCGAGTTTGCGGGGATAGGAGCGGTCGCAAATGCAGAGGAAGCAGACGTCGTCTTCGATCATGTAGCTTTAATCTGGTTAATCATCAACTCCCTTTGACTACGGTAGATGGTGCCCACTTACTGGAGGTTGTATTGTCCAGACTCGATGCTGGCCTGGGGTGCGGAGTTTCGATTCAATCGCCGAAAGATCATCTTAGCCTGGCCCTTGATCTCAGCCAGCTCCGACTCAGCCTGTAAGAGAAGCTCATCAGTCCGAGGCTCCAGATAATCATTATCTCTGAATGCGCTCTCACCTGCTCATCATCCACCGAGGCAGCCAGCATGAGGCCTGTTTGCGCATATATCAGCTTTGACGACCCCTCACACAATTTTACTTTCTTCACCTACCATCGAGCCGAGCAATCTGAGTTGACTTCACCATCTTGACGACTACTGAACCGAGAGACAGCAGTTGAATCGCTCTTGTTTAGTTGCCAGAAACGGCCAACCGGCCAGAATGGCTACTGGAAGAGGGGCGGTCGCAAGTGGCAGAAGGGGCGGCCATTCGGGGTGAGCTTGAATGATCCACCGGGGCTTTGTTCAATCTGGAAACTCATTCTCACAATTCTATACTAGACGAGCTACTGCTGCCCCTGCTGGCCAGGCAAATGTAGCAGAACACAATCTTTTGGAAATGTCATCGCCAGTATCATCTCCAGCTTCTCCAACTCCAAGCCCTCGGAAGCGAACCCCCCGAAAGGCCGCGCCCCGGGGCAAGTGGAGCGAGGAGCAGTTATTGACGAGCGACGAGTCCGTCCTTATCGATGCTGACCTAGTGGTATGGCCTCCCAGTCCTCCATCTAAGATTAAGGAGTCGCGACGCTAATAGTATACTTCTCGCGGAATTCTAGAAGCTCCTGGCTAGACCTGAAACCTGGGACATTCTTGAAGAAGAGGAGAAACGTGAGATTCTAGCTCTCCTCCCTGCCGATACCCACCCAGCTTCAGAGCTCCTACCCGACGACCCCGACGTGAGAATCCCCCCACTTCCGGATTCGTTCGTTCGATACTCCAATAACTGGCGCGATGGCATTCGTCAGTTTCAACTTGATCTTCAGAATGGCCGATTTGACCCAGAATGGCTGCGCCAAGCCGAGGCTGCGCGGCGGAAACGAGAGAATGGAGACTTTGATACCTTCAAGGAGCGCGAGTTTGAGAAATTTTGGGGTCAGAAGCAGCGGACTGACATGTCTGTGGTTTCGGGGGAAAGCTCAAAAATCAAGCTCACTCAGCTTATTGAAGCGGGTGTCTTTTTGGTTGGGGATGTCTGGCGGTTCTGCTACGTTTGGGGCAAGGGACCCGACCGAGTGATTATCGACAAAGAAGTCAGGGTATGGATCCTCCGACTTTCCTGATATGCACCTCGCTAAAATTCTGCAGATACATGAAATTAATGACCAAAAGCTTTCGTTCGTGGTCCCTACCGGTCAGCGGGTCTTTCTCCTCTCGCATGCAGACATCGAAGAGCGAAAGCAAGATTCTCTCCAGAACAATGGCTATGACACAGAGATCCCTCAAAAGACAGAAAATACAACGAACGGGGCGTCTGAATCAAAACCTCCAAAGGAAGAGCATCGCACAGCTGATATCCCGGAGAAAGAGGAACTTCAACCCATGGAAGGTCTCCAAGAAACGGATACAGCTCTAAAGCTGGAAGAGCCAGTTGCAAGTATCAGGCAAAAAGATCTTACCGGTATTGAGGCACTGAAAGTGCCAGCGGACCCAGAAGCGAAACCCCTCAATGAGAATGGATCAGTCCAGGTTGTGATCGTTAGCCCACGGCATAACTTAACTGCGGCCGAACAGGGGTCCAAGCGACCGACACCACTTCCTGCCGTTGAGCCTCCAGCAAAACGTAAGCGCGGACGTCCTCGGAAGCGACCTCCTTCACCTGTACCAGAGGTTGAACCTGAGGCGGAAGCCGTACCTGAACCTGGACCTGGACCTGATCTTGAGCTCGAGCGCGAGTCTGGCGTTCAAGTTATAATTGGTGCTAGAAACTTTGCACCTGCACGAACACAGGCACTTTCACAAATCATTATCCCTCCGCTTCCGGCGGCTGCGCCCTCATCGTCCACAAACAATGACTCTACGGATTTGACAGAGCCCAAGCCTGATGGGCATGGGGCAATCTTTTTATCCCGTTCACCAGCCACATCATTTTCTCTATCTTCTCCATTATCTGAACCTCCCGGAGGGCTCATCGATGACTTTAACGATGAACTTATCGAAGAACCCATCATCGAGCCTTCTGCAGAGCTCTTGGATGGGCCTACCGAAGAACCTACCGAAGAACCTACCGGAGAACCTACCGGAGGACCTACCGAAGAGACCACTGGAAAGGACATCAAACAACCGTTCGAAGAACCGAAGGAAATGCCTACTACTGAAGAGCCCATTAAAATCCACGCCGAACAGGCAGCTGAAAAGCTCATCGAAGAGCCTCCACAACCTCCGTCGGAATTGCAGACAACTTCCAATGAGCCCGTCGAAATTATCCTATCTAATATATCAACGCCGATGGTCTTGGTCCGTGAGATACTCCGAATCGACGGCCGGAAGGCGGGTAGTCGCACTTCCAATTCATGGAAAGAGATTCGGTGTTATCGCAAGAATCAGGACATGGGTAGTCTCTTCGACGTGAGGCAAATCTGGTTTGCCAAGCAGAAGTGAGCGTTTACTTGCAGTCAGGACAGCAGTAATTGACAATGGGCGCTTCGACTCAAGACGAGCAAGGGCTCTCATGCATAGTGTAACATAATAATTCGGGTTTGCAGCTACGTTCAGTGAATTCCGCAGAGATGAGGAAAAGTTTCATTGGGCCATAACTGATAATGAAGGATGATATCAGCTCATAAAACTAGTTCAATTTAGTTGCCCATCCCTGATATCACCTTCTTAGGATGATCATTCAAGTTGTGGTGTTGCAAGTCTTCCAGAGCTTGAATCAGCCCGCACTTTCAAGTTATTCATGGAGTGAAATGAATACTTACGCATTTCCCCAGAGGACCAAGTTGAATTTGCAAAAGCTCTCGGTGCGAAGTCAGCGTGGACTTGCCACAGGTCTAGTACATTCAGCATTACATATTCTTGGTAACAAAGCCTTCATAATTTAAGAGTTCTCGAGAATACGCACCCTGCACTTAGACCAACAGGCACACGCAGTATAAGGATTGCCGATACGTTGAACATCGCATCCTTCACACTTGTCTTGGTAGCTAGTCGTTATTTGTGTCTGTGTGGCCTTGGGTTGAATCTGGATTGGCTGCGTCATGTTTACTATAGTAAAGCTGCAAGGAATAGACGAAGAGGTCCTGATGGTTGTGAGTTGAGTTGTCCGTTGAATTCGGTCTGAAGCTGAAGTTTCGTTGGGAGTTTCTAGAGTATTTATGTCGATTTTTCAATAACCCGGGTATCTTGAAGAGCCTCATCTCTGTATTCGACTACACCCCGCTCACCTTGGCATCGACTTCTATCAAACGGCCTGAACAGGTCTAGTGGGGAGGCAACAATTGGGAACGCTACTATTAGGCCAAGGATTAATCTGATTGGCTTGTCGGTCGACGTGCAAGCCACCCAAGCAAACAACAGATAGCCAGCGCATCGGGTCCGGGGGGTTTAGGGTGCTCTGACAACTGTGCCCAATGGTACCACTTAGAAATTGGTAGTGGCAGTCTTGCCTTGTTTCACCCAGGCCTCGAACTTGCCTGATTGGGTTTACATGCAGTAGCTGAATAATAGATTGTCGTACATAGCCCGACATGTACGGATAACTGGGACAACAAGGACGAGCTCGTCACACGTCGTCTATTTTCAACCCGGGTTGAGGGCTACGAAGCATGATGGCGGCGAATTCCATAACATGGTCATCCTAGCCTAGGGATATGCAATTAGATCATTCAAGACTAAGGCGCTAGAACGGTGTTTGACTCGTGACCCCCATGGGAGGTACAGGCTCTGCATCAGCTGCCACATCGACAGCGAAGCTAGCCTGAATGAAATCCTCAAGCTCCTCGCTGACAGTTTTCAGCTTCTCCTTGACACTGGCGACACCCTCTTGCCCGACAATATGCCGCGAGGGTGGATTCTCATGACCGGCAATGGATGTGATGGCATATACTGTTTCCGAGACTAAGATCTCCAGGTGTGCGGAGCTCAATGGCGGATGTATCGAGACAACCTCGGGAACTGAGAATGGGCCATTCTCGATCGAGCTCACTCTTGAGTTTTCTTCTTTTTCGGTAGATCGATTGCTGGTTGTAGTGTTGCCGGATACTCCCTTGGAAACGGCATCGGGGAGTCGGGGAACGAGATGATTTAGTATACCCCGGAACAAAGGTGCATGGTTATTCACAGGCGAATAAGCGGGGAATATTGGTGGGACGCTGGTGACTAGATTGGTGAGAATGCCAATCTCAATGCTGCATTGGACGATGGTGAGTTTGAGGTTGAAGGGGGCTATTTCGAATGCCAGGCTCTAGTAGACAATATTAGTGAGTGCTGAATGGCTGTTTGCTAAACTTAGAATCACTCACATCACAAAATCCTTCAAGAGCCCAGCCAGCAGCACAGTACATCCCAAGCCCTGGTGTTCCAATATGAGCGGCTAAAGACCTGTCAGACAGACCGCTCATCGTTGATGCTAGCTCCAATATATCTTACTGATTCCTGATAAAATCATAATATGACCAGAGTGCTCTCTCCTCATATGAGGCAATGAAGCTTTAATTATATTGAGAGGTCCAAAATAGTTCACTTCAAATTGATCGCGAACGAGGTTCAAGGTTTGTGGGGAGGCGGATAGCTCTTCGACGGTTCCAATGAGAGCTGAGAAGGGTCAGCGAGGTCTTGCAGCTGACATTGAGACCCTTAAAGTATATATGTACCTTGACTTGTGCAGCATAGAAGAATATCCACTCGGCCAAAGGCCGCAACCGCTTGCGCTACGACAGCCTGGCATTCACCCATCATCCTGTCATGCCAAGGCTTGTTAGTCTTCGTTACTTGCCATGATCACCAAGCTCTCTGGTTTCCCTCAAAGCTTGGGATAGCAGCGCGCACCTAATGTCCAAGGGAACGGATTTCATTCGTTGTGCCCATCCCTCCTCGCGATGTTCCTCTACTTCGGCCAGAAAGGTGTCGAAACCATCTCGGCGCCGCTCGTCACGATCCAGAACCGTATGCGCAAGCCCGAGAAGGACATGGTCGCCATGCGCAAGGATTTGTCGCGCGACTGAGATGCCAATGGGGGAATCGCCCGCGGTGATCAGCCATACTCGCGGTTCGCTATGCGACGGGAATTGCGAGCGGGAATCGGGCGAAGGGTGGTTCTCCATGGATAGGGTCGGATTCAGCGCCAGCGCTTAAGCGCGATACCCATTGCGCGATTAAGAAAGGTTAGCGACGAAGTTCTCGCAGGTCGTGGAAGCTATCGTAGTTCGCAATTTGTGAGAAATCGACAGAGCTTCTCCGGACAATTGCGGAGTTGGAGGGGGAACCGATTGCGAATGCCAAGCCCCGCCCAAAGTCCCCTTTAGTCCAACGGGCTGGACGAAAGAGCCGGCCGCTTAGCTCTTCTGATCGCGTTGGCCGCTTCTTTCTCTTTCTCTCACCATCTCCCGCCATCGCAACATGCCTGAACAGCGGCAACGCAGAGAGGAGGAAGGAAGCAATGTATGTGGCTCGGTTATCGCAGGCTTGAGCGGGGAAACTCCAGCTGTCTATTCTCGAAGCTTGCTGACGATCATCTCTAGTCCGGCTTCAAGGGTGCCCTTCAGGGCCTTGGAATCTTCCTGCTGGCGCAATTCGTAATTGGCCAATTCTTCGGCAACAAGCAGAATGCAGCTTCTACCGTCAAGCCGGGTAACATGCCCGCATTTGCGGATCGCCCCGACCCCAGTCAAGTCGCAGATTACAGCGCCATCCCGGACCTCATCTCCCCTATCTGGCCATCCGATAGCGCCATCGATATCAGCATCTATGTGACTCCCTCGATCGTTGTACCTTCTTTCAAGTCCAAGGATAGCGTCCTTGTGATGCAGGAGAAGAACTTCACGATCGGCAATTACAGCGACAGCCGTGAGATTGACACCACCATCAAGCTGCCCAAGCAGGTCCAGCAGAATGGAACACTCTTTGCGCACTTCTTCGTCGCTCGTACGGGATACCCCCTGGATCCTACCGCTAAGGATTATAATACCGCCGATGCTGTCCACTTCCTTCGCCCCTTGAATCAGTACCTTCCCAAGAAGAAGGCGAAGAAGCTCAAGAATCTGCTAGCCGCCTCCGAGGAAGAGGAAGAGGAAGAGGTGGATGATACTCCGGACGTGCAGACGGTCTCGTACTATCACCCTAACTTCACTCTCTCCGTGGTTCCGGACTCTGGCTCTCAGAAGTTCTCCCAGATGCACCCCGCAGTTCGCCAGTATGTGCAGCTGGAGCGCACCGGTGCCCGAGACGAGACCGGCAAGAACGGCTGGTACTATCCGATCCTATTCCTCAACACTTTCTGGCAATTGAAGACCCACATGACGGAGCTGAACTCGACTGTGACGGAGGTGCCTCTGCGGATTACCCTCAACAACTTGGCCAACTGGAAGTTTAGTATCCTTACCAGCATTGATGAGGGCTCGAAGCAAAGTGCTCGCCAGGCTGCGTACGGTGGACCCGTGCCTGGTGGTGGCGATGGCTCTGAGTGGGAGACGATCAAGGAAGTTCTGTTGGACACCAACATCTACCTCCTGGGTACCACCGGTATTGTCACCATCTTGCACATGGTTTTCGAGACCCTGGCGTTCAAGAATGACATTGTAAGATTTGGTCCATTTCTGCGATATGTCCGTGGCTCGCTTAGGTTTGCTAACTTGGATATTCAATGTTTAGGCTCATTGGCGTAAGAAGAAGGATAACGTAGGCACGTCTGTGCGTACCATCCTGGCGAATGTCTTCATGCAGGCAGTCATCTTCCTTTACCTCATGGACAACAGCGACAATACATCATGGATGATTCTGGCTAGCCAAGGATTCGGTATTCTTCTGGAAGCCTGGAAGATCACCAAGACCGTCAATGTTCGCCTGCGCCCCCCGCCCGCCAGCTCCTTCTTTTCCTTCTTGCCCTACGTGGTTGTCTTTGAAGACAAGCACAAGCTGAGCGAGACCGAGGAGAGGACCAAGGAGTATGATGAGATTGCATTCCGCTACCTGTACATTGTTGCGGTGCCCCTTCTTCTCGCCTATGCCGCATACAGCCTTATGTACAACACTCACAAGTCATGGTATTCGTACATCATTGAGACACTCGTCGGCAGTGTTTACGCCTACGGCTTCTTGATGATGGTTCCCAGCCTGTACATCAACTACCGCCTGAAGTCCGTTGCGCACATGCCTGGCAAGGCGATGGCCTACAAGTTCCTGAACACTTTCATCGACGACCTTTTCGCCTTCACCGTCAAGATGCCCTGGCTGCACCGTTTGGCCACCCTCCGCGACGATGTCATCTTCTTCATCTGGCTGTATCAGGGCTGGAAGTACAAGGTTGACTACAAGCGTGTCAACGAGTTCGGACAGGGAGGTGACAGCGACGAGGAGGAAGAGCCCACTGCTACCCCCAAGCTTGAGGAGAAGAAGCAGGACGAGACAGTGGCGTCACAGTCTTCTGCCAAGGTGGACAACAAGTCATCTACCCGCCAGCGGAAGTCGAAGAAATGAGTGTGCTCCGCCCACGGGCTAGCTCTCATGATAGTTGTTCACTTGGCCAGCTTCTTATCATCCTTGAGTTGTTAGAGATTCATCCCTTTCCTGCATTCTTCCAGATCTTGCAATCAGCCCTATTGTTTCTTGACGATGTTGGGAGTATATTGTTTGGTCTCCGAATTTGGGTGGAAATTTCATGTTTAAGAGTAACGAGATCCACTCTTCTGACTTCGTAAATCATTTTAATCATAGAAATTGAATGAGAATACACTTAGTTTTCCACAATCGCATAATAATGGAGAATTCGCCGGGCAAGGCTGAAGGATTAAAGTTGACCTTTACACATGCCTGGTGGGCTAATGTTGACGGTTGCCCGATCGGGTTTAAGCCGATTTCCCTCCTGCACGTGTCCACGTTCTACACTTTCTATGTGGTCCGCTGAACAGTATCATCCAATCCAGGCATTCAAGTGTTTTTTTCTGTCTCCTTTCTCTTCTTTAAATTCGAGGCCCTTTTCAAGGATTGTACTCGGGCGCCGAGAAACGGCATTGGAACGCGTTTTGTTGCTTCGCGCATCCGACGCGCCGGGCATGACCGCATCGCCTTAGGACAGGTCTGATACATAGCCAGCGACACCTGGGGGTCCAGCATTATCCGAATGGATACAAACAGTGGTGAATTTTTGAAGCTCATGTCCCAACTGAGTTGTGAGCCAAATTAGACTGATGATATGATTAGACAATTACCAGTCCGGCCGCTTGCTCGATGCGATTGAGCATTTGGAAGCAGGTAGGGAGAGCTAAATTGATGATTTGACTTCGACCATTGTGTCGCTAATGAGTGAAACAGTTGCTTCTGTGCCGGTGAAGCAAAGATACACTGATGCTGGCCAGCTGGTCAAGACCATTGCATCGGACGCGTATGAAAATGGCATTCCGCAAAACGCGCTGGGCCGTTTACTGAAGGTTCTCACGGTAAAGAATCACCTAGATCAGGGAACCACCACAACTTTGGTGAAGAATCTGTATCCGCAAGAGAGAATCTCCTCTCAACATGTGACGCAAGTCGTGTGCTGTCTGGGACCCAGCAAGTCCAAGCCGAGTCCTGCCACCCAGGTTTTGCTTGTTCGCTGGTTGATCATGACTTATGATCTCCTCGAGGACCGGACACAACTTGGCAAGCTTTACGCAGTGTTATTCAATCACTTGGATATGATCAGTTTAAGGAAGCCACTTTGTCATCTACTTTCCCTGATCACTCGACGAAAGCATGTCAAGCCATTTCGCATTCAGACTCTGATGGAGTTGATCCAGTCTGCGGGCGGGGAAGAGAAAGAGCTCATGAGTTTACTCAAGATCTTCAAGAACTATTACCCCGAGATCATTATCGGAGATGTCGGTGGCTCGAGAAGGATGGCGCTGTTTTTTAAACACCCCGACCCGGAATGGTCGACTCATGCGAAACTACTACAGGACCAGAATCTGGAGAAGGTGCAAGCGGCGCAGCAGTCGAATTACCAGGTATTGCATCGAGGTATGGGAAAACGCAGCAGGATTGAGGTGGTAATTCCGGTCTTGCAAACCTCTCGAGTATCAAATAAGCATACGTCCCTTGAAGAAATCCGAGACATCGAGCATTTCGTCGACAAGCTCGACACCATTGAGCTGCCGAATCAGATCATCTCAACTCTTGGTGATGCGATGGCCCAGAAATACCTTCATTTGGTTCAGTCTGAGGCTGCCAATGATCGTTTAGATGAGTGGCTGAAGGGCTTTTTGGCCGACAAGTTGGAGAAGATCCGGGACGATGATGATGACGAGCCAGAGGTTCTTTCATTTGTCTTGGGCTTTCTTGAAGGATATACATCGTTCATCAAGGTAAGTACTTTGAATTTTAAGCCTGGCCATTACAAATCTTGTCTCTGATGATATCATAGGCCCTGTTACCGTCCGTTCGAAAATTCCTAGAGTCATATCTTTCGATATGGAAGGGCCGTGACAACCGCCAGCAAGTTCTGCGACTACTTCAGTATCTTCCGATTGAACCCTACGAGGCCCTGCGAGAATCGGTCTTTGCCCCACTAGAGCGTGCCGTGCTGGACAGTGCGGTTAGTTCTAGGATAGAGCTGCTTAATTTCTACTCTGCATTGATCACCGAATGGGGCGTCAGACTTCGAACACAACCCACAGCTTCAGAAGAATCATTCCCTTCGAGCAAAGTTATACAGCATGCTGAGCTCTTAGCATCCTCACTTCTAGAGCTCGCCCCGACTTCTGCTGGTAACGACAAAAGTGCCCCGCCGGTTGTCCTTTCGGTCATTCAATTCTATAAGTCTCTCGCGGGGTTATTTTCCCATGCATCAGGGAACGCCAATATTCGACTGACCGTCCCTATCGCTCCCACCATTTATTCTATCACCTTCACACCTACCGTTTCGGTCATTTCAGGGCTCAACTCAATTCTGGCCGATTACAAGTCTGCGTTCGAGGCCTCTCTAGCGTCCGACGTGATTAAACCACAAAACACTTCCGAGCCACTTTACAGGACAGAGCTGGTGAACCAATTTAATGGCTACGTTATGGACATGTGCAACTTGATCTGGCGCAATCGGGCCTTAAACACAGAAGATCCAAATGCACAGGGTTGCCTGATTCCAGCAGCTAGCACCACTGCTCTCACAGCGTACGTTCGCAACGTGAACGAGGCTGCTCGGCACTATGATCGTGAAAGTGCTTTTCATGTCAGTCTGGCTTCCATATTCTCTCTTAGCCACCACGCTGCATTCGCCAATTTGTCGGCTGCGTGCTTCGCCGAAATAGAGGAAAAGCAGAACGCCGCAAAGCATGGTCCGAAGTTGCGCAAGCCGGTCACTCAAAAGGCCTTACAGGCCCTTGAAAAGGATGGCGGTGCTAAAATAACCTGGCAGGAGTATCGGGTCAACATGCTGGATTGGTTGGAAGCGGTGGGAAGCCGGGGGACAAGTGATCTGATGAGGAGTACCATGAAGGCTTTACGAAAGGAGTGAGATATGGAGTGAGTCAAGTCTCGATAGATGAGTAGTCCTGATGAATTGGCATTTTGGGTGGTCTATCATTCCCGCTATAAAGCGCCGGTTCTCAATGCGTGGTATCTTCCTTTATACAAGTATGGTACATGTTCTATGGCATAAACATTAGGGAAACTCTCTAGAACTTCTCCGTAGTATTCAGGTAAATATCCTGAACACTGGGGTCGTCCCGCAAGGAACCGAGAAGATCCTCGAGAGCTTTCACCTGCTCTTCATCCTGTAGCTCGACGAGAGTTTCCTGGTTGGGATCCCAGAACATCTCCAGTTCTGCAATCGTCAAACCAGACAATTTGACAAAGGCCTCACCAACGCTTTTCGTTTCGGAGGGGTCGGTCAACAGCACCAAGCGACCTTTATCGTCGGTGTTGATATCCATCGCGCCGGCTTCGATAGCTGGATCCAGAAAATCGTCCGCATTGCTGTCGTCTTTCTTCTCCAGGACGACCCGACCTTTCTTTTCAAAGAGAAAAGTTGTGGGGGTGACTGTTCCTCCACCGTTCTTAATCAAGTATCGAATGTCTTGTAGGACTCGAGCCTTCTGATCTGTCTGGCACTCGACCACCGCAGCCACTCCACCAGGGAGCATGGCTTCAATTGTCACTGACTCGAGTGCTTGACCTGTCAAGCTGAGTCCCTGACCACGTGCGATGGCGGCTTCGATGATGTTTTTGGGAATGGAGGCTCTCTTCGCGTTGGAGAGCGCGAGGGTCAAACGAGGATTGTACTTTGGATCGGCGCCCCATACTTTACAGCGACAAATGTTAGCGTCCATCTTTGTATCCAAAGATCTGGATGTGGTAGTTTGCTTACGTTGTGTAGCGCTGACGATTTCCTTGCTCATCATCTGCCGCTCTTTGCTCTTCGCCTTGTCGTTTTTAGCCTTGTCATGTTTGATGGTGGACCACTTGCTGTGCCCGGATAGGAAGGACGTGGAGGAACTGAAAGCGCGGCATGCATCCCACAAAGAGCCAGCGCGAGGTTGCCGTAGTAGGCTCCTGTGTAATTGAAGCACCATTTTGTTCTCTCAGAGCATTTGCTTTCTGGGCGCAAAGTCCGGGGCCGCGGGCATCTATACATTCCAGCTTGCGGGCCGATAATTTGTCCGATCTCCGCGGACGGTGAGGCCACACGATAAGGAGGGACATTGTTGACCTCATACCTCATACTTCATTACTTCCCTCTTTTCTTCCACTCTGATGGGGATATAATTGTCCTCTAATTTGATACCCAATGTCTGCCTCCGAAACTGCCCCCGCAGCATCACCTTCCGAAAATGCAGTACCGGAGTTGGATATTCCCAAGCTCCATGACCTCCCATCGGAACAACAGGACCTCTACTTGCTCACCTTCACATCCGACCTAGTCCAATACATATCCGGCCTCGATGCGGCGAAGGTCTCCGCACAGCAAAAGTCGCTCAAGAAGGAATTGTTCAAGATCCTGACCCTGTCCTCCCCGACCCTTACACGAGTGCTCCGCAACAACCTCGGACGATGCTTTGGTGCCATTCTGGCGAAAGGGGATCGCGGGATCCTCTTCGAGACGATTACCGACCTACTGGGGATATTGAGCGCTGGCAAGAGCGAGGCTGAGCTTAAGACCAAGTTCGCCGCAGTGCACTGTCTGGGCGAGGTATTTGCGACGGCTGGCGAGAGCGCATTCATGCAATCGAATATTGCGACGGCGGGTACACTGAAGCTCCTCAAGTCGGCGAGCAGTCATACTGGCTTGCGCGGTGTTATATTCTCAGTCTTGCGTAAGATAATTGTCGGCATTGGTGTTCCGATTGATGAATCGGTTGCGCGCGATATTTGGAAACAGGCGCGTAACGCTGCAACTGGCGACAAGTCTACTTTCGTTCAGGTTCATGCGTGCCGCTGCATGGAACAGCTGATTAATACGACGCCATTCTTCGAGAACACGAATGACTTTGAAAGCTTGAAAACTACAATCTGGAAGGTTATCGACACCCCGGTCGCTCCAGTTCGCCATGCTGCTGCTGCTGTTCTCGGACGAGCGCTAGTTAAGCTCCATGTCACAGAGGCACACGTCATCGCGGCACCCAAACCGAAGTCGAAGAAATCTAAGCGAATGTCCAAAAAGCCAACCGCGCGTCCAGGTGAGGAAGACGAAGATGAAATGTCCGAGTCCTCTACGGCCGCGCCCAGCACGTCTAAGAAGGATGTGCGGTTATTCTTCCTTCTCCCCGATCTTTTGCGACAACTATCCTTCCAATACTTGAAAAGTACGACTTCGAACCGCACACGCGCGGGAATCTGCTTGTGTTATAAGTACGTGCTTCGCAATCTGGGAGATAAAATCGTGGAGGAACGATATGGCCAAATCGCGTCAAACTTGCTGTTCGATTTGCTGAACCATCCGACGGTCACATACAACCGATTCCGATTGCTTATGACCCGCAAGTTTGTCAAATCTATTCTTGAAGACACAATTGGCCGGGAACTGCTTCGGGAGAACAGCCAGCTGAACGCTGCGAGATGGCTTATCAATGAGATCCTGAAGGACTACCCACAAGTTATTCAAGAGCGTCGTGAGCCGAGCAAATATACATTGACCAGCACCGTCAGTGCGCTGTCCTCGCTGATCACATCACTTGGCTCTGCATTCACTGTTCTTGCGGACAGCTGCCGGGATGCCTTGCTTCAAGTTCTTCCCCACCCAAGCTATACGGTCCAGATTCATGCGGCGCACTGCTTGCGTGGATTTGTGCTGGCATGCCCCCACCAGCTTCTCTCCTGTGTTACTATTTGCATGAACAGCTTGAACAGAGAAATTGGCCAGCTCGCGACACCGAGGCAGTCCCCCCGTCGCTGTGTTGGTTATGCGAACGGCCTCTCCGCAATGCTAAGCACTTCCCGCCTTCAACCTCTCTACGGTGCTGTTGATGTATTTGCTCAGATCTTCACTCAAGCCACCGACCTCTTGAAGATTAGCACCACATCTGAGCTACGAGTAGCAAGTACTCAAGTCCAGACGGCTTGGATTTTGATCGGCGGATTGATGCCCCTTGGGCCCAGTTTTGTCAAGATTCACCTTTCCCAGTTGATGCTGCTCTGGAAAAACGCCTTACCAAAGCATTTGAGCAAGGAGAACTCCGCTCAACCGAGCACACTTGAGACGAGTTTCCTGGCTCACGTGCGAGAGTGCGCCCTCAGCGCCTTGCTGGTCTTCATGGAATTCAATAGCAAGCTCATCACTGCTGACGGTGCAAAGAGGATTGCCGGCATGCTGCAGAACACCGTCGAATTTCTGAATGAAGTGCCACGGCCCAAGTCCATGGAAGACATCTCACAGCGCTTGCATCCGTCTTTGCAGCTAAACGACTTTACAACCATGGTTCGTCGCCGAGTTCTTCAGTGTTTCTCGAAGTTGGTGCATGTCCATCATCCCAGTCACGGAGATATCATCTCTCAGTCAAACCTTTTGAACCTTGCCATTTCCGCCTTTGCGGACCCCGACACTCAAATGCGACCATTGGAAAGCTCTATCGCTGCTTCGACTGGCCAATTTGATGGGTTGTGGGATCTTTGTGACAACTATGGATTCGGCGTCACTGGACTTACCCGGGAATACATCCGGGTTGCTGTGACCGGATCTCACGGCAACGAGACTGGCCCGGCTTGGTCGGCTATTGATTCCGTGGATCAAGCTGTTGACGATGTTTTGACATTCCCTATATGTGAAGCCAGCGAACATGATTCAGTGCTTCTCTACAGTTTGCGCGCTGGGGATTCTCTATATGCCGACCCGCCTACAACAGGTGTTGTGAATGCGGCAATTGAATTATTTTCGGTTGCTATTGCCCTTCACTCGCCCAAGATGCAGGAGAGCAGCGTTGAGCAAATCGCCACTTTCCTGTCCTCACCAGCTCTTCAGAGGAGTCCTGGACGAAGAGCTGCGTTAGTCGTCAACGTTTCGGTCGCATTGCTCCATGCTTTAAAGGTGGCTGTCAAGGAAACCGATTTCGTGGCTGGTAAGCTGAATTCCTCGACGGACAAGATTTTGCAGGAGCTCGTTCAGGTAGGCGGACTTGGCTTATTCTAGAGTTTTTGAAACAACATGCTGACATAAATCAGAAATTTGTTGTTGACGCAGATCCAATTGTTCGCACCATCGGAGTTGAAGCTCTGGGGCGCTTGTGCGATAGTGCTGGGAATGCATGCACGAACGCGCAGGTCAATTGGCTTGTTGACACCATTGTCGCTAACAGGGAACCGAATGCCCGGGCTGGCTGTGCTGCTGCCTTAGGATGCATTCACTCCCAGATCGGTGGAATGGCAGCTGGCCTGCATCTCAAGACCATCGTCGGCGTGTTGATGTCTCTTTGCAATGATCCTCATCCTGTGGTGCACTTCTGGGCCCTCGGTGGCTTGGAGAGAGTGGCAAACTCTGCTGGCTTAACTTTCTCACCGTTCGCCTCAAGCTCCTTGGGCATGCTTGCGCAGCTCTACAATGCCGACACTCACAATGAAGAAGCAGCGGCGCTAGCAACTTCGAACATTGAAATGTCATTCTTGACCCCCGTGGTCATCAGTCGATGCGTGGACTCCTTGATCAACGTTCTCGGGCCGGACTTGCAGGACGTTGCAAAAACCCGCAACCTTATCCTTACCCTACTCCGCCAATTCCAATTAGAAGAGAACCCCGCGATTGTCACTGAAAGTTCCAAATGTTTGGATCATTTCTCTCTCTACGCCCCCAGCTTTGTGGACTTCGCAGGCTATGTCAAACGCTTACAGGGTGAGCTTCGCACAGGTAACTCGTTGATGCGAGATGTTGCCGTTCGCGGTCTCAGCAACTTGATGAAGAGAGATGCCACTTCTGTCGTTCAAACTGCCACCGAATCGCTCGAGGATGACATATGGCTTGCATTTGATGATGCGCCAGACAACAGACCTCTCAAGACAATGATTCAGGAATGGCTGCAGCAGACTGCTCTTACTGAGACCGAATTGTGGATCCAGCGTTGTCACAATATCATGACGAAGACCCGTACTAAAGTTGAGGCTCTGCCAACAACTGCAGTCCAGACCGCTGCAGCTGACATCCCTGACGATGAAGTTGCTGGATTCGCATCCGCGGCCGCTGGTGAAGGCCAAATCGATCCCGCCAGCGATGGTGTCTCTGGCCAAGAATTGTTGAAGTGGCAGACTCGCAACTTCGCCATGAGCTGCCTCTACGAACTGTTGGCAATCGTGCAAGATGCTATATTGCCCGATCAAACCATTCCAGCTGAACTGGCCTTACAGGCCAAAGTTGGCGATATCGTGCGAATGGCGTTCTCTGCGTCCACTGCTAATGTCATTGAATTGCGGGTGTGGGGTCTGAAGATCATTGATCAAGTCCTGACGATGTTCGGAAAGACTCCAGATCCAGACTTTGCCGAGGCGTCTCTGCTTGAGCAATACCAAGCCCAGATTGGCTCTGCCTTAACGCCAGCGTTCGCGGTTGACTCCTCCGCGGAACTTGCCTCTGAGGCAATTAACGTTTCTGCCACGTTTATCGCGACCGGCATCGTTACAAACGTGGATCGCATGGGCCGAATTCTTAAGCTCCTGGTCCTTGGTCTGGAAAACTTTGCGAAGAACCCTGACACCACCGAGATCGGTGACCTCAAGGGTTTGAACTCTAATGCACGAGTGATGGTCAAACTTGCCCTGTTCTCCGCGTGGGCTCGATTACAAGTCGCAAGCATCGAGCAGGAGTATCTCAATAAAGTGGTACAACCTTACATTGCTAGGCTCACGCCTCTTTGGCTGTCTTCTCTCCAAGAGTATGCCCGCTTGCGATTCGAGCCAGATATTTCGGGCGCTCTGGGAACGAGCACGCAGAGCAATGACTTGGATGAGGTTTACGCTGCATTGAATCGTGAAACATTGCTCAAAGTAAGACCTCACTCTCTATCAAACCCGATCTAGGTGCTGACTCTAAGGTTATAGTTTTACCAAGATACCTGGCTCAATCTAGTCAATGCTATTGCTGGTCTTGTCGAAA